TCTCCCTGAGTCTGAATATACTTTCCACGTCCAAATGATGAGCTTTTTACATTAATATTTAATAACAATAAATTATTAATTATACTTTTAATATATATTCACTCTAATTATGTATAAAAAAAATATTTTATAAAAATGGCGTAAAGATATTTTGCAAAGATTTTTTAATATTACAATATAATGAAACATTCTATTTTAACAATTATTGTATTTATAGCTATTTAAACGACTGAATAATAGAAATAACTAATAATTAATTATTAATTAATTAGGAAATTAATTATAAAAACAATTAAGACATAGGAAAAACTTATTCTTTTATCTTGGGGAAAAAACATTACATATTCCCGAATCTTAACATTTTTGTAGAAAATTTTCAATTTTCATAGAAAAATAATTTACATCATTTCTATTTCTTAATTACAATTGTTTTAACAAAATTCAAAGTTCTTTAAAAATCAAAGAAAAAATGCTTATAAATTCTTATTGTCAATTACAAATTATAATTATAAATGAAAATTTTTGAATTTTTAGAAAATAATGGAAAAAATTTTACTCAAAAAAATTTTCTGTTACATTTATTTACGAATTTCTTTAATTGCAAAATTATTCAAAACTTCTTTTTGAATAATAAATAACTTCTTTGTTAAAAACAATATTTAATTATTATTATTTTTCCATAGAAATGAAGATTTTCAAAAATTTCAAATACAAACTTTTTTTAAATTGAACAACTTTAAAAATATTGTTATAAAAAATGAAGAAATCGATTACTCCGAGTCGAAGACTCGGAGTGATTATTTTATATATTATAGGAATATTGTTAACTGTAACTTCTTGAAAATAAGTTTTATGTTTAATTATTATCTAAAATGTTAACTAAAATTCATTTTTAAATCAATTTTTATTTTTTATTAGAAAATTCTACGAGAATTCAATTATTTAAGTACAAAAGTAAATTATTTATTGAATAATTGAATGTTTCTTAGAATTTAATTCTTATGAAGAATTTTAATAACAATTTTTTAAATAATTGAATTCTTATGACTAATTTTAATAAAAAATTTTAGAATAATTGCATTTTTCGAGAAATTTGATGAAAATTGTATTAAAAATAATTGAAATTCTGCCAAGAATTTTATTAAAAGTTTTAAAAATAATTGTATTTCCTGCGCAGAATTTTATTATTTATAGAAATAATTCAAATCTTTAATTTTTTTTTGAATAATAGAATTTCCGGCGAAGAATTTTATTATTTATATGAAAATTGAATTTTTGGGACGAATTTTATTATTTTTCAAAATAATTGAATTCCTGTAGTCAAGTCATCTTTTATTTATGAAAATATTCATATTCATGCAAAGATTTTGTTTTTGATTAAAAATAATTAAACTCTGGCAAAGTAATTTCTTTCAATTTAAAAAAAGAATTGAATTCTGAGCAAAATTTTATTATTTTTGAAAATAATTGATATCTTGGTAAATTTTTTCTTACAATTTTTGAAAATAATTGAATTTCTGGTGACAGAATATATTCTAATTTTTAAAAATAGTTGAATTAAAATGAAAAAATGTAATATTTTGAAAATAATTGAATTTCCGGCGAAGAATTTTATTATTTATGAAAATAATTGAATTTTTGCGAAGTATCTTCTTAAAACTTTTGAAAATAATTGAAAATAATTGATTTATTAAATAATTAAATTCTTTTGGGTAATTTTATTAAAATATGTAGTAAATATTGAAAATCATTGAAATGAGGGAAATTTTTGAAAATAATTGAAATTTTGACAAGAATTTTATTAAAATTTCTGAAAATATTTGAATTTTGAAGATGAATTTTATTATTTATAAAGATAATAATTGGGTTTTTGTCGAGATTTTTTTTGTAAATTTTGAACATAATTGAATTTTGTGATAAGAATTTTATTACTTTTGAAAGTAATCGAATTTCTACAATTCTTTGTAACTTCTTCAAAATTCAATTTTTTAAGTGTTTTTAACTAAAATTCTTCTATAAATCCATTATTATTTTTAATAATCAATTAAATATATATTGACAAATTCAATTAATTTTAGATTTTGAATTATTAAAATTTTTCAAAAATTTAAGTTCTTTAAAATTTCTAATTAAATTCATTATGGAAATTTATCTTACAAATAATTATTTTTTTTCTTTTTTTCCTTAATATCGACGAATTTTTAAATTTCAATATAGAAAATAAAGTACAAGTCATTACCATTACTAATTAGAGTTAAAACTATTAAACGTAATTAGAAGCAATATAAAACAACAACATATAGTCTTTACTTATTGATTAAAACTTTATTTGTCATTTAATGCAATAGTTAATTTACCGTTTAAATTTGATATGAGATCAAAAATAATTTATCTAAATGGAAAAATAGTAATTAAAAAGAAAAAATTATTAAATAGCGAAAGAAAGTAACTTGTCAATATTTGAAATTATTATCAGTTCACTCAATTCTTTAGAGCAAGAAAGTGTATTTAAATTTACTAAATAAATTTATAAATAAAAGAAATTTCAATTATTATTTTCTCTGATTATTCTTTTTTTCTCACAAGAATAATAAATAATAACTAAATAAAATGAATAATAATCCGCCAATTCAAATTTTAAAATTCTTTGGTCTTCATGCATATTGGATAAATAATGAAACTGCAAATTTCAATTCACGTTTTAAATTACATTTATATCCTTGTTTTTTATGTATTATTTACTTGATAAATTTAATTTTTTCAATAATTGATTTAAAAGTATATTTAAATGATAATATAGACACTTTAAAATTTTATGTGTATTTAGAATTACATTTCATTTTTAGTTTCTTAGTTAATTTATATCCTATAATAAGCTGTATAAATTGTATATTATGTTATCAACACAATGAGAAAATTTTGTTAAAATTACATGAATTTAACATTACGATGAAAAATCGTGAGAAGCAAAAATTGTGTAACATTATAATTCAATGGTGCATATTAATAATGATACTCTTCATTCGTTTTTTAATAATGTTTTATAGTGGCTATAATTGGCATCAACTTCTTAGATATTTTATTAGTTTTTCACTCCTCGTATTAGATCAATTGAAATTTATCATTTTTGTTAAAGAAATGATTCAAAGATTTATTATTCTCAATAAAATGTTTCTAACAGGTGAGAAGTATTATTTTCATATGAAAAAAATTCTTAATGAAAAGAAATTTTTTTTTCCTTTTTTATATAATTATATTTATATATTTACAGGTGAAAGTAAAATATTATTAAATCTATCATTTTCTGAAAGTGGATGTACTATTCATTTTATTCATAAATTGCATGTAATGTTAAGAGACGTGATTAAGTATTTTAATCGTTATTATTCCTGTTTGGCTTTAATGTGGATATTTATTTTCATAATGGAATGTCTTGGTTCAATAAGTTATTTTGCTGAAACTTTCTATATACATCCAAAATTTTTCATGATACCCTTTGCAATTATTTGTATTCAACATTTTATTATAATATTTACAATTATTTCGAATTCTCACAAGATGTCTGTAAAGGTAAAAAAATTAATTATTTATTAACTATATTTATAATTTATTAGTAATTAATTATTATTTGTTAACTAGGCAAATTCCTTCGGAAAATTAATATGTGCAGATAGTTCTATTATAATGCATTTTAATCAAATTAAAAATTTGGTAAGTGACATTTTAATGAATAATTAAATATATAAGATTTATTAAATATGTATTATATAAATAATTTTAAACATCATTTTAGGAAAGTGATATCATATCCTCTCTTCCAAAAGATTACTCTTATCGTTCAACAAATTTCGTAAGATTATTAATATTAGTATATACATTAATTTATTAAATTAATAAAATTGTTTTTAATAATTATCATTATAATTATAATTATTAGTATCTATTATTAAATAAAATATTACATTAATAATTATTATGATATAATATTAAATAATAATTAATATATATTATCAGGACAGAATTGTTTATGGAATATATTATGGAACGCGAAAAATTAATATCGAAATTTACGATATTATTGTTGTGAAGAAACCACTTTTAATATCGGTGAGTTATAAATAAATATAAAAAAAAATTAATTTAAATAAAAAAAAATTTACCCTACGTAAATTAATATATTTTAAGTAAAATTAAAGTAATTACGAACAAACATTTTTAATTTCAGACACTTGGAATTATTATGACATTTGGATTACTTTGTCTCCAGATGTAATTTTAATTAGGGTAAAAAATTATTAAAACAAAATAATTTTCTGTGTGAAATTAATTACTACAGTTTATTATGAAAAATAATGCTCCAAATTAAAAAATTAAAAAAAAATTTTTTGCTCTTTACTTTTATATCATTTTAATGAAATTTTAGATATTAATCCTCTTCAGATGCTATATTATTGAAAATTTTTATCTAAAAATAAATTATTAAATTAAAAATTTAATAATTAGTTATTATTTTCTTATTTACGCAGAAAAATCAAAAAAAGAAATCAAATTTATTTGATTTTATTGTCTCTCTTACTCTTGTACGTTTCCATGACAACCATTAGTCAAACAATAGAATTGTGAATGTACCATAATAACAATTTGTGGAGAAGAATAAAATTAGATTCTAAATATTTCTGAAAATAAATTCAAAGTTCCGTAGTATAATTAACAGAATATTGTTAATTTCAATTTATTATATATCAAAATTGAAATGTATTTAGTATTTAAAGAAAAAATTTATATTTATTAGAAATTATAATCAAATTTTAAATTTCCCGCCGCAAATCACAATTGTCCGGTGTACCAGTCATTAGAAAGATGCCAGGCAACTGCAATTTTCGATGAAGTGTGAAGACGCCTTTACAGTTTGTAAGTGCTTTTAATAAAAGTATATAGATATATATTTGTTATTAACAAGAAAATGCAACGTAAAAGTAGATTTTTTATATAAACGTTATTTCTTTTTTTTCATGATAATTAAAATTGTGCGATAATTAAAGTAATGGTGTGAGGAAAACTGTATTTCTTTCCCTAAAAACCAAATTTCAATTGGATATTTCTCTTAAAGCATTTATCTAAAGCTTTTATACCTGTCATTTAATGCCTAATAAAGCTTTATCTAATTTATCTTATTATTTAGAGACAGTATCGGTGTACATATGCGTATTTAACTCTATACATATTTAGTGCAATTAAATTTATAAAATGAAGTTTTTAATTAAATTAAACGAACAGTGATGACGTAATTTTACATTATCAAAAAAAGTAATAAACTGATTAACCCAAGTGTTTATTTTCTTTAATTATTAATTTATTTATAGTGATGAGTTTATTTGTTGTGTAAGTAATATTTACAAGATTGTAAATAAGTTTTAATAAGACGCAGACGCTATAAGTGCAATGGAAGCTGACAAGTGCAGTAAACTTGCTTTTATTATTTTTTAGTTTCATCATTCTCCCAAGTTTCTATACGTTTCAAATAAGAATTCAGAATTATGCATAATTTTATAAATTTCATATTTTCATTTTTAAGGATTTTGAAGAAAAATCGACTGGTTCTATTCTTGAAACGTTAATAACAATATGGATATGAAAATTAATTTGAATGACTATAACAAGTGGGTGGAGCATTATCATTATTAAATATGTTATTGTGAATATTAGTGAATAATTGTTATCTCAATGCTGATATATTTTCTTAATTCACAGTTTATGAGGACATTTTAAAGATCTCTTTTTTTACGCCGCACACAACTATTAAGGTTAACCTTGTAAAGTTTTTATTCATCTATATTATGTTTCGGATTGTAATAAGCAACTTTAAACTGACATGAGGAAATCAAAATAAGAAAATAAATTTTTATTAAACGAATTTGGATAATTGATTTGGAAAAACAAAGGTCAAGGATGGCTAGTGAAGCAGAAACATTTAGACATAATACCAATGAAATTGAGGAGACTGAAGTAGATGCAGATGATATAGATGAAGAAGGTTCGGATGGAGTTGTTATTCCAGAACTTCAAGGAAATTTATCTAAATGGACAAATTATATTCATGGATGGCAAAGTAGATTTATTGTTTTGAAAAATGGTACTTTGTCTTACTACCGATCGGAGCAGGACAGTGGTTTTGGTTGTAGAGGGTCTATTAGTCTCTTTAAAGCCGATATAAAGGTATGTAATTTGCAATTTTTATTGAATAGGGTTTCAAAAAAAGAATTTTAGTTGAAAAATATATTTAAACATTTTTCCAGGCTCACGAATTTGACGAATGCAGATTTGATGTATCTGTGAATGATTACTTAGTTTGGTATCTAAGAGCAAGTACACCTGAAGACAAACAACGATGGGTTGACGTTTTAAAATCCTATAAGGTAATAATTTAATTCTTATTTTTTGAATTATAACAAAGTTAAATTTTTGTTGCAACCCTGTACTTCTACAATTCAATCCTAAATAACAATTTATTGTTAAATAATTGTCCCTTTTTTATTTATTTCTCAACAGTCAGAGTCGGGTTATGGAAGCGAGAATAGTTTAAAACGTCATGGCAGTGCAATTTCTCTGATATCAAACACCCAATCAACAACAAGTGCTGGCAGTTTCAGTAAGCGTGGAGTTAGAAGTTTAAAAGAAAAACTCGCTGAAATTGAAACATTCAAGGACATATTAATTCAACAAATAGACACACTGCAGAAATATTTTGATAATTGTGCAGAAAATTCAAAAAGTGTCAACAAAAGCAATTTTTCCGGTGATAAAGCAGCAGCAGCAGCAGCAGACAAATCATTCAATCCCGCTGAATTGTCTGTTGATTTTAAAGGTGAAGCCATTACATTTAAAGCAACAAGTGAAGGTGTTCTTGCAACATTACAACATTGTGTTGAATTGATGGGTCAAAGAGAGGACGCTTGGCGACGACGATGGGAGAAGGAAGTCGAGAAAAGACGAAGATTACATGATTTGTACAAAACTTTGAAGGATCAAGTCACAACACAAACCGGTGAATCGCCAAGACCACGAGTTCTCATTCATGGAGGTCCAGATTACGAGGTAAATTAAAATTTTCAATAAAAATTATTTCTTCGAAAACGCATTATTTGCATTGCAAACAAAACTTGCATTTTGTAAAAAATAATTGATAGAGAAAAAAAGGAGGTGGTAGGGTGATCGTACGTTATTTTATCTAAAAGGTCAAGTTGAGTATATTTAATCTATTTCGTTGTATTGCAACTATGGTAAATTAAAATAAGTAATTATTTTTTTCTTAGCTTATTCTTCTTTCTTAATTCATTCAATTCGTGATCTAATTTTAACTCGTAAATATCCTTTTTTAATTGCAATACGTATTATCCATATTTGCAACATTGACTTTTTTCTAATTATATTTATACTAAATCCTTCGTTAAAGAGTGTAGGTGTGAATTTTCAATCAGTTATTTCATGAGTATGTTGTGAATACTAATGAGAAAAATGAGCCACGTGGAGAAAGTACGAGTATATCACGATGACAGTTGCGCAAATATTAGAGACGTTCTTGGTTGTTTTCATTCTGTGACACTTGTTTTCAGTCTTTAATATTATAAAGTAATTTTTAAGTTTTTTAAGTAAATTTAAAGAGAAAAACTTTCGAGTACTTTCTCGAAAATTAATATGTTTAAAACTCTTCCGATTATCGCGAATAATAATAGAATAGATCTATTTAAATCAGTAAGTATGGAGGAGAAATCAAAAAAGTGATGCAATTATTTAGAATTATTGGTAATAGCAAGAATTGTGTAATAAGTGAAAAAAGAGTTGTAATTGGAAATAACTTAATTTTTTAAATTTATTAGGAAGGTCCACACAGTGCACTTTGTGATGAGGAATTCTACGATGCTGTTGAAACTGGATTGGACAGAATTGAAGAGGAAAATTTTTTAAAAGATCGATTGAAGCAAAAATCAGTTGCATTTCCAACAGCTCCTACAACTCCTGCTATCAAGCATCGGCTTTGGTCTGAGGTATTTAACTCAAAATTATAATTAATTAAAATTTAAGTTAAGAATAAAATTTTTCTGAATCAAATTCAATTTTACAGATAGAGAAAATAACAATGGAGCAATTACATTATGCGAGACTTGGAATGGGAGCGGGAAGTTGGATGTTATTTGCTGAGGACGGTGACATGCGTATGTACAGACGAGAAGAGGAAGCTGACGGCTTAGTTGTAGATCCATTGAAAGCTTGCCACGTAGTGAAGGGAGTCACTGGACACGAGGTCTGTCAAATATTCTTCAGTCCAGAGTACAGAAGTGGATGGGAATCAACTTTAGAGGATATGTCGATTATAGAAACAATTTCAAAGGATAGTTTAGTGTTTTTACAAACACACAAGCGAATTTGGCCTGCAAGTCAAAGAGACGCTTTGTTTTGGTCGCATATGCGTAAAGTTCCCGATGACCAAGATCCAGACAATCAAGACGTTTGGATTGTGACAAATCACAGTACAGAATATCCAGATCATCCGGTAAATTATTATTTTCCTTATTAAAAGAAAACAAACACAATTTAATTTTATCTTTCCCTGACTGCTGACTATTGAAAATTGTGTCACTTTAAGGTTATGTTATTCAGTGGTGAATTTTTTTTTCCTTTCAGCCCAATGTCAATAAATGTGTTAGAATTTATTTGACTGTTTGTTTGGTTTGTCAAACTGTCATCGATCCACCAAAGGATAGAGAAATCAGAAGGGAAGACATTACATGTAAAATAACGTATTGCTCTGTCGGTGAGTATTTTTTACTAAAAATAGTCAACAATCACTATTTTCTTTATTTACGTCTATTTTTCTTTTCAGTCAATCCCGGTGGATGGGCTCCATCATCAGTGTTACGAGCTCTTTATAAACGGGAATATCCCAAGTTTCTTAAACGCTTTACCAATTTCTGTAAGGAGCAATGTGAAAACAAACCAATCACATTCTAATACACATTCATCTTCCAATTCTCGAAGATTATTATAATTTAAGTAAAATACATTCTTTATGACACTATTAAGTGAAAACATTTTAATCCAGAGAATTATAAATTTTTTCATTCTTGTAAAAATTTACCCGTTTTCTAATTTCTCTTGTAAACATTGTGGATAAGAATATATATTGCATTAATTTTTTTATACAATTTACTTATTAGTTGTCATGATATATAAATCAAATGTTTGAACAAAAAAAAATTTATATTGAACAAAGAGAATTGCGATTCAACTATTTTCACTGTTTTTAATATTATAAAGTCCAAGTCCATCTGTACAAAAGGATACATATTATATATACTTATTGATAAATAAGCCATTAACGGGAATCTGTACATTAATATTACAAGTTGTATTATTTTTATTTATGTAAAAATATGTTTATGAATGTAAGATCACTAATGGTGAATCATAATAAAGACTGTTACAGGTTTATGTACATTTTGATTAAATACTTAACTTTTAAAGCTATAATTGAAAGAAAATGTACAAATAATTTTTTCTCAATACTTTTAATATAAAAGTAAAAAAAATTATAATACTTATGTCAATTTATAAAAATAATAAGAAGTTGTATTACGAGACCGTAAGGGCACCACTTGTTTTTGAAACTTTCGATATTTCCTCTTTGAACTTTGCAATTGTTTCTCTGGCAAGTGTCAATTTTTCTTTTAATTCACCAACTTCTCCTCTGACTTTGTTTCTTGCTTCCATAATTGCTTTTAAAGTGTATTCCTTTTTAGCTTCAACTAAAACAAATTTCCATATTCATTTTATTTCTAATCACAATTTTTAAATTATTATATTTTATTCGATAGTAATTTTAATTTTATTTTAATATACTCACAATCTGTTTCATGGCGCCAAGCTCCTAAAGTCATAGGTTTTGTTGAACTTAATAATTGTTGCATAAGAGCAGTTGGATCTTGAAATATTATTTCTTCATAAAATTCAGACACCAAACTCTTTTTTCCCAACTGAATTTCAGATGTTGATTGAAATAATTTCAGAATATGATATATCGTCACCTATAATATTTATCAATAAAAAAATGTACATTTATATTGTGTAGTTTTTTTTATATATATTCCCTGACCTGTGGCAACTTAAATAAAAAGTATATAAAGTAAACTTACCGGTCGTTCATTTGCATCGTGAAAATAGATTTTAATGACAATTTCAAATTCACCCCAGCCTGTTTCTGTTAATTCATAAGGAGGCTTTGTGACAATTCTGTTTGGATTATTGTAACTCTCGTGTAATTTGAAATGTACTTTCTTAACATACGTCGACATATCTTCATTATTATATGGTTTCACGTATACTGTCCACTGATGCGTGTGACCATCTTCTTCACGTTTTTTACCAAAATAACGAGCAATATTTCCATAAATTATAGGTTTTATAATAGTGAGACCCTGAATAATAATATTAAGAATACTAATTTTGTACATATTTACACAAGAATAGAATTACTAATTAATTAAATATTTTTGTGTAGTAAATAACAAAACGAAAATAAAAAAGGTTTGTATATATGCACTAATTTTTAGAGGTTATAAATATAAACTTGTTTACAAACCTTTATCCTCCCTCCTGAATCAGGACCAAATTCAGTACTAGTTCCCATATTAATATAAGATTTTTGCGAATCAATTAGTTTTTTTTAATTTCTTTGCAATATATACAAGATATACAATTATACGAATTATACAATTATAAAATATCTGCCCGTGTTTTGCAGTGTTTAAATCGTTTAAATGCCTACAGCAAATACAAACCAGGGATGGATAGGATTGTAACTTACTGAAGTTACGTACATCGTAACGTTTCAGCGGTAAAATTTCAAAATTACAAAGAAATAAAAACTAAATCACAAATATTAATATATTATATTTTAATTAAAAACTTCATTGTAGCATACACACAACATAATTGTTTTAACAATAATTAGTCATGACCTTAATGTTACAATTATTACTATATTATAACTATTATTATAATTATAATATTATAATTTTATTATTATTACTATTATTATTTTTAATATTATTTTCATTATTATTCATATTATTATTTTATTATTTTTATAACTTCTATTATTACTATTATGTTTATTTTTATTATTGACTATTTTATATTATCAGTACGTATTATATAGTTTTTATCTATTTATAATATATTCAACTTTTTACACAAGTATTGTGTGAATATTATCATCGAATTATTTTAACAATACCCATGCAAGAAATTGTGTTAATGTGGATATTAGTATTTTTAAAATCACAGCATAATGACCTTCCTTATATTTGCACAATATTAAAAAACCGCTGACAATTTGTATATTTTTTGTAATTCACTCTGTTTTTTATTTCACGAACACTTTGCTTTCTCATAGAGATAATAATAATTGAAATATATAAATAACTTTTCAATATTGGTTAAAATCATTATTTTATTTTAAAAACCAGGGTCCAATAAAATACTTTTTTATATACTCTATAAGTTGGTTATAATAATTTAATAGTTAAAAAGGTTTTAAACAAAATGCGAAAAATCGACTTTGCCAAAACATAAACCAATGAAATGACAACTTTTACTGAAGGGGCGTGGCTTAGGCCAAATATTCCCAGTGACGACACTTAGCGAGACCTGACTGTAATTAAAACACGTTTTTTGGACTCCTGAGGTCAAATTACTAGTTAATAATAATTAATAATTACATATTATTATCAAAATAATATGTATGTCGAAAATAAAAATTGAAAATGTTCACCTACATATGAGAAAGCAAAAATTATTAATTAAATTGAATTAAAACATATATTTTCTTGGAATTTTTCAGTCAATATTTAAAAAAATAAAATTAAAAACTGGTTTAAAAAAATGTTAACTTTAACCATAAGAGATAATTATAGTGTACATTATTCTATCATCTGTTTGATATGTTGGTTAAAGACGATTTAAAAAATATTTCCTATTTTTATACTCATTTTATGAGTTAATAAATATTTATAAAAGAAAAAAGGAAATAAGAACTATTTTCTGTTTAAAGAAGACTTTTACATGATTAAAAAATATTTCGTTTTCGTAACATTTTTGCATAAATAGTAATAAATGAACTAATTACATTTATTAATATTTACAGAAAAAATTCTGTGAATTTAGAAACAAAATGTTTATAAATCTGGTTTTATAAGTGGCCTTCTTGGCCAAGAATTTTTTTCTAAAATTCTATCCTTATCTTTCGCCATTTGTTCAATATCATCATTCAATGGTACGAGATTTGTTTCAATCCACTCGTGAATTGTATAATTGTCATAAATACTATCCATTGCTATTCTCAATTCTTTCTCTAAATAGATCAATTCCATTTTTATTCTATCTATATCGGCAACAGCACGATCCACATGACTAGGATTTGAAAATGAATATTTTATATTATACGGAGTGAACCATCCCTTAAATGTACTGTCCTCCTTGAGTTTATTTAATTCTTGTTGAATGGAGAATAATTTTAGAATTGCCGCATAAATTAGACCGCCGTTATAAGCACAATTCGTCCAACCGTACTGTGGTTCTGGAACACTTAAAGTTATGCCACTGTCGCACGCGAGAGCATCAATTACTTTAGGTGATACGTCCATTGGAAAACTACTAGGATTATTTGACTGAAGAACGGCTAAATTAATTGCCAATGATGGTAGGGCAGAAGGTAATAGTTCGCACAGTACACTGAAATGATCGTACCTTTGCCATCCGGTTAGAAATGCGCCCTTGAATTTAATGCGTGACGAATATTTTTCGACTATTTCCATCCATCGTCGATGATTTTCCACATGATATGTTATATCTGTATAGTATCTGTCTGGTGCTGTTGCTCCTTTAAAAGCCGTTGCTATCCAAATTTCAGACCATACAAGTGCATAATTCTCCCACAGTTGATTGGTGAGAGATGAAGCTGGATCTGTCGTGTATTTCCAAACAACAGGTTCGATTAATCCTTGTAAACCGCTGTTGATCAAATCCTATGACAAAATAGAATGAATAATAAGAATAATATTCTATAATATAAAAAAAATTAATTCAGGAGTAAGACAAAAAATTTAATTTTCTTTTTCCCTGAATTCCCTGACCTGTGTCAATTACCTGTGAATCGATTTCTCTAAATTCGTCATCCCACGTGAGAATCGTTAAATCCGGATATTTTTTCTTGATATACCTCGCAACTTTTATAACGTGATTTAAAAAAAGTTCCTTTTTATTCCATCGTTCTTTAGCCATTGTCTCTATACATCGATTACATTCTCCAAGTTGATAAACTTCGTCAGCTCCTATGTGAATATGCTTCGAGTCAGGATGAGCCGAAATAATTTGATCAATCATTTCAAAAAGAAGAATTTCCGATTTATTGTACATTGGACAAATAGATTGTGGATAACGATTTATTTCTCTAAGTTCCTTATACTTTTCTAATTTTAACACAAACTCTAAATGCCCAAACGTTTGAACCAAGGGAATTATAATAAGATCATACTTTTTCGCCAGATCTTGAATAGTATTTATTTCATTTTTGCTATAATGATTGCCAGCGGCAATGTCAATTAAATTTCCTTGAAATGGAAACATATCTTCATATTCAATTAAAATGCCTGTTGCTCCGAGAGTTTTAAATAATCGAAATAGATAATCATAGTAGGAAACTTTTGGCGGAGCTCCTTTTAAATCAAGATGTACAATTTTGTGTCCTGTAAATAGTTGACTGTGTTCGTAAACATTTTTAGAATTATCTTTGGACTTGTCGAGTGATAGAAGCTGACTTTTACTTCCAACATATTCGTACATATCGTTAGATTTTAAATACCAGCGAACTTTACTTCCTGTCGAGGGATCATCGGCTTCATTTCTAAGAAGATGATAAATTGCAACTAGCAATATGAATAGAACAACTATAATAATTGTTAAAGTTCGGCCTCTCAGATGTGCCATTCTTATCATTTTTTACATTTCCATCTATTTTCAATTCTATTCATTTCCTAATGTTACTCACTTTATTTATATTTATTATTATTATATAAAAAATAAATAAAAGTTTTGTTTTGCTCTCACCGAATGTATACACATATACAAAGAAACGTTTAAGATGCTGCACACAGTTACATCTCTACTGTTGGCTCCCTTACTCTGTTCCCGGGTGAAGTCACCTTTACCATTTCACAACCTCTGGTTTAAGGGAGCATTCACACGACTTTTGGAAAAACCATTCTTGTCTTTCTTTCTTCTATGAAAGGGGCATAAGTTTGTTTCACTCTACATTTTCTTACTTTATCCAAAAATTGAAAATGTAGAATGAGACAAACTTATGCCTTTGTCATAGAAAAGACAAAGACAAGAATGGTTATTCCAAAAGTCGTGTGAATGCTCCCTAAGGTATTTTTGGACGAATCAAAGCACCTTAAGGCCGCAGTCCCATGGCAGCGTTTTGCGTTGCGTCGTAATGGGAGAAAAAAAGACGCAAATATACGTTTGCTGCATTCTCTCTTATTACAACGCAACGCAAAACACTGCCATGGGACTGCCGCCTGAGGCTGGAGTCCCATGGTAGCGTTTTGCGTTGCGTTTTGTAACTAGGCCATGAGTGCAAATAGAGTAAACATATATCTGTATCTCTCTCACACTCATTGCCTAGTTACAAAACGCAACGCAAAACGCTGCCATGGGACTTCAGCCTAATTCAAACTAGACACTGTGGAGGGGACTTAACCCGAATGGAAGGGAAGAGGAGGAACTACTGTGTCGTAGCCCTTACAACTAATTTACCATAACCCTGTTTTTTATTTTATAAGTTTTATTATAATATATAAACTTTTATATATTATTTAAAAATGATCATTTTAACTTTATATTTTGGATATTAATAATATTATTTTTTGTAGCAAAATTTTTTTGTAATTACACGTGAGTGTTAAAATGCGCTTTTGTGAGTACTTCTTTTATAAATAATCAGGCAGAATATAATTTTTTAAAATGTATGTAGGTGTTTTAATGTTCAAAGTCGAATCTATTTATATATACATGCATATCCTGATATTAATGAAATATCTGGTCAATGAAGGAGAATAATGCAATAGTATTGATGTTATGTTGATTCACAAAAGGAAATTTTGTGACTCGCCCTACTTGGAATTGTATATATATGTATACATAATACATATACGTATATATACTCTACGAGACAAAACTAATTACAATTTGGAATACTAAAGTGACACTTGAAATTAGTGTATTAAAGTTGAAATTACCTTAAAAAAAAGTACGTAATCTTAAAAATCTATACCTATAAGTTTATTAGGTATTACGCAAATACATTCATGTTTAAATTTTTTTTTTTTGACAATTTTTGAAAGAATGTTTGTTGATTTTTTCAAGGACAAAATATTTGTAAAATAGAAATGAAGGCAAAATTATTTTATTTGGAATGTAGTAGTTATTTTGCTTTATTTTAATAATAATATTTTATTTAGATAAGTAACAATGGCATTCAGAGACTTGGTTGAGAGTGATTGTGGAGGATTGAATCCGTTGATGCGATTCACCTCGCATTTCGTTCAGGATCATGGGTTTAAAGAAGATGGGGTTCATGATCATTTTGATTCTCGAGAACCCTTTGAATCTACAAGTTCAGATCAACTCGTAAAACAATTTTTAGAAGAGAATTCAATGCATCCACAAACATTCAAAATGGATCATTTGTTGCAAGAGATGAGAGAAATTGATCAGAATGTTTATCCTCCAGTTATGAGTCCGTGTGTCGCAAAAGAATTGACTGGTCAGGATACAGCATGGGCAACACAGTATCTTCAATCAGGAAAACATTTTGATGTAATATGTTTAAATAACAGTTTTTTCTTTTTTAGTTTTAATAATACAAAGTATATTTCATTCTTCAGGAAAATCATGCTGAGGATATTTGGAACTCTCCTGCAATAGAACGACCGATGGCAACAAAAGAGCCTTTAACTTTTATTCCAGGAGAGACTTATGAACTTGGATTAGGACCAAAATGGGCTGAGGAATATTTAGAGCAAAATATTGAAAATGCGGAAGATAATGAAAAAAAAAGTGAAGAACTTACTGAAAGTGTAAATTTGGAAGAGCCTAACATTGCATACTCAAAGTTTATGAAATTTATGCGCCAAGAGGAAAGTAATTCTATAGAACAAAAGAATAAGTGGTCTTCAGAATTTATTGAAGAAAAAATTATTAATGATGCTGTTGATGATGAGGAAGATGATGCTGTTGCTGAATTGTCTAAAGAAAACAGCGTAGTCTTAAATAAAGTTGAAGAAGAATTGTCTATTGCTGGTACTTGGGTTGACGAATTTAACAAAACGGTTGCGAAAGGTCAGTATTTCATTAATTTATCAAACGTATTATATAATTTTTCTATTTATTATTTATTATTTGACGTTTCGAAATGTGATGTATATTTTATTTTTTCAGGTACAGATAATTATGAATCATCATTTTGGAAACGTCTCCAAGGCGAATGGGATAAGATTTTGTCTTCTGAAAATATCTCTGCTACACATCCATGGATATCAGAATATAACACATATTACGATCCTTTCAAAGAATATAAATTTAATGAGAACAATCCAATGTCTAATTTGGCCAATGCTTTCGAAGAAGGGAAAAAAAGATTAGCAATTGGTGATCTTCCAAGTGCAGTTCTTTGCTTCGAGGCGGCTGTAACGCAGGATAATAATAATGTAGAAGCGTGGCTTCTTCTTGGAAAAACTCAGGCTGAAAATGAACAAGATTCAATGGCAATTTCGGCCCTGAAGCAATGTTTAACCCTTGACCCTGCAAATTCAGCTGCTTTGATGTCTCTTGCTGTTTCCTACACAAATGAATCGTTTCAAAGTCAGGCATGCTTGACGCTGAAAGAGTGGCTCTTGAAAAATGAAAAATACAAACATCTTACACCTTTAACGCCGTTTACTCAACCCACACAGACAAGAGTATCTACTATTTTGTTTAAGTATATACATTTTTCATACGATGTTTGAAAAAAGTTTTGCATTTAATTTTGTTTAAAAAAAGAATGTTAATTTGGACTGTAATTGACTGGCATTGAGGTGAGATAGTTGAGGCTTAATGCAAGACTTGTTTCACTTTACACTCCAAAATACTTTTGAAAATTTAATAATAGCTTTCATTTTCCAGCGATGTTCACAATGAAGTAAAAGATTTATTTATACAAGCTGCTAGATTGCAGCCGAGTGAAACAATAGATCCGGATGTTCAGTGCGGACTTGGTGTACTTTTCAATTTGTCAAGTGAATATAATAAAGCTGCAGATTGTTTTCGAGCAGCAATACAAGCCAGACCTGATGTAAGTTAATGAGTAATTTTTCGCATTGTTACTTTAACTTAATAATTTGCTTTTATGTTTAGGATGCAAAGTTATGGAATCGATTAGGTGCAACATTGGCTAATGGTCAAAGGTCGGAAGAAGCCATTGATGCCTATCATCACGCTTTAGATTTGTCGCCAGGTTTTATTAGGGCTCGCTATAATCTTGGAATCTCTTGTATAAATCTTGGAGCGTACAAGTGAGGCTTTTATTTTTAAATCATATAATTATTATTATCTACTTAAATAAACGTCGTTCATTCGTTTCGTAGAGAAGCTGGAGAACATCTTCTCACTGCTTTAAATCAACAAGCTGCTGGAAGAAATCTTTTAGGAGAAAAAGCCCCACCAAAAGCAATGTCCGACACAATTTGGTCTACATTACGTTTAGTTGTATCACTTATGCATAAATTTCATCTTAATGAAGCCATAGAAAACAGGTAAGGGCATTTTTAAATTAATTTTTTAAGCTTTGAAAATTCATAAATCTGATATCTAAATTTATTTTTATTTTCCAGAGATCTAGCTACATTAAATAATGAGTTTGAAATGGAATAAATAGTACTATTGGGAATGTAGGGTTATAAAGATTTTCTACTTTAAAATTATACGTCAAAAAAATAAAGGTACATGTATATTAAATGTCGATTAAAATTAAAAGTTATCAGTAGAGGTCAATATACAATTTCATTAAACTAGACTAAAGCCTAAGTATATACAGAGATGATATTTTTGGTACGACAAATTTTTTTTTAATTAATCACCAGGAATAAGTTTCAAATTTTTAATTTTCCACAGATTCATGTAATCATCCAGTTACACCTTTATACAATGAATAAATGTTTAGTTGATAAATTTGAAAAAAACAATTAATAAATATATTTACATCTGTTAATATTGTACATTTTTTTCTCAATATTAAAACTATAAGGACTCCTCTTCTTGGAAATGAACTATTTTCTATCCTCCATCAATTCTTAATTCTTTCAAAATATGTTTCAAACAGAAAATTTTTCTAAGGATTATTATTATTATCATCAACAATAAATTGTATTAAAATTAAAGGAAATGAATGTATTCTTTAATTACTTCTTCTTAGATTTTTTTAATTCTTCTTTTGTAGGCTTAGGTTTTCTAGCGTCTTCAAACTTTTTTAATTTCTGAGCAAATCTATCTTTATCTTTCTTCTTTGCAGGTACAGGCATTCTTTGTCGGAATTCTTTTCTTTCCTTACGACGTACTGCTTCTTCACATCCGTGAATCTCCTGCATTCCTTGAATTTGAAAAAGTTAACTTTGAATTAAAACTTGTAAGAGAAAGAAAATGTAATTTCTATTTTAAAATGATGATTATAAATAAAACCAACCATGTTGCAAACAAAATCGATTTTTACAAAATTCACAATTTGAATAAATGAGTTTTGTCGATGATTTACAATTATTAAATGCACAAGAATAATTTGTTTTACTAAGTTCCTCAATAATTGCATTAAAATCTTCAGTTTCATCTGTGCATTTTGTTTCTGCTTTTGTTCTGTTTTTCTTCTTTTTCACTCTAGATTCCTTTACTTCTCTCTGATTAGTTTTTCCTTCGTCTTTATCTGAATAAAAGTTATTTCTGTTATTATTTTCTCAAGTTATAAGTTTATAGAATTGTAAAAAATTGTATAAAATTCTACAGTAAGCATAATATTGAGTAATATAGAAAAAAAATTTGATTAGAATTATATTGTGAGCACGATGATTATCATAGAATATAATTAAAAGCATAATACACAGTTACCTTCGTTTTCTTCTTCTTTCTCTTCTTGTTCTTTCTCTTCTCCTTCTTCTTCTTTTTCTTCAGAATTGATGATAGTATCAAAAATGTTATATTTTTTTCTATTTTCACAACTCGATAAATCGATGCCCTTATCGTTCAATTTAACAACATTTTTAATATCTTTTGCTTTGGTGATAATTTTTAAATTTTCTTGTAATTTATTTTCTTCTTTTTGTTTAACGAGAACTGTTGCCGATTTATTTTTTTTATGTTTCTCAGCGGTTTGCTCAACTTTCAATTCAAAATCATCGTAGACTAATAAAAAAAAAGTATAAAATATGTAAATAACAAGAAAGGACTGTAAATGAAATGAAACAAAATAGAATTATTTCTTACCTGCTAAATATTCTTCAGCAGTTTTCAGTAAACCATTCTCTCCAATATGTGTCAATAAACTAGCTAACATTTCATTTTTTTCAACAGTTTCACTGTCTCCAATCACTACGAGTAGTCGCCTTGCTCTCGTGACAGCTACGTTTAATCTTCGAAAATCAGTTAGGAAACCAAGTTCTTTTTCTAGATTTGATCTTACTAAAGAAAGAATGATTACTTCTTTTTCTCTCCCTTGAAAACCATCGACTGTATTCACCTCTACATTTATCGAGTCAAACGATTTTCGAATTAAATCGACCTACATGATAAGAGTAATTTTCATTTAATTATATTGAAAATTGAAATGAAATGAAATTTAAATTTATTACTTTGTATTTTACCTGTAGTGCATAGGGTGTTATAATTCCAATACTTTTCTCCGTTAATCCTGATTGAATTAATGAAGAAATAATTTTATTTACAACAACAGCTTCTCGAATATTTCCTTTCGATCCAACTCCTTTGACAGTTTGATACTCTTCGCAGTCACAACCACATGTGTCGACAAATACGAGAGATTCCACTAGAAAAAAGTTAAATATTTAAATACTCACGTCTAGGGGGAGGGAAATTGTATTTTTAAAGAAATTTACTCGTCAAACAATTTTCTTTAATTCCAGGGAGATCTTTTAACAAGTGATATTTTACTGTGTCATCAGCTTGTAAAGTGTTATCATAAAATCGTTTGCTGGACCACAACATAATTTTTTCGTTCATTCTATATTGTCTTGTGAGTGTTTTAAAAGAGTCTTTTCCTAATTTTCCAATCGCTCTCTCCATAAGGCTTTTATTTAATCCTTGATTTATTGCCTCTTGACTCAAAACAGTGGGTGGCAATTGATTGATATCTCCAGCAATCACGAGTTTTGACGCATTTGGAATTGCTATCCACATTGATGCCTCTAAAGCTTGAGAAGCTTCGTCAACAATTAAAACGTCAAAGTAATCTTCTTCAAGATGCTGTAAGTAACCTTTGCTTGACGATGAGTTTAAAGTAGAAAGAATTACCTGTTGAGAATTGAGAATTAAAAGCTCAAACGGTTTGATTATTCATTAAATTAATTATAAAAATAAAAATGTCTAAGTACCTGGAATTTTTTAAGAGTATCATTATTCAATTTACTAAATCTTTTCCTATATTCCTTATTTAAATTTCTAATTTCTTTATAATCTTTATAAGAATTTGCTTCTAGAGCTTTTATAGATCGTTTAACATCCTGCAATACTGCATAAGAATCATCGTTTTGTATGTAATTATCAATAGAATATTTTTGAGCAGCATTCATTATTCTTGTAAAATGACCCAATCTCAATGGTTTCGCTTCCGTTTCGCCAAGCTTAATTGCTATATTATCCACAGCAACGTTTGTTGGAGCGCAAACTAGAATCTAAAAACCAATAAAATTTTCTTATCTAAAATACCTATTATTTTTTCTTTAAAAAAACATACTTTTTTGCCGTGACGACATAGTTGAATGATTAATTCAACTAAAGTGGTAGTTTTTCCAGTACCAGGGGGTCCCTGAATAATAGCTAGATATTTTCTTCTCAATGCAAATTCAACAGCAGCTTTCTGATCATTCGCTAAAAATGTGTTTTCAAACTTGAGTTCTTTCTCTGCATTTAGACATTTTTCCACAATTGGCAACTCTGCAGTCAGTAGTGGTTGAACGGTATTTGCATCTTGATCGAATAATATTCTCCTTATAATTGAATCACTTCTCTTCACCAAGTTGTTCAGAGCACTGTAAATATTTTTCTATTAATGATAATTCAATGACAATTGAAAAAATAAAATATTTGAAAACTTACTTTTTTTGACAAATGTAAGTAAAATCTGAATCTGTTTTCAAAACTGTAACTAAATCCTCTTCTTGGACCTCAAAACTATTATCATTTGAAGAAATACTCAAAGTAGTATTAGAGACGTTAATAATAATTCCTCTGGCATATTTACTGTCTTTCCTTCCTTGAATGCAAATCACCAAATCTCCTTGAGATAAATTTGTTTCTAATAATAATTGATCGGACACCTCAAAGTCAATTTGAATTTTTCCAGGACCACAATGTGCTATATTTGTCACTTTTAATTTAGTTAATGCTTGACCTTTTTTTTCTAAATTGTGAATAAGTACCGGCGAGAGATCCTTAAAGTTCTTACTGAAACTTTCTTCTTGTTCTAAATATAACAATTTATTCTGTTTTTGCACGAAATTGAATATATCTTCTTCCATTTCTTTTTTCAATCACAAACTAATTTAAAAGTATGAAAACAATTGTAACAATGAAAATAGACAATAATTTATTGACGATAATACAATTTGCTACTTCTGAAATGGTTGTTGTTTTTTGTTGTTGTATTTGGTCCAAGTCCAACTTGACCAAACTTGACGAATGCGATGCATGAGATAGAAAAGGACACAAATATGTATATTTCTGTCCTTCTTTAACTCATGCTTTACGTTCGCGAACGAACGACGTTAGCACTCTAAAGGTGCTTACATACTTTGATACTTTCGAACAAGTGCTTAAAGGCGTTTGCACACTTCCAAATTTTTCATTTGTTGTATTTACTTTATTAGTTTATTTACTAATTAGGAAGAATAAATACAAATTTTTAACAAATAGAAAGTGTCACCAGCACATTGAGTTGAGAAATCGCATTTTATTCATTTATAAAAATATTTGCTGTAGAAAGCCCCTTATCCAAGGAAAACATTGTTGCAGTATACAGAAATCTGCTGACAAAAGGTGTGACCGTACCATTAAGTGCAATTCTATAGTTGCTCTTAGTTTCTCATGCTTTTGCATTAGATTGTCTTTTTCTTTTGAATGCAATTAGAAAAAGATGGATTGATACTTTGTTGATTTCGAGAATTCTACTCCTGTTCTAGGTCTCATAATTTTTCAGTGCTTTTAGAACATATATTATAGAAGGAAGCTGATTCCGCAGAGTTAGTTTATATATAGCACAAAAGTTATCAAAAGAAACATCTTTTTAAAAATAGTGTTTGATTAATTGTTAAATGTTATCAACAAAGTAAATCATTGATTATCAATGTATCAGTGTATAAAGTAGAAGGACTTGAACATTTTTACATAAATTAACCCAAGTTTACTCAATTGCGGACATTTTTTTTGTTCCACATTTTTGAAAACAACTATAAATATGATGTGCAAAATGTAATTTTTAACAAGTGTTTATGTCAATTTAACAAATTAAAGAGCAAAACTATGTTAATAAATGAAGAGAGAAATATGATTTTTTGAAAAAGTCAAGCTTGCGAGCGCGTAAGCTTCTTGTCTTGTGCGACTCGCCATATTGGTTCAAAAGTGTTGGTACTCATAGATATCGAGATACGACGACTTTTTTGTAAATGGACGCAAAACAAAAAGAGTCAAGAATGGAAGAGACAAAGATCATATATCACATTGATGATGAAGAGACCCCTTATTTAGTCAAATTGAATATAGTCCCAGAGAGGGTAACTCTGGCTGATTTTAAAGCTAGTCTGAATCGCCCTAATTATAAGTTTTTCTTTAAATCAATGGATGACGATTTTGGGTAAGTTTGTATTTTTTTTTGCAATGACGCATTTTAATTTTAATGTCAAATATTTCCTCTGATATTATCTATTCATTTATCAATTGTTTAGAATATTTATCACTTTTATTTATTTTTTTAATCCTAGTAAGTTCTTCATTAAATGTCTTGGTAATATTTGAGAAATATATTAATTAAATATTTTTAACAACTCTAATGGTTTTGTAAGATTATTAACTAATAATCTGAATTTTCTTTTTTAGAGTTGTAAAAGAAGAAATTGTTGACGATGATGCTCATCTTCCTTGCTTTAATGGACGTGTCGTTTCTTGGGTATGTTTACTTGTTCGGTCTTTAATAAAAATTATTTTATATCATTGCCTAATATTGTTCCCTCAGAACACTTGATATTTCAGGATATTCTCAGTTTTGTAATTTCTTAATTATAGTTGGTATCAGCTGAAGGGAGCAATGTATCAGATGGTACATCGCAATGCACAGAATCAGTAGCACATGGTGAACAGAAACATGATCATGTTGATCATGTTCATGGAGCTCCTGGACTAACAACTCGTGGTCCGCTTTCTCTTTCTCATGATGACACACTAACAGAAACGGAAAGTATTATAAGTAGTCGTCAAGGTCATCATTTGCATAAAACTTCTAGACATCATACGGACAAATACGAAAAATATCACAAATACAATGGTATGATTCTGTTTTTATTTCTAAAAAAATAAACAATATGAAATGTTTAAAAGTGTTAATAAAAATAAATTTATCAGGTCTTCGCATAAATGGACATTCTAAACATCGATCTGGGCATGGTTATGAAAGTGCATCAATTCTCAGTTCTGATTTAGAGACATCAACATTTTTAGAATCAGATGACGATGCAAGTAGCCGCATTACATCGACAACTGGAGGTAGACACACAAACATGAGTAGTACAATCGACAGAACAACTATAGGTAATATTTTTTTCTTGTTTATTTTCAGGCATCACAGTTGTTCCCCTTTTGTCCCCTTATTTCAATTTTACCACCTTTTTCACCTTTTTGGAAGATTTGTCAACGTTTTCCCCCTTTTTGCTTATTTGTCCCCTTTTTCACCTTTTTCTAATAAAAAATAATCAAGTTTCTCTTTTCTTGAAATCTTTTTCAAAGTGTAATCATAAAATTTAGACTCAATGTTACAGAATTCATTGTATTTTTAATTTGAAAAGCTCTCTTCATAAGAGCATCCTGAAAATGAATAACTCTATTGTTTCAGATCGTCGTAGGCCTCAAAGGAGACGTCGGCACAGATTACCACCAATGTCCAGAGCATCTTCAATTAGTAGTATTACAGATAGCACAATGTCTTTAAATATAATAACAGTATCTCTTAATATGGATACAGTGAATTTTCTTGGAATCAGCATTGTAGGACAAAGTAATAAAGGTGGCGATGGTGGTATTTACGTTGGCTCAATTATGAAAGGGTAAATATTCTTCACTTTTTCTTCTTTTTTCAATTGGTTTAAAAAAAATTAAGAAAAGATTATTTATTGGAGAATATAATTGTTTCTCATCATTAATTTATTATCTCCAGTGGAGCAGTTGCCTTAGATGGACGAATAGAGCCTGGTGACATGATCCTTCAAGTGAATGATATTAATTTCGAAAACATGTCGAACGATGAAGCAGTTCGAGTTTTAAGAGAAGTCGTTCAAAAACCCGGGTGAGAGATTTATCCAAATTTAATTAATCTTTTAATTAATTAATTCTTGACATATTAGATGGAAAAGTTAATTAATCTTTTATTTCCAGTCCGATAAAGTTAGTCGTTGCCAAATGTTGGGATCCTAATCCAAAGGGTTACTTTACCATCCCAAGAACTGAACCCGTTCGACCGATAGATCCGGGTGCATGGGTGGCTCACACTGCAGCTATTAGAGGTGAAGGATTTCCTCCTCGACCTCCAAGTGCAACGACTCTGACTTCCACTTCCAGCAGCCTTGCAAGCACGTTGCCAGATACAGAGCGTGAGTGTCACTTTTTACTATTATTTTTTTATTTTTTTTAAGAACTAAATCTCGAATGTTTCCAGGAACTCTAGAAGATATACATTTAACGATAAATACGGATATGCCAACTATAGTGCGAGCAATGGCACGACCTGATTCAGGACTGGAAATTCGAGATCGTATGTGGCTGAAGATTACGATTCCGAATGCATTTATTGGAGCAGATGTGGTTGATTGGCTTCATACACACGTGGAAGGTTTCATAGATCGACGCGATGCCAGGAAATATGCTTCGTTGATGCTCAAGGCCGGCTTCATCAGACACACTGTCAATAAAATCACTTTCTCCGAGCAGTGTTATTACATATTCGGCGATTTGTGCTCGGCTATAAATAATTTGAAACTCGACTGTGATACAGTTGGGCCACTGCCACCGCCTAGTTCTTGGGATATGCCTTATTCAGGAACGTATGCTCCTCATTCAACAACAGGCTACAGCCCAATGCCATTTAACTTTACTAGTGAGCCCACTGTTTACGGTTATCACCGCGATGAAAGTATTCACAGTGGATCAGGTAAAAATAATTTTAGCCTCTTTTTTGAAAATACTACCTATATTAAAATACTAAACTATTATTGTTTTTTTTTAATTATTTCCAGGAGGCAGCAGTGCAGGTAGCGAACATATTTGCAAGGAGCCAATTCACGATGTTAAATCATGTTCGTCAGCTTCCGAATCAGAGCTTCAAATGCCATCCGTGCCAGTAATGCCAAAACAAAATTCAGGTAATGGAAATGGTTCTAATGGAAAGAGATCTAATGGTAGTCGCAGTCGATCCAGTGGTTCTGAGCAATCAGTACAAACGGGAACTGGACCGGGGATTCCGTCAAATCAGCAAGATTTATCCGGTAGTAGACAGTCATTTCGCATTGCCATGGGCAATCCTTGTGAATTTTTTGTTGATGTCATGTAGATGGGTCTTCTTTTTTTGAGACATTAATTCATGAGATGACTGCAAAAATTATTTCTAATTTCTAATTTCGAAAATTTTTACAGTTAGTCTCATTGGAATTCACTGTCAGCTTTGCATACATTTTATGTTTGACGTTCTAGTAAAAAATAATTTTAAAACTATTTCATATTTTTTAAAAACTAGCACATCAAGCATGAATAAGATTTTTTTATTTACTACTTTAGGTTACTATTTATTTCTTTTGTAGATTTTGAAAATGTTTTTATATGCATGCGACACTATCGAAATAAAAATTAAGGCTCGATAGTAAATTACTTTTTTCTCAATTCGTAGAATATAATATAAAAAAAATGGTTAAATTTTGTTTGCAAATTTTGTTGCGTCGTTTCATATATTATATCAATATTATTTTAATATTAATGTTAATCTCTATACTGATATTTTTATTCAAAAATATTTTTTTCAACTTTAGTTACGAATACGCACACGCATGATTTATTATTGTAAATAATACGATTCTTTAAAAGCGATATTTTTATTATATTAAAAATGCAAACAATATAAGAAGATGCATGAACTTTTCTTCTGAAATTTTGTTGCTTAAAACTCAGATAGTTGACATTAACATTGTTCCATTGGTTTCCATTGATTTTAGGATTATCTACGACAATGGGGCAGCTATTTTTTTAAAGTCTTCAAGATATATATCAAATATCAAACGAACGATTCGTCAACTTCAATAGTAAGAAGAATTATTTGAAACAACACCAAGATATTTCTATTTATAAGTATAATAACTTGAACTTAAACTTAATGATCTTCGAAAAACTCAATGATGAATCGTTCGAAACGTACGTAATCAGATCTACATACATTTCTGCAATTCCAGAGTTGAAAATATATCTAATAATAATATAATAATAATAACAATAATAATAATTAATAATAATTAATAATAATAATAAAAATAATAACAATTATACAATTATTATCAATTGATTTATTTATATATAACTTGCCTATATATGATTTTTAAAGTTTTAAATAATTTAACGTTTTATATATATATAAAAAGAAATGAATATTTAAAATTAATTATTATTACCTGAATAGCGACAATTTTGAATTTTATTAAAAAAACAAAATGGGGTCTTAATAAATATGTGAGCAAAAGCGAGTTAAAATCAAATTAATTTGTCTATGCATTTGAAAAATATAATTAATTTCTTTTTTCTAATTACATTTTATAAAACTAAAAATAAAAAAAAATACTTAAAAACTAAATAAACTTCTCTTTTAAATAGATAAAATAATTAATTTAATCCACTTTTACTTACTCATTTTATGTAACCCGTTTTTACTATCTTCCCTTAATAGTTTTTTTTCCATTTATTACAATTAAGATATTAGAGTAGAATTACATAAATGACAATATTTAAATACTAAATAATTAATTTAAATTTTTTCACTAAATTCAAACTTTTTGGCATTGATGAACCAATTTTGAAAAACAGTATTATACTTATGTATTTGTAATTTATAATTATATAATTTCTTTCAACATAGACATTTTTTTTTGTTTGTAGGTAAATTTCCAACTCTGCTAAATGAGATACTTCTCAGAAAGGAACATGTATATAGTTATATATTGTACTAATACTAAATGTGCCATTTAAACATTTTTTAAGAAAAGCATTGTACACCGTCTCGGAATCATAAATGCATTTTGAATTCATTTTCTATCATGAGATGTTTGCATGAATTTATATGGACTATTGTAAAGGAAAACACATTTATTTTCTTCTTTAATTTAAATGAGGTAAGACAAATCATTTTTTTCACAAAATAATTTGAAACCGCTGTCAGAATAATTTGCGGATCATTTATTATTATTATTATTTTATTATTATTATTATTATTATTATTATTATTATTATTATTATTATTATTATTATTATCCAACAGCGAAAGATAATTGATTCGCAAATTATTGCGACATTTTATTTATTTTCGTGTGTTTTCAATTTGTATTATTATTATTGTTATTATTATTATCATTATATCTATACCTATCTGAAAATTAAGTTTAAATTTTTATATAATTTTTTAATAATCATTTTGAATAATTTAACTGTTTAAAGTATTAATGTTTAATGTGAATTTTAATATAAATGACAGAATCTATACAGATTTATTTGAATTTAATTATCTATTTTCTTTCGCTAAAAACAAATAAAATAAGTTATATATTTTTAATAATAATAATAATAATAATAATAGGGCTCGGACCAGTGAAAGTATTTAAAAATACTCGGAGTGATCGATTTCTTCATGTTTTATAATATTTATAATATAAATCGATTATTTTAAATAATTTTCGAAAAAGTTCTTTAACAATTTTCAAATCCATTTCTTTAAAATATTCAATTTTACGGAATTTCAATTATTCGTAAATTCTTCAATTAAATAAATATTAGAAAATAAAAACTTGAAATAACATTAAAAAAGTTCAATTAAACTTTTTCAACAAAATTAATTTCAAAATTCAATTATTTTTAAAAATTCACGCTATATTGCTTTTAATATTCAATTATTATCTAAAATTATAACTGAAATTCATTTCTATGAAATGAAAATCAATTTTAACAAAATTTTTAAAAATAATTAAAATTCTGCGTTGAGTTTTATTATTTATGAAAAAAATTGAATTCCTAGAAAGAATTTTATTATTTATGAAAATAATTTAATCTCTCAGAAGAATTTAAATTTTTTTGGAAATAAATGAAATTTGCAAACAATTTTTTACAAAATTCTTAAAATTAATTGTATCTTGACAAGAATTTTAAAACAATTTCTGAAAATAATTGAATTTTGTATACAAGAATTTCATTACTTTTAAAAATAATTGAATTATTGTGATAAATATTTGTTATATTTATGAAAATATTTAAATTCAGCAAAGAATTTTATTAAAACTCCTGAAAATAATTGAATTTCTTGTGAAGAATTCTTATATTTATCGAGATAATTGAATTCTTTCGAAAAATTTTCCAAAGATTTGAATTTGAAAAGTTTACAAAATTCAATTATTTTTGAAAATCTCAAAACGTTCATTTTATAATGCTTTTAATATTTTAATAAAATTTTTAAGAATAATTACATTTTTCGAGAAATTCCATTAAAATTGTATTAAAAATAATTGAAATTCTGCAATAAGTTTTATTATTTATATGAAAATAATTGAATTCCTAAAAAGAATTGTATTATTTACGAAAATAATTGAATCCCCGTAAAAATTTTATTATTTATGAAAATAATTGAATGATTGCGAAGAAATTTATAAAAAAAATTTGTAAATAATGAAATTCCTGTAAAGTATTTATTATTTTTTGAAAATAATTAATAGTTTGTGTAGAATTTTATTAAATTTTTTTTTAAATAATTGAATTCTTTTGGAAAATTTTATGAAAATAGTAGATATTGAAAATCATTGAATTGAGGAAAATTTTGGGAAATAATTGAATTTCGGAGAGAAATTTAATTATTTCTAAAGATAATTGAAACTTTGATGAGAATTTTAAAAAAAAATTTGAACATATAATTGAATATCTGCGAAGAATTTTATTATTTTTGAAAATAATTGAATTTCTGCAATCATTTGTAATTTATCAAAAATTCTCCAAATTATATCGTATACAATTTATGAACTTTTTATCCTTTTTGAATCAAATTACGGACTTTACGGACCTTTTTGAATTAAATTACGGATTTTACGGACCTTTTTTAAAAAAAAAACGGACTTTTCCGGGATTTACGAACCTAGTTCGAGCCTTGTAATAATAATAATAATAACTATAATAATTCTTTATGATTTAAAAGAAGACATGAATATTTATATCTAAATGTATTTAAAAGCTAATATTGTAAATGAATATAATTATTAATAATAATTTGTTAATAATTTTTAAAAGCTCATACAGAAAATCAATTTTTACACATAAATATTGAAACTTTTAAATTCATTGACGGTCACATAGCTCAAGATCTTTTACTAAGCTTATTTTAAACTTTCAATGGAACATTTAGAAGCACTTTGATTTAGATTTGGAGAAAGGGTGAGCTTAAAATAGAAAATAGAATTATTGATAAATTGTCTATTATTTTTCGGTGAATGCTTGAGGTGAGGTCTTGTACTATGTGTGTCCAAGATGAGGTTATCCTTAATAATTGTCCGAGTTTTTTTGTACTTGACAAATTCAATGACCAAACACTTGTAAAGAAGAACTGAGCTCAAAAATGCCTTTTATAACTATTGTTTCTTTCACATTATGTACTTATTTTTCGTGAGTATGTATATGTATATATAAATAATACTTTTTCAACAACCGCTTTCTGCGAAATATCTAATATAAATAATAATGTACACATATAATTGAACTGCATATTAATAATTGGCGTCTTCAACGCGTTAATATAGATAATACTATATAGAAAATAAATAAATGCGACTGTAAACTGTAACACGACTTGTTTGTAATTTAGAATATGAACGAGCATTAAGCAAAAAGTACTGTTTTATATACATTGGGATAAATAAGAAGTATATTTTTATTGGTCCTTTGGACAGTTTTGATCAGGGTTTATTATAATAAATTATAATTACGTATACATATTATAATATACGTATATACATAAATATAAGCATTTAAACGTTTACATACATATGTATACATATTAGAGCTGTATCCGATAAAAAATCGAAAATTATTCGACTCTGCAATATACATCAAATTATAGATACATGCTTAAAAGTAATTTTTATTGTAGACAGAAAATATAGAATATAGAGTTCTTAAAAGTTTCAGAAGAAATAATAATAATAACAAGAAGTACATTTGCAGCACATTATTTTTAAATGATGTCATATTGAATAATTTTTTTTTTTTTACCTTTTTCATGAGAATTTTTTCATTTCTTTTTTATGTTTATAATAAACAAATAAATGTTGTTCTTTAATTATATTATATTCGTCTAGAAATTATATAAAGTTTTTAAGGCTGGAAAAGCATTTTTTTCTATGCTACAACTTATTCAACATAATTATATGAATGATTAAAGAAATTTCTTACTTTGTAATTTTGCCTACGTGACAATGTTATTGTTATTTTTTGAGATACTAATGAATATACTAACATTTTTACAACAGGCACAAAAATGTTTTCTTTATATTTTACTGTAAATCATTATGAATTCAGCAAAAGAAATAAAAGCGCGTGCAAATTAATATTCACTATCTATTATAATATTTTGTCAGCACAGACTTTTACTTTTTTGGCTTTTTAAATGTTTTTTTTCTGTTGTCTATATTTATGCTTGTCTTTTTTAATACAAAGTGCACCAAGACTATCGCTTTTAATATAATAATTATTTAATTATAAAAATTAAACTCGTACTTGATGATAAAAAAACACTATATTGTTCTCGCACTGTAATGACAATATGATTTAAGCCGTTAAAATCTTTGCCATATTAATTTTCAACTTATTTCAGTTTCGAATAGAATCATTAAAAATTAATTTTTATATTAATAATATATTATTTTCTTTCTCATATTAATTTTCAGTTTTATAAAGTGTGGTTATAAGTAGTACGGTTTTCTTTTATTTATATTTTTCCATAATGGATATTAAATGGCGAATTTGTTCAAATGTCAAATTACGACTTGAAAAGAGAAACGCAGCAAAAAAATAAGAAAATGTAATGAGTAATTGCTTAATTTTCCAAGTATATGGAAATTTATATAAAATAAAAAATTCAAAAATTTATTATTGATAAATAATAAAATAAAGTCGAAATAGTGAATAGATATGTAGGTACAGTGGAGAGGCATTGCCTTGATTAGGCGAATGTAGAATATAATCACTTTTCAGCACACCACTTTGAGATACATCATAAATTTATTTGGAGTCCACGACAGAGTCTCGGATCACCCAGATTGACATTCAGATTTGCCCTAGATATCCAATGATCAACAAGCTTTGTCAAATAAAACTACCTTTTTTTTTGCTTTCTCAACTTAGTGAATTCTTTATTATTTGAATAACATCATATACTATTGAGTAAGTAAGTTAGTTAGTTGTAGATTATTTTACCAATATATTATTATTATATTATATAAATTATATTAATTTGAAGCATTGTTTTTTAATCTTTAAAATAACTAATGTAATTTCCACATTTTTTTCAATATAAACATGTAACTATTTCTTGTGTGTAAAATATGATTAGAAAATTTCTGCTTCTTTCGTTATCAAACTTGCAATCATAAAACTTTATAAAATTTTTTTTTAGTGAAAAACAGTCTTGAAATTATTTAATTATTTTCCTTTTTAATAACAATTAAAGCCTCTTATATTTGTAAAGATTAATATTAAAAATTTTAGAATAAGTTATAAATAATTTTGAATCTGTCTGTTAAATTTTCTTTTAATTATTTTTCGACAATTTTAGAAAAAGATCTTTTTATAGTGTTTGAAAGTTGAGAAAACAGTTTATTGGTAATGAACATATAAGTAAAATAAATTAAACAGTTTATAGGTAATGAACGTATGAGTAAAATAAATTTTGTGTAATTTTGTGATAAATATTATGCTATAGAACTTGAAAAAATGAAGGCGCAATGTATAAATGTATATGACCTAGACTGTGCAGAATATTATTAAGGTTAATAAATGTGTGGGAGTAACGTATTATTTTGAATTATGTACTCGATCTTTCGTCTTGTTTCACGGTCACTAAATATTCTCAACAAACTGTCACTGTCCATTTGTTTATATTTTATTTAATTATTTAGTTTAATATTTACACAAAAAAAATGTATGCATTTATTATTTTTAATTGTATAATATAGAAGCGATGAGGAGTGGAGATCAATTAAGTCAAATTAGTGACGAGGACTATTATGCAAGTGGCATTTGTCCCTCCTGTAGATTGGATATCAACAAGGACACGGGCAGATTGAAGTACGTACCTAATTTAAAGTAACAACTTTTTTTTTAAATAGATATTTATTTAGGGTTGCCACGCAACCTGGGAAACTGGAAAAGCTGGAATTTTTTCAAAAATTATTAAAAACAATTAATTTGAAGTAGAATTTTTTACAAAACATGAAGAAATGGATGACTCCGAGTCGAAGACTCGGAGTAATCTATTTCTTCATGTTTTGTAATAATATTCTTCTAAGTTGTTGAATTTTAACAGAGGTTTGAATTTTTAATAGAATGCTTTGAAGAATATTAATTTCTACGGAAAAATAATAATTTTTAAATATTTATTTAAAAGTAAGACCTTTTTTTTAATAAATACCTGTATTCTATTCATTCTATTGTTAGGTGGTGTGTAGGAAGGAATAAATTTTGGCGTGCTTGGATAAGATGTATGCTTCTCATACCAGCAGTAATTTTACCAATAGTTATCATTTTTATTGCTCTTTCTCGATCGACAGTGGTTGGTACCCTTTCAATTCATCAACCAACTGACAAAAGTACGTAAATAATGTTGAGATGCGCGCACTTTATTAATTTTAAGTTAGAAAAATAATCGGTGGAATTTCACTGATTCAGATATTTAGAAAAGTGGTTTTAAATCTACAACTGTGAAGACTATTCTCTTCAATCTCCTCAAGAGATTGGAATCATTGCATAAAAGTATACCTTCCTTCACCAATATAATTTGAAAAATAAAAATTTTGCATATTATAAATGTAGTAATAAATAATTTCAGCAAAATTAACAAGCCAGCATTTAGAGCACTTGTCAATAGAAGAGGATCGAGTTTCTTTCGCCTCAACAAATTCATTAAAGACTAAATACATGCAACGAAATAAAAGAGAAATAAATCAGGTATACATTCATATACGTGTCTTTTGATGATTATTAAGAGGCAAATTTAATTTATAAATACATTTACTGTTGATAAAAAAAAGCCGAAAATGCTATGGTATCTACCATAGAAAAATAGGCACAAGAATGAAAATTATTGTAATATTATTATTACAATTATTACTTATTGCATTTTAGATATATAATGCGCAACAATTCATATTTTTCAAATTTTATATTTTAATTTCAAAAGTTGACGAGATTAATATAATTATCTAAATTATGCATTTCGCGTTTCAATGTTATTATGAACAATTGGTTCGTTCTTGCGTCAGAAGATTTCGATTATAAATTAAAACACTCGAGTTGACCCCGCTGTCGTTTATAATAAACTACAGTACTTAATATAATAAAATTCAATTCTCTTCATCTAATGACATAATTTTTTCAAAATTCTAACTTTGTAGGCAATTTTGAATCTCATTTTCAACGCAAAAAAGATTTTTTTTAAATTTGCAGCCCCGTACACAACAAAATAAATAGTATGTAGTTTTATATCTAAATGTTTGAAAAGAGGAAATTTCGTGTTGTTGGTGATTTCCGGCTTTTTGCACGTTATAGAGCAAACGAGCTCATCAACTTAGAGGCAACAATACGTAATTTGCCAAAATCACAGATGCACTGGCAATTGTTGGATTCAATCATCAGTGATGAAAAGGAACGACTACATAAACCAATTGAGATGAAAAGCGAAAATAATAAAAACGATGATTATGATGATGACGACGATGATGATAATGATGATGATTCTTGGGCGCACAGATTGAAGGACAAAACAGTGACATTTTGGAATAGTAAAGAAACATCTGATGATAGGATTCGAAAAACGCAAGGTATGTAAAATAATTTTACGGATTTCTGTTACAATAAATAATAAATTCTTATTCATAGCTAAGATAATGATGACATACATGGACAAAACTGCAAATCCTTGCGACGATTTCTATCAATATGCCTGTGGTAATTGGTCAAAACACAATCCAATTCCAAAAGATAAAGCTGGATATGATACTTTTGAAATATTACGAGAATCCTTGGATGTAGTCTTGAAAAACTTATTGGAAGAGCCGGAAAATTCTGAAAATTCTGAAAATTCCGAAAATTCTGACGATGCCGTCGTTAAAGCTAAAAATCTTTTTCAAAGTTGCATGAATAACGGTAATTTTAAATAACGCCTTTTTTCATTAAATCAAAGAAATATTATTTACTTAGTACGGAACTTGACTGTTATTTTGTTACAACTTAGAAATTTTAGAGAAGAGACTGGAGAAACCATTACTTGAAATTTTAGACGAGTTGGGTGGTTGGCCAATGTTGAGTCCCAATTGGAATGCCAAAGACTTTGACTGGCTCCTCTTAACAGCACAATTACGCTTGTACAATAACGATATTCTCATTTCATATTGGGTGGGGCCTGACATAAAAGATAGCGATCAATACATTATACAAGTGAGATTATATGAATAAAATATATATTATTTGTAAAGTTTATGACTGAAATTGGTACATAAATTATGTTAAAACTTGAATTGTTCAGTTTGATCAAACATCTTTGGGTTTGCCGACAAGAGATTACTTTTTGCAACCTTCAAATGCAATATATCTAAATGCATATAAAACGTACATGGTTAAAATTGCCACTTTATTAGGATCATTAAACGATACACAAAATCAAGTGGAAGAATTGATTGAGTTTGAAAGAAAACTTGCAAAAGTACGTATTAAATCGTAAAATGAAAAACAACTACATTTAATTAATTTCTTAAAAATATTTAGATCACTACTTCACCAGATGAAAGAAAGGACGTTTCTGATCTCTACAAAAAAATGAGTATTGGCGAACTGAAAATAATTATTCCACAGATAGACTGGCATAAATATTTATCCATTGTTTTAACTCGCCCGGCACGAATGTCCGAACCAGTCGTTATATTTGCTCTACAATATATGCAGAATTTAATTCACCTTCTCTCGAAGACTACATCAAGGTACAAATTTTCTCTCTCTCTCTCTCCTTTTTCAAATTTTAACTTAATTTGAAAAACAATTTCTACAGGACAATTTCGAATTATCTTCTGTGGCGGTTCGTCAGACACAGAGTCAATAATCTAGATGATCGTTTTCAAGAAGCTAAACAAAGATTTTATAAAATTCTCTTTGGACGAGAACAATCTCCGCCCAGATGGAAGAATTGTGTAGCTCAAGTAAATTCAAATATGGGAATGGTTGTGGGCTCAATGTTTGTAAAAAATTACTTTAACGAGAACAGTAAAAATGATGTAAGTATATATTGAATATAAATAAATATCGAATGCACTAATTAATAATTTTTCATTTCAAGACTCTTTCGATGACACGAGAAATTCAAAACTCCTTCAATGAATTATTAAACAAAACTATTTGGATAGACAGTCGTACAAAGGAAATTGCAAGTAAAAAAGTTGAAGCAATGCTCTTACGAATCGGATATCCTGATTTTATTTTAGAACCAGAATTATTAAACGAACGTTATAAGAATGTAAGTTTTTTTTTAATTTTTAAGAAAGCTTTCAAGTTTAGAATTGTTGTTTAAAAAAACTACATCGTATATATTTATTTCATTAAAAATTTCAGGTCACAATTGAACCAGAAAAATATTTTGAAAACGTACTCAATATTTTACGACATTTGACAAAAATTGAACAGAATCGGCTTGGAAGTCATGTTAATAAAACCATTTGGACTACTGCTCCAGCCATAGTAAATGCATATTACAGCAGAAATAAAAATCAAATAAGTGAGTTTATTTTTGAAACATAATAAATAAACTGAAAGTCATATCAAAATTCTTTTTTTAAATTTTTCGAATTGGAATTTAGTATTTCCTGCAGGAATTCTACAACCACCATTTTATCACGCATATTTTCCCAGAAGTCTAAATTATGGAGGAATCGGAGTTGTCATTGGTCACGAAATAACACACGGCTTTGATGACAAAGGTCGGTTATTTAATAAAGATGGAAATTTGCAAAGATGGTGGAAAGACAAAGCAATTAGAGAATTTCATCGGAGAGCGCAATGTCTGATTGGTGAGATTATTCAAATTAATAATCAATTATATACGAATGATGTTTTCAATTTCAATATTTCAGATCAGTACAGTAAATATAAAGTAACAGAAGTTAATATGGAAATTGATGGAATTAACACTCAAGGAGAAAACATTGCCGACAATGGTGGAATTAAGCAAGCTTTCAGGGTTAGTTTATTTTTTCTTATAAATATTCTCCGATACTTTACATTTTAGATCTTTATTTAGGAATATTTAATACCATTTGCAATTTAAATGACCTTTTAAGACATTTTCAAATGCAAAAGAAAAAGATACTGATGAAAATGAAATTTATATCTTTTTTAGGCTTATGAAAAGTGGTTAAAAATAAATGGAGATGAGAAAGAAAATCTTCCAGGTATCAATGCAACAGGGAAACAATTATTTTTCTTAAATTTTGCTCAAATGTGGTGCGGTTCAATGAGACCAGAAGCAACAAAAAATAAATTGAAAACCGCTGTACATTCACCGGGTAAATTTCGAGTAATAGGCACACTGTCCAACACCAAAGATTTTGCACATGTTTTTAATTGCCCTCTTGGATCGCCAATGAATCCAAGAAAAAAGTGTTCAGTGTGGTAAATTGAGCAAATCAAAAAATTAAAACATAACATTTTTTTATTTTTACCTGCTTACAAAAGCTGTTTCTTCACAAATAAAACCACTTGATATAATACAATTGGAAATAGAAACGAATAATAGTAGATTAAAATAAAACTGATCTTTTTAAAATTCCAATAATTATTTACTCTGAAAATAGTTTCTTCTTAACGGTAAGAATATATTTTTCAAAATATATATTATATATTTAGTTTTCTATTATACATAATTTATATGTAAGAAAAATAAATTTTAAAGCTTTGATTCAGTTAACCAATTAAATTTTTGTTCTTTTCTGTCAGCCTGAGGATTAATCATAATATTGATTAATGATGGTTCATTTTTAAGCTGAAATTAAATAAAATCTCTGTACAGAATGTGGCTTGTTTGTTAAACTATACTATAGTAAAGAAAAATTTTTTTACTCACTTGTAATGCATAATTCAAAGATTTCTGAATCTGTTCAACTGTAGTGCAGTAGTGACCCTGTTTCCCAAACATTTCCATTATTTTCTCGTAATGCACTTCGCAAGTCAATGCGAACGGTGGAATTCTACGAATTATTAAAACAAACATTAAATTCAATTACCATACAAATTTATTAATTTATGTAATTAAAATCAATTGTAGGGGCCATACACTTGTGTCGGTGCTCCACTTTGCTGAATTTGACGGAAAGTTTCAGTGTCCAATCCACCGTAAATTCCATTATTATTTATCACAATAATGATAATTGGCAGTTTATATCTGAAAATTTGCAGTAGAAAAATTACTGTATAATTTTTTTCACTCGATTGAGAATTGTAATTAATATAGGTGAGAAAATCATTTAAGCGTTAAATCAACGTATTAAATAAATAATTATCATTTTCCAAAATGTACCTATACATAGTCTCTACCTCCATACCAGAAAAACCAAAAGCACTATCTCCTTCAATGCAAATAACTTTCTTATGAGGAGCACTGTCTTTGCAATAAAGAGCAGCAGCTATTGCGTAACCTAGACCAACTCCCATAGTGCCAAAAGTTCCAGCATCTAATCTGTGCCTTGGTAAATTATTGAGCAGCATTGTTCGACCGATGTCCATGGTATTGGCCCCCTCTGAACAAATTATACTATCTGCAAATACAATATAATTATTAAATTAAATTTTCATAAAATAGAAAATATAATCAAGTATTAATAAGTTAATTAATTATTAATAAGTACCTTTCGGCAGCATATTTTGAATTTCTCTGAAGACTGTATAATAGTTCAAGGGTACCGAAGTGTCCAAAGATAATTTCTAAACAAATACGGAGTATAAAAATACCTTTTCAACAGTTATGAAAAAACATTTTCTATCAAAATTTTACTCACGTGAATAACTTCTCGATTTTTTTCACTAAACAAAATAAGTTTCCTCCACCAAGGATTGCTCTTACTCATACAATAATTTTTTCTCTTAAGTAGACTGGTAAGCTCTTTGACAGCTGGAATAATATCAGATTGAATAGCCACACTTCCTGGAACTGAATTATGTAATTCTTCTGCGCAAATATCTATCTGTAAATCAAGTAACAAACTTTAAAAATTATTATTCGTATGTTCATTCTCCAATTTTTGAGTAAGATTTTCTGTAAAACTATACTGTTTTGCAACCTGAATAATTTGAACATCACTTTGAAACCTTGGTGGACGACCAAAGTGTAACATCCAATTCAATCTAGCACCCAACAGCAATATCACATCACAATTTTGTAAAACAGCTGTCCTGGCACTTGATACACAATGTATGTCTTCGTCTGGTACGACTCCCTTACCCATTGGAGTAGGGAGAAATGGTAAACCAGTTGAGGAAATTAATTCCTGTATCTGCTTTTCGGAATGGCTATAAGCAGCTCCTGAATAATTATAATAATTATAATAATTCAGCAGCAAATTTAAAAATGAAAAATCCTAAAAACAGTATCAAACTGACATTCTTTCTTCAATGAAAATAAAAGAATTACGCACCTTTGCCGATTATTACTAGAGGTTTTCTAGCAGCAATAATTAAAGCAGCAGCTTTCTCAATTAATTCGAATTGAGGATAAATAAGAGGAGGTGGTGGGCACTGTGGAATTTTCATGATACTCTGCTCATTAACTTTCTGTTGAAGTAGAGTGGCAGGTAAGTCGATATATGCCGCACCTTTTAAAATATAGAATAAAATATAGAAATGTAACGTTAATTTTCGCATTGCACAAGAATTTAATCACCAACCTGGTCTACCATACGTTGCAAGTCTCACTGCCTTTTCAACATGTGAGGGTATTAAATTTGCAGTTGGAGGTCGTGCTGCGTATTTACAATAGAGACGACATGCTTCAACTTGCGGGCATTCTTGAAATCCACCAATTCCTTCATGATCAGTTGGGCACGATCCGCCCAACACTAAAAGTGGCCTAATTGTTCAAGCAAAGAATTAAGAGGAAAAAAAAACAATTAAGAACTATACAAACACTATAGAACACTACAATTCATTTGAAAACATACCAACAGTTAATTTGTGCATTCGCCATACCACCAATAACATGTAGTAGTCCAGGTCCCGACACGCATAAAACAGCCGCTGGTTTCCCTTTTAAGCAAAACAAAAAAGAATGTAAATGCATTCTAAAATAATTGTTTTGGATCTAGTCTTCTTGTTTTGGATGAAAATAATGTTTATTACTTGTCAAATAGCCATATGCCTGAGCGGCATAACACGCTGCTTGTTCATTCCTGAAACCTAAATACTCAATACCCACTGACTGTATGTTTAAAGCCAGTTCAATTACCGGATGACCCATTATACCGAAAACGTATTTTATTCCCTAAAATTAAAAAGAAATTCAAAACCATAAGCAAAATAGAATCGTCTTTTATATAGTAGTGGACAAAAAATATTTACCTGTTCCTTTAGAGATTCAGCCATTATTAGATTGCCATTTTTTTCCGTCATATTGTCAGTCTATTGTTTATTCCAAGGTTCGAAATCGAGTCAGATGATAATATCTAATATTCTAATGTGAAAAGAATGAAACGTTACAATATGCAATAAGTATATTGACAACATTCATGCGTAACTTTGTATCCGAACTTTGAACTTTGCATTTGATTATTAATTCTCTGTTATATAAAAATATAATCTATGTAATCTTAAATAAATAAAAATTATGTTTAGAAAAGGTATATAATTTTGAAAAATACTTACTTTATGTAAAAATAGTTTTAAATTATGTATTCCTCTTTTAATATTATGCTTATTATAAAGAATTTAAAAAAGAGTTGACATTTAGAGAACAAATCTTAAACAAATATGATATAATTAAAAAAAAATATTATTGTCTATAATTATAATATTTATAGCTACAAATAAATACCTGAATATTAACGTTACTAAGGCAGATTTTTTTTCACTGTATATTATATTTAGAAAAGCTGTTTTTACGTGAATACGTATATTTATTATATTGTATATAATATAATTGCTTTCTTTAAGCTTGCAAGTATACCTATAGTGTTGTCGGCACAACAACAATAACAACGTCACCATATTTTTTAAACCATATTCGATATTATGGCGCACTCACACCTTTGGTTGCTGCCTGCCTGCAGGTTGTCATGGTAATTACATAAGAGTAAGAGAGTTAGACAATTCAAACTATATGTTTTCTCTCCCTTACTCTAGTTGCTCCACCAAAGCTGTGAGTGCGCCTTTAATCGATATATCAATTGTCTCGTCGTTTGAGTGCGCGGTGAAAATAATTTAAATACAATATAATTAAAGAAAATTCCCTTATGGAGCTCTCACAGCTCTGCCTGCCTGCGCAGGCAGTAATTGGAGTAAGAGAGAAAATCAATTAGAGTGAAAGAGACAGTAAATTCAAATTTGTATGCTGCCTACTAGCTGTGAGAGCGCCTTTACATTTCATTTACCTAATAGAATTTTTAATGTTAAATTGAAAAGAGAATTTCTTTCCATAAATGTGTAATTTGATAAAAATAAATTAGATAAATAGGACATAAGATTTTTTGTTTTTTTTATCTTTTGATCGAATTTATTTTTATCAAATTACACATTTGAGATTTTTAACGAACTTTTCATTATTTTTGAATCAAATTGCGGACTTTACGGACCTTTTTTAAAAAAACGGACTTTTACAGCCTTTAAGCAAAGTTAAGGACTTTTACGGGATTTACAAACCTAGTTCGAGCCCTAATAACAGTTTCGAAATAGACATTTTTTTATTTATTTTATCAGCATAAGTAATGTAAAAAATTTTTCTCTTTTTACTGACTTATTGCAATTGAAATTCATTAAAGTATGTTATGTATAAGCAATGTTGGAAAAAAAAGGTTTTAAATTTGTTAAAATAAAAAAAAGTTGACTTGAGAATTCTTAATTTATTTAAAATTTGAAAGCTAGAAATAATGCAAATAATGTTGTACCGAAATTATAATGATAAAAATGATTATAATTTTTAATAAAAAAAAAAAAGAATTTTTCAAATTGTCAACTACAAATAAGGCAAGGTTGTAAAATTATTATTTGCGATACAAAAGAATACTCTTGGCACATTTCATTCCTACTAGAGCTGCATATTCTGAAATCTCATGTTCATCTCGACATCTAGGCAACATTGTTCTATACGTTTTGTACAACATAGCTTGCTCTCGATACAGAAGTAGAACCTAAAAAAATGTTGACATTTGCACGACTATCCGCAATTAATTTATCGAGGAGTGAATAAAAAATCAGTTTACTTTACCTCGTCTATGTTTACAATACCATTTTCATCAATTGCCTTTAAATCCTCATTCAGTCGACTGTACTTATTGACATTCAATTTCAATAGACACTTTTCAATGTCACACCACACGTAAGTTTCCGGACACAAAAGTTTCGATGGAACCATTTTCGACTTGTATCTCATTTTCGGGCAAATGTGTATGTAAAATCCCATGTAATAATATTTGAGATTCGGCACGGTTTCATTCAACTGTCTGGTTAAGAAAATCTCACGCAATGAGCTGAAATAAATTTCATGATTTAAAATTGCAAATATTGTTAAATTGCAAACAATATCTGTAAATTAATACCTGAAAGTTCCTAGAGAAAGATGAGAGTAGGCGGGATCGTAATAGAAATACACACTAGAGACACAAGCAGGTAAAATGTCTATTACACCGACGGCAATTAACTTTCCATTTAACCAATACTGATCATGAAAGGAGCCATACCCTTGAAGTGGACCATTTTCTGGACGCCATTCCTTAAAAATTGCTTCATTATAACCACTTTATCAGTTGTTGCTAAAAGAAATTTATCTAAAGAAAAAATAATAATTATACCTGTAAAGAATTCTTGCCGAGAAATTTATAAAATGACGATTTATCACAGTCTTCTGGATCATCCTTATGAATTGTCATTTGATATTTTTTGTAAAGATTTGCACTTTCATCGAGAGTTTTAAGAAATTCGTCCGACATTACTCGAATTAATTTTAACTGTCAAATACATTTTTCTAGTCAGTAAAATAAATAGAATAAAGTGTATGTCTATTAATGACAAATCTTATACAGAAATAGCTTTTTTTTGTACCTAATAATGAGAAAATCGAAAAAACTGACTCTTTTATAAAGTTGTTTTTTCGACTCGTTCAATTTTTTTACATTTTTTTATTATATATATATGCGTTATGATTACCTCCAATTTGTTCATTTCGCTATTTAATTCACTGAAAAACTGTTCCAAAGTTTTACTGGAATTTTGTTGCTGTTTCGACTCGGATAATATAGTTTGAATTTCAGATGTCGATTTTCCTTGCGATAGTAATTTATTTTGTTTTCTTTCTAAGCGTAAAATTTTTGCTTTTTTTTGTGGATTATGTTCAAGTTTTGTTTTATTTGCTTTGACATCTTTATCGGCTAATAATTTACTGCCTGAGCTTGATGCAATACTGTCTTTTACCTCTTTTTTCTCTATGCTAAAAGAATTCTTACTTGATTCTGATGGCAATGAATTTTTATTAATTTCACAAGGTGCAATGATTTTACTTATTTTACATATTTTAGAGTCCTCTATTGTTGCATGAGGAATTTTGGCTGTAAATATATTCGTGAATAAAATTTTTATAAGAAATATATTGCGGTAAAAAATAAAGGTTCAATTATTAATTATAACTTACATAATTTATCGTGATGAATGTCTGTATTTGTATGAGACATTTTTTCCTCTTTGCTTAATTTATTCTTTAGAAAATTTGACATTCTATTAAGTATTTTCTTTTGGGACTTGGAAATTTTGAAGTTTAATGCATCACATCTGTTAATAAGTTTTTTTTCTTTTAATATGTTTAATATTTTAAATAAAATATACACTCTACCTTATCGTATACGCTGGGCAACAAATTTTGTCCATTACTGGTTTATAGCAATAACTTCCACTTCTTCTCCAACCTCTGTCAATTAAATTCTGATAGTCTTGTACAGTTAATGTATGAGCCCACATTCCTGCAGCAAAATTCAATAATATAAATTTTTCCTTGAAAATAAAAATATAATAGAAATTAACAGTTTCAGGTTATGTTTGTAATTTTTCAAATAGAAATACAAAAAGCAAATCAACTATTAATGCAAACCATTGGCGTTTAAACACTGTATTAGATCGAAAATAATCAATAAAAACTTGATTCGAGTTTACATAATATTAAAATGAAAATTTTAATCTATAAACTATATCATAAACATAACCTAGAATTAGTTTGCTTCTTAAGTTGCGCTTTTCTTCAGAGAACTTGTCGTCACATGCATATAGAAAGAAACAATTTCCAAAACATACCGTGACTGAAGTTACTATTTGGATTCTTACAATAACCACATCTGTAATCAGTTTGTTCAGAGTGGTATTTCACAATACTACAAGATATTGATGCCATGATAGTCGCCAATTTAATCACCAATTATTTATGTTTTTCACAGAGTCGCTATTATTATTTATATTATATACAAAAAATACAGAACAATTACATACGATTGGCACATGGCTCAAAATGACAATCAGGCCAAATCAGGCTAGTGACTGAGGTTTAATCCACAATAGAAACATATATTTTTTAATCAATGCTAAAGGTGCTTCACCTCCGGTGTTTTGGTCAAGTTTCTAATTTTCAAGAGTAAAGGTGACTTCACACGGGAACAGAAGCATAGTGCTTTCTGCTTTGACACATATTATTGCAGAATCACCTTATTATTTAAATAAATCAACCTCCTGTCAATTTGAATTATTTAAATATTTAAAAAATAAGCTAAATATAATTATTGAAAAAAGTCTTTCATTTTACATTTAGTATATGTATTAAAGGAGCATTAAGATTTTTAGATAAAATAAAACTTATCCTGTTAATATAAAATATAAAAAATTTACTCAAATTATTAATTTATTAATTTATAAAATGTATAAAATATATAAAATATATAAAATATTCATCAGGTTAGAAAGCATTGAGAAAATAAATGTCTAATAGTTGGTCGACCATGAGGACAATTCCAAGGATTCTTCATCGTTGACATTTGAGTTACAATTTTATGCATTTCAATTGGATTTAAAGTTTTTCCAATCATAACTGCGCTGCGACATGCTCTTGAAGCAAGCATTTGTTTTATTCTACTTGGTCGTGGTATTCGAAAAATTCCACTATCTCCAAGACCATCTTCTTTAATAAGAAAAATTAATTCCTCGATGTCCTGTTCATCAAATTGCCATCCACCACTTACAGGCATTCCAATTAATTTTACTCGATGACCTTGACTTGCTGATTATTTTCAGTTCAATGGAATTAAACATAGAAATGAAAATTTATTCTTTTTTACATGACACTTGCAGATAATTCTGATAAGTTTAATTTTAAGTTTTCAAATATTAACTTAAATTCGGCTCTTCTTATAAACTCGGTAAAATTATATAAAGTAAAATCTTATCAGAATTATGAGTCAAGATGGTTTAAAGTGTATTAAAAATATAAATGCATTTACCTTCACGATTTATTGCAAATGAAAATCCATTATCTTCAAATATAGTTTGATTGTCAATTAAAATTGTTTCATTAAGAGTAGAAAGATTCAAAAGTTTTGGAACAATTAATAATTGAGTTTTTAATTTAGTTTCGTTGTTTAGTTTTTCGAATCGAAATTTTTCATCACTAGCATGCTGGTCAATGATAAATAAATCGCTGTCGAGCTTAGTCACTATGAAACCTAAATTGAACTGTCCTATAATTTGCATCTGAAATTAATGAAAATTAATTAATTAAAAATTAATGAAATAAAAACTTAATAATAATGGTACATAATTTAATAATTACATTTTTAAAAGAATCTTTAGTTAGTTCTTTCTCAAGCTCCTTTTCAGCATCTTCATTTTTTTGGCTCAGTTGTATTTTATATTTCATTCTTTTTAATTTCGTCTCATCTGGTTCTTTTTGTTCTTTTTGCGTTTGTAATTTATTACGAATTCTTTCTAAGGTGGTTTCCATTTTCATGATAGTTGAATCTCTAACTACCATTAACTCCAACTCTTTTAAATTGATTACTTTTTTCTTTTCTTTTGATGGATTTTGAAATTGTTCAAATTGTTCATTTTCATTATTCTGATCATTTATATCTTTGCTCTCTTTTTTTAAATTCGAAAACTGGTGTCTTTTTGGTGAGGGAAAAGAATCGTTGACAGGAGAAATATTCCTCTTACTTCTTCCTTTCTTAATTGAATTATAATCAGTTGACAATGAAAATATTTGTTGAGAACTTTCCCATTCCCGTTGCAAATTAGTTTTGAGTGTCGCGAGAATCAATTGTTCTTGAGTGAAAAATATTTTTCTCTTATCAGGTGTAACATTGACATCAGCACAATCTTGTTTGAGTTTCAAATTCAAGAAAACAAAAGGATACTGTTTATTATTATATTTATGATATGTGTGATTGATGAGCCTGCTGATTTTCGTAAGATCACAAGGTCGACCATTTACATAAAAAAACTGTCGATCAGGACAAGAACGTCCTACATTGTGATTGGAATTACTCACGTAACACTCCCATGTGAAATCAATCGGGATATTCAAAGGCAATTTATATTCCTCTAAAATTTCTTCATTTGGAAATTCCATGACGATTTCCTTTAAACCATCAATGGCTTTAACGCCAAATACCGATTTGACGTTCTCGAGAACTTTACTTGCTTTATTTGTAGAGACAATGAGAATTGGAGGTTTGTTTCCGATAGAATTCGTGCACTTTATTTTAACACCAACCGAAACTAGACAATAGCCATACAAAACCTGAACAACACGGGAAAATTCCTTTTTTATATTCCTTTCGAATTCCTTTAATCGAACTGGTAGTGTTTTAAAAATATTTTTCACATGAACTGTTGTTCCTTGCTTATGAGGACTTTCTTCTTTACTCGTTAATTTTCCATTTTTATCGAATGTCAGTGTAAAAGTGTGCTCGCAAGTTGAATGTTTGGTGATAATTGTAACATCTCCAAGAGCGCATAATGAGCTCAATGCTTCGCCTCGAAAACCAAATGTGTCAATACTGGTAAGGTCTGAAAAATCTTTCAATTTCGATGTGTGATGCTTGAGACCTGAAAAATTATTATTTTATTAAAAGAAATATTAAGTGATATATAATTAGAAAGGTTAATAATAATTACACAACTCCTCAAAGTCGCATTCTAAAATTCCAGATCCATCGTCACATATTGTAATACATGATTTCCCATAATCTATGAGTTTAACTTCAATAGTTGTAGCACCACTGTCCAAACTATTTTCCACTAATTCTTTTACGGCAATTGCAAGATCAAAAACCACCTGCAAAAACAAGTTCACGAAAGAAGTCAATTATTTTCTAAAATATTAATAAATCCTTCTAATTCAATTATTTTCTTAAATAGTAAAATCTTTACAAAAATTTAATTATTTTCAAAAACAATTTTAATTAAATTCCTCGGAAAAATTCAAATTTTTAAATATTAACAAAAAATTCATTTAATTCTTCGGAACAATTCAATTATTTTTATAAATAGTAAAAATCAATTAAAAATATTTACCTGACCAGAGCATATTTGATGAACTGCTTCTTTATTAATAGACTTAATTTTTTTAGAAGCATCAGTTGTGCTTTGGGGTTCGTCACTCATTATTTTCAAGATTAAAACAATTATTAAAAATTATTTTTATCTTTATAAAAAAATAACATGAAAGTAGTACCGGACTACCGGTTTTTCTTTGTTGATAAAATTAAGTAAAGGTGCAGTCACACTTTTCTGCATGCCCGCGCGGTTGTCATGGTAATGTAGACGAATAAGGGTGCAATCTCACGTTGTTCGGCTTTTACGTTTTCTGCCGAGCGCACCTTTAGAAAGTTTAGAAATTTCTACAATTCTGAACTAACCTTTATAATTTTTTTTCCTTTCCTGGGGAGAGGGAGAGAGAGAGAGAGAAACCCATAAAATGATCTTCCCCTCCCTGATACTCTATTGTTCACAGGATTTCGCGCCGAACGCACGCCGATGTGAGAAACAGGAAATTTTTGCGGCTTTCCTCCACTTGTACTCGAGTTGATTTTTTCTCTTCTAATCAACAATTTACCGCCTATTTAAAAGTATAGCAATCATTTCAATTAAGATATTTTAAGAAAGCAAATATCAATAGTGTGCGGTGAGTTTGATTGAAAGATCGTAATACAACGATTTAGATTGCTTAAGTACGACGCCTGAAGTGTGTAACCGTAAGACTAGGCTTTTATTCTTTTGCGTTCCTTTTTAAAACAGTGTATTTTTGCAGTTATACGTAAAAAAAATTATTAATAGAGTAAGTTACATAAAAAAAATGTAACATTAAGTTCGCCAATAATATATCGAGATCCTGGATAATTTGTGCTTTATAAAAATTTATCAAGACTAATTGGGAATGAGATGATGAGCAAAATTTCTATGTAACAAAAATGGCTTGCACAATACCAGAATTAATAAAAATCCTTAATGGAATCAAGACTGCGGAGGAAAAATGTTCAGCATTGAAGCAATTTCGAAGGTATAATAATTTTGTGACAAAACTATTGTTGATTTTCAGTTTGAGTGATTATCGATTTTTAGAACTTTTTTTCATTGGCTGAAAGGAGTACAAGTCAAAAATATGTAGGCAATTCAAATCGGAAACGGTACTTTTCATCTTTGCAATAATTATAAATAATACTATTGAGTTGAATATTCTTATTTATTACATAAGATCCTCTACTAAAGTTCAATGACTAGATTTAATATTATATCTAGTACATTCTTGTCTTTAATATAAAACTAAAATTAAATACTTAATAGTAGAATGTGAAATATAAATAAAAGACCTTAATAATAAATATATCTGATAATATACATTACTTACAATTTAATTATATGTTTATTAATAATAGTTCAATTTTATAATATATTTAATGCATAATTTATTTTTTGCAGTAATTTTGCAAAAGGCAAAATACCAGAGAGTATAACGGACGATGATTTTATTGCTTTGTACAAAATATTAATAAATTGTGACGATGCAATACAGCAGGAAGCTTGCTGTACTCTCAGCATCATTATTCAAGATGAAAAGTATACAAAACCAAATTTTATACAATCTGCACAACAGATTACTTCAAAGAAAAGCAGGTAAGAAGATTATGCTTCTCTATTTAATTTAAAGAAAAACAAATTAACTCTTTTAATAATTATTTCCTTAAAAAAATAGGATTAGATTATTTTCAATTTTGGATAAATTTGATGACAAAGTAGTGACGATACTTGCCAACGATGTACAAGCAATTAATTTTATTAATGATTGCTTGAAATCAATCGACATTGAAGCGATGACCTGGCTTTCGCCGGCTACCAATGAAGATAATTTAGAAAAATTAATTGAATACGAAAATAAATCGCTGACTGAAGATGAAAAATTGGAATCAAAAATTGTTACACTGTCCTTTGATTTTTTATCTAAAATTTACAAGAATATTCAAGTAATTTCTCCGCAGCAAATTCAAATGGTAATGAAACAAATTTTTTAAATTATGTATTAAATGAATTGAATGAATTGAATAATGATAAAATTTTCATATTTCAGTACGATTCGCTAATTATGGACAAAATTGTAACATTGGTGTACATGGGTCTTAAAAATCAGAGACTATCGGCGTCAAAAGTGTTCTACAAAGCAATTTTATCTGACTTGGGATCCAGAGTACGTCAATCGTTGCCCAACGTCTGGATAAATTACAAGAAATCGTTGCAAGACATTTACTGGAATCGAATGTGCCTACTGGTTTCAGCTTGTTATCTTGATTGGGCAACTTTGTGGAATTACAGTATTCAACTTTTGGGAAAAGATCTTCATCGAGGAGCTGGTTTAATTAATAATTTGCTGAGTGTCGAAGAGAAGGCCTTTAAATCGTCTGACACGAATATTCGAAAACAGGCTTTTTATTCATGGAAATTATTGGTGGACAATTTCGCTCTCGATCCACAAGAACTTGCGAGTGCGAGACGAATTAAGTTACTTTGCATACCACTTATTGCTAAGAATAGCAAGACAGAAATGATAGCACTCGCCAAATTTGAAGTCTGGTGGCATTTAATTGTCAAAGTGTACAATGATCTGCCGAAAGTGATAAATGCTGTGTTGATTCCATTCTTGAATTTCTGCTTTGGACCACTTGGCGATACGCCTCTACTGTCGTCCAAGCTGGATATTTGCGCATCACCTGGCAAGAGATTTCAAAAAACAAAGTTAGCTTCTCTTGACGCTTTGTTACAATTTTTAACTGGTACAGAGTCTTCAACGAGTCGAGTGTTTACTCCCGTTTTAGAGGAACGAATTTCTCATGCAGTGACGAGTCAAGTTTTTCAAGAAAGTCACAAAACATTTACTCACAGTTGCTTTGAAGCTCTTCTTATTCTTGGTCAATTTGAGGAAACTGATGTATCGAACCGATATGCAGTGAGCACAATGCTGTGGAAGAATCTAATTTCCAACCTCGAGGGATGTGACATTAAGGTAAATATAGCTCAAGGTTTTTACCTTAAATATTGTACAAGAATGTGGAAATTATACGAAATTCAATTTTCAGGATGCAATTTACAAAGATTTAATAATGGTTGTCACTGAAATGACACATCACATTTCGAATAATTCATTGATGAAAAATCTTTTATACGATGTAATTTTGATCAATATTGCCGAAATGTCAGAAAAATTCCTTTTCTCTGATGACACATTGTTAAATTTAATAACAGCCCTGTTAAAGGAGATGAATTTTAATGACTATAAAAAGTAAGTATTTTTCGTTTTACTTTGAATTTTCATGTTATTAAAATTTAAATCTAAAACTATGATAATGTAAAATAAATTTTAATTTCAACAAATTTTTTAACAATGTTTTTAGAGACAGCTGTGAAGCAATAAAGAAACTTGTACTTCATTTTATCAGTGATAATAACATTGCTCATGCTCAACAAAATAAGCTGAAAATGCTTAATTCGTTATTGGAAAAATTATTAAGTGAAAATTCTGAAACAAGTAACGTGTAAGTGTGATTTTCTTTTGTTACTACATATGTGTTACATGTACATAATTAATAAAAGAGTCTTTTTTTTCAGAAATATGTTGATTGATATGTGGTGTGTATTGGTAGAAGCTCTTACTAAATGGCTTGAAAATTGTCACACATTAAATGACGGAGACACAACTGGAAATAACTTTTCTGCAATATATGACATTTTAATTTATCCTTTTTCTCATTTATTTGTAAATGATATGAAACAGGTTTGTAAATTAAATTCTTTAATCGAATAATGATGTTCAATTATGTAAAAAAAATTTCCCATCTTTTTCTAGGTACAAAAAATTACTTCATTTTGGTGGAATGCCTATAAACAATTTGACTTACAAGTTGACTTGGAGACATCAATAAAATCTAATCAAGTGATTATGACAACGGCGGATAAACTTAGAAACTGTCTCAAAAAGGAGAAAGGATGTCTTCTTCTTTATGCTGCTTGTTTAAATTCTTTAATTACCAACATCAGTTATGAGACATTAATTGGTATGATATTATTTAAGTCGCTCAAATAATGCAAGTAGTGTAAAATGTTATAATAAATATGTTTTTTATTTTCAGGTCTTGACGAGGTTCCAACGATTATTCATCTGATAAACGACCTTGTGCTATGTGTATTCAAGGAATCTGAGTTTAATGCAGCGGAAATGGTTCTAAGATCGTTGTCCGCTTTTATGATAACAGTTTACGGTCAAGATAGAAAAAAGTCAATTCAATATTTACAAGTTATTCGACCTTCAATTGAATTTATTTTATCACAGAAAGCTGATGAGAATTTAATGAAAGAAATTGCAAGTACTTGGGATACAGTCGTCACAATTTTCAAAGGACTAAATAACAATCTTACTTACGATTTACTTTCGTCATTTCAAAAGAGTATTGTTCTTGCTTTATGTCATACATGTCAAGAAATTATTTCCCAGGCTTTGGTAATATTAGGTCTAGCTGAAAATGTTGACGAAAAATCGAGAAAGTTGTTGGGAGAGTTGGGAAATTTCACGAAAACATCAAATAACATTGATTTAATAGCAGAAAATAAATCAAAACACACAAAAATTGCTGGTAGCTTTTTAAACAGAAAATCAACAGGAAAATCAGATAATTTTGTCAGTCCATCTACTTTTAATACATCTTTAAAAAAGAGCAGCAACGTTAATTTAGACTTGGATTCTCAGGTAAATTTTTCAAGTTTTAAAAATTGAATTGAATTAAATTATCTGTAAAATATGAATATAAAGAATGAATTTTTATTTTAGGATTACGTTGTGATTAAATCTGATGTTAAATTCGATGTTAATCGTCTAACGGACCATCAGAAGGAAATTTTGAAAAAAAGACGCGACGACATTCCTGCTTTGTACAATGATCTTTCACAATCTGGTTCACAAGATTCACAGGAGCTACAAAAATGGTTTGAAAAGAAACAATTCAAGACAATTTCCAGCAAGGAACTGTGCGATTCAAATAAAGAAAATAAAGAAACTTTGCTTGAGGAGCCGATCGAAATGGATCAAGTTAATTCCGAATCAGCTGTACAACTTGAATCGAAAACAGAAATCGAAGCCAAACAATCGGAAATTTCTTCTGCAGATGATTTTGAAATTCAACAAGATTGTCCCGATAATAAGCAAATTGAAATTCAAACTTCCTCCTCTAATAGAAATGATGCGCGTAAAGTGAATTCCGACAATAAAAATCTTAATAAGAAGATTGAAGAATGTTTGCCGCAATCAAAAACAAAAACAAAGCTAAAGTCTGTCACATCAAATTTGGAAACTGGTAAGAAGGGTAAACGAAAAGCTGATGAAGATGTAGCTGGAAATCCAAAGAGAAAAAAGTTGCATTCATCTGAATCGTCTGATAACGAAAGTATTAAATCGAGCTCTGAAAATGAAGAGATACTCAATAAACGAGTGAAATCTGAAATTTCTCGCTTGCAAATTGATATGGTGCGTTCAGTTTTTGAACCCCTGCCAAATAGACGTCGTTCTAAATTAACTGATTGCACCTGTAAGGACCTTGGTTGCAAGAAAAATCATTCACCAGGAAGATTAAGATCAGAAATGAAATCAGATTCTACGAAAAAGTCATCAAATAAATCAGATTCGGTTAAAAAGCGAACAAAGAGAAATTCAAAGGCGGCAGCGGAAGTTGACAGTGGCGAAGATGATAAGCAGAAAATAATTGGAAAATCTAAAGCTGACATTGTAACAAGTCGAAAAGTTTTGGAGGATAAATTGTCTACGGAAGATGAAGACAATCTATTACATTATGAGTCGAGTGTAATTGAAAATTCTCAAGATATTGAAGTGGATGTCGTTGAAGGTACTCAAGATATAATGTCTAAGCCGAAATTAACTATTTCTGTTAATGATAAGGAATTACTTATTAAATTAAATAAAATGAATTCATCTCAGAAAGCAAGCGAGCCTTCAGCAAAACTTCAGCCTGTTTTGTTGGATGTGGATGAAAGTAATTGCATTCAAGTTATTGAAAATCAGCCCTCTTCTGACGAGAAAAAACAAGCTGTCGCATCATGTTCTTCAACTTCGTCTTCCTCGTCTGTAAAATATACAACAGTTCATATTTCTTCGCCCAAGGGGATTGTCAAGAGGACTAAAGTAAAAGCCTACCCTCTTCAAGGACGTGCCGCTCAAATGCTGGGATTAGTGACAAAGCAAGGTTTAATGGAAAAGGACATGAAAATTGAAGATGAAATCAAAAAATCATTGCAGAAGGCAAAAACCCACGAATCTGAAAATAGCAGTGTAAAAAAAGTTGGAGGAAAGGAGTCCGAAAAACTAAATCAGCTTGGATCTCGACAGGTGAAAATATTTAGTAACATGAAAGCTGGTGATTATTGTTCCTCACCACCTGGGAAATTATTTGGAGGTTTGAAAAACGATGGTGAAAAAATTTCCCCAAAAATGAAAAATACTATCGATTCAGAGAAACTTGCAGAGAAACTTGTTGTCGTTATTTCCAATGAAAAAGAACAAATTGACCTTTCACCGACAACAGACCACGATCTTCCAATTCTCGAATGGTCCAGCGCAAACCCACCTTCATTAACAGCATCACCGAGCGCTGGAATTTTAAAGAGGCACAATCAATCTTTAATGGACATCACTATTGGAGTCGAGTCAACAACAACGACAACCACAACGACAACTCCGAACAAAAGAAAACGAGTAAGTTTTGCCGATCCACCAGTCTCTCAAAAAATGGGCTACGAAGTTGCCACCGGGGAATCGCCACACAAAATAAGCAGACCATCTCGTCACTCGACGCGACGAGACACACCACTGAAATCAAGACAAAGCAGAATAAGAATGTTCCAAGTTGAGGCAATCGAGAAAACGGAGAAATCACCAATTGATGCAGACTTGAACGGAATTCAACAACTCGCACCCGATGGTGGGGCAAAATCAGAAGAATTGATGCAAATTGACAATTTAGAAACGTCAATAGTGAAAATACACGACAACGATAATGAGAATATTCAAGTCGATTGTCCCGAAAGTAGCACCCCCGTTAGAATTCCATCCGACAATTCAAACAGACAGGAAACAGATCAAAAAACAGATCCATCAAGTCTCGCTGAGGAATTATTTGGAACACAGGAAGATATGTTTGCTGCCAATGATACAAGCGATGAAAGCCAGTCTATTTCTTACAAGAAAGACGATGACGACAATAACATTTCCTATCAAATCATGACTCTTGACTCTGTCAAGTTCAATACAACGAATGACTCATTAGCGGAAACAACAAATAAAGATTTCAGCAAGAACGAATCTTTGGAAAATACAGTCGACGTACAAAATGTTTCCAGTTTCGAATCGACGGACGACGGAGGTTTTTGCGAAAAGCCCATGAGATGTAGCACGAGAACAATCGCCGACGCTGAGCAGGACACATTGCCAGTCACTGATTCTGTTTTCGAAAGTATTGGCCAAGAGACACAAAACTCTGTGTCGAGTATTATCAATCTTCCAAAGCCAGAAGCATTCGATTCGACATATCCGATATTCCCATCGCTTTCAGATTGTAAGGATTCTATCAAGATGATTGTGGACAGCCTCGCTAATCCCATGTGGGTCAATCACTTGGAAACGTGTTTGGCGAGTCGGGAAATACACACTGTTGGAGATTTAGCAAAATTATCAGAGAGGGAAATTAATAGGATACCATTTAAAGGAAATCCCAAGGTGCTGTTTGTTAAGAAGGTGTTGTATAAATTTGAGAATGACAAAACAACAACGAAATCTAGCGTCATTGATCAGCAGCAGCATAGTTTAGAACAAGTAAGAGTACATTTTAATATCGTAATAAAAAAAATAATTTTAATTATAACAGGATTGCCACAGATCAGGGAAGTCGGGGAATTCAGGGAAAGTAGAATTTGTCAGGGAAATCAGGGAAAAGTCAGAAAATTTTATTAAAAGTACTGGAAAAAATTAAATGTTTAAACAATCTTCTCAATTTTTCTGTCTGACTCATAAATTATAAAAGGTACCTAAGAAGCAAAAAATTTGAGGTTATGTTTTTAATTTTTTGAGTAAAAAAAAGTAAATTATCGCAGATTTAAAATGATTTTTTATACAATTTTAAGTAAGCTGATAAAAAATTGCAATTCTTAAAATTACTTTTTAAATTCGCCAAAAGAATTCAATTATTTTTAAAAATTTTGATAAAATTCTTCATAGAAATTCAATTTTAAGAATTATTCAATTATTTTTATCTTTCTATTTAAATAATTGAATTCTCGAAAAAAATTCAAATAAAAATTGATTAAGAAATGAATTTCACTTAAAATTTTAAATTATAATTGAATATTAAAAGCACTGTAGCGTGAATTTTTAGAAATAATTGAGTTTCGAAAAAAGTTTTAAATTAAAATCTTTGAAAGTTTGAATTTATAGTTACAATATTCTTATGATATAAAATAATGATTTTATCACTCTGTCATCTTAAATTTATTATAAAACATAAGACTCGGAGGGATCGATTTCTTCATGTTTTATAACAATTTTTTATAAGTTATTGAATTTCAGAAGGTTTGAATTTGAAAATCTTAATTCCTATAGAAAAATAATAATGATTAAATATTTAATTAAAAAAGAAGTTATTTATTGTTTCGAATAATTTTACAATAAATGGAAATTCGTTAATAAATGTAATAGAACATTTTTTTAAGTATAAAATAATTTTTGGAGTGAATCAAAATATTCTTCAGGGTCAGGGAAAAAGTCAAAATCAGTCAGAAAAAAGTCTGGAAATCAGGGAAATGTCAGGGAAAAACAAAATTAAATTTTTGTCGCAACCCTGTATAAACTTTTCTAAATATTTCTCCTTTTTTTTCTTTAGATGTCTTCAGAGAAATCACAAGACTCGTTTATTGTTTCTCCTTTATCATCAAATAATAGCACCTGTAAATTGTCACCAACATCTCAAGAAGGATCGTTATTGTCTCCAACAACAACAACAAATCAATTGCCCAAAATTCCAGCACAAACAACGTCAAAATCAGTTTCTATTCAAATGGAATTGGGTGATCTTTTAGATGAAATTGACGTTAATTTGGTTCTGGAAAGTGCAGCAAGAAGATGCTCTCCCGAAAGTCTTCTTGCTCAATTCAAGGTATGTATAAATTTATACATTATTTGTGACGCGATCCGAAGAAAAAACATTTTCAATCAAGAAAAAAGTAAAAGCAACATAACCTTAAAGTGATTTGCTTCTAAGGTCCCTTTCTTCAGATCGCGTCACAATTTCTGTTTATTATTATCTAAACATTTTTATTTCATTGAAATGATAATTGAATTTTTAATTTCAGTTGAAAATGCGCAATATGCCCGAAACTGAACTGGAATCAGAAACTTTACGATTGCTTGGTATCAATTCGAAGCCAAGTCACAGCGAAATGACATTGAGATCTGCTTGTAAAGCATGTGGTATAAATAAAGTTCTTTTAAAACTCCCAGACATATTTAGCGGGGATAAGCAATTTTTCGTTAAAGTTCTTAGTGCCTATAAGAAAAAAATCCAGATCAGCGATTGTCTCAGTGCATTGGATATGAGTGAATTGAAAGATGCTCTATGTCAGAAATGTAAATCATCGGAACTCGCTGAAATGCTCTCAAAAAGTTTGAAAGATGAAGAGGAGAAGGGAATCAGTGAATCCATGGAAGATCTCTCTGACTTTACGCGACTTTTAAAACGTGTTCCAGCTGATCTTTTAATAAGTCACACAGTTGCAAATGACGAGCTTATTCCCTCGCACATTGTTCTTGACATTGCTCTTCAGAACAGTTCAGATGACGCTATTGCCCAAACTTTAAAAGCTCAGTCCGAGATGAAAAAGGAGAGTGTCTTTCACAAAATCTGGACATTGTCTTCAGCTCTCAGTCATGTTGAAAAAGAAGCTTCAGAAACGGAAATTTTAGAAATAATTCGAGCTATTGGACAACGTTTAAGGCCGGAGAAGCTTCTCGAAGCTTTCAGAGATTCTATGAAAGATGATAATGACTCAAGTGAAAAAGTTCTTCTAGGACTTTTCAAAGTTATCAGCACAAAATTAAAGCCAGATAAACTTTTGGACATTTTCTATGAGTGCATGAAAAATAAAATTCCAATAACTGATAGTTAATTCTCGACTTTTATGACTTTTCAAAGAATTTACGAAATAACTATAAATTTTTAAGAAGGAGATGGGAAAATGTAAAATTATCTTTTCATCAATTTTTGTAAAAGGAATTTTAGAAAAATGTTTCGACTTGAAATTTAAAGTTTGTTGTTTGTTTTCTCAAAATTATTTTTCCACTTTTCAATAATGAATTCTCTTAGATATATAGATTATATACGTGTAGTAAAATCTAAATATAAGTTTTAGAAAATTAATTTTTCTTAAAAATTTAAAATAGTATTCTCTTTTTTTTAAAGAGTTTTAAAGATGATTTAGTTATAAATGGAATGACTGTTGAATTTTGTTTCATTAAATAAATTATTTGCTTAATATCTTATTTTAGTTTACGAACTAAATGTGTGCGATTGTTTTTTCGAAATTAACTTGAAGGAAAGAAAGGGAAATAGGTATTATTTTTAAAAAGACTAAATCATTAATTTATCATTGCAAGTGAAGATTGAATTTTGTATTTTTGACGCATCGTGAATGAATAGTGTCTATTAAGTATAAATATTTTAAGTTTGTAAAACCTAAAACTATAGATCTCTGTAAATATTTTCACAATCGACACTTATATAAGATGTTAACATTTTGAGGTACAATTCAAAACACTTTGCTTTATTTTAATATGAAAATTAAATGTTTTTATTTTCCTCACATTGTTTAGGTATTATTTTAAAAAAAAATGTCTCTTGAATAAGTGAAACTAAAGATTTAATTTTGTGCAGCAGCAGCATGAGCAGTAAGAACTAAAATAAAGCAACCATCATTTAAAGTTTTGAGTAACTTTACTACATCTTGTCTTTCACCTAACATAAGAAATTAAATTTTTGTTTGTTTCAACTATAAAAGTATGTACAATACATAAAATTATCAAACACTATCAATATACGTACCTTATTTAAATTGAAATTTTATATTTAAATATTAAACAATAAAATATTTTCAATATGAGAAAACACTTTTTCTATATTTCATTGTAAAAAATAACATCAAGTTTTTTTAATTTATTTACTTTCACTTTCTTCTAGTCCTATCTTTCTTGTGACTTTTATATTTATCTTTATGGGAGTTTTTATAATTGTCCATTTCTCTACTTCTACTTCTACTTTTACTCCTTCTGGAATATTTACGTTCTTCTCTCTTTTCTGATGATCGACTGCTGTGAGAATTTCTCTTGTAACTCTTCATCCATTTATGATCAGACTTTTTTTCTTCCTTTTTATATTCACGTCTACTTTCCTGTTCCTTGTAACGATGAGAAGAAGCACTTTCACGAATATCTTGATTTGAATGATATTTTTCCTTTCCCTTCTGCCTAGATGGATCTTTGTAATTTTCAGTTCCCTCCGTAAAATAATGAAATCCCTTTCCTTTCCCACGCCAGCGAACCTTTGCCACTGATTGTGAGAAGTCAACGTGAATTCGTCGATCGTCGATTAATACGTTATTCATTTTCAAGTAAGCCTCTTCGCAACTTTTACGGTTACCAAATTCAATGAAAGCATATTGAAGAGAATCACCACTTTGACGGTCCCTTATTACTTCACATCTGCAAATAATGACAAATAATAAGTTTCTCAATTAATTATTCTGCAAAATATATTATTTAAATAAGAAAAAGTTTCAATTCAAACATACCCGACTATATCTCCAAATCTACTGAAAATAATCTCCAAATCATCATCATTTGTAACCGGGTTTAATTTACAAACAAATAAGACATTCTCGGGTGGAGCCATATCAGCATCGGGGATATCACCAACAATTTCCAATATCGTTGCTCGTGCCTTTGCCTCTTTCTCTTTTTGTATTTCCATAATTTCATCGGCAGTCATTCCTTCCGTGTCATCAATAGACTCATCAGCGCCGATTCGATCACTCTAAAATCAAAAAATATCGTTGTCATTTTTAAATAAATAAAAGTATTAACAAAATTCTCTCGAGGAATTCAATATTGAAAATAATTTAATTCTCGTAAACAATTTTATCAAATTAAACTTATAATGAAAATATGAAATCTGATTAAAGCTATTTTAAAAAAATTACCATTAGAACTTGCTTATGAGGTTCGGGACTTCTCTCTGGTATTAAAAGCCCCACAGGATCATCATATGGATCCACTAAAATAACAGTATGAGATATTCGAATGTCCTGATATGGTCTGTCCTTTCCATCGCAAATTGTTTCATTTAATTTTAAAATGATTTCAAAACCTTCTGAAATTTCACCGAAAACACAATGTTGCCCATCCAAGGAATGCAAGTTTGCAGCTAATGTAATGAAAAATTGAGAACCCAACATGTTATTGCCACAATCAACCATTGACAAAAGTCCAACTCTATCGTGCTTAATTTTGGGCATTTTCTCAGCTTCAAAATATCTTGCCTTTTCACCCAAAATCATTCCATAAACACTCTCTCCTCCTGTTCCAGTAGAAGTTGGATCTCCTGTTTGTGCTATGAAATTACTTTGTACAGAGTGAAATAAATTCCAATTGTAGTATTTCATTTTGCATAATTTTAAAAAATTCTTACAAGCTGAAATAAAATATTACGATTATTCTATAAATCATTATTTAATTAATGAAATTCATAAAATTGTAAATATCTAAACTTTACTATAAATGTAAAATGTATTTTACTCACTTTGAGGTCGTTCTTTAATGAATAAATCCACAGTAAAATCTCCTATGGTTGTTTCGATGACAACAGCCATTTTATAATAAAAAAATATATTTCTTTATTTGATATATATGGAATAATGTTAAAAACTCTTATTTTCAATAAAGTTGTTTATGTTTAAACAACTGTGTGCAACTGCGGGTATGGAATATTTAGAACGGCGGCCAATCGTATACACTCAGCTGTAAAGGTGTTTCTACAATTGCTTGAAAATGTATTTATGTTTGATTCAAAGTGGAATCATCAATTGCATATTAATTTCCTTAAAGTAAATTAATAAATGTAAAATGTTAATTGAATAATAGTTTAAATCAGACAAGACAAATAATACTTGCAACTCAAGCTGTGTAGAGACACTTTTACAGTGAACGCAATTTAATTTCAATAAATTTTTTTTCAACTGACAAAGGTGTGAATGCATCTTTAAACACAGCCTAAAGGCCAACGAAGAACGTTACGAATACGGGAACAGGGCATGCAAAAGAAAATGACAGAAGCTGTCTGTGTCTTTTTCTTTCTCATGCCCTGTTCCCGTATCCGTAAAAAGTTGGAATCTTTAGGCCAACGCACAATAGCTTCTTTGCGAAAGAGTTCATGTTCGAGAAACAATTGTGTTGTCGGCCTAATATATGAGAGAGAAAAGGAGAGAAATATCTTTTATAAAAAAAAAAGATGTAAAGTTTGTTTTATGATTTTGACGATTAGACGATTTTGACAGTGCATTTAAGACTATTTCTCAAATCGTTGATATACGAATGTCCTCTTCATATTTTGCTCAATTATTAAACTATGTGAAATACATCAACAAAAACTCCTTCACTTAACTGCGCAACCCTGCCTATGTCTATAGGTCAGTGTTAACAATAAATCAGCAGTAATCCTATAGCTGAATATTTGTATTATTATTAGAAACAAAGTTTTCAATATTTCTAAAGTAAATAGATAAAAATTCTCTTTTAAAAAAAGTGAAAAATAATTAAATTCAATACATTTACAAAGAAAAAAGTTTTATTTGTGGAAAAAATTGTTTGTGCTATTAAATGAATCACAAGTGCGGTGTGTGACAGTATATTTCATGTTAACGCATTACTTCAATTTTTTGTCTTGGTTACGCTTTTCACTTTTAACGCCGGCTTTAAAAAGTTGAATTTTTTACTTACTTTAAGCATATGGTATTTTTTAATTATTTTAATGCATCAAATTGTAGATAATTGTATGTGAATGCGTCAACTTTTTTATCAACATTAATTTGTTAATGAAAACGTTAAACTGAATGTTGATAATAGGGTAATTGTTTTATTTTTCCAGAAATTGGAAGTTTCAGTTAAAGTATAAAATAATACTTAGATTCAAAAAGTTACACTTTTAAAATGGAATTTAATTGGAAAAATTAAACCTAAAGATATGAGATATTGACAGAAAAATTTGATGTGATATAAAATCTCTTTGTGCACTTTGGAACTTTCTTGTTAAAGGTAATAAGATTGTATTATTAATAGAAAGGAATATGCAAAATAAATATTTAAAAAATGAAAGCTGTAAATCTAAAGGTTTATAATGTAAAATAACTTAAAAATAGATTTTCTAAAAATTAATTAAAAATTAATTCAAGTGTTCTATTCAAATAATATTTTTCTTAACAAGTGTAAAATTATTTAAATTTTTATACATGGTTTAAGTGTATTTTAAATTTTAAATTCTTAAATGCCGAAAAATAATGTTAAATATAATTTACATTTATAAAGATGAATATGGATCACTTCTGTTTGAAAAGCAAGGCTCTATGGTGAGAAATGTCAGTCAATAAAAAAGAAGGTCTTGTTTGAAGTGGCTGGCTTTAAGAGTCTCAAGTGTTACAATGAGAGCTATTGTTTTGATGCTATTAGTGACATTACTGGTCCAATGTGTTATTACAAATAGAATATGTGTCAGTCGACAGAAAAACACGGAAAATTTTTTAAAACAAAATTATGAAAATGCATTGGAAAATGATTTAAATAACAAAGATGATGCTGGCTATCAAGTAAGATATCTTTATTTACTTATTTACTATATTTCATATTGTCATTGCTTAAAAATTTAATTTTAATTTCAGAGATCCAATGACATAAAATTTGAAAAATGTGAAAATTATTGTTATACTTTATGGAAAGAAAATAAGACTGGGAATGGTACTGAAATAACGATTATTATGCAAGGCAAGTTAATACTTGAAAAATTATAATTTACTATGAAAAATAATACGAAAGTTTATATATGATAGTAAAGAGTTTTTATATTTGTAATTATTCGATAATTATATCAAAGGCTTGTTTAGTTATGGAACTTTGTACCCATGATACACGTGATCGGCGGTCTACTGAATTTCTTAAAATCTATTTAAAACAAAAGTGACGAGTCATAAAGTCACAAAGCAATAGGATTAACAATTTTTATTTTAGACGAAAACTCGTTCAATTATCTAATTGATTGTTTTCATTTATTATTTATTTTAAAAATTAGGTTGCTGGAAACAATCTGGATATCAAGAGTGTGGAACAAAAGAATGCGTGGCTTTTGAGCAATCAACAAAAGCATTGAATAATACAAAATTTTGCTGTTGTCAAGAGGACTATTGCAATATCAACATAACAGATCATGATCAAAATAAAATTATTCAACCTATTTCTACAAGTATGAATCAATTATTTGCTTAATTGTATTTAAAATAGAATAGAAAAAAAAATTTAGTGTATACTGAATTTATACTTTTATTTTTCAGCAACAGATTATTCAGAGTTGACAAACTCAAAAAAATGGATATTAGTTATCGTAACTATTTTATCTTGTACTTTGATTATAATATGCTCTATAAGTGTTATAATTTGTAAAGCATACCAAAGGAAAAGATCACTAAGATTTAGGAATTCCTTACCTTACTGTGATCAATACTCTGAAAGTTCTGCTTTTAGTACTGGTACATATACATTTGACAATCTAAAGCTAGCAACAATCGTTGGTGAGTTACTTGAATATTATTCAATTATTCAATTATTAAAGAGACAAAAGATTTTTCATTTTTTAAAAATTAAATAAATTATCTGAATATTTAATATACTTTTCTGAATGAATTGTCCAGGTCAAGGTCGATATGGTTCAGTGTGGAAAGGTAGCATTGGAGATCAAGATGTTGCTGTGAAGATTTTTCCAGCACACTACAGACATTATTTTCAAAATGAAAAGGACACCTATTGCCTTCCTTTCATGGAACATTCTTCGCTATTAAAATACTATGGTATTTAATATTTTTATTACACGTTGACATAATTATATTTCACGTGTCTCAAAAAAGTTATGTCAAGTGTGCAAAAATACAATTTTTTTAATTACAGGTGCTGACGAAAGAATTAATTTAGAAGGAAATCTAGAATACTTTTTAGTTTTAAGTTTTTCATCTGGTGGAACTTTGGTGGATTTTTTGCGGTCACATACTGTAGATTGGTTAATGTTTTGTAAAATGAGTCTCTCAATTGTTAAAGGTCTTGCTTATTTACATACAGATCATCACAAAAATGGTTAAGTATTTTATTTGTGAATAACCTGAAAATTATTTTTAAAAGAATAGTAATAATAATTTAATATTTACAGGTAAAATAAAACCTTGCATAGCGCACAGAGATATGAATTCAAGAAATATTTTGATTAAAGTCGATGGTACTTGTTGCATTTGTGACCTTGGATTAGCCGTTCAAATCTCTGGTTCAAAATATTTTGTAAATGGAGAAGAGCAACATGCTGAGACAAAGTCCATTAATGATGTAAGTAAAAACATTTTCCTTAAAAAAAAGAAAAAATGTTAAGCGATTAATTTAATATTTCAAGATAAAATTAATAAATTTAATAAAATCTTAGGTAGGGACGCTTAGATACATGGCTCCGGAAGTATTAGAAGGAGCTGTAAATTTAAGAGACTGCGAAAGCTCTCTAAAACAAATAGACATCTATGCAGTTGGATTGGTATTGTGGGAAATAGTATCTCGTTGCTCCGATATTTATGTATCTGGCTCAGAAATACCATCGTATAAACTTCCCTTTGAAAAAGAAATTGGTATCGTATATTTTTCTATTTTCATATACATGGATAAAAAAATTAACTATTTATAATAATTTGAAATTAATATTTCAGGCCTGCATCCAACATTTGAGCAAATGCAAATTCTTGTTTCTCGAAATAAAGCCAGACCCTTGTTAGAAGGCAATTTGGTAGATAAGTCAGGAGTTCGTTTGATAAAAGAAACAATGGAGGATTGTTGGGACGCAGATGCAGAAGCTCGCCTCACTGCTTTATGTATTGAAGAACGATTAACAGAGCTGCAATCACATCGAGGTAATTTTTTTTTATTTTTTTTTTTATTTATTATAATTACAAAGTTTTCATGTTTTCTATTTTTAATTTTTTGCATCAGTGACAGTGTACTTCACTGATGGAAGCCCAATGATGAATTCTCACTGCGGACTTGTGCCTTCAACTACAAATAGTCTTTATAATGAAACTCATCATCCTAATACTGCACAATCAACGCACAACGCATTTCAAGATGAAAATGTTGATGTCAACTTGGTTGCATTGTCACCGATCGACAATATCACTTACGAACATTGTAAGTATAATTATTAGAAAAACTAAAAAATAATTTGTGACGCGATCTGAAGAAAGGGACCTTAGAAGCAAAAAAAATTATAGGTTATGTTTGCAATTTTTAAAATGAAAATACAAAAAAAAGGATCAACTGTCAATATAAATCATTGATATTTAAGTCTTCATTACAACTAAAGTATTTAATAAACACATATTTTATTTTGCAATAAGTAAAAAGAAACTTTCAATCAACAAAAAAGTAAAACTAACATAACCTTAAAAATTTTTTTTTAAAGTTTTTTTTTGTCCTTTTTTGGTTATATAAATTTTCTTAAAACCGAATAAAAAAAGATAATTTGAGAGTGAGGTTAAAAAGAAGATTTGTTTTCTTTCAGGTAAAAATTCAAACGAAATGGTATTGTCTTCACAAACACAAACTCTTCAACCATATCAGGGTAGAAATCCCTGCATGGAGCGCAATCTCATGGTCCAATCGAATTCAATGGAACAACTCGCCTGCAATGGTAACATTCTGATAGACAAATCATCGAAGCATTCAAGCAGCGATCAATACAGATTTACTGCCGAGACTCAAGTTCTCATACCACACGATTATCTAGCCCAAAATACAGCTCAAGTGATTCAAATGAGACCAGCAACTCCAATTCCTTACGTTCAAAATGTCATTTCTGAAAATGGAGCACCGTCCTACAATAAATTGAAGCAAACCAACGTTTACGAATCCTGCATTCAAGAAAGTCCTCGTAAAAAAGGATTCGGTGGTTGGTCCACTTTTAAGAACCTCCTTTCCAACAGCAAATTATATTCTCACAGCAAATGTCAAATAGATCGCGAAGACTCAAAGTCAAATTTACTCATGAAACAGAAAGTGCAATCGAAAGTTGAAACGAATGTTACAATTTCTTCAAGGGGGAAATACGTCAACGAAATAAGCTCACCTTCCGCCAGCTTCCTCGATAAAAATGACAAAAATACAATCCAAATGGCAGGAAATGAAAAATGCAGCAATGATAACGCACCCTGTACAAGACCATCGACATTGCCACTTGTTCCTCTCAGGAATAAAAAGAGTGAGAACAACTTAACAAAGCAAAACAGTATAAATAAATTTAACCAAGTATTTAACGTTGGTTCAAGTGTTAATATTTTGAAGGATCCGAATATGCGGATAAAAACACCCGGCGATTTACCGCCATCTGTTAGAAAGGTACGAGGACGGTCCTCACAAACAACGGCAAGATTCTCCCTCTATGACGATCGTATAATGTGCAACATTCTCAACGAAGAAGACAACCAAAGTGATAAGACAATGTCAAATTCAGTACCATATGGTATGGACTGCGACTTGGACTGCGACAGTAAGACTATACCACCAAAACTTCACGCTAAAGATATTACTTGTTTTTAAATTAGTTATGTACCTATTTACAAAAGTAAAAAATAAGTTAGGTCATTTTCAAGTTTTTTCAGGGATCACAGTGGATTTTTTTTGTTTAAATCGAGAAAACAATATATATTATGATGCGATGTGTTAAGTTTACTTTTTAAAAAGTTTATTTTTTTCTCTTTCACACAGATTGTATGTTTTCATTTGAATTTAAATTTATTTTTAATTTATATCAATTTTCCAAAGTCTATTTTATATTTTTTTCGAATTATGTACAATGTTTTTATGTGATTTATTACTGCGGATATTTTAATAATTATACATAATTATAGTGTTTTAATATACCATTTAGATTTATACATATATATAGGGACCTACTATACATAATATGAAACTTTAAAGATTCTATGTAGGTATTTGACTGACAATATTAATTTTTTTATAAAATTTATTATTTAAGTGACACGATCTGAAGAAAGGGACAAACAAAAATTAGTGCTTATTAAATACTTTAATTGTACTGAAGACTTAAATATCAGTGATTTATATTGACAGTTGATCCTTTTTTAGTATTTTCCGTATTTTCATTTTAAAAATTGTAAACATAACCTATAATTTTTTGCTTCTAAGGTCCCTTTCTTCAGATCGCGTCACAAATGTTAAAAATATAAATAGTTAACAAGTAATTTTTTATTTTACACCTAATTGTGATAAAATAATAGTCATTAATCGAAAGAATATGTAAGGGGAATGAAATTCATGATTTTAGGCATTTTAGATGTTTTTTTTTTTAAATAAAAAGTAAAAAATGGGACCGACTGTGATCCCTGTAATTTAAATAACAATCGTAACTTGTACTTTTGTTAATAATAATAATTAACAAATAAAAAAAAGTATATATATATAAATATAAATATAAAGAAATTAGAAATAAATTTTTTTTACAGTAGAATAATGTTTCAAAATTGTATTCTTTAATGCAAAAAAGAGATTTTGGCTAATACTTAATTTATTTATGAATTTATCAAAACATAAATATTGTCATCTAAATAAAAGTAATAAATCAATTTTCCATAGTGAATATTATCTTTTTATTAATTTTAGTTGATTTAATTTAAAAATTTACAGGACATTGTATATTTTCAATTTTTCCAAATGCAGATACAATAATATTCTAAATATTACGAATTAATAATAATGTTTTATAAAGTTGTTATATAATTAAATCAAATCTTTAATATAATTATGTATGCATGTGTTTAAAGTGGTAAGATTAGATTTTTTTTAATAATGTATGATAACAATAAGAAGACTTAACTGCATAAATATAAAAATAATGAAAACAATGACAGGTATATGTTTTTATTTCTAATATTTTATATATATTACCTACTAATTACAAAATAAATAATATTTAATTGTGGTGAAGGTATTTATAGATGTACAATCTTGAGTAAATTATTTTTATATATTTTTATTAATTAAATTTTAAAAATTACAATTATATATGTACATATTTTAGAAATGAATGATTCAAGTCTTTCGAACTTTAATTTTTCGTTTATTAATATTCATTATTTGTTCGACGATTATATCGTCAGCTCTTGGATCAATGGGAATTGCTTGCACTTGAGTTCTAGAGGCTGGAACATGCTTTGACCATTTCTCAGTGATATTATTCAACCAGCTCCACAATTTTTCTCTATTTAGAAATGCAAGTGCAACCAGAATAATAAAAGGAAGCGCAATAACCGACGATTGATTAATATCCCCTTGATCGCTCTTTCTTTCTCCATCGAATCTCAATTTCACATGCTTGAAAGATGTGTTTGCCTCAAAATAAATAGGAGTAGTTGTATACTTGTGTGAGTATTTGGACAAAGAAGATTCCAGTTGAACGAAATATCGTTTATTATCCGATTGCAAGGGGGGGAAATGTATCAAGAATCCTGCATTGTGATTGTTGTTGATTTTTTGATTGCCATCAATTTTCAACACATGAATTGGAGAATCGGGCATATCTTCTCTGCAGAGTTTTACTCTTAAAGATCGATAGTGATCGGGCTGAGAGGAAACGACATATACGGAAATATCAGTTCTTGATATTGGATGAAAGGCAATTAATCTAAGATTATGAACGTCTTCAGTGGCTTGAACGGCTATTGAACTTGGTAACACTCGTTGAATATTAGCGTTAGCTTCGACTCCCTGCTTCAAACGAATAGCGTATATACACTGCAAACAAAATTAATTCATTATTAAATTAAGAAAATTCAATTCATTTTTAAAGTAATAAAACTCAATTCATAAAGTTAATATATTTAGATTTAAATGTCCAAAAATTCACCGAAGGTTGGAGGCCTCTAATGCGAAATTTCCCGTTATCCTCCGTTGTTGATTCTTCCAAGAAATTCGAGCAATCCGACTGACCTTGAGCCTCAACGAAAAGACCCGCTTCTGGTTCTCCATTTAATGAAGTGACAGCTCCATAAGCACTGAAAGCGACTCGATTTCCTGAGAGTTTCACTTTAACCGTCAAGCCTTCTTCAACAGTGATTACTTTTGATGTAGGATTAAATTTGTACTCCTTCATCATAGGTCGAAGATAATATTCCCCAGGAGACAGAGATTTAAATGTCATTTGACCATTTTCATTTGTAATGCTATTCTTCCTGTAACTTTGATCTCCTGACAATGACAAGAGAACACCCTGAATTCACAAAAATTTCGTTTTCGATTAAAATCCAAGTTTATGAAAAAAAACAACTTATGTAGATACATAAAATTAATTACCTGTAAAGCTTTTTTATCTAATTCGTCAAACACTTCCACATCAATCTCTGCTAATTTGTGAGCTGAAAATACTCCATTTTCATTAGGACCGGTTATAACATATCCTTCCATTGTGGCAGTTACGCTGAAACATTTAAAATTTTAAATAGGAATTTTAAAAAAAAGCAAAATTAAATTTTTGTGGAAACCCTGTATAATAATAATAATAATAACAACAACAACAACAATACCTGTAGTCTATGTCACCATTAAGCGGACCAATTTTGTATTTTCCATCATTTTCAGTAACTAAAGTATGAATAGGAACTTGTTTATCTTTTCCAAAAATATTTATTATTACTCCTTCTAGTTTAGGTACAATTGAACCACTTACAATCTGCAATTAAAAATTAAAAATTATTTATAAGATTGATTTTACATTTGAACAGTAAATAACCTTCGAATACTAAATTTGAAACAAACCTTTCCCAATTCACCACTAAATGAAGCAACATTATTATTACAGTCATTTTCTCCTAAAATTCTCAACGAAGGAGGACTGAATAACATAACCTCAGAATTCGGAACAATGACATATGAATGATCAGCAGTAGCGTCAAATTCAAAGGTGTATTTATATGCGTTATTTTCTTTAATTGATTGTAAAGGCCCAAGTCTAGAAACAAAATCAAATAATGTTTTGTCAGTTTAATTGTACGAGGCCTTTAAACGGATTTAAAAAGGTGTTATTTTAAAAGACTTTATTTCATAAGGACGTAAAATTATTTGAACAAAATCAAATAATCTTAATTTAAGCTATTTTTTTGTCTGATTCGAATTGGAATTCTATTTTATACTTACATAAGAGGATCTCCAACATCATTTTCAATTCCCACTCTAATTTCCTTTGAAGCAACTGAACTGACAATACTTCCACTGTGCTTGTGTTTAGCCGATGTGAGAATTATGGGCATTCTATTTTTCGTATCCCATTTATATGATGCTTTTGTAAAAGTATGACAACTCTTTGGCATGAATTCATATCCACCAGTTTTCGGTACACAATGTCTCGAACTTCCTTTGGTTAATGTTAACATTCGTTTGGCAGTTTCTTCAGGGATTGAATATTCAATGTCAGTATCGTGAGACGAAATGAATGTGACGGAAAATCCCGTTTGTCGGAAAAGACTAATTTCTGCTTGTTCCGAGGTGACCATAATCTTGTGAGTGGAATTTTCCCAGCAGAAAATATCAGTGTCGATTAGAACTTCGTATTGCCCCGGCAGTACATCAGAGAATTCGTAAGTTCCATCTGTACATTCAATAAGTTTACATTTACATTTATTTATATTTATTTGTATTCAAGGGCCAAATTTAAAAATAAATTCCCTACCTTTGATTTGCACAGTTTTTACAGTTACACCATCGACGACTTTTAAAGTAATAGATGCCTGACTGCAATCTGTACTATCTAGACACTTGACTTGGCCTTTCAAAGTTGCTTTCAATTGCAGGAAATTAATGTTGTCAAGAGACTTTGAAGACACGGTGATTGTTTGTTGCAAAGGGAAAAATCTATTGACAAAACATTCATGTACTTGAAAGTAAAATTTCATCAAAACTCAATAAACTTTGACAGTATGTTAATAAATCCAATAACTTACTGTAAACCTTTATTGGTCTCTTCTTCAGTAACAATCACGTTCAATTGATATTTGGAAGGTGCGAGAAAAACACAAAAGTCCCCACTGCTGGAATCAACTTCAACTTCAGTAAAGAAATGTAAAGCAGCACTTTTAATTAAAACCTTACGATAGTGAAGTACATTTTTTGCAGATAAAGTTACTTTTCCACAGACTTTATAAGTTGACGGGTTTATCACAGGCATTTCAGAAGAGCTTGGAGAAACTTTGACAAGCTTTTCTTCAAATTGTACATTTTCTGTGCGAGAAAATAATTCATTTATGTTTGTAGAATATATAAATAAATAACTAATTTGACTTTATCGAAACTTACGACTTTCGGCTTTTAAAAGATATTTCCCCGACTTAATATTGTCGACTTTGTATTTTCCAGTTTTATCAGTGACAGCAACTTCCTTTCCAGAGAGAAAAACTTTGGCTCCAACCAGCGGCTTGCCTTGAGCAGAATCCAATACCAAGCCACTAACTGTGAATCCTGTTACTTTGAAATTTTGAGATAATATTAAACTGTCATGATTGACTTTAAATCGTACTTCAGATGGCTGCACATCAAATTTGGTTCGCGTTCCCGCATAATGAGGTACGAGTTTGTACTCTCCATGGGAGACTGAAGGGAAAGTGAATTTTCCATTTTCGTCCGAATTAACATAACACAATGGATTTGCAGATGACGATTCTTTAGTGAACCCTTTTTCACAATTTTTCACATGACCATTCTGTAAATAATAATAATAATAAAAATAATAATAATAATAATAATAATAATAATAATAATAATAAATTGTTATTATAATTGACAATAATAATAACAAAATCTAATGATTTTCGAATGGAAAAATATTTTACCCCAAAAAGAAGAAATGATACTCCATTGACAGGTTCATCGTCACTTAAAACTAATCCACTGACGTCGTATCCAAAAACTATTAAACTATCATCAGGAAGCTTTGTATTTCCTTCTTGAACAATAACTTTTATCATACTCTTTTCCATAATCCACCTTCGAAGTTGGAGAAATTTTTAAAAATAAAACGATGACACAAGAAATACATTATACCACATTTTAGTTTAAAGCAAAGAAATCAAGAAAAAAAAGTTTTGAATCGATAAAAGATGTGTTTTCCATTCATATATTTTATCTAGATTACTCACTGTGGGTGACTGGCATTTAAAATATAATTTCCAGGTTGAACTGGAGTAAAATAGAAATTTCCTTCTTGAGAAGTGATAGTTGAACTTATAGGGGATGTTTTTTCACTGTCTTTATATAATGAAATTGTTACTCCTTTTGGACCAGAATCAGAACCTTTACTAATTACCTGCAAAAATTCATTAATATTAAAATCACAAAAAAAAGTTTTATGCAACAACCATCATTTTTTGTTTGAAAACACAATATTTTTACAGTGAATAATGCAAAAATCTATTTCTTACTCTGCCTGTAATTCCAAATCCTTTGAAAATAAAATTTATATCTTTTCCCTGACTACAAATATCCGTAGATCCATCAACATTTAATTCAACTTCTGTAGGTTCAAAACTCCAACCTGGAGGTGGTTCAACCTATCAAAAAAATAATCGTTTGTTATAAATGTATATATTTCCAGTAAATAAAAAAATTTTATTCCTTTTGTAATTTATCAATTATCAATTATCAATTATAAATTATCAATTATCAATAATCAATTACCTTTAACACATATTCTCCTTTATCATAAAGAGGTAAAAAGTAATATCCACTATTAGGGGCTGCTTCTGTATGATCTTTAACACTTCCTGTTTTTGTGAGTCTAAAAAGTTTCAGTCAATTTACTTAATAAATAGATAAATAAATAAATAAATTACATAGAAAACTAAATAAAACAATCGACTTACAATTTTACACGAATTTGAGTGAAATCTAAATCAGTATGACTTTTTATAAATCCTCCACAACCCAAAATATCTTCTGCCGTACAAAATGGTACAAAAAGGAAGATTGTAATTAAACTAAACAAATTGTTAGAAAAGACTTTCATTTTGAAGTTTTTATAGATCTGGTCCAAAATTTCCAAAAAAAGTTTCAACGATCAACTAAAAAGATATTCGTTATTAATTAAATATAATTAATATTATATAAAATATAATTTAACAGAATTACACTTCTTGTACTGTACTTATATCTCGGAAAAATATATTTAAAATTACCTTATATATATAACTAATAATTCATAGTTGAAAAGTGTTTTTACTAAACCTCAACGTCATCATAATATCACAACGATGAACGATCGATTAAAAACCTTATGATCAAAAATGCCGAAATAACCTAATGTTTTTATATTGTTTAAGGTTGAGTCCACAATAGCACCTTCAAGAGTGTGCTATTGTGGACTCAACCTAAAACTGTAAACGGAAGAATGAGTTAGACAAGGATAAGCAATTATACTTATCCTTCTCTAACTCATTCTTCCTTCCTTCCGCTACGATACGATCACGATTTCGGTTACGGTTAAAGTTTCTATTCTGCGTTGGCCTTTTGCTGAGTTTTTTTCATTGAGCAATGTGGATGACGCTGTATGGAAACAGCAGCGATACCTACAGTTCAATATTGTTACTGGTCTACACACAAGTGTAACCTTTCTACCCGGCGTATATTATACAATTTTTTTCCGTGTATTATATACAACCACGTTGATGTTGACTCGTGGCATACTCGTCACGGCGTTAGAAATATGAATTCATCAAGAAGTATTATTTTTCTGTGTTTATTTTATATTTTTGCGGGAGTAAATGCCAATGGACCCACCTTGGTTTTGCTAGATAATTTAGCTATAAAAGAAACGCATTCATTATTTTTCAAATTCCTACAAGGTAAGAGAAATAACTTACAATTCAATTTAATATTAGTACTTATAAAAATAAATGTAATACTTTTCTATAAAAGTAATTTCACCCACTAAATTCTTTCAGAAAATGACTATAATCTATCCTTTAAATTGGCCGATGATTCAAATTTACTTTTATCAAAGTATGGTGAATATTTGTACAAGCACTTAATCATTTTTGCGCCGTCCGTTGAAGAGTTCGGAGGATCGTTAAATGTTGAAGCAGTAACTGACTTCATTGATGGTGGTGGGAATGTATTAGTTGCGGGTTCGTCGCAATCAGGCGATGCTCTGAGAGAATTGGCATCTGAGTGTGGTTTTGAAATTGACGAGGAAGGTGCTACAGTAATTGATCATATGAATTATGATGTGTCAGACATGGGTCAGCACACTACAATTGTAGCGGATTCATCTAATCTAATTGATGCCTCCGTAATTGTGGGAAATAAAACAATTCCTCCTCTACTTTATCAAGGAACTGGATTGATTGCCGATCCTGATAATCCATTAATTCTTCGATTACTCACTGCTTCTAGCTCAGCATATTCTTACCATCCAGATCAATCGGTCAAGGAATATCCTCATGCTGTGGGAAAGAATGCATTGTTGATTGCAGCCCTTCAAGCTAGAAATAATGCCAGAGTTTTGTTCTCTGGCTCCTTATATTTCTTCAGTGATGAGGCTTTCACAAGTTCGGTGAAAAAATCACTAGGTAATACATTTATCTTTAAATTACAATAAAAGTTTTCTTTTCGGTTTCGATAATGTAAATTTAAAGAATTTAATTAATGTTTCGACACTTGGCTTTGTGATTGAAATAACTATTAATGCTATAATTTATTTGATTCAGGTGGACAAAAGTATGACTTATCAGGCAATGAGATGGTTGCCAGAGCCATGGCTAATTGGGTTTTTAAGAAAAAAGGAGTGATTCGAGTTTCTGGAGTACATCATCATCGAGTCGGGGAATTGCAACCACCCACATCCTACACAATAATGGACGATGTTGTTTATTCCGTGAATGTCGAGGAATTATCCGGAAAAGAGTGGATTCCTTATGAAGCCAATGATTTGCAATTGGAGTTTGTGAGAATTGATCCATTTGTACGAATGTCCATGAAACCAGTTGGCAATGGTCGGTATGAGGCGAGGTTTACTATTCCGGATGTATACGGGGTTTATCAATTTAAAGTTGACTATACGCGTGTAGGATTGACACATTTGTACAGTACAACACAGGTTTCAGTTCGACCCTTGCAACACACGCAGTACGAACGATTTATACTCAGTGCCTATCCATATTACGTCAGTGCTTTCTCAATGATGGGAGGAGTCTTTCTGTTTTCATTGATCTTTTTACATTTTAAGGAAGAAAGTAAATCGAAATCAGAATGATTAATTATAATTAAAAAACTTTTACTTTGCAAGAATATCGTTTCTTGATCATCATTCTCATGAAAAAATCATGTACCATTGCGTCTTGAAGAAGAATCCTACTTCAAATTTCATTGGACTTGAAAGTCTCTAAATGAACTTGGTAAACAAACAATTAAGTTTTATTACAAAAAAATGCATTTTTTTAATTTTGTAAAGCTCAAAAATTTAGAATAATTGTTTAAAAAGTTATTTATAAATGCATTTTTTTTCTAAAGGAGGTTCTACAATGAGGGCAAAAAAGTTTGGATTAGACTTTTTGCACTCATTGAAGAATCTTCTTAAAAATAAAGGAATAAACTCTCCTCAAGTTTGAATACTTACCTCATTAAATTTAAAATAACTGATTTTGTTAGAACATGTTTTAAGAAAAAATAAAAGACAACAATTTTTAAAGAAATAACAAGTTTATTTAAATATAAATTACCTATACAAAATCTATATTATAATAATTAATGAATGAATTTTTAATTAGTAATGAATAATTTCACTATTAAAATTTATTAAAATTATGTATAGAAAATTTAAATCTTTTAAATCATTTTATTAGAGTTTTTGTAAATAATTAAATTCTTTTGATGAAAGGAAAATCTTTGTCCTTTTTTAGGGAAAATTTTATTAAAATTTTGGAAAATAAATGTAATCCTCCGAAGAATTTAATTATTTTTAAAAAAATAATTAAATTTTTGCGATGAATTTTACTTCGAAAGGATTTCTTGACAAGAATTTGTTTCCAATTTTTAAAAATAATTTAATTTTTGCAAAGATATTACTATTTTAAAAAAATAATTCAATTTTTGCAAAAAATTTTATTATTTTTAAAAATAACTGAATTCTTATGAAGAATTTTATTATTTATGAAAATAATTGAATTCTTCCGAAGAATTATATTAAAATTTGTGAAATTATATTATATTTATATATAATATAATATTTTTTTATATATATTATATTGTGCGGTCACCTTAAAACCGAAAGCATAAATTTGATGAGTGCAAGAGGGATAGTCATACCATATTATGTTGTCCTTCTCTTTCTCATTCATACATTTGTGTTAGTAAAATCTCTATTCTGAACAGTCCTTAAAATAAAAAGGAACCCATTGTGAGCATAACCTTAATGTCAAAAGAAGAACAATACTGCATATAAAAAAGTTGTACATTTTGTATTGTTATTATATCTAATTTTTATAAAACACAAACAATGGCAGCAATTAGACATAAATTACAAAGAGAAATTTTTACTCCTAATGATGAAAAAATACTGAGCATTTGCAGCGTTAGAAAAGAATATAAAAAAAAGAAAACAAGTTTTTTGTGTTTAACTACAGTGATGGATACTCCTGACTCTTATTTTTTACACCTAGTGAAAAAAAGTGACAAAAATGTTTTTAAAAAGAAACAATCTTGGTCTTTGGCTGATATTAGAACAGTTGATGGTATTGAGGAAAATTCCATGGATTTAGAATTACATATTGATAAAATTTACAAGTGGTCTATTATAACTGCTCAAGAGAAGCATAGTTTTGTCATTAATTTATATACGTGTTCCTTTAGTCTTCCACAGAGAGCGGAATTCAAAAATTTGCCCAAAGAATGGCTCCTTGATAGCTCGTGTATAAAAGAAGGAAGTCTAGATAAGAGTATAAAATTAAATGCAGGTAAATAACATGAAAAGTAATTTATTGAGACAGTATTCAAATGAATATTGAATCAAAAAATTCGTTTTTTCTAAAAATTAATAATTATTTATCAATTTATGTTCAATGTTGGATGTTATTTCTGTTTGACAGGTTTATTAGAATCTTCACTGTCATTGGAATATCAGCCTATTACTGAAAAGGAAGCTACAGATCTCGATAAATTAATGAAATCTTGTGATTATGCAGTTTCTAATGCTGAATATTTTATGGAAACTCTTTCAAAGGATCTTTCTGTCTTGGATGGGGTAAATTTCATGTTTGGCCTTTCTTTTTTCATGGTGATATTTCTTTCTATTGAATTGGAATTAAATTGAAATGAATAATGCAATAGGAGAACATACAATCCGTGCTTGCATCTGAGCCTCAAGTGACACTTTTAATGAATGGAATAGAAGCAGCAATTTCTGAAGCGACATTAGTTGAAGAACGTCTTTGTATTTATGATGAGGCATTGGGCAGAATTAGAGAAGCTATGGCAAGAGTTGGTCAAAAAAATCAAGCTATACACACTGCTAATCTCAATGCCAGAGAACTACTTGATCAACTTGATGTAGTAATTGTATGATCTATTTTCAACAAACAATTTCAAGTATAAGCAAAACTTTATCTTTTTATTTATTGGCAATCTCTTTTTAGACTCAACTAAAAATTCCTGCGAACCATCAGGTAACACTAAATGAGGCCGAACTACCTGGAAATCGAGAGGATCTTCGACTTGCCGGTGTTGCTCTATTGAAAGCAATATCTGCACCTTTACCGCCAGGTCTTGAAAAATTAAGCGCCGTTGTTGAACAAAAAAGACGATTGGATAAAATGAAAGCTAAATTCTCTCAAATAGTTGCTAGACACTTGAATAATCTTTTTATTCATTTGGTAAGGAATTCTTTTTTTTTCAACTCCAAAATTAATGTGAATACAAAATTGAATTGAATCAAAAACGTAATGTTGAAATTAGGGTAATGATATAGGAGAAATGCAAGTCACCGTAGAATTAACGCTTCCAACTCATCAAGCAATGCACCATGAATTAGAACCTTATACGGAATTAATGAAATTACTCAGGGTCTTAGATAACAAGGCTTTTAATCAATTAACAAAAGTCTACACCGATACGATGAGTAAATTATATCAAAGGGATTTTAAATTTTTCTTCGAAGAAGCAAAGAGTCGATTAATCATCAAACGATCTCACGGTAAGGCACATATCTGCTTCTAGTAAAAGACAGTTACTAATTGTCTATTGTTTCAGCAAATACTTCAAAATCTAAAGAACAAAAAGCAGAGGATTTGATAAACGCTGCTCCAATTTCGCTTTTAAGCTGTGATAATTGGACACCTCAAGGCGACGGGGCTTTGCTGGATTCTATTTTAGAAAGTGTTTTATCCCAATTGCAACCAGTTTGCTTTGCAGAACAAGCATTTTGTGTCTCTTTTCTTCAATTACTAGGACCTTCAAAAGTAATTTTCGATCTTGAAATTAAATTTTAAAAAAAGGAATAATTTATTCGTATATTGAAAAAATTCAATATACGAGTCAGTTGAATAGCATTTGTTTCGAATAGATTCTTTGATTTTAATTTAACACTTGTTAGATTTCAGATGTAAATGATAGCGACAATTATGGCAACGGGGCCATGAGTCCTGGTTCAGTGGGGTCGACAACTAGTAAAAAATTAGAACGTCAAGTCAATGAAGAAGTTCGAGCTACAATGGCTGTCATTTTTCCTTCTCTTGAAAACGAATTAAACCATTTCATTTCCTTCTTAGACAAAATAGACAGCTTGTAAGTAAACTTTTCAATTAACTATAAATTTTACAATTTAAGTTAAAATTTTTAAATTGTAAGTTTTGAGTTTTCCAAGTATTTGCTTAAAGTAAATATTTTCAGCTGGTGCATGTATGTTTTGGTTCGACTCTCGCAGCATGTGATGTCAGCCCAAGATACAGGATCGTTTCTTTCAATGACTTTTGCTTCAGCTCTCGTTCAAGTGAAGCGGGCCTTTGACAAATTTATGCAAGCTCAACAACAGTCAATTATTCGCGATACTAAAGTAACGCGAAAAAATAAATGCGGCATATTGCCTTATGTGGAAAATTTTAATTCTTTCGCTAGAATTGCAGAAGGTATTTTCCGCAGTTCTGATAGGAAAGTAGATTTAGAAAAATGGTACACAAAACTAATAAGTACAATGTTCGAGGCAATTATTGTACATAGTGGCGAACATCATAAAACACCGCAAGAAGTTATAAAAATGGGTATATTTATCTTTAAATGTGTCAGGCTCCGGAGAAACGTGAAGCAAAAAATTTGAGGTTATGTTTTTAATTTGTTGAGTTAAAATACAGATAAAGAATCAATTATTAATTAAAAATTATTGATCTTAAAGTCTTTATTATATCGAAAATATTCAATGGAAATTGGTTTCAAATTCAAATAATTAAAAATAAACTCTTAATCAAGATGAATCTAACACGAACCTAACCTATAATTCGTTTGCTTCTTAAGGTATCTTTGGAGCGCGTCACAAATTGTTTTCAATAATAAGTTGTACATTATTTATATTTCATGCTTATTTATATAATTACAGAAAACTTTCATCATATGTATGATCTTCTGTCACAATTGAAAATTTCTGTATTGGATCACGAACGTAAAGAGGCGAAACAAAAATATCAAGAAGCTCTTAGAGCTTATGTTGTTCAGTATTTTGGCAGACCTCTAGAAAAGCTGAACGTAAGATTCTCTACACATTTAGAATTACACATTAACAATTTAATTTAATTATTACTTTAGTACTAATTACATACTTCTTTTTAGTTTTTCTTTGAAGGAGTTCAGGCGAAAGTAAGTACGGGAATTAAAGAATCGGAAATAAGTTACCAAATGGCATTTAGCAAACAAGAATTGAAACGAGTATTAAAGGAATATCCGGCACGTGAAGTGAAAAAAGGATTAGAGCATCTCTATCGAAAAGTGGAGAAGCATCTTTGTGAGGAGGAAAACTTACTTCAGGTAAAAGAATTTCAATAAAAAGATTCCGAATTTTTTCATTTACTACTATTTAAAGCATCGCAAGGCATTGCAATGCATCGCAATAAAAGCAATCTATTTGAGAAATTTCTTTTTTACTATAAATATTTTTATTCGTTATTTTTTAATTTTTATAAAAACAAAAATAAAATCACTATCACTGGTATCATACATAGAAAATTAGCACGTACACAAAGTTCGTGCTAAATTAAAAATTGTAATTGATTTTGGGTCTGTATAGGTATTTTTAAATTTTAGTCCTTAAATTTTTGAAAAGACTACGTTATTCTAGACTTTATGTCAAAAGTTTAAAACAATTTTTAAGGAAATAAATTGATTTTCTAGGTCGTTTGGCGAGAAATGCAAGGCGAATTTATAGCACAATACATTTATATTGAAGAATTGATTCAACGATGTTACCCTGATAGTATGGTGACTTTAGAATTTACAGTACAAGATATATTAGACTTTTTTTCAGAAATAGCACAGTCTCATTGAAATTAATATTATGTACAGTAACGAACAGAATAAAGAGCAATGAACGATACTGATTATTTCGTAACAAGTCAATTGATTCTCATACAAAGATTTTTACTTTTTTTCGTGCATTATACATCTTATTCAATAAAGTATTGTAGATTACTAAAATTATATACGTATATAATCTAAAAATCATTAATAGATAAAAAAGTAATCGTTATGCACTTGGAAAATATAATTCTCAGTAGAAAAGAAATTAAATTATTGAAATTATTGGGAATTTTGAATTAACATTTTGGTTCTCCTGACAGTGCCAGTTTTACAGTTATTTACATTGCTGGCGAATCGCAACGAATTGAGAGTTTCGTTGTAACATTCATCTAGAGGAGAAATGTTAAGAAGCATAAGCGTCTTGGAATTGCCTCCCAAAGATGGCATTAGAAGATGCGTTAGCTTTGAATTTCTGTAGGGTATGTGATCCTGCTTTTTCAAAAGCGCGAGAATTACGTTGCCAAGATTCGATAGAGATTTATTGATATTCTTCGTCTCTGTTGTTCGCGCAGCTTCCTCTCCTTTCAATCGTTCAGAGCCGGCCAAATCAACCAAATTCAGGTTACCTATTGACATCTCATCTTTTCGGGTATGTCTGCCAATTAAACGAATTCGAGCAACCGAGTGTGAACGTGACGATCTGGAGAAAATAAAAATCAATCATTTTTAATATACCGCACAAGAGAATTTTCATATGATTATTTAAATTATTTACCTCTCATTGGCTTGTGTAGCGGCAACAGCACGATTTTGTTGAGCAATCAGCAGACAATTGTGTAATTCTTCCGGGCTGTGAATTTCCTCAACTCGCAAATTGCTGACATACAAATCATTCCCTTTACTGTCAGCCATTCGTATCTCAAGCAATTTTGGCTGAGAGTCCAGTAAATCAACTATATGCTCATTGTAAATTTCAAGAAAACTTGCTTCGATCTTATATTCCCAACCGAGCAATTCAAATTGTTTCATTTCATGGAAAATGTGTCTCACCTGTAAAGTGACGAATAAAAAGAAAAATAATTCATAGAAACATAAAAAATTTATAAATTAAATGAAAAAGAAAAAACTTACAGTTCTTGGTATCATTCCTTCACTATTTTCTCCGGGATATCCCTCCATTGTATATGTTTTTCCCGAACCTGTTTGCCCATAGGCAAAAACACAGACATTATATCCATCCAACGCTGATTGAACAAGAAGCGACAATTCTTCAAATATATCTGACTGATTTGAGTTGGGTGGAAAGACTTTATCGAATTGAAAATCTTGTCGAGATTGACGTATCTTACCTCCACAGCCAATCTCACCACCTTCTCCTCGTCCAACTTCTATGGTGCATTCGTCGACATAATTAATATGACATAATCTGCAAGTGAATGTAAATTATTAATCAATATAATCAACTGATTCAATGATAAAAATAAATAAACAAAGACATTATTAGTACCCTTTAGAAGCTTCTTTGGGAATTGTGGGCCTCACTCGACAAAATACTCGAATGTTGCCTTTCATTTCTTGCATAGTATTGTGGAGAATTCTTCGTTCCTTATCCATATTGTGTACTAATATTTGCAAATTTTCATTTGTCGAAGTCAATTTGGTGTTATTGGTTCTTTCACTTCTCAGTTCCTCTTCACATTTATCCAACCTTATTTTTTGTTCATTTAAAATTATTTCTTGTTTACTGCACCTCTCCTTATACTCGGTTAAGGATTCAGTGGCAATTTTGTAAGAAGTCTCCAAGTCTTGAAGTGTTTTTTTTAAATTTTCAGCTTCATTGTAATACTCTTCTCGTTCAACTGTTGCTTTTTGAAATTCTTGATTCAACTTCGCATTGGAGCATTCCAATTCTTCAATTTTAACTTTAAAGGTATTTTCATTTTCTTGAACATTCTGAAGAGCTTCCTCCATTTCAATAAATTTGCTGGACATTTCTTTATTTTTACTCTTAAGTGCTGTTAATTCGTCTGTAGTATATGCTAATCTGCCTTTGAGATCCCATTTTGCTGGAGGTTTGGTCGCTGGCTTTGCCGGTGGTTTCGTTACTGATTTTCCTGGTGCTTTATTATTTACAGCAGCAACTGATGTCGTTGGTGGTTTAACAGTTGATCGTTGAGAAATATTTGGCCGTTTCACTTCAATTGCATTTATAGCATTTCCCAGTCTTTTTAAAGGCGCTTTTGGCTGCGTCGGTCTTTGTCTCAATATCGTTGACATTGTTTTTGAACGAATTAATCCTACTTCTTTCGGTGGATTATTCTCAGTGCTACTTTTGCCATTTAAGTTTGTCGTTTTAGTTGGATTTTTCACATTGTCTCCTATTCTCGTTGCACTCGTTATATTCGATGTACTTTGCGAAGCTATTGCTTTCAAATGATGTGAACTTCCTGCTGTCGATAAAGTACTTTTGGATTTTACTAAATTTATCTTTGGCTGTGGAAGACGAGATTCCATCTATTTCAAAATTAAAGAAACAATTTATCAACTATTTTATAATTACTAATTTAGATTTAAAATAATTTAATCTTTTATAAGAAATTATTAAATAACATTTTATATGTATTAGTAAAATTTTCTTTACATAAAAAAATTAACACACAAAATCTCTTAACTAAAAATTATGTGAATCAAATGTAACATTTTTAATTTTTAAATAACATTCAAGAATAATGGAACAAAACTAACTACATACATTCTTAATCGAAAACAAAATAAATCAAGGGACTTACATTTGATTTAGTATGTTTTAATGTCATATCAAAATCATTATAATTTACAGTTTTGGCAAATACTAATAATTCAAATATTTAATTAAAATGATTGAAAACACTCTATTAGCAGTATAAAGCAAACAAATTATAATATTGCAATCATTTACCTTGATTGTTTTGAAGGGAAGGAAACGTTATTAATTATCTGTAGTCACAACACTGAATAAAAAGTTCGAGAATAATTTTGGATATCTATCGCAATCTAAATGAAAACACACTTTATATTATTTAAAGCACATATAAATGTAAAACAAAGTTACACCAAAACTATTTCACATCTCTCAAATGATAGTGTACAAGAGGAGATAAATAACGACCACTTTTTTGAACTTAAAGTATGAAGAATTAATTGAGCGTCAGTAGTAACCACTGATGCCAACCAATGAAAACGGAAATCATGAGAGCATAAGAGTGAAAAAGAAGAATAGATATCCTACATCTTTGTCTCTCTCATGGAGGGGATTGCACCCTTATGGAGCGTTCACACCTCGGCTGTCTGCGCGCAAGAGATTTTCTTTTTCGTTGTCTATCTCTTTCACTCTAATTGCGCAGGCAGTCGAACTGTAACCGTACCATAAAGGCCAAAACCAACTCAGGTATTCTGAACTCACCTTTATACTTAATGCAAAGAACTTAACCAAACCAAACCAGAAATATGGTCTCTAAAGTTATTAAAATTAAAGTTTTGATTTAAGAAGAAAGATTATTCGGAAGTTTCTGAAAGAGCTCCCATAACAAGACTGTAAAATATTAATTTATTATACCATATTTTCCAATTTTGCTTTAAACTCAGATTATCTTTGAAAACATTTTTACGAAAACAGGTATAAAACATTTCAATAAATTTAAATTCACGGATGGTATTTTTTCCATTTATATTCTTAATTATACTACTTCAATATTTTGTAAAATAATAAATCTCTTGTTTATTTTTAAATATCCAAATAATTATATGCTAATTCTTGATTGTACTATTGTGATGAATATCGCTTTAAAATGGAGTTTAAAGGTTCTTACTAAACAGTACTAAATGACTTTTGTATTCACGTTCATATAATTAGAATCAATTAGAATATTATATTAAGAATTCAAGAATTAGTTTGTATCTTTGTTTATTGTGGCAAAAATAATTGAATAAGGAGATTTTGATATATACTTTTCAATTAGAATGGAGGGCAAAGAGGAAAATGGTGTGAGTGTTGTTGAGGAGTCTAGCAGCGAAAATCGTGAAAAATCTAAAATGAAAGGTGCTCGGGACAACGAAAAAATCAATTTACTTGTCAGTAAATTTGGAGATAATCAAGATGATGAAAATGAAGATGTCAATGATGAGGATTTTATGAACGAAATGGACGTGGTTGATGCTTGGGAAGGTGATGAAGACCGTTTAAATGATGACACAAAACGAGGGAATCATCCTAGAGAACGAGAAAAAAAACTCACATCTAGGTAGCAGCTTCTTTGTAGAAAATTTCTATTAATATTAAGTACTTGATCTGAATTTTAATCTTTTTTAAATTTCAATTCACAATTTTTTGTATTACTTATTAATTGAACAAATAGTTTCTTTTCAATTAAACAAAGAGAAAAAGTGTAGCAACCCTTTTAATTATGTTTACAAATTATTAACTTTTTATTTACAATATTGAATGCTTGTAATTTCATTTTTTTCTTTTATTTAATGAATTTTAATTTTTTTTATGTAAAAAGTTGAGACATTAACGTTTGAAAAGGAATGAATTTAAGCGTACTTGTAGGGAACGACGTAGACTTGAAAGAAGAGCGGAGAGTCGAGAAAGAGAGAGACTCAGAAAAGAAGAGAAGAAACGAGAACCAATTCGTCGTGATCCACAGAAGAGCAATAAAGATATTGAACGAGACAAGATTCGTGCGAAAAAAGACTCTGAGAGTAAGCTCCTGGCCGAGAAGGAAAGAGCGATAAAGCATATTTTAGATTCAGATGAAGTGGTCCCACCGGGAACGGAAGAAGATGCTATTGAGAGTATAGTTGAGAAGCAAACCCAGGAAACGATTCTACGTCGAAAGAGCTTGGAACGGTTCAAGATTAGTCCTACAAGACGAAGAAGAGTGAGTCCATATCGCGTTCGAAGAAGTCCCTATCTATTGAGCCCGGAGAGAAGAAGAATTTCACAGCATCGTAGAAGTCCACTCATTCTTAGTCCGGAGCGTCGCCGAAGTCCTGATAGACGTAGAAAGCCAAGTTGGGATCGTCGGAACAGCACAGAAAGAAAGTGGAGCATCGAACGGCAGAAACGACGATTGGAACAACGCGATCGGTAAGATAAAATAAATACACTTGATATTAATTAATATTAATTATTTCACATTCATTACTTTGTGTGCACATTTTTTTCTAACCAAAAATTCAATATTTAGTTAGGTAATCAGTGTACTTTTGTTTATGATAAATAGATTAAAACAAGTTGTAATTGTGTTTCATTCTACTATTTTTTAATAAACACACCACGTTGTTAATAATTTAAATGTTATTAATCAAACAGTTCAATTGTATGTCTACGGAGTAAATCTGAATAAGTCACTGGTTTCTTGTAAATATTTGCAACAATTAGAGTAAATCTTAGTGAGAAACTATGTTATTAGTGAATTCAAGATGTCGAATCGAAGGAGCCGATCTCGTGATCGTCATCGAAGTTCCAGCATTGAACGTCGCAAAAGATACAGTCGATCACCGCGACGTCGAAGTCACAGTCGCAGCAGATCTCCGGACCGACGCAGAAAACGCTCGCCATTCATCAATGAAATTGCAAGGCAATTGAGAAACGAAATGGAAGTCGCATCCACTCTAAACAGATATTCGGGACCGGTAAATGTGTCATCTTCATCTTTTCACATTGATTCTTCTCAGTCGAGACTACCTTTGTTGCCAAACCCAAATTTCACACCACAGGGGCCAGTAATTGCTGGGCCTTCGTCAATGCCAAGCGCAATCGGACCACCGGGAATAAACGCGCCACCTGGAATGCCGGGGGGAGCGCCTCTCACTCGATCAGCGCCATTCATGAACTTCGATTTACTACCGCCTGGACCGATCATCAACTTTGAGCCGCCCATGCCAGTGCATTTGCGTCCACCGCCTGACTTCGCACCACCATTCGGACCGCCTGTTCCACACGGACCACCACCGCCTGGACAACTCATTTTGGGTCCCCCGGGTCTGCCTCTACCAGTTCCTTCACCGCAACCCGTTCCTGCTCCAGGGATTTCGGAACCACCTTCTGTTTACAATTCACTGCGGCAGCCTATGTCGCAAATTTCATCAAATCAAAATCTTTTGGAGACTAATAAGAATCCTATTAATTCTTCACATAATTCTTCACAGCAGACAACTTATCACGATTGCAGACCATCCTCACCTTATAACATTCACGAGATGACGCAGGATGAACGTTTGAAAACGCCAGAACCACCTGTTATTTCAAAATCCAAAGTAATTATCTTGATATTTACATTTTTAACTTTATTTTATAATCGACTCAGGATTGCCACGCAACCTGGAATCCTGAAAAACCTGAAAAAGTCAGAATTTTTATTGAAATTCTGTAAAATTGTTGTCTAAAGTTAGTGTATTTATTCTTGAAATCTAATTTTACTTCAATATTTCAAAATTAATTCAATTTTAAAAGAATTGCGTTTATAATTTTCGTAAATAAATAAATAAACTTCAAAAGGTTTTAATTTGAAATTTTACAAAATTCTTTATAAATTTCTTCGCAATAATTCAATTATTTTCATAAAGAATCAAATTTTTTACAGGGATTCAATTATTTTCATAAATAATAAAATTATTTTCAGAAATTTAATTATTTGCATAAATAATACAACTCATCGCAGAATTTCCATTATTTTTAATACAATTTTCATGGAATTTCTCGAAAAATGTAATTATTCTTTGAAATTTTATTAAAATTCATCAATGAAATTCAATTATTTTTAAAAAAATGTTAATGAAAAACATTTTAATAGTTCAACTTTTTTTAAAAATAATTTTAATAAAATTCTTCGTAGAAAATTTATTAATTTTAATAATTTATCAAAATTCAATTCATTTTAATTAAATTTCTTGGGAGAATTGAATTAAATATTTTCAAAAATTTTAATGAAAATGTTTTTAACAATTCAATTTTTTAAAAAAATAATTTAAAAAATTTCTTTGTAGAAATTTAATTAATTTCAATTATATTTATCAAAATTCAATTATTTTCAATATCTAAAATATTTCACAAAGGAATTCAATTATTTAAAAAGAAATAATATTAAAATTCGCCTCAAGAATTCAATTATTTTCAAAAGTAATAAAATTCTTCGCAGAAATTCAATTATGGTCAAAAGTTTAAAAAAAAAATGATCGTCAAAATTTCAATTATCTTTATAAATAATAAAATTTTTTTCCAAAATTCAATTATTTTCAAAAATTTTAATGAAATTCATGGTAAAATTTAAATTATTTTCAAAAACTTTCCTCAATTCAATCAAATTTTTTTTCAGAGTTTTAATTATTTTTAATACAATTTTAATCTAATTTCTCGAAAATATGAAATTTTAGAATAATTATAATTATTGTCAAAAATGTTTGTAAAAATCTTTGAAACAATTCAAATATTTCGGTAAAAAATAAAATTCTTCGAAGCAATTCAATTATTTAAGAAACTTTAATAAAATTCTTCCCAAGAATTCAATTCTTCTCTAAAATAAAATTTGTCACAGGAATTTAATTATTTAAAAAAATATTTTATAAAATTCTGAGAAAATCAATTATTTAAAACAATTTGAATAAAATTCTTCACAAGAAAATTATTATTTTCATAAATAATAATATCTTTCTCCGGAATTTAATTCTTTAAAAAAAATGTTAATAATATTTGTTGCAAGAATTCAATTATTTTCATAAATATAACAAAACTTATGGCTTAATTAAAATTATTTTTTATACAATTTTAAACAAACTGATAGAAAATTGCATTTATTCCTAAAATTACTTTTTAAATTCGCCGAAAGAATAAATTCAATTATTTAAAAAAATTTTCATATAATTCTTCATAAAAATTCAATTTTAAGAAATATTCAATTATTTAATAAATTATTTATTTTTGTATTTAAATAATCGTAGAATTTTGTAATAAATATTGATTTAAATATGAATTTAAGTTAAAATTTTAGATAATAATTAAATATTAAAATCTTTAAATTTGAATTAGTAAAAATGTTTTCTGATTTGAATTAGTGACTGATTTTTTGTTTTGAATGTTTGAATTTTTCATACTTTTTACTAAAAAAATTGTGTAGATTTAATATTTTTAAAAAAGTTTAATGGAACATTTTTGAAATTATTTAAAGTTTTTATTTTCTAATATTATATAATTGAAGAATTTTCAAATAATGGAAAAAATTTCGTAAAATTGAATTGTAAACAAAAGAATTTGGAAATTTTCAAAGAAAGTTTTGAAAAATTATTAAAAATGAATGAATAATTAATTTAAAGATGAATTTTAGTTTAAAATTCTGGAAAACAATAATTGAATTGAAGTGAAATATAAATTTAGTTTTAAAAACATGGAAAAATTTCGTTTTTTAATCTGGAAAAGTCAGGGAATTTGAAATGGGCAAAAGCGTGGCAACCCTGATCGCATATTCCACAAAATTATGTAGTTGAATTTATTTTTAACTATTTATTTTAAACTTGTCAACATTCGATTATTTTAATTGTCATATACTTGAAACAACTTGATTGATTAGTTTTCATAATAAACTGTTTAATTTTTCAGCGATTTGAAAAGACCAGCTTATCTAGTCTCTTGGAAGCATCAGTATCTACAAAAGGTTCGAAATAACATAATTCAAACAATTATTATTATTATTCACTACTCGAAGCAATGAATAATTATTTTTTTTCCCTTAGATTCGAAAAATTCTTCAGTTTTATATCCAGGTGAGTTGATTGAATTTCAATAAGCTATAGTATTAAACTAATGAAATTGAAACATTTTGTTAATAATTAATATGAATTCATTACCATTTTCAATGAAATAGGATTCCGACCTGAAATTCTCCGCCATTGTGAATACGCTTTACGAGATTTGCCATCAGAAGATCCACGCTTGAAGATGAAGGGCAGGTTCTTCTTCGACCCGAGCAAAGAATCCACTGCAAATGAAACTGCCGAAGAAGCTTCGAATTCCATTCTCCTTCGCAAGGGTAAAAATAAAATTGACTGGGAAGATTTGGAGGAGTCTCTGCCTTCATCAAAGTCGTCTGTTCAAATGCATCAGAAAATCTGCCAAACGGAACAAGTGGAAACAGCGTCAATGGGTGTCCAGGCAAGTGTGAGCGTCGCCCACATTGGAATTCAAGTCTATTCCAGTGACATTCATCAACCGTTTTCTCAGCCGGAGAAAAGGCCACTCACTGACCGCTTGGATTGGAGCATGCGAGAGACATACGATTACTCCAGTAAAATGAGAGACTCCGAGGATTTACGATGGAGCTTGAGCAGCTCTCAAAAGCGAACTCCTTGGGGACGTGCCATTTCCCCTGAACGACCATTTCAATCATTAAACGAGCACAATTTAGGTCCGAGTTCTAGTTTGAGCTCAAATATAAGTCAATCTGTTGAACATTCCCGGAATTTTAATTCAGAATTGCCCACTAGAGATAATTTCACGAGGCCTGGAAATTATGCTCATACAATGAATCGTAATTTTGACGAGAGAATTAATTATCGAGAAGAGAGAGGAAACTTTCGCGAAGAGATGTCTGACGAAATTCGAGGCGCCAGTCCCATGGCCATGGATGATCCACCCGAAGATTTAGACTTGGAGCATGAAAATTTCTCGAGGGAGTCCATTGGATCGAGTAAAGCAGCGCTTTTCTTCAAATCACGTGCACCACGCGAAATACCGTTAGGAGGACGACCACCTGCCAGAGGAAATTTTCGCGGTAAATATTGGTAAAGAGATCGGCAAAAAATATTTTTTTCCCCTTTTTTTAAGTCTTTAGTTAGTAACTAAATTTAATCACCAAAGCTACAATATGTTGAGCTTAAGTCTTGAAAAACTTATTATATCGGATAATAAACACTTTTGTAAACTCTTGTTGAGAGAGTACAACTTTCTGCATAATAATTTAAAGCAATGATTTTACAACTTCTTATCATGTGTATAGGCGGAAAGTTATAACGTTTTCACATTTTTTTTTCTTCTCTTTATATTTCTTAATCTTTCATGTAAGTTCCTCTTGATTTTGTATTATTAACAGTATAATAGAAAAAAGTGTCACTATTATTATTTAAGAAATATTATACTGCATGTACATGGAAGAGAGAAAAACAATTATATACAATTCTTTATGTGTATATTAACAAGTATAAATAATAAATTTTCAACAATCGTTAAAGTATGTTTTAATGTAAAATTTATTTACATTTATTGTACTCAATGATTTATCATTTTTCAGCTATTACAGAAAAATTCTTCATCAGGGTTGCCACAAAAATTTAATTTTGCTTTTGCCTGATTTCCAGACAAAATTTAGACTTTTTTCCTGGCCCTGAAGAATATTCAAAACTTAAATTCAATAACGTATGAGAATATTTATTATAAAACGAAGAAATCGATCACTCCGAGTCTTCGACTAAAAGCAATCGATTTCTTCATGTTTTATAATTAATTTAAGACGGCAGAGTGATAAAATCATTTTTTTATATCATAAGAATATTGTATTTATAAATTTAAATTTTCAACGATTTTAATTTTTAACTCTTTTCAAAATTCAATTATTTCTAAAAATTCAAACTATTATACTTTTAATATTCAATTGTAATTTAAAATTCTAACTAAAATTAATTTTTAATCAATTATTATTAGAAAATTTTTCGAGAATTCAATTATTTAAATAGAAAGATAAATAATTTATTAAATAATTGTATATTTCTTAAAATTGAATTTTTATAAAGAATTTTATCAAAAATTTTAAAAGTAGGTTGTAATTGAATTCTTTCGGTGAATTTGAAAAGTAATTTTAAGAATAAATGCAATTTTCTATCAGTTTATTTAAAATTGTATAAAAAATAATTTGAATTCTGCGATAATTTTTGTTATTTATGAATATAATTGAATTCTTACAACAAATTTTATTAAAACCTTTTCTTAAAGAATTAAATTCCAGAGAAAAATATTATTATTTATGAAAATAAGTAATATTCTTGTGAAGAATTTTATTCAAATTTTTTTTCAAATAATTGAATTTCTCAGAAGTTTTGAAAATTTTTTGAAAATAATTAAATTCCATCGAGAAATTTCATGAAAAAATTGAAAATAATTGAAATCTAACGAAGAAAAAAAAATTTTATTAAATTTTTTTTAAATAATTTAATTCCTGGGAAAATTTTATTTTTGAAAAGAATTGAATTCTTGGGAAGAATTATATTAAAATTTCTTAAATAATTGAATTGCTTCGAAGAATTTTATTTTTTACGTAATAATTGAATTCTCAAGAAGAATTGTATTGAAAATAATTGAATTGTATGAAAATTTTATTAACTAAATAATTGAAGTTCTGTAATCAGTTGTTCTTAAAAATCCTATTTAAAAATTTTAAATATTTAAACATTGAAGTTTTCTAAATTTCAAATTAAAACCTTTGAAGTTCATATATTTATGAAGATTGGGAAACGCAACTCTTTTGAAATTTTTAAATAAAATTATTCGTTAAATAATTTCTAAGTAATAATTTTATGATAGTTCTTCGAGAATTAAGTTATTTAAAAAGAAATTATTGTCAGAAGTAGAAAAATGTAAGGTTATGTATTGGAATTCTTGGCAATTTCACAGTTTATGAGGCAAACAAACAAGACACCAAAATTACAAATTTTCTTATAAATTCTTAAAATTTACTATTTTACAGTACTTTTAATAAAACTCCCAGACTTTTCCTTGATTTTCCTGACCAATTCTACTTTTCCTGACTTTTCCCTGACCTGTGGCAACCCTGTTCATATTAGATATTAAAAACTCAATATTTTTTATCGCCTACTATAAATATTATAATCGCCCAACAAAATAAAATAATTTTCCACGCATACCTCACGGGCAAGAACATTACTGTTGATCTAATAGAAAACGCTGAAAGTAATAGGTGTGTGCTCGAAAAAAATGGACTTATTTCAGACTTTATAAAAATGTATTGTAAAAAGTTACAAATCAAGTTTAAAATTATAAAATTCTTTGGAATACAAAAAATTCTTATATAAACGTACACAAATCTTATTGTTAGACAATATTCTATTCATTAAGATGTCATGTACCAAGTATCGTATAATATATACATCTGCGAATTTCTTACTTATTACTGGTGTAAAAAATTTAAATGTAAATATAAAATTGCTATACACAACATTTTACAAGTTGTTATTACTAAATTTTTCTAACAAAATTCTCAATTTCGATAGATAACAATAGTTACCCAGAATAAATAAATTAAAGACCGTATTTAATTACGAATATGACTAGAAATTAATTTTTTTTCTCCTTAAAACAGTAGAAATTACAAAAATGTTTCTTTCTCTTGAAAAAGAAAATGTAAAAAAGAACATTTTTAACAAAGTTTACTTGACAAATTGTGCAGCCGCTGATGAATCTCAGAAAATTGCGGTCTACGATTAGTGGACCAACATTCAAGCATGAGACTGTATATCACTGTAGGACAATCTTCAGGACATGGTAGTAACTGGCGTGAACGTATCATATCGATTACTTCTTGATTATTATAACCATAATAAGGCTAAAATAGACAATGACATTTTTCATTTATCACATTATTTTTGTAACTATAGGTATTTGTATATATTATTTAATAAATATCAAAAAATTATTAAGTCACTGCATTTAATTAAATTGAATTAAAAATAAAGCTTCTCTTGGGAAAATATAATACCTGTAAACCGTAACTGTAAATTTCCCACAGAACAACTCCAAAACTCCACACATCAGATTCTGTTGTAAATTTTCCATAAAGAATTGATTCCGGCGGCATCCATCGAACAGGAAGTAAACTCTTCGATTGCACTCTGTAGTAATCACTACTGTATATATCTCGCGATAAACCAAAGTCAGAAATTTTCACTGTCAAATTATCACCAACGAGACAATTTCTAGCTGCCAGATCACGATGCACGTAGTGATTATTGGCAAGATATTCCATGCCTGAAAATATTTAAATGTTAAAAAATAATCGAATACTTTTATAAAGTTTTCAATCGTTTATAACTTCATACTGTTTACCTGCGGCAATTTGAACAGCAACTTGCAAAAACTCGGATTGTTTAAAAACATTTTTATTGTCATTAACATAAGTATCAGACTTTGGCGACTGACTGATGAGAAATTCGTGTAAATCTCCCTGTGTCATGTATTCAAAGAGCATACACATAGGATCTCCTTTTAAAACCACACCCAATAAACAAATAATATTTGGATGTCTCAGATCTATCATGAGATCCACTTCTCTTTTAAAATCATTTTGAGTTTTTGAACTTGCGTCTACTTTCAAAGTTTTCACTGCCACGTAAATAGGATCTGCTGACTGTTTAGTCTGTAATTTTCCCTTGTAAACTTTTCCTAAAAAAATAATGTTACCATGAAAAAATAATCGAAAACATGATTATGTATAAAACCATAATATTGGCAATAATCGAATTACCAAATGCGCCTTCTCCCAATTCTTGTAAAAATACAACATTAGTAATGGAAAATTGTGGTACTGAATTAGTGGAAGTCTTGACATTTTTACTCCCAAGTGTCCCAGCAGTATTTTCTCTCTTTGGCAAAAGAGAATTCATTTCTATTATTTGAGTTGTATTTTGATTATAAATGTTTCTATCACAGTGGACATTAGTTAACATCTGAAATATTAAATTTTTTATTAGGTATTTTCTTCGGTTGAGGGATCTTTTTCTTCATTTCATACCTTGCTTGATGGTAAATTATCTCTCGGTCTCCTTGATTTTTTAAATTTTAAACAATAAATGTAAAAAGCTATTAATACAAATCCTCCAATTAGTATGAATCCAACAGCTGTATAGGTCCAAAAATTTTCACCTAAAATTTAGTTTTGCATTAATTATTGATTAATTAATTAATTATTCGATCTAATGAATCTACTATTAAAAATGTCAACTCACTGCATTTTGGAATTTCACAAAATTCAACATGTGTACGTTTATTCACATCAACGTAACACCATGGATGTAATTCCTTTCCACCTGGATTTCTACAATAAGAATGACTTCCAGCGAGTTCCAAATAATCAGATATTTGAAGATTGAACTGATGTGACCACGTAAGACACATACGACCTGAAATGCTTCTTTGAACAATACCTCGATACGATTGACCTGTTCCCCAATAACAATTGTCTTCTGAAATTCAATACATATTTAATTCAAGACTTTATCAAGACAATAATAATAACAATATTAATGTTTACATACCCTTATGAATCTGAATTTCCGATGAAATACCTAAAGATAAACAATCAACAGCTTCTTCCGTGCCATTTAGAGGTAAATCTGAGCATTCTACTAAAGGAACTTGTTGTCCAATTTGTGGGTGACGTTTTGCAATTGCATATTCCTTACGACAAAGTTCATTCTCCAACATTTCACATTCTTCTCTACAAATTCTACGCACTCGATTATTCAAATTGTTTTGAAAATTGAAATTGTCACTATCATGACTTTCTGTCAATTCTTCAATATAATTTATTTCTTTAGATTTGTCTCTTAACCTCTGACTAAATGGCAACTTTTTATATTTATTATCAATCATCTGATCACGACAAATGGGAAATACAGAATAACACAGAGATGGTTTCGCATATCCTTCACAATTAGTTGAAACTTCACTGTAAAAAAAATATTTTTATTTCATCAAAATAAAGACAAATGTTTTGCATTTGAGAAAACATTAAAAGAAACTCACTTTGAAAATTTAATAACGCTGAAAGCTTGTTCAAGTTTATTTTCCAAAGTGTCTTGGGTCACGGAATCAGGAATAAAAACAAGATTATTTTTAACAAATTCTAAACATATTTTCCCTCTATATACCTGTAAAAAGTTAATTAAAATTATTCATCCTACATCTATATTTAATAATCTATGATTTATACTTGATTTCATTTACAATTATTTTCAAACATTCTAATTTTAATATTACCTCACACTTTCCCTCCCAATTATTTCTTGCTTTTGTACTTGTACCTAAATTATTTGAAATATTTAATATTTCATTTAAATTACTTTGATCCTTAAGTGCAGAATGATTCGAAGTATTAAAATCGTTAACCGATTTTAAATTCCTGTTATTTTTAGTCCTGTTTTGAAAAAAAGCCAATTAGAATATTTTGTTAATTTACCTAGTGTTATCATCTTGATATTAAAATTGATTACTTATTGTATGTTGAATAGAATTTAATAATAATTTAACAATCAAATTTTCTAATTTAAATTGTAAAAAAATTGTGAATTACAGAAACATAATTAATCAAATATAAATATTATTGTTCTACCTTATTTTTATGAAATCAGTAGAGCTATCAAGAGCTTGTACGTAAATATGCACAGTTTGTAAAAACATAAAACATAATTTGAGTAACATATTTAATGAATAGACATTTATCAAAATGTTTAATAACAATAATTGTTATTATACAGAATATAAATGAAAAGCATGCAAGCATTTAGTAATTCATGGCACGATTAATGATTATGCTCATTCCACAATCAACGGTAAACTGCTACTGCGGACCGGTTGTACGGAACGCTTTAAATTAAAGTCTGTCCACACTAAAGGTCCCACATGGGCTTGCACCTTAATAGATTTGACCAATCAGAAAAAGTGTTGAAAAAATACAGTCATCCGATTGATCGAAACTGTTCCATTAAGGTGCGGTTACACCTCTGCTGGATCAGATTAAAATTCATGTGAGAGTGAGCAAGATAGACAGATAGCATTATCCTTTTCTACTCACATGAGAACCAAAACAGGTTGCGCCCTCTGGTGTGTGCTTCAAACACGAGTCACCCCCTCCATTGGAGTTTTCAGACCCGTTTTTCAACCGTGATATTAACACTTTCTAGCTTTGTATACTCTTCTTGTTCATGTTCTCTTTCTCAGTATCGCTGTTTGCCCCGTGGTCGGTTAGGGCGTGCAGTGCTCGTGTTTAAGATTTTTGTCGACAAACAATAATAGTGGTAAAAAATAGACAAGATAAATAGTGTTTCCCAACAGCAGAAACAAGGGTTTAAGTTTATTGGCGTTAAATTAAATGATTTCTTTTTTTTGGGTGGTAACATAAAGTGGAAGTTCGTCAGAGCGTGTCGGCGACGCGAGCTATAAGGTGAATGTCCGTGATAGCAGTGTTGTGTGCACGAATCGAAGAATGTTCCAGTAATGTGAAAAGTGATGCGTACGAATACTAAAATTCGAATACTTGAATATTTTGTTCATTTAGTTGCAACAATTTAGTTGGGAATCGTCATTTTTCCACGCCTTTGCAACACACAGCTTTTGTTATTATTTTGCCGCGGTGCTTTTGACCCTAAAGTGGACGAGTTCATTGCGCAGTTATCAGAGGGGTGTCCAGTATATTTTTATATATGTGTTCTGCAGTGGCGCTAGCGATACTTACATTCTGCACCAATATCTGAAAGCATTCTCATTCAATTTCCTCGAGAATTGTTTGTTTTTTGCTGATTGCTTGCTGATTGCTAGCAATCTATCAGAAATGTTCCGTTTTTAAAAGAAAAGTCACCTATACCGTCGAGGCTGGTATTCATTACCTAATTCGGAAAAGATAAATAAAGTAGAAAGGAGATAATAGTGAGATCGTAATAAATGGACGCGTTGTGGAACACGTGATCTTCGTTGTCAAACCATAGGTATCTCCACCGTATGCACCGCTGTTTAATGGTCATAACCTGATTCCTCTGCTCATCATTCATGTCTTGGTCGTTGTCATTGTTGTCTACGACTCATAATCCGAGATGTTTTGTCAACATGTTTAACTGTTAATATTGACGACTATCCGACACAAATTCATCTAATAATCTACAATATCAACATTTACTTTCTTACCAAGTTGATTTACTTTATAGGCGCAAACCCCAAAAATGTTGAGTGGACAGTTGATAATAATTTTTTCACATTGAATAAACATTTATGTACAAACTACAAAAAGACTATGGCTTTTGTTTCAATGAAAAATGAAGCTTACACGTGCCTAGCGACTGCGTTCAAAATGTAGGACACCTCCTTTTGATTACCGCCCATTTCGTTGATCGTTAGTACGTCGCAGTTTTTTAGCTCAAAATCAAATAATTAAATGAATTTCAAAGAATTCAAAGACTGAAAAGTGCAAGTTTTGTAAAAGGAATATGTGAAAAAAAGAGAATAAAGCATTAAGTAAATTATATTTAAGTATTCAACAAAAGCTGGAGCTGAAATTTCTCAATGACGAAGGTCGTTGGTCGATATATTATTGTCATAGCTTCTAGTCTTGATGGTTAATTGGTGATTCAGTATTCATTTTTATCTCATTGTTGTTCCGAGTGAAATTTTCAAGTGTAATTTCTCAACGATCAACATAATTTGTTTAAAAAAACGTTTTCCTTGCAAGGATAGGAATAATTGTTGACTTCATCAAAGATTTCTTTGACAGGTAAATGCTTAAAATTATTTATAGGTTTATAATGATTTCGACTATTGGCTTTCTTTAAACACACACATATACTAAAATTAATTTCTTCGATCTAATGTTTGAAATATATAGTACACATTTACAAGAAAATTTAAAATAGAGTTAGAAATATTATTAAGTGAAATAGACACATGAAAATATGTTGAAATATTCTACTACACTGTAAATAATAAATGGCTGAATTTTTAAGCAATTTTTTTCTCTTACTATTGCTTGAAAATGAGTAAAGATAATTGAAAAAATATTCATTTTTTATTAGTTTGTCAATATTTTTTGGAAGAAACTGGAAAAAGTGTTTTTTTACTTAATCATAGATAAAACAGTGCGCATTGCCTGTCAACTCTTCTTCAAAGAGGTATAAAAATTTATTAAAGACGAATTTACCGGTGCCTTGTGCATACATACTATTTTCAATCTACTGTTGACACTTGCGCATCCGTGCAATTTTTGGTTCGCGGAGGTCAGAAAACTTGGGATAGTTTAATAAATCGAAATTTTAATATATTCTAATGCATCTGTGATGGAACAATATGCAGAGTAAAATTTAAACTTATTTTAGATATTCTTTCAAAATGAAGGTTTAGTCACATGTTTTGTCCCCATATTTATATAATCTGTTACAGTAATATAGATACGTAGAAAACTGAAACTTTGAAAAAAAACTAAAAAATGTTAACGAGTTTTCATGGGAGCAATAAATAAACATTTTCGATAGGTATTGGGAGAAAGCCAGTAACCAAATTACCATTCGATACCTAACCTTTGCATTTTTAGGACACATCACTGCAACTGTTTTGTTAAATGCTTCGCTTGAATTCCCCGAGCCATTAATGATACAGAACTTACTCTATATATTGACCAAACGTCATCTTGAAAAGAACAAAAGACTTGAAAAATTTAAAAACACTCATTTTTCATTCATAATAACTTGTGCTTTAAAGGCAGCTTACACTTTTAAAATTAGTTATATGAACACAGATTCAAATATAGTGATTTTTTCAGATTTGTTTACAATTTGTTTCGAGATGTATTTTCTCCATGCAACTGTGTTTTTGAGGAAAACACCTGAAACAGCGATATTTTTATTAGCTTCATTTAACACTCTCATTGTTGAGAGTATTTTTTCCTTGTTCATAACTTTTCCAGTCTACTCTATTTACTTTTAAATTCTGTTCTCAAGGAGTCAAGTTTAACCATTTTTCAATATTTCTAGTCATTCAGAAAAAGAGATAATTGTAGTAAAAAGATGATTTAAATAATAAATTGCAAGTAGAGATTGTTTAGCTTACTTTATTAAAAACAAAAGAACCGCCAATATGCTGTTTTACAGTACCTCATTTGTTACAAAACATCACAAAAACAAAAATGACATGTTCGAATCTATATGAAAAACATAACTTTCTACCTACTGTACATTTATAATCCCAAATTAAAAAATAATGTTCAAAATGGAAAGTAAATTAATAACCTAAAAAGTTGTGCAAAAAATTTGTTTATTGATTATTTCATTGTAGTACTTTTATTTCTGTCCACTTGAGGTTATACCATTTGATTATATGTGGATTCACTATACAATTAAAAGACAAAAATGAACCCTACTTTTAACTGTTGTAGATATTCTTCAGTTAAGAATTACAAATAGGTGTACAAACTGCATTTAAAGAATGTCTTTAAAGATTAGATTGATTTATTAAAAAAAAGTTTTAGTTATCAATGAAAAAAGGAAAGTTAGTAAAAAAAAAGGACTCAGTCCATAAAAAGTGGATAAATTTATTTCCACTACACATCATCTGATACATATGTAGTTAATGTGTAAAGTTTAAAGACTTGGCGGAGCCAGAGAAAAACTAATGCTAGGCGCATCAGCAGTGCGTGTAGTGTATCACAGTTCCGAATTACACACTTTTCACAATAACAAAAAAGGCAACGTTATAATGCTTTCTCTGATTGTACCTATATACATACTTCCTTAAACAAATATTTTCATCTATTCAATTTATGTAAATGAAATAAAATATTTTATCACGAAGTTGAAGTCCACAACGTTTGTCAACGAAATAAATTTATTTAATGCATTCAAGTATTATTTTTAATTTAATATTTAATTGCAAAATAATTATTATCAAAATATAAACATCAATCTTTTATTTCGAAATATTTTTGTGACAATATTGCAGCGTCATTTTTAATTAATTTACTAAGTTTAAATTTTTTTTTCGTTGATCAACGTTGTGGACTTCAACATGGTTATTTTATCAAACTTACTTGGACAATTTAAATAGAAATTTTCATTTATTTACAAATCCTCCGGTATTTTAACTTATTGTGCTTTATTATATATATTAATTTATTAATTTATAACAAGCATATGCGAGTAGGTATTAATTCAAGTCATCCAAAACTAAAAATTTTTCGCTACTTTGTCAGCGCAAAACAGGTACGAAAGCGTGCAATAAGCCCTCCTTTTGTAAATCCGAATTGGTACTTTTCCACTAACTAAAGAGTACAGTGTAGATTCGTTTATGATTTCAATAGTAAAGATTTTTCAACATTCATGATAAAATTATTTAAACATTCACACACATGATCGATGTCACACTAGAGTTTATTAAAAACATTCAGATTTTTCTTTTATTGATATTTTTGTCAATACAATAAACAGTATGTATTTTTTTTCTTGCAGAAAGTACTGAAAAAGAAGAATAACAATAATGTGCAGAAGAAGATTTGACGAAATAGATTGAGAGGAATCACAACACAGACTGACATCTTCGTTGACACCTGAAGAATACGGTTTCGTATGCAAACTAAGAAAAGTGTTTCGTTTGGGAAGGGCGAAGAGGAAGGGGAACGATTGCAGAGTTACAAAATTTGTAAAAGTGCAAGTGTCGTTTCATTGACAGCGTCTGAACTGTTTGATCGTATAAATATAAACAAGTGGTACTAAAGGTCCACGTGCCCCATGTTGTGAGCTGTCAAGGACTGCCCTAGGCAGGTGGGGGGGGACTGTGGGATGGAGTATGGCGGTAGTCGAGGGGGTGTGCAACCTCCCCCTGTAAGTGCAAGAAGTATGGCTGGATCTGATACTACTGATGCTGCCTGGCTCAAGCATGAACAATTGAAGCTCATGGAATCGAGGCACAAACAGCAACGTAAGTATAAATAAATATTCTTAAATTAAGAAATTCTTTTTACTGCAGTCTAAAAAGACACAGTGGGCCAGGTTCACAACGTTTCAGCAGAAAATCATTTTTTGCTTCTAAATCGTTGATTATGAACGTTTTAAACTTGACTAACGTATGTAGTTCGTGATGTACACAGTAAAACACAAGTTTTAAACTTGTTACGCACCTTAAATTCAGTCAGTGGTACACATTGCGCTTAGGAAGGTTTCTGTTTGTCTTTTAGCTTCAGCCTCAAAAATAGGTTCAAGTCAATTCCCAGAGAAATTTGTTATTCGAGTTGAGTTGCAAAAAGTGCGTTTGTCTCAGAGCCTATTAATCTTATTATTAGAGTCGTGCAAAAAGTCGAGCCAATAACTGAGCTTGAACTTTATCGATGTATTGAGTACTAGAAGCGATTTTCTTATTATTTTATAACAGTCGTCATATGTGACGCGATCTGAAGAAAAAGGGACCTTAGGAGCAAAAAATTATAGGTTATGTTTGAAATTTTTGAAATGAAAATACAAAAAAAGGATTAATTGTCAATATAAATCATTGATGTTTAAATATTTATTGCAACTAAAATATTTAATAAATACTGATTTTAATTTGCAATAAGCAAAAAGAAACTTTCAATCAACAAAAAACTAACACTAACATAACCTTAAAGTGATTTGCTTTTAAGTTACATTTTTTCAGAACGCGTCACATATATTTGAGAATTGCAAATTTTTAAAATAAAGTTCCTATTTAATATAATAACTGCTACAAAACTGAGTAATGCAGGGTGGCCACATATCAGTAAAGTCAGGAAAATGTCAGGAAACAAAATTTTTTGTCAGGGAAATTTAGAAAATTGAGATTTTTTCCACTTATTTTTAAAAATTGCGACTTTCTCGACTTTTCTTCCAAATATTTCAAAAATTATTTTTGAATCATTTTTCTAACTAAATTTTCGAAATATACAATTAAAAAGATTTTGAATAATTGAAATTTTGTACAATTTAATTGAAAATAATTACACTTCTATAGCTAAGATTGTAGGCGTGTAGGTGTGTATAAACAAATAAAAAATAAAAAAAAAATTGAAAATAGTTAAGTTTTTTAAAGTATTTTATTAAAATTTTTAAAAATTAACTTTAGAAGAATTTTAAATGCAAATTCCGAAAATAATTCAATTATCAAAAATTTTAATCTCGATTTTAATGAAAAATCTTTAAACGTAAATTTAAACATGAAAATTAATGAAAATTTGCTTCTAATTTTTCAAAAAATTTAGTATTTTCAGTACTTTCAATTACATATTTCCGAATTCAAATTCATGTTCAATTTAATTGAAATTCATCAAGAAATTAATTATTAGTCTTTTTTTCAAATATTACAGAAACTCTTTCAACAAATTCAATTGTTTTCGAAAAAGTACATTAACATATTTTTAAAAACTACTTAATTCTTAAAAATTTTGTATCACAATTTTTTAAGATTTAATTATCTTCGAAGAAAGTAAATAAAAATGTACTTTTTTGGACTTATTAAAATTTCGGAGAAATCATCGTCAAATTTATAATTAAAATTCTTCTAAAAATCTGATTATTTTTATTTTTTGAAAATATTATTCCTTAATAAGCTTAAAAAAATTGCAAATTATTATAAAAAATTGAATTTTTGTATTTAAATAATTTAATTCTCGAAGAACTTTTGGAAAATTATTTAAAATAATTGATTCAGAGATGAAGTTTCGATAGAGAAAATAATTGAATTGAGGAAGGGTTATATTTGTAATTTTTAGAAATTACTAATTTCATAAATTATTTTACTCATTTTCCGTAAACTTTCATATTTTCCTGCGTGAAAAGAATTTTGTCAGGAAAAATAATTTTAATGTCAGTAAATTGTCAGGGAAATTGATTAAACTAAAACTAGTGACCACCCTGTTAATAGTAGATAGTTTCTTCAAAATTAGGCAAAATAATATAAATGTTGAATTATTTAACTTTTCATGAATTTAAAGTATTCAAAAGCAGAAATTTCTTTAATATTTAACACCTATATTAAGTACTCGTTTAGTATCAAAATTTTTGTTTCAAGAAAGCAGAAAGAAAGTTAGCAAAAAATCAGGCATATTTTTTCTCAATTTTTGCTGGACATCCTGTTAACTTATACATATTTTAGTTTCTAAAATTTTAGATTTCATTTATTTACTTAACACATATAACTTTAATAGTTAATATTTAAGTTATGCCACGGAAAAAAACTGCGACAAATTTCTCTAGAATAGCGAAAGTATTAATTATTAATTTATTAACAACTAAAAATTTCGCTAATAATAGTGAAATTTGTAGTTGTTCCTGGTAAAGATTCTTTCCGTGTGCATTTCGGATAACTTTGGATTAATTAAAACTAACATTTTTTTTCAAGTAATATGGGAACTAATGCTGGATTTCAATTTTAAACTCGCGTTTTTCTCTGAATTTGATTTTTGACAGGTCAAAGTGTTTGAAATTTAATGAAGAATATATACATAATAGATAAGTTCCACAGTGCCAAAGTGGGCCCTTTGGACTGAAATAGTTCTGACCTAATACGCATTGGTCATTGTAGATATAATCTCATCGATTCTCACAATATTAATTTATATATTTTGTTATTTTTACACAACTTATGAGGAAAAAAGTGCTAATTTAGAGGAATATTAAAAATTTGATTACGTCCCTCGTGGGGATGAAGTATCCATTCCCCAATATGCGCAGGGGGCCTAACTCTGGAGCAAAGGTAGCACTGCGGGGCGCTTAATCTCTCCTTGAGTGCTTTCTGTTAGTGACAATTTTTCACAGAAATACAAAATTACTCATTATGAAAAGTTTACTATTTTCAACAGCTTATTTATGGCTGTTGTTCAACCTTTAATAGTCAGGACTAGTTCAGTTCCGGTTCATCATTAATTGACTTCTTGTCCTGTCCGAATACATAAAAATAGTCATTTACTTGAATCAAATAATTTTTATTGAAATTCATTAAGGATTTTTAGTATTTACTTCAAATACTGAAACTATTGGTTTCAAATAGAATTTAATTGACTTAAATAATAATGATATATTTATTATTATACAAAGAGGTTTTTGCCTGCCAGCGTAGCGCTTGAGTGTGAGAGCGAGAAAGAAAGTTTAATTTAAAAAAGAAATAATTCATTTTCAATGAGTAATAATTAAAAATTGGATTTTATTTAAAATTAATAATTGGAATGGGGGTTATTATGTACCAATTCATTTGCCTTTTGCAGTACAATCTGCGATGTGCCTATGTCATTGATTTCATATCAATGATGTACCACATGAGTATGAACTCACAAAGTATCGTGCGCCCGAGGGATGATAATTGCAACAAAACATTCATTTGCCTCCCTTTCTTCTCCCATTTTTTTTTTTTTTTTTTTTTTTTTTGTTGTAATCAGAATTATAGGCAATTTTATGCGACAACTCGATCGCACTGCTAGTTCGGCTTTTGGTACGGGTGTTGAGTCTTTTCCTGGTTGGGGAGGAGAAGGTTACTCCCCTCGCACGGGACGAAATTGATGATCGCCCCGAACTAAGCATTGCAATCCTGACGGTTATAATCCATAAAGCATGTTACTTTTGCATAAACGTTTTAGCGAAAAAAAGACTATTTACCTATTTCGCTTCTTGAAAACAGCAGAAGACTGATAAGTAGTGGTTCTAGTTTTTTTGTGTTTCTTCTTTTAAACATTTCATTACTGAAAATTAGATTATTATCTAGTAAAGTCTAATCCTAAGTTTGTTGAGTTTTCGCAATGAAATAAATGAAATACTCCATTTCTGGTGGTAGAAACTTGCGGGTTTCAATAGAAGATTTATACCCAACTACACACAACAGAGTTCTTTGACCTACTAATTGAAATTTCATGCTGCATCTTCAATTGAAGAAAAGACTTGATTTGGTTTTCGAAGATATATACTAGGTTTAAATCAGCATTTTGCTAAGGTGAATTTCCGAAGAACAGTCAGTCAGAATTAGACGTAAGAAACCTAGGAAGAATTGAATCTAAAGAAAAAAAGTCTCGTTGAAAATAAAAAAAAAAAATTGTAAAAATTTGCTCAAGTTTTGGAAAATTGTTTCTTTTTTGGAAAAAGTTCCCTTTCCCTTTTTAGGTGTTTTTCCTTTACTTGTTCGTCTCTTTTAGTAGACTTCTCTTTCTGGTGGGCTCACGTGGCAGGAAAGCAGACCAGCTAGTCGGTTGCTCCACCCCCGTGCGACACGATCAATACGCGACTCCTGTCTTTCTCCTTTTCTCTCCCACAATAGTCTACATCTCGCCGACTGGCTCTCTTGTATACGCAAACTCGCTCTCGCTCTCGCTCTGCATCGCATTGTATAAAGTTATAAGCGCTCACAACTCTTGCAGTCGGTACAGCAGCCAGCAGGAGTAAAGCGCTCGCTCGCTGCGCTTTGCTTTGCTGTACTGCGCTACGCTGGGTTACGCTACTCTGGCTGGCTGGTTGGTAGCTCATTTCAAAGCGGACTCTCTGTTGCTATGCTGGTTCCTCCTGCCATTCCACTCTCCCTTGTACCCTCACTCTCTTCCTATCTCCACTTTGCTTTTCTATCGAGCTTCTCTGCACACATTTCTACGTGTGCCAGCGAGACAGTCGTTAACTTAAAAGGTAGATGCTAGATGCTATAATCTAACACATGAAAATTATTTTTTTTTTCAATTTTTCTTCAATCTTTTTTCTAGTTCTGAAAAAATCATCAAACAATTCTGAAAAACATTAATGCTGTCAAAATATCGAAATTAGCGAAATCACTCCAAATAGAGCGTGTACGGCCACTCTCTAAATCTGAATTAGTATTTTGTTTACTAAACAAAATATACTTGTTATTTAATAGTTAAACGAATCCGCACATTCGTAGAAAAGAACCTAAAAATTGATTTCGAGAAAAGTGTCTCCCCAGTTTCAAAAATGCGTGTTTTCGAGAAAAACCCCTTGTCTTATGAATCACAACACTTTTAAAAGAGAAATCATAAAAATAATGAGGCTTTTTTTGACTTCAGATTATAATTATTCGTTTATAATTGAAAATAGGTCCTTAACTGAATTTAAAAATTTGTATTGACTACCAAAAAGTACAGTTAAAACAACTGGGAAAGAATTTGGAACAATGAGATTTTAAAGTTATTTTTGTCGAGTCTATCTATTTCAGTCAACTGAACTACTTTTTTTTAAATATATAAAAAGTAATACAATTATACAAACCATACAAACAGGGCTAGATTAACTAAAAAAAAGTAGTTGAATTTTACGGATAAATTTTTTTCCGTGCAGCTAAAAACACGCATTTACATTATGTTTTTCTTTCAACCTTATGCGTGAGGTCAATTTTGATATGCATACATTTTTGTAAAGTTAAATTATTTCTTAGAGGACGGTTGCCTCTAAATAATTTGAATTTTAATTTTAGGGTAATTAGAAGTCATTTTTTCGTTCTCATTTTTCAAAGGATGCAAATTTTAACCTCATATCAAGTCACAATTTATTAAAAGATTTAAAAGTACTTCCTACTTTTGTATTTTCTTGTCAGGGAAAGGCAAATTGTAAAAACAATTCTTATGTGAGTTTCACGATAGTCTACAATACACTGTTTTGTTAAATTAATCGACAAATCCTTAAACTTAAAGCACTTATTAAAGATGCTGCTTAGCTCCGATGAATGAAACCTATGGCGCAAAAATTAAAATTTGCGCCATGGCTTTCGATTATCGGGGTTAAGCAGAACCTTTAAGTGCGGCTATAGTTTAAGGATTTATCTGAAAATGTCTGAAAATTGTTGACAGGTAAAATTCCAGGGCAATGTTGGCCTGATGTTTGGAAAAACTTTTGCTGATAGTTATAAATATTATAGTCGTCATAAGCACTCTCTTAATTTGAATCAGTGATAAGTAGACCACTAATACTAATTAGTGCCTATACACTAAATATGTTAATGCTACTGTTTTGCAATCAGTGAAAATGCACACTGATGAATTTCGCACTGATTCAAATGGCAAAGATTTGACGGCCAAAATCTTTGCCATGGCAGTTAAAGGGTTAAGAAAGAATAAATAAAAAATAGTCTCGGTTGCGACTGCATAACGAAAATTAAATTATTTATGATTGAAACACATTGTTTTCTCAGTGTTCGTATATAAGTTTAAGAAAATTGACTATTTAGGGCCATAACTCTGATTAAAAGTTAATGATTATAGTCAGTTTAACCGCCCGTGATTGATCGGCTTAGGATTTAATCATTTAACTTTTAATCGTTGGTGAAACTGAGCCTTAGTTTATTGTTTCTGGGATTCTTAATTATTTATACATATATTCGACTTGAAATGTTTGAACCCGAAAATGTTTTGTACTATAGCACGAATTAGCTTGAGGGATTTTAACATTCTCTTTGAACTGCTTATAACCTAGCTTTTAAAATCTCCGACAGCAACAATAAACAATGTGTACCACGTAAATAATGAAAACGTTTGATAATTGAAATTTGCGTTTTTTTTTTTTTTGCCAACTTGACAATGGTGGTTGTTTAATAAAAAAGAAAGTTATTTTTGAATTTAATTTTGAATTTGGTGTTGCAGTGAGCAGTGGGAGGACGGCTACAGGGGGTGCACCTCTTTACGGTCGCCTAGTTGCTGAAGAACCTCTACCGGCAGCAGTTTGTGGGGGTGGAGTTGGCGTTGGCGTAGGTTCCGGCGGGATTCCTCAAGAAACCCCTGCCGATATCCATGCTATGCAAGCTCGTATACCCCATAGGTTTCGAGATCCTAGTACAGCTCCACTTCGAAAGTTAAGCGTTGATCTTATCAAGACTTATAAACACATCAACGAAGTAAGTTGAAAATTATGCTGCCAGTGCAGTAATGACACACGTTGTAATAACTGGCTTTCAATTTAGAGAAAGAACAAAAAAACCTTCCCAACTAAGAATAGCAGTTAATTTTTTCTCACTAGTTATCATTTTTATTTTAACTATTTGTCTCTATTGCTAATTCAACAATGAATCCTGGTCATTTCAAAGAAATGAGGTCCGGTAAATTTGCATAAATATTAGTAGTTTTTTATTTAAAAAAATTTATAAACAAGTCAATTCGATAAAAAGATTCGTCAAGATAAATGATGGCCACTATAGTGGCCACCTCGGTCCTCTAAAGCTTAATGTATTGTAGCTTTAGAGTTTGTATAAATATTTACAGTCGAGGATTACCCAATCTTGGCCTTTTTCTTATTCTATCAATAATTTTTCATTCGAAAAATGATTTTTTTCACATGGTAATTACAATTTTCTAAAATATTACATCGAGTTTCATCCCAGTATTCAAATGCGGCATGATTTTCACGTGGTTGCGACAATATCGATCGCAACCAATTCAAGAACTGATCGGATTCTGCGCCCTTTTCTTCTCGTTCATGTTCTCTTCTTCCTTTTTTCGTTTAATAAACATTTAAAATGTTTTGCGAAAAGCCTAATTTAATTTTTAAAGCGTGTATTTAATAAAAAATGTAAATTTGATTTTTTAAGGAGTATCTTGCGTTTCAGGTATATTATGCCAAAAAGAAGAGAAGAGCACAGCAAATACAAGGCGAAGATGGGTCCCATAAAAAAGAAAGAAAACTCTACAATGATGGGTGGGATGATGATAATCATGATTACATTATCAAAAATGGAGAAAAGTTTCTCGATCGATACGAAATCGATTCTTTAATAGGTGGGTAAAAATTAATATTATTTAGGAATTATTATAATGAAATAAATGTTTTATACAGACACAATAGAATCATGCGTAATTGAAAAGCAGATGATTTATTTTTAATAAATAAGAATTACTTTTTCAATTATTTGAAATTCACATATTATTAGATGCTTTGGGTGCGTCAAGTTCTTATTGCATCTTAGAACTCGGATATATTTTATCCCTTTACAACAAACCTCAATTTTTCTCTGCAAAAGCAAGTTATGATCAAAAATAACAAAATTTTTCACATAAGTTCAATTCTTTTTAAACATACCTATTATTAATAAAATTTTTCGGAATAATTCAATTATTTTCGTAAATAATAAAATTCTTCTCAGGAATTCAATTATGTTTAAAAATTTTAATAAAATTCTTAACAACTATTCAATTATTTTTAACTAGCTGTCGTACCCGTCTTCGACGGGTTTTAGTTTCTACCAATACATTTAAGTTTCTACCAATCTGGAAAATCAGGAAATAGCTAGGGAATTTAATTTGACCGGAAAAAAATAATAATTAGTTACCATTATAGCTATTTTAGTAGGAAAATATTACTATTTGAATCAGTGATTGACTTTTTGTTATCAAATTAGTTATTTTAACCAATTCAAATGCAGAGAACAATATTTATCAATTTGTAGTACTTTAATTAATGTATTAAAAAAATTAAATTTTCCATACAGTTTTTGGAGTTATAGTAGAGTCTAATTGGAACTAATTGTATCGCAAGTAGACCCTACGTTACGACTGCTAAAACCTAACATAAGACCTAAATTTTAGGCTGAAAGTAGGGCTTAAATTTTGACTCGGGTCTGTTTTCATAAATATTATACATCAATAAAAATTGAAGTAAAAAGCAATTTTTTAAAAGCGAATTAATATAATGAAACTTTTTCTTAATTTGATAGGAAAATTCCCGGTTCGGCATATTCCCAGCTTTTTACAGTTTTTCCCGTTTGGTAGATACCCAGTTAAATGTATTAGTATAAACAGAAAACTGTACGACAGCAAGTAATACAATCTATATTTATATGAACTTAAGAAACAGTATTTTCATAAAATAAGTAAATTTTTATAGCCATTTGTAGATTTATTTATGGATAAAATCAAGTAAATTTAAATTTGACAAAAAAGAGATAAACCGTGAAAAGTTTGGACAAAGCAGGGAATTTTGTTAAACAAAAATAGACACCGTGTTAACTTTTGTCTTTACATTGCTCAAAACATCTCTTAAAGTTAAATCTAGAGTTAAAATGAAAAAACGTTTTAACATGTAAGTTTTTGCCTAGTGGCATAATATGCTTGTATTGTATCACAGGTGACTTACAATTCTTGACATCCTGCGAAATCATTTTAATCATAAAAAATTTCCATTTTCAATATTTCTGAACTTCTTGAAAATATTAGATTGATTTGATAAATAATTTTGAATTGCACTATTTTGACATCAAAATATTAATCAGAGACTCCAAAAATACTACTGAATTATACTTCATATAGTAATTAGTATCGATTTTTTGATATATTGAAAATTTTTTTATATTTCTTGTAGGATAGTATTTTTTGCAAAATTATGATAAAATCTGACTAAATAACATATAATATTCATTTTTAGAAAGTTTAAAAGCTATCCATTAAAAATTGTGAAATTTGGAAATTTTCCATTTTTCAAGTTTTTGAAAATATTTTTATATTTACATCTTAGTTGTAGAATAGTATTTTTTGAAAAATTATGCTAAAATGTGACCAAATAACATGTAATACTCAAATATAGAAAGTTTAAAAGCAATCCATAAAAAAATGTAAAATTTTGAAATTTTCGATTTTTTGAAAACATTTTTATACTTACATATTAGTTATAGGACTTTATTTTTTGCAAAGTTATGCTATAATGTGACTAAATAACATATAATACTCAAGTATATAAACTTCAAAAGCAATCCATGAAAAATAAAAAATTTTGAAATTTTCGATTTTTTGAATTTTTTGAAAAAATTGAATATCTCCCGTTCTAATTAATATTTTTTAAATCTGTAAATTTATAAACCTTCCTTGGGTCAATACCTAATAACCTACCAAGTTGGACTTAAATCGATTCACATGTTTTTGTGTGATTGGGGTACAAAGTTTTTGTGACAAACATACATACATACATACATACATACATACATTAAATTTTTTAAGAACATTTTTGGAATCTCTGATGTCCATAATAACTAATCATGTTAACATTTTGAAGTTTTAAGCAATGTACAGACAGACATCTGATTTTATTAATAAGGATACAATTTTACAGTAATTGCTCTAAAAATGTAATTATTCTTAAAAATTTTATTTCAATTAAAATTCCTCGAAAAAATCAATTATTTAAAATTATTCAGATATTCAATTCAATTATTTCGACTATTTTGAGGCATTTTAATAAAATTATTTTCATAAATAACAATATTCATCACAAGAATTCAATTATTTTCAAGTGTAATAAATTTGTTCTTGAAAATTCAATTATTTTAAAAAATTTCTTATTTAAAATCGTTCTCAAGAATTTAATTATTATCAAAAAGTTTAATTGAATTATTTGTAAAATTTTATTATTTAAACATTTTTTGTAAAGAACTTTTGTAAGGATTCAATTCTATTTATGAATAATAAAAATGAATTGAATTTCTCGGAAATTAAATTATTTAAATTAGAATTTGCATAAAACTAGTCGAAAGAAGTGAATTATTTAAAATTTTTTTTATAAAATTCTTCGCAAGAATTAAATTTTTCTTTAAATAAATATTTAAATTCTTTCATGAATAATAAAATTCTTTAAATGAGAGTTCAATATTTTAAAAAAACATTCAATTCTTCAATAAATCATTTATTTTTGTATTAATTAATTTTTTTTGTATTTAAATAATTAAATTCTCGTAGAAATTTCTAATAAAAATTGATTTGAGTAATAAATATTAAATAGTCATTTCTGCTAATTTAATAGTAAAATTTACTAATTCAAAAGCAAAATGTCTGTCACAAATTCCAATTATTAGTAATTAGTAAACATTTTTACTAATTCAAATTTAGAGAGAAAGTATTTAAGCGTGAATTTGAAAATACTCAAAGAACTTTTTGAAAAAGTATTAAAAATATTGCAATTATAAAAGGATTTTAGTTAAAAATTCTGAAAAACAATAATTGAATTGAAGTGATGAAAGTAAGTTTGAATAAGTTACAGTAACAATATTCTTATATAAAATAATAAATTTATCACTGGCTTATCTTTAATTGTTATAAAAACATGAAGAAATTGAATTTGAATCTTTTGAAGAATTTTAATTCTTATGAAAAAATTATAATGACTACATAATTATTTTATTTTGTAAAATATAGTTTTAAAAACCTGGAAAAGTCAGGGAATTTGAAATGAGCAAAAGCGTAGCAACCCTGATTTATAATAATTTGTTGTAATGAAACTATAATATATCTTTTTACTGATTTCAGGTAAAGGAAGTTTTGGTCAAGTAGTCAAAGCATTTGATCACGAGGAACAAACACAAGTGGCAATAAAAATTATAAAAAACAAAAAACCTTTCCTAAATCAAGCGCAAATCGAAGTTAGGTTGCTTGAAATGATGAATAAAGCGGATACTGATAACAAGTATTATATAGGTATGTATTATATCAATAATTATAATATTTCATTAGATTTTATGAAAAAATTTGACAAATGTCACTCACTTTCTTTTTTTCTTCTATTTTCACTTCTTTACAAGTTTCCTACAAAATTCCTACAAACGTATATCACATTCTATATAATTAAAATAATTTTGTAAACTAAAAAGTACAGTTTTTAGTTTTTCCTTTTTCAAAGTCGGTATCAAAATGTTATTAATAAGAAATAATATTTATTTGCAAAGAGATTAATTACTTTTTCTTCATTTCAGTTAAACTTAAAAGGCATTTTATGTGGCGAAATCATTTATGTTTGGTATTTGAGCTACTGTCTTATAATCTTTATGATTTACTCAGAAACACAAATTTTCGAGGTGTTTCTTTGAATTTAACAAGAAAATTTGCCCAGCAATTGTGTACTGCACTTTTGTTCTTATCTACGCCGGAATTGAACATCATTCACTGTGATCTGAAACCAGAAAATATTCTCTTGTGCAATCCCAAACGTAGTGCGATTAAAATAGTAGATTTTGGCAGTTCGTGTCAACTGGGACAGAGGGTTTGTATTTTCATTATTAAAAATAATATCAAGTTTAAATAATAATAATAATAATAATAATAATTGTAATGAGTAATTTTTGTTTCTCTTTCAGATATACCAATACATACAGTCCAGGTTTTATCGATCACCTGAAGTTTTACTAGGCATACCATATGATCTCGCTATAGACATGTGGAGCTTAGGATGTATTTTAGTAGAAATGCATACGGGAGAGCCGCTCTTTAGTGGCGCCAATGAGGTGAGAATCAACAGATTAGAATTTTCGTCTTTTTATTTTATCTAGAACAAATAAATAATTAACGAAAATTTCTTCTCCAGGTGGATCAAATGAATAAAATTGTAGAAGTGTTGGGCATGCCACCAAAGCACATATTGGACCAAGCGCACAAGGCGCGAAAATACTTTGACAAAGTTCCAACGGACGGCACGTATATCTTGAAAAAGTCTAAGGACGGGAAGAAGTATAAGCAACCTGGTACTAGACGATTGCAAGACATTTTGGGAGTTGAAAGCGGTGGTCCCGGCGGAAGAAGACTAGGAGAACCTGGACATTCGATATCCGATTATCTCAAGTTCAAAGATCTCATTCTAAGAATGTTAGATTTTGATCCGAAAACAAGAGTGACGCCTTATTATGCGCTGCAACATAACTTTTTTAAAAGAACAGCGGATGAAGGGACCAACACTAATATCGCCGCAGCAAACAGTGCAAATACCAGTCCTGCAGTTGTGTTAATGAATCAGGATCATGGTGAGTGATTAATTCATTTCCAACCAGTGCAGAATCCTTATTCATTTTGTTTCATAAATGCAATATTCCCAGAGAGAATATCTTTTTTCTTTTTTTTTTTTGAAACATTAGACGTGTTACATCCATTATCGAACTCGACTATCCGTATGTTTCAGTAAAACCAGTAAAACTTTCAAATGCTAAATAAAGTACGTGAATAAAATTTATTAGCAGAAATGTTTATTAAATTTCATACATTGAGGGCATTTTTGTGTTTCTTAGAATGTTTTTTCGTTCGTCGATAATTGTTAGCTTGTGAAAAATTCATTGAATGCTTTTCATATCAAAGTTTCAAAGATTGTAAAATACAGTTTTTCTAACATTTCTAATGTTTTAAAATTGTCCCCATGTATACAATTCTAGTTTTTTGAAACTTTAAGTTGATCTCTATTTTATATTGTTCGCATTGTTTATGGAAATAAGAAGTAAGCCTTATACATATTGAATGAAATATGTTTACATTAATGTTAATATTTACGTTTCAGTTAAGGGAATTAAATGTTTCAATTTCTTGTCAATCAGACTTAATCAACTTTTGCTTTTATTACCATTTCAACTTTATTTAAATTATTAAATTACATTTCTTTGTTTTACAAATGCACATAATAATTATAATTTAGTTTAATTATTAGTGAAGAATTTTTCTTCCACGCAGTTGATTTTGATTGGGAGAAATTGTAAATTTTGAATACAGAAATTGTAAAATTTGTAGAACTTTGATTTTGGGCAGAAATGACGAATGATAGTGTTAGAGGAGGATAGCGATAGAGGAGAGAAAAAAGAATCATCAATTATGCGTGAAATAGAATGGATTTATTGTTTGCACAAATTAAAAAAAAACTTGTTGTTGCCCGTAGATATGATGGGGGGACAGTACGTGGCTCGATGACTGTCGTATCCGCGGGGCGGCGACGACCTGTCCTAGGCCCCAACCTTAATTTTACTTACTAACATAAGTAAGTTCTATCTAACAAACAATCCTACAAAAAGCTGAAAGACTAACTTTCTCTTAGACACCCAATTTCTTTAAATTTCTTTATACTTAGGATGCGTGAAATGCCCTTGCTTGTTTACTTGATTAATAACATAATAAAATGTTTGAAACTATGGATTATTTTTGCAAGCCCATAGTTTTTGACAATATTCCTCTAACTATACTCTCATTGTCAGTGTCAGTGTTTGTCAACTGAATCTCTAACGTTCATTTTTTCCTATTATATCAATTTTCTTTTTCTTCAATAGCAAGCTCTTAGAATATGTTCATTATTTTAATGGAAAACTTTTTATAAAAATCATTGGACATGTTTTTCATTTCATTCAACAACGAACATATTCTATGTGTTTTCGAGAATACGTAAATCCTTTATTATGTCATTTACCTCTCATGCATGCCATAGTTGCTTGCAATTCATGTATACCTCTAGTGTGATTACAAATATCGTCGTACGTGGGATGCATGTCACTGAGTAATATGTATAAATGAATCGCGAGAGTTTTCGAAAGGACTGACTCTTTTTCTGTCAATTTTCTACAAATTCAAAATATTAAACTAAATACTAAAGCCCTTTTCGAAATTCACTATTCAAATATACATATGTATGCATAGTAAGAATACTTGTTCAGATCCCACTTGTGAACGATCTATAACAAAAAATAATTTATAAATAGCACATTACTTTTTAATTATCAATAAATTATAAAGTCGAAAATTATTTATGATATGAAAAAAATTGTAAATAAACAAGTATCCTCATGATTGGGCCATGTCCAAAAATGGCTCTTTTTGTGTTATGTTCAACGTAAAAAGAGCCTATTGTGGACACTGCCTTAACTCATTGTAACATGACATGTCGTAATTGCAAAGTACAACAACATTACTTGATTTATAGTATTTATACTTTCCAAGTCGACAATGTAAAATTCAATAATTATGTACAGTTGTCGAAAAAAGAAACAATATTTCAAGTTTCATGAATTTGAAATTTCTCGAGTTTAAATATAATTATGTTATTTTAAAAAATTTCAATACATACAATAAATTACATTGTGGACAATATTTTAATGAAACTGTCAGGTTAGATATGATGAGTGAGGATAAAAGAAGAATTAATTATAACTATTTTAACTAAAAATAGAAAATGGGCTAAGTTGATAATAGTTATACTTTATATTTTAAAATAATATAAAAATTAAAAAAACATTTAATTTAATTTATTATTCTTGTATCTTGTTATTGTTGTTTTTATACATGTAAGTAGTTTGTTCTTTTACTTAAAGATTATTAGTAAATATTATAAAACAGGGTTGCCACAAGTCAGGGATTTTTATTAAAAGTACTGGAAAAAATTTAATTTTCAAAATTCATGAGAAAACTTTGAATTTTGATGTTTTTTTTTGTCTGTCTCGTAAACTATGAAATTACCGTGAATTTGAATACAAAATCTTTAATTTTTTCTATTTCTGACAATAATTTAACAAAGTTCTTTTCAAAAATTCAATTATTTTTATAAATAATAAAATTCTTCACAGAAATTCAGTTATTTTTATAAACTTGAATAAAATTCGTTGGAAAAATTAAATTATTTTCAAAAGTAATAAAATTCTTCGCAAAAATTCAATTATGTTAAAAAATTAAAAAAAAATTCCTATAAAAATTTCAAGTATATGTTTATAAATGATAAAATTCTTCTCCGAAATTCAATTATTTTTAAAAAATTTTAATATAATTGTTGGGAAAATTTTAATTATTTTCATAAATAATAAAACTCATCGCTGGATTTCAATTATTCTTAATACAATTTTACAGGAATTACTCAAAAAATTTATTTCTATTCCTCGAAAAAATTAAATATTTAAAAAACAGGTTTTTTTTTAAATTCTTTGGTAGAATTAAATTATTAACAAAAATATTAGAATTTTTCACAGGAATTCAATTATTTTGAAATATTTTAATAAAATTCTTCTCCGAAATTCAATTATTTTAGAAAAATTCTAATAAAATTCTTAGGAAAGTTTTAATTATTTTCATAAATAATAAAACTCATCGCAGGATTTTTATTATTTTTGACTCCATATTTTAATCGAATTCCTCGAAAAATGTAATTATTCTTAAAAATTTTATTAAAATTTGTCAAATGAATTCAATTATTTAAAAATTTGTTGATAAAATTCTTTATGAGAATTCAGTTTTAACAAAAATTGAATTATTCAATAAATTATTTATTTTTTAATTTAAATAATTGAATTCTTCTAGAATTTTCTAATAAAAATTTATTTAAAAATTAATTAACGAATAATTGATTTATTATTCATGTTTTGTAATAATATTCTTAGAACTCGTTGAATTTCAAAAAGGTTTGAATTTGAATGTTGTGACGAATTTTAATTCCTACGGAAATATAATACTTAAATATTTATTTAAAAATGAAGTTATTGATGTTTTCGAATAATTTTACTTTTGAAGAAATTTGTAAATAAATGTAAAAGAACATTTTTTTGAGTATCTAATAATTTTTAGAGTGAATCGGAATATTCTTCAGGGTCAGGGAAAAAGGAAAAATCAGTCTGGAAATCAGGGAGAAATGAAATTAAATATTTGTGGCAACCCTGTGAAAAATTGGATAATTCTAAATGTTTTTAAACAACAGCTGCCTGTAAAATTCTTTTAGAGTAGTATTTATTTTTAGGTATCATTGTTTACTATACATATAGTTTCTAAGGACCAGAGTATCGTCTTCATATTTCCTATAATATTTTTGCTTTAGAAAAAAATAAAATAAATGTTAAGGTACTTTACAATGAAAAATCAACATGACGTGTCCTTTTAATGCCAATGAAAAAGCAGAGGAACGAGAAAGTATAAATAAAAATTAGCTTACGTATCATAATTGTAGTGGTGTATCTATAATCCACAAGTGACAATTTAGTTAATTGGAAGTACCTTTGGCAGGGAAAATGCAAATTTGAATTTGAATTTGAAAAGAAAAGAAAAACACTGATATGTAAAATACTAAAGTAATTTTGAACTGTCACAGGACTGGTATCGGTATCCGGACAGGGGAGCAGCAGTTTGATGCAAGTGCAGACGAGCGTTCCTGGCAGCTATCAACCAATGGAGTGCGATTCTTCACCTCGTCACTCCTGCAGCAGACGTGCCGTCATCACCAATTACCCATCAACTTCTGTCGCTGGCACAACAGCGTCGGCTCCGACGTCAATGCAGTCCTTGGACAGCTCTCTGTTGCAAAACTCCCTCGGCTCATACAACAGTCTAATTCTCCCTGGCATTTCTCACCTTCCAGCGATGATGACTTCTCCAATGATCCAGCAGCAAAATTTTTACAATTACGGTTATCCTAGTACGGACGCTCATACGATGGCCAGACAGCCGTCGACAGTCACTGCCGGAAAGCAAAGAGACTCCGAGAGAGAGGACAGTCCAATGGTCGGTGTCTGCGTTCAACAGAGTCCTGTTGCTATTCACTGATCTACAAGAATGGGGGACAAGTGTTGTATTCTTTTTACGTCGTCAGCAACGATTTCGCCGCTCTGTCGAATGGAAAACGCCAAAGACAAAGGCCATCGGTATATCGGAAATCTTCGATTAAGAAGAAAAAGCAAACAAAGATGGTGATTATAATGACGACGACAACGACGACGACGATGATGATGATGATGATGATAATAACAATGAAAAAGAAAGGTAAAGATGTCGATTATAAAATAATAATAAATAATAATGATGATGATAGTGGTGGTGGTGTTTATGAAACCAGTCAATGATTAAGGACACCGAATAATTTTTTGGAGAAGCATCAATCAAGGACAGTATGAAGCATGCAATGAGAAATAAATAAATAAACAAACAAACAAACATCGGAATACTTTTTTATATTTTGCAAGTAAGTGCAGAAAAAAAATAAATAGGATTATTGAATTTTTAAGCGAGAACACGTCATTTATGGCCTAGTAAGGATGAACCAAACTGGCCAGGGAAAATCCTATGAAATTAAAGTAATATTGAATTTAGTCGATCCACGCTTAAATAAAGACTCGATGCGATCTTGAGTGGCCTAGAGAGCAAACAAAGTGATAAAAATATTATTACTAATCGTAAAAAAAAAGTAAATAAAAATTCGGTATATTTGATGTGCAGTAGAGTCTCACAGCGACCCCAAAACTAGTGTACAAATGATAGTCTGACTCCGACGAGTGTCTCGCTCCCTTGTCCTTAACCTCGGTAGTGTCCACACACAATATTACAAAAGCATGGCCTCTAAGCGAGAGCCGCCAAGATAGTACAAGGGGAATGTTCCCCCGATTACAAACGTTCATATCTCGAATCTGTAGGACTCTAAACTCTTAAACAGTTGTGAGACTCTACTGCAGTTTATACCCTCTGGTGAGAGTTTTATACGATATGTGACAAATGACGCGAGTATATGATGAAATCGGTCGAATGATAGCAATTTGTACAATATAATTAGATGAATGACCAGAGTGCAGATTTAAGTCTTAGCTTTTAAGTATGGAAGAAAAAAAGAAAGAGAGAATATGTAAACTTGAGTTTTGTTTAAATGCGAAACACGCCCTTGTCGCGTACAAACATTGCTTTGTTACTCACAAGAACTTTAAACAAACAACGTTTGCGCGACTTGATACATATTTATAAAAATAAACAGAAAGCATCGATAAAAAAAAAGTTGAAAAATATATGTGTAAGGTCAATCAAGAATGATGTAGTCATTAACAAACGGGATAGGTATTTTATGATTCATCTACCTATACTCCCAATAAAATGTTATTGATTTTTGCCGTTTATTCGATTCCAGTTTTTTTTCTTTTCTCGTACAAATCTTATAGAAATTATTTTTTTTCAGTTTTTCTTCTCTTATAACAATAAAAAAAATTAGTCTTTTTTCTTTTTTGTCTAATATGACAAAAAATGAGACGAATTTTTAAATTATTAACATTATTATTATTATTATTATCATTAATGTTAAATATTGAAATATTTTTAGGCAGCTGAATTATTTACAGCGCAATAAAATTTCATGGCGCATTTCAAATTTTTACTTATTTCAGAATAGAAATAATTTTAGATGACTCGGTTAATTTTTTTTTTCCTGGGTCATCATAAAAAAAGGAAATACTACCTTCATATTGAAGATGAAACACCTAGATTTTATTGATGAAAAATTGCATTCTTTTCGTAAAACTACTATACAACTAGTCATAACTGCTTTAGACCTCAATTTAAAAAAAAACGTTTTTTAAATAAAATAACTTAAATTGTAAAAACGAAAAGTGTTTAATTAATACACAAAACTTGTGGAAAATAATTCTATCATTCTCATTATACGTCATATTTTTAATATTTAATATTCATAAAGATGAAAAAGTGTCGTGTGTTCAAGTGTTCAAGTCAAATTATTATTATTCATTTTTTTTTTAAATGAATTTTTTTAGTCCATTATTTATTATTACGGAAACGATTCTAAATGACAGTTTCTAAAGATGAAATAATTAGAAAATCATGTTTAAAATCACAATGATTTTAATAAGTTTTTAAATAATTACTGAATAAATAATTGAACGGAAATATGTAAACTGATTATTTCCAAACAGTGTTTTGCTGATGTGATGAAAAAATGAAAATAAACTGAACTGAAAATAAACCCTGGTCACTGAAATTAAGGATGAATAACAAAGTCCTAGTGTCTGGATAAATGTTGGGTTTCCAGTGTATGTTGTGTATCAGTAACTCAAAAATCTCACAAAACTCACAAAATTGGCTTATTTAAAAAGAATTTTTCATTATGCTTATTGGATTTATTTATTTGATGTAAGTACAGGTATTTATTTATACACAGTTTAAATTAAATTTGGTGACACCACGGCAATTTATGCATGGGAAAATATCAAAGTTTTATATCTACTTTTCAAGAGAAGTACATGTTTATATATGTATAATTTTCAATTTTATTTTCTAAATCAATAATCTTATTCTAAAAAAATTATTCAATATCTTTTAAATTATTGTACATTTTACAGAAATGAAAAATTAAAGGAATACAAAGTTTTAAGACTGAAATTTTTAAGACAGTAAAATATTAAAAATATAATTAATAATGTAAATAATGTTTCGAAAGAATCAATTTTTTTAGGAAAAATTTCAGAAAGTAATGAAAATTTAATTTAATCGTCTTAAACATGTTTTTCTAATTGTATGTGTTTGATTGAGAGAATAACGCACAAAAGTTATACAACTAATTAGGCCCATGCACATTAAAAATCGTAAACATCATTCATCCTTTTCTCTCTCGTGCAAAGTTGACGATTTTTGAGAAATTTTTGGGTATTATCATCGAAAAAATTTCAATTAGGGAATCATATTTATTATTCTATTTTTTAATATAATTATTTAACTATAATCACTGATTATAGAGAAAACTTGCATTATAGAAAAGAAATTCATTTTTTCTGAAAAATATATACATTTATGTAATTTATTTAAATACATGGAAAAGAATTTAAATTTGAAATTTATTTAATATTTTTTTATTTACTTTTAAGCATCTTTAGGATCTTTAATATAATTATTGTATATCAAAGTTATCATTCCTTAATATACGTATGTCAGTATAAAGATAATCTACATTTTTAATTGAATTTTATTTCAGTGAAAAAAATATTTCAAGACAACCATAAGAATTTTTACATTCTTATTTTATTTGTAGAGAGACATTTTTTTAAAATACCATAATTATTTAAAGAATTTCTGACATTTACAAAGTTTCAGAACGGCAAAAATCAATATATTTAAAAAATCATCAATTTAGTATAATTCTTTTGAGAATATATAATTTTGCACTCCAAGAGACATAAATATTTATTTACTAACGAATGTAATCATTCAATTATTAGGAGAAAAGAAAATAGCAAAATTGATACAAAAAGTTAATATAAAAGAAAGAAAAACATTTAATAGATATCACTTTTCAAATAAATTTATTAATGAGAATAATAATTCCACTCAATTTTTTTACTCTTATGTTAAATTATTTTCTACAATTATTTAAAAGAAAAGAATTCAAATAGTAGATTTATCCAAGAAAAATGAAAATCTGGAAAAATTTTGTTGCAAAACAGTGCAAAATTATATATTCAAATACCTACCTAATATTTTGTAGACAATAAATTAATTTTGAAAATGAATTTTTTCAAGTATTGATATATCAATGATGAGCTATTTGATTTTTTGTGCGACCTCAACGCTAGTGACATAATAAAACAAGAATTGGCATAACAAGACAATTTTCTTTGCCTTTATTTGTTTTTATATTTATAATAATAAATAATAAATAAAATCCTTTGACAGAGCTTATGAAAAAAAAAAAATTATGAAGCTGAATAAACCAACATTTATGTCGACGAAATTAGAAAAATACTTTTTATCCAAGACCAAAGATGCAAATAGGTTTTTTGCTAAAGAAGCTTTAATTATTATGACAAATTAAAAAGATCTTTAACATTAACCAGAAATAATTGGGAAAATTATAGAAATGTCTATTCTTATTTCGTCGACGTCGACGTTGGTTTCTTTAACTTTATTGTAAAAATGTCAAATAGTCGAAGGAAGGTGCAAACTCTTACTATGTTCTAAAAAAAAGCAGCAACCATAAAAATTTCTATATTTTTCTTTTTGAAAAAAAAAAAACACACACACACAAACGTTTGTTGATAGTAAAATATCAAGAAGTGCATTAAAAGTGTATTTAACGATTCTTTTTTCCGCATATTGATAAAATAAAACTTTTGGTTAACTCATTCCTGATATAAATGTCGTTTATAATCGTCATTATTGCAATACAATTTGCCATACAACAGTTGCCGCGAAATACAAAGTATTAAGCCAATTAGCGAACAACGGAAATGTAAACATTCAAATATTATACATATAAAAAGACTAGACAAGACGGATGATCATCGATTTCGTCCCGTGAGGGGAAGTCAGAATCCCCCTCCACCAGATGCATGATACTTGGTCAGTTCATACTTCCGTGGTATATCATAGACATGAAATCAATGACATAGGCACATCGTAGTTAAACTGCAGAAGGCAAATGGATTAGGTACATATTTTTGTCGGGATGGCGTTCAAATACACACACATTCCTGTGCGTGTAAGCAGAAAACTACTACTTCGTTCAAAAACCACTTGTAGTATAATTTGTTTCTGCTGGTTGTGTCCACAGTCCGCAAAGCGAGACTGGGACATCCCGACAACAACCAAAAGCTATAGGAATCTCCGTCCTTATGTACTAACTGATGGAATTTTTCACCGCTTGTGAGAAACATTTTTTCTTGAAAAAAAAAATATTTATGTCAGAAATAATTTTTTTCAACTTTCTAAAAAATAAAACACGAGAAAAAATTAGTCGGTCAATTTTTTTTAATAATTAATTAATTAAATAACAAATAATTGTTGTTAATTATTAACTCTTAACACAGAGCAGTTGGAAACTTGCAGTTTTTTTTCTAACTTTACAACTAATAAATCTTTAAAGTACAAAATGAAGATAATTTATGATTTTAATAATTTATCAATTGTTTAAACAAATAATTGTTGTTAATTACTAACTCTTGACAAAAAAAATTATTTTGAATAATAATTGTGCTATCCCGATGCTATCTTCGCTCCGAAACTCAAACTTAAGCCCCTGACCGCATGGTGGGAGAAGGTTGTTTCCCCTCACGGGACGCAATCGATGACTGCCCGACAAGACACGTTCCAATTTCGAAATCATAATTTTTTAAGTAATTGTTTTCTAACTTTTTTACAATACTTATAGCATTGTCAAGAAATGTAAGTAGAAACAAATAAACAAACAAACAAACTGCAAAGTGCTGATAATCTTCAATTCAGAAAAGAAGAAATCGATTACAGTGGAAATACAGAAATAATTCCATGGATTTTAAAATTACTTTTTTCAATTATTCACCTCTTTATTATTAAAGATTACAATTGTGAATTTTGAAAAACAAACACTGAATACATTTTTTTAAAGAATTAACTGAATTAACAAAATATTGCATTTATTTCTCGAGGAAGAATTTTTTTCAACAGATTAATTCTTTTCCATTGCATCTATTCTTGAAGGAGAAACTGTAAAAATAAGAAAGAAAGTTGAAAAAAAATTGAAAAAAACTTCTTTGGGATAAATTTTACAATAATTCGAGGGTGTTTTTTTTCTATTTTTAAAATTGTGCCTGTTACAAATTTCCCACTTAAGGGGATTTGAACCTTGATGACGTCACAGTTTGTGCAAAGCATTAGTTTTAAATCTGTGACGTCATCATGGTTCAAATGCCCTTAAGTGCATAATAAATTGCAAATAATTTTTTTCTTACAATTTTATAATAGTTTATCAATTTTATAGAAACGGCACCAATTTATTCAGAAAATGACGTGCTACTGACATTTATCAATTATTAGACAAAGATCTCAAGCAAATAAACACAATATTGTATCTGTATAGATTGAATTTACATTGTTTTGAATCACATGGCAAATTTTGTAATATATAGGTTAGGTTTTCGCGAGGAACATGTGTCAGTACAGTTATTTTATTATAAACAGTGTCGTTTTTTAAGAGAATGTTTGTTTTCAAAATACATAATACTATGTTCTTCACGATTCACGGATTAAAGAAATGAGGTTTCTTTAACTTTTGTTGAAAATTAACTACTTATTTAAAAAAAAAGAGTCCCCTAAGCAAGAGAGGTTGTAGAGCTATTCTTTAAGATAAATAAAAAAAAGTTCCTAAAGACTTACTTTGCACAAGACAAAGAGACTTGTAGATGTGGAACGTGTCGCGTCTAGAATAATGTAAGTTTCCTAATGTCAAGTGTAAAAACATTGTGTTCAAAAAATACTATAAATATACAATACGACTGAAACGCTTGTAAGATGGTATTTAAACGACTATCGAGGCATAATAAACAAAAAAAATAGCAATAAATAGCAGCCTCGATTATTGATTAAACGTCACTTTTTAAGCAAAATAATAAAAGAGGAATGAATGTGGAAGAAAGTTAATTAAGGAACTGAAAAATGACTTATTAAAACAAACAACTCCACAAAAATGAAAAATGTATCTAACCTGTATACATTGTCATATTATTATATTATATATAATATTATAATTGAAAATTTGAAATGATATTACATAAGATTAACAATAAAGAAACACATCTTCATTTTGTTGTAATCTTACTACTCAAGTATACTTATTGGAATCAATTTTTTTAGGGATTAAAAATTCAGAATAATTCACACAGACACACACAAAGAAAATAAGAAAAGATTCATTTAATACAAACCTTAAATTCGCTCCCTAGTCTTGAGTCTCAATTAGTTGACTAATTTTTAAAATTCTCAATACAGGAATGAATTTTAAAAATTTCCAACATATTCAAGATATCTGGGGGTCAATTCAGGATTATTGGACAACCTTTTAAAATATCCTAATTTATAAAAGATTCTTGAATAATGTTTGCCTCCTGGTTTTTATTTAATGCAAAACGTGAATTTAAAGCGCGGAAAATGCTCAAATTCATCATATTATTATGAATTTATCAAAGTATTTCAATTTTTTAAAGTTAACTTTTCTGTATAAAAATTGCAAGTTTATGTTATTTGTTAATAAATTCTAATAATTTTTAAATACATTTTTTCTATATTTCATTTATTTTTAAATTCAAATTTTAAGGGGAATGAAAAAAATGTTTCAATAATTTTTTTTTTCTTACCGCAAATTATTTCTAAAAGTATGATTTTGTTTTATTAAAATATTTATTTATGAAAATTTCGGTAGAAATATATATTTGCAGATTAGAAGAAATTGACAATCAACATCATGATTTTTATAAACTTATAAATTTTATTTTTTTTTATAAATATATCAAAACTTTTTTCTTTTCTTTGAAAATAAGAAAAGTTGAAAAATTGAAATAAATATAGTTAAATTATGAAATTTAATAAATAACTATGTAATATCAATTTTATACGTTTTATACAAAAGACTTTAGACAAAATTTTATTGTAATTCATCAATACTACTGATATATTTTTCTAATGTGTCAATAATTTCTTGCATGTACGGTACATCTGATTTACTTCGGTTTAACCAATAAGTTGTTTTTTCTTGAAGAGAGTCTATTTCTTTTTGGCTTTCTGATAATTTTTTAAGTTTCTCCTCATTTTTCATTTGAATTTCGGAAATTTGTCTTTCTAATATTTCACATTCATTAACTACTTTTTCGAAATTGTGAGATCTTAGATGTAATTTTACATCTCCTGGAGGTCTCCTGTAAAAAAAATTTAATACATCAATTTCACATAAATTTACAGTTAGTTCTTGAAAATTTAAATCGTTATATTTTCTACTTCTTTAAAAAACTACTAAATGATAATCAAGCTTCTAAAATTATTTAGTTTTTAAGATACATGCAAAAATATAATATTGACACACACCGGGCTAATTAAAAAAAATGAATAAAAGTAATAGAAATTTTTAATAAGTTTCTAAACTTACCATGCATAATTTATGGGAGTAATAATTCCTTCAGTAATGTTACTAAGTTTTACAAAACCCTCGGTTAAACTTCCTTCTTTGCTTTTAATATCATCTAATGTTCCATTCATACTTCTGTTTAATTCATCAGTGAATATTTTTGAAAACTTTTTTGATTTTGAATTGATTGTGGACGGAATTGTTAAAATTTTCCGGAATTCTTCTTCGCTGGAAAGAAAAAATATATTTTTTAAATATTTTTTTAAAATTTATTTTAACATAGAAAAGTTTAATCTAAGAAAATAAATATTTACTTCACAGTCTCTGAAATTCGTTTAAATACTTCTGTTACTGCTTTTTCAAATATAATTTCATTGTTTGTTTCATGTTTTATGAGATCCATACTTTAAAGTTATAAATATAAAAATAATTATTAATTAATTGTCAAAAAGGTGAACCCAAATATCCAGTCTAGATGTTTTTAACTAAGTTTTTAATTGAAATGTACACAAATCACAAAAATGCACAAAACATGCAAGTGGTAAAGGTGCGCCTTCAATGGGACAGAAAACAGAATTGATTGACTCAAGGTACGTCCACAGTTCTGCTGCGAGTGTGAGCGAGAAGAAAACTGTGAATTTTCTCTCTCACACTTACTACTTGCCCCATCCGCATAAAGGTGCTTCCATACTTCCGCTATTTCGGTTAAGCAAATCGACTGGATGAATTTTCACCATCAGTGCAAACGCACCCTTAGAACACAAGTGTGTAAACTGTAAACAATGCCTGTATTTATGTTTTACATTTTCTGCCCACATGGGATATGGGAATTGATGGGAATGTTAATAAAAAATGTTTAAATTCGGATTTTCAAGTGATTGTTCCATGCAAGGTAGTTTAATTTAAATAAATATTTTTAAATCTTAATATATTGGATACAAATTTTCTTGAATAACACAATTTTTCCCATATTAACAATGATTATAAAATGATTTATTCATTATGATCGAATTATAATAGAAGAAGAGGAAGAGGAAGAAAAGAGAAATGATAAAGTTGAATGGATTGTTGCTTCTGAAATTAAAATCCAATCAGATGATGTCACTGGCAAGTATATATGCAATGAATACCACGAAGAGAAAAGTTTCTCGGATATATCACTAAAATTAGTACAAACAGACAAAGTTGTCACCAAGTTGAAAGAAGAAAATTATAAGGCAATTGTGGAAGCAGAATCGCAACATTCGGATCTCATTACTGCCAAATATGAAGGTGAGAATAACTATAAATTATCTTAAGATTATAAAGAAACCTTTTAAATTAGGACTTTTTATCATTATGTACTTTTCTAGGTGGTTTAAAAGTTTGGGAGTGTACCAATGACTTAGCTAATTATTTACTCCAACAAAATTATTCCTTTAATACAAAAAAAGTATTGGATTTAGGATGTGGATCAGGTATAATAGGAATTTTGTGTTTGATAAAAGGATCGACAGTTGATTTTCAAGACTATGTAAGTTTTATTCCGAAAGTTTGGGAATTTAAATGTAAATCTTCCTGCGGCAGAAAAATTGAAATTTAATATAAATTAATTTGTTATAATTGTTTCAGTAGAATAAGGAAGTAATCACGCATGTAACTATACCGAACGTTATTTTAAATTTTAACGATCACGTTGTCAATAGTGGAAAAGTAAAATTTTACTGTGGAGATTGGAAATCTTTTCTTTCTCTCATACTTGAGAATTCAAATGAAAAATACGATTTCATATTTACTTGTGAAACTATTTATAATTCTGACAATCACAATAAGCTGTATCAAGTTTTTAAAGAGAAATTAAAATTTGGCGGTCTTGGGTAAGTCAATTTTATTTTTAAAACCCCAGTCACTTAAAAGACTGAATAAATTGTATTTTATATAGAAAAAATTGTTTTAAAATTATTATGTTGTTCTATAACTAGTTTTGTAGCTGGAAAAACCCACTATTTTGGAGTTGGTGGCAGTATGAGACAATTTGAAAATCTTGTATTAAATGATGGTTATTTCAAAGTGCAAACAGTGTGGAAAAGTAATGAAGGTAAACTCTTCTGTTATATTTATTTTTATATATATATATTATTTATTTATTTCTAAATTACTTTTTTAATACTTGAAGATGCATTTGGATTTTCGTTTCAGGTTTACAAAAAGAAATAATCGTATTATCACACCGTTGAGACATGTTCTATAGTAATACTTTTGTACTATTTGAATATAATTATTTTGCTAAATATACCTTTCTCTTTTTTTAATAATTATTTTTATGGAGACAATCTTTCGTACACCCATCCATTTTCTCCCTGATGAAGTAAAATATTGTCGACTTTTTCTCCAGGCACTGGTCGCCGAAAGCGAATTCTGTCGTGTAGGCGATCACTTTGTCCTTGCCAAAATTCTACTGATTTCGGTTTAAGATGATAACCGCCCCTAGAATAGAAAAAAGTGAATGCAAGAAAAAAAAGAGAAAAAATTATTATTAATTTATGAAAAACATGACATACCAGTAATTTGGACGAGGAACATTTTTATCTGAAAATTGAGATAAATATTCTCGTTCTCGAATCATCAGGACATCTCTTCCAGAAATTATTTTACTTTGCTTACTAGCCCACGCTCCAATTTGACTAGGAAATGGTCTACCCTTAAAATATTCATCTGAATCCTCGGACGATGTTTTCTCGACAGTGCCCTCAATGCGAATCTGAAAATTGTTTTATAAATTTTATAAATTTATTTAAAGAAACTTCTATATGATTCTTTAATGATAATAAATAATATTAACCGTGCGTCTTAATGATTCCCAGAAAAATGTAAGTGCAGCATTTGGATTTTCATCCTGTAAAAAGGTTTTGTTATTATGTATTTATATTATTTAAAAAACAATGTTTTAAACCAAAGTCATACTAGATCTTTTCCTTTCCGACTTTCATAATTAGTATAAAACTTGAAACTGTCAGGACCATATCCTTTAAGTAACACTGGCCTTACAGATGGAATTCCGTCTCTAGAAATTAATTTCAGTTTTTATGTAATCAACTTTCAAAAATATGGTAAAATATACAATTAAAAATAAACATTAAACAAACTTGGAAGCTGTTCCTAAAAGCATAGCATTTGGTTCTAAGATAGTTGGCGTATTGCAAGCCAATTCGAACCAAACTTTAAACTGTCCAAATGGTTCCTTAGTGCTCAATTGATCTTCCGTGAATGTTTCATTTTTATCTTTGTACTTAATTCGCATATCTGAAAAATTTAACAATCGTTTACATTTCGAAAATTAATATAATAAATATGTCGAATACAAGAATATATACCCGCAAGATTAACACTGTAATTCTCATTTTGTCCACTAGTATTAGCCATAATTATAATAATTGTATAAGAAATTTATGTTTAATTATAAATTATGTTCTATTTTACTATTAATACTTTTTAGGAACAAGTTTAAATTATTCATTTCTCTTTATTCACATATTGTTAGTGTACTTTCTTTTGCTGCGTACTAAATGCACTAAGCACTTGGTGTCTTGGTGACTTGGTTAGTCACATGGAGGCGGATTAGTTAGTAAGGTTAGTAAATTAGATATTTTAGCCAATCAAAACATAGTGCATGACAGCACAACAGATTCGCGAATGAGAATCATAAGATAGCAAAGGGGGCAAAGGACACAAATATACGTGTCTTTCTTTTTGCATTTATTGTAGAAGCTCCTTAATGAGTAAAAGAGCAGTCACAACTTTGTAAACTGCCAGCCTGTCTATAGATAACTTTCTGTTTTTAAATAAAAAAAATATATCAATAAACAATAATTATTAATTAAAATAGGTAATTACATTTTTCAAGAAATTGGTTCAAAATTGTATTCAAAATAATTGAAATTCTGAGAAGTTTTATTTCTGAAAATAATTGAATTATTGTGAAGAAATTTGTAAATAGTTGAATTACTGTGAAATTTTTATTATAAATTACGAAAATAATGTAATGTTTGCTTAGAATTTTAACAACCTCTTTTTTTTAAACAACTGAATTCTTTTGAAAAATTTTATTAAAATTGTATAATATATTGAAAATCATTGAATTGGGGAAAATTTTTGAAAATTAATTTTGGATAATTGTAAAAAACGTTTATTATAAATTAACATTAAAAATTAATAACGCAGAATTAAATAGTAATGTCAAATATGTTCTACACTTTATTCTAAATTAACTGGTAGGGCACTGGACATCTTCATTCCTAGTTTTTAATTGTATAACTTGATCTAATATTTCTTTTTCTACTTCAAGAAGCAGTGCAGGTTTCTTGTACTGTAAAAAACGTTTAAATAAATCAATTTAGAAATCAGGTTAAATGAGGCAAATCCATGTTTACTATAAAAAAAGAGGATTTGAAATATTACCGATATTATTAAAGTATCAAATCGATGAGAAAAAGAAATGTTTTCTTGCTTTGGTTTCAATCCAATGCGTTGTAAGTCTGGAACAACTATTTTTTTAAAGTACTTTTTATTACTCGTCCTCACTGTAATTGTTTCATCTTCTTCAGCAGTCACTGAATAAACGTCCTTCGGATATGATAAATTTCTTATTCTCCATTCTAATGAACTCTTTGTCATTCTTCTTGATATTGATGGCTATTAAAATTTTTTGTAATTAGCTATAACTGTAAGTTTTTAAGGTAATTTAATAAATCCTTTTAAAATGAGATGAATTTTCTTTAAAATCACCCTGATAACTATTAAGTTTAATACATCTCACGAGCAATGTATACATACAGCAGTTACACTTTCCTGAATTCCATTGATATCAACAGTTCCTCGAAACTTAGGTTCAGGATCACCAATCTCTACTATCCAACCGGCGTCTTGTCCGAGCTTTCCTTTTTCTCTCCAAATCCTTCGAATAATAACACCCGTATCTACATGATACTCCTCTACCATTTCTTTATTAGTTTCAAATAAGTAATGAACTTTTCTGCATCCTAGTTTTTTAAAAATCATATTTTTAATAACAATTGAACTGCAAAAATAAGATTTAAAGACAAGAATAAGATTTAAAGGTATTACCATTTTGAATAATAGCAGTTTTTTTTGCATCTTTAATGCTTTTCAACCAATCTTTAGAAGACATGTCAAATTTTCAAAAAGATTTTAAATAAACAGTGAGGAAACAAAACAAAACACAGCATAATAACTATGAATAAATAATTTCGAGATCCTCCATCCTCTTCTGATATCTGATGCTTTGCATTCATTAGGGTGCAATCCCATGTTATCAAAATTTCATGAGAGTGAAAAGAATAGTGATATCGACTATCTTTCTTGTACTAATTAATTTCTTTACATGATGGAGAGTCCACAATAGGTGCAAAAGGCAAGAAGTGCAAGTGCGAACCAATGCTAAATGTATAGGAATCGCACTTGCACTTGGACTTGCTACCTACATATTTGCACATATTGTGGACTCTCCATGAGGTAGAAAAGGGTAAAAGATATAACAATTCTTTTCTCTCCTATGTAAATATTACGATTTAAATCTTAATTTTCAATATGCGTTGATCCAAAGCGTCGACAACTCGACACTCGACGGAATGCAAAAACCAACTACTAACGTCCCGCCAACTTGGGATGGCACCTTTTTCCTTTAAAGGTTTTTCTACAATCCATCAGATCTGTCTGACCAATATGTTACTTAAATCATCCTTATTTTCAAGTTTATTGTAATATATACACAAAAACAGAACATTTTTGTCTTTATATTAAACATAATACACCAAAAAAAGGAAGAAATTCATTGGTTGAATATAAATACGTAAAAGACGCCGATTGTGAACACAGCCTTAAACGTAAGACATAGACTATGACACGTTGCTTTACCACTAGGCACCACTAGGAGCGCTGTTATTTTTAACGTAATTGTGGGTAGTTCTTTTCGGAATTAGTTTTTTTCTCTTTTCATACAACAAAATAATAGAATTTTTGTTATTTGAAAATTTCAACGCATAGTAATGTTTATTGAAGAAAATCAAATTATGAATAAAGTAAGTTTTCCCCTTATCGTTTTTTAATGGTAGTTTTTACATTTTTCCGATTTACATTGTGATGTACACTTTTTTTCAATTCTATTAATACCGAGATTACAATTTTCGTTCCGCCATCTTAGGTTATTGTGCAGTGTGGTAGGGATCTGTCAGTTCGTCCGTCACTGTTTTATTATAACAAAAAACGTATTATTAGTTTATTGTGTCCAATTTATTCGAATATTGATGGAAAATGTAAAAAATCATTTTTCAGAATGAACATTCATTATTGCAATTTGTATCAACTATATATTAATCTTAATGTGTTCCAAATTGATCAGTGCAGATCGTAATAGGAACAATCGCGCTCAGAACGAAAGGACATTTCCACCATTACCATTATGAAATAGCACGTAGCTATTTATGCCGTGCGAAGTAAAATAAAGTTCATTTTTGTTTTCTAAAAGCTTTCAAGTTATTATACTAGTCTTTTAAATTAATTAATTCGAAATAGTTGAATAGAAAAAGTTGTTTTGTCTCTTTGCTAAAAAGGCTGCTGCTGGAGCAATTAATCTAAAAACATCAGGTGCGCGGCAATTTTATTTCTTCTCTGAAAGTAAATATGTCACTTGAAAGGAAAAAGGATTTAATATTATAAATATAGTTATGAGTGCTGGAAATTAAATGTTTATGTTGTATTTTTAAGTTGGAAATTATGTTTTGTGCTGTCTTTAAATTGATTCAACATTTTTTTCAAGGTATATATTAGTTTAAAAAATGTGAAATGTCTATTTAATCGTTTATCTGTTGAAATTAGAAAATAGCCAATTTGGCAAGTCTGTTACATTAGATTCTATTTTTTAAGATTTAAAATGATAGGTTAAAATTGATATTCTATCTGAATTCATAAATACTTGTATTTAATAACAACAACTAAATCTTAATCACACAAAAAAAGAAAAGTTGACTCAATAAGAGATAAACAATTTGGTTTGTCAAGAAATATAAATAGCAAGCAATTTACAAGGATAGAAATTATTTAAATAATAATAGTTACTCCTAATACAGCAGATAGGAATTTATTTGAGTTTAAAATGCATTCAACGACTTTTGATGATCTGAACTTGTTGATCAAGCCCTTAATTATTACCGAAACTATTAAGTTTTATAAAAATTAAAATCTTATCAAATTCGAAGCCTTATAGGATTAAAATACTCAATGAAGGAAAATTAGAGGCTTAATAGAAAAAAAAGTAAAGAAAGTTTTCTTTCAATCTCCCACTGTGTAGTAGATAAATAATCTTTTTATGTTAACCAAGAAAATGACATACTTTTAACGACATTAAAAGAACATTTATTTATTTTTAGTTTTACGTCAGCCAGTTACAGAGTTTTTGCTGACAAGATAAAATAATGTACGAATTGGAAGGAGTATTAGAAACATAATCATGTTGCTGAGTTAGATAAAATGAGGTTTTCCGCATTACAAGAAGACGGATACGGGCTTGGCTTGGGACAAGACCGATTCCCTAATGATGTTGACGAAAGTATGATGGCTGCCACTGGTGACATGGATCCAGATGGTGGTGGACCACCAGAAAAGGGTTCTATGACTTCCAATTTGCCCCTTTTATTTGCAAACGGATATCCAACGTCATTAGAAAAGATCACACTGGTACATATTTCATTCTACAGCAGTAACAGGGTTGCCACAAATTAAAAATTTTAGTTTTTCCCTGATTTCCAGACAAAATTTTCACTTTTCCCTGATTTTTTCCTGAATTTCCTGACCTGTGGTAACCCTGAGTAAACTGTCGGAAATTCACTAAATTTTACTTTATTGTTATTATTTAACCCATTGTGATGATTTTTAAAAATTTCAGTTGGAACTAGAACGATTTATAACATTTATGGTGCAATGTTCTTTGGGACATGACACTGCTGAAGTGATTCGTCAACCTCAGTGGTGGCCTAAAGAAGTAAAGTTTTCAAATCCTTTTGTCAGACCTAAGACAATTAACGATGTAAGTAATTATTGTAATTTACATTCTCATGTCTAAATTGTTCAACTATTACTTTGAATACGCACTGACCTCTGTGCTTTCAGAATTCTTTAATACATTTTTCAAACTTTCGGTTCGAAAAATGAATTTCTTCCAGTACACCACCATTGCTCCTCTCCTAACCAAATTACAGAAAAAAATTTCTTTTTTATTGTTGTAATAATGGTTAATGGTAATTCCACGAAATTTCAGAACTGGATAGGGAGTTTAAAGAAACTCGTATTCAGGTGCTATACGTATCACAGAAGCGAATATTTATTGCGCTTTTGTTCGTATTTGACACAATATCCACGAGAAAATCTTGAATATGTTAATAACTGGGATTCAACAACCAGTCTCTACCTGAAGAGTACTCGAAGACTTTTGGTGACATTCCGCAATGAAAATATGGTGCGTTGTCATTTCACATGGTTTTAAGAAGAATTCTAAGAAAATACTTTACTAAATTCACTCTCACTCTCTCTTTTACAGAATTATGATAAGAAAATTGAAAGTCCTAGAAAAATGTTGTTACCATTTAATGGAGTCACATCTGCATTTCCCAGTAAAACGAAAGCGCAACATCAACTGTCGTTGGTTGTGGTGCAACCACCAAACGACGATATATATTTATGTGATAATTGTGACGCGGAACTGATAGGTTTCGATCAAATGAAGGTACTGGTAACGATCAATACAATACATATATAGCACAATTATTTTTTGTGTTGTTCGTGTACATTACTTTTGATAACTGTAGGAACACGAAAGGATATGCTGCGAACAAGAGCAGAGCAACAGTAATTCAAGGCCTTCTACGCCAGATGTCTTGTGCATTCAGCCGGAAATGGAGCAGAATCAATTTTTAGCTTATTTTCATTTACTTCCACCCGAGTCGGCAAATGTTTGTTCCAATTCGTCGAAAGAAATTTTTATCAATCAGAATAATGCAACACGGTCATCGCGTCGAATTAGAGGGGCGGTGAACATGACACGATGTCCGACAATTCCATTCTCCTCACCAGCTGGCATTGCTATGGCAAAAAAGTCGAAAATGATGAGCGAGGGAATTCAGCAGGAGCGACTGGAGAGGATAGAAAGACACTTGACGGCACCACCATTGCTCTCTTCTTCATCTCGACCGAAATGGCTCGATCGAAATGTACCGGATGGAGATCGATGGAATGTCACGTATAAAACTAATCGAGAGAAATTAGGGAGAGATGTTTATTCTCATGAATATAAATTCAACAATTTTAGAAACAAACCTGGTATGAACTTGTTTTCTTTTCAATTTCAATGATTTTTTTTTGCTTTATTTTTCTAATTTGTTAATGTTTGCAGTGCTCAATATACGATCACAATTGTTATACGTAGCCTGTCAGCCAATTTACGTAAGTATGACTTCACTAAATCAGGATCAAATACAGGAACTACAACACGATCCTTCTAAATATAAGAGTCCCATTCGTCAAGTGCCGCGACCAAGATTGCGTTTTAAGAGTTTAAAGAGGCAACAGACGGCAATGAGTTGCAGCCAGGAAGAGGTGATAGTGATCGACGATGAGGAAATTGTGCCGGAAGAAATGGCCATGGCCACTTTGACTCCAATTGGGAGAGTTTCGGGAAATGTTTATAGTCGACCCCACAGTTACTCGGCACGACCCGCGAGCATTGCTGCCAAGCGCCACCGGAGTAAAGTAAAGAATTCAAGGTCCACTAGTGCGATCATGGTTGTAGATCTATGTTCTTCCGACGAAGAAGAAAGTTCAAGTAAACGCATATCCACCGATGAAAATAAGGATCCCATGGACTGTTCTTCAGAACCTGAAACAAGTTTTTCACGAACATTTTCAACCGGCAAATTTTGTCCGAAACCCTGCATTTATCCCGTAGACGCGACAAATAATAGATATGCAGTTAACAATTTGTCTGCGGATAGTGACAATCGTGGTAATAAGTGTCTCGGTGATGTTTTAAAGCATTCTTGTACTGGATTCACACCTCTTCTTAGACAGACACCTTGAACATAAATTGACTGATCTAATGTGTTACAAATTTTTTTTTTATTTATTACATGCACAACATTGTAATGAATAATTTACTAATTTCGCGCTAATGTTTATTAAAAGGTGTTCCACTTTTGGACATATACTATAAATGCGAAAGATCATGGTCTAAACTGTAGCTAAATATAAGATACGAATATTACAAAAATCATTAAAGAAATATTGCCTTTCATTTTTAGTACAATTCTCATTTTACAGGTTAAGTTAATTTAATGCCATAAAACTTTATTAATTTCCAATGTTTATTTATTTATTCTCAGTTACTGATCATCATCATCATTATTGTTCTCATCATCATTGTCAACATTCTTCAAATATTTAAGAAACCGCATCAACTACAAGGATGTCAAGAACATCTGTCTATTCAATCTCCGTAATTTTCCTCAAGCTATTTAGAGATTATTTCTCTTTTTTTTCTAAAAACTTGTTTCAAATTAACATTGAAAATAATATCAATTTTTGACACTCAGCACCTACTGTACTACTAAAGTATAAATTTAAAAAAACATCTAATATTTCATATAACAAGGGCCAGAAAAACAAGATTTGAATAAACACGCAATTATAGCGTATTGCAATATTGTTCAACAATTCTGTGACTAAGGTTCCCAAAGGACCAAATGAAAAAACCTAAAAATGATTTAAACAATATTTACAATTTTTTGTTAATCTACTTCTAAATCTGTTTACAATATTAAAAATTAAAAGATTTTTATTTCGTAAAATTGAATATTAGGTATTAATTAATTAATAATGACATTTTTGTAAGTTATTCCCAACTAGAATAAATAATTAGTTTGATAAACATACGCCTTTAATTTTTCCTCATTCACACTTATTTCGTTTACAGGATTGTTAAGTTTTAACCATTGTCAAGTTTTAATGAATCTATAATTAAACAAGTAAAAATATTCTTTTAAAGTAAAGACGTCTTGTCAATGTATTTACAACTATTTGTTTTAGAATTTTTATTTATGTTTTTCATCTTAATTTACATATTTCAATGATTGCTCATCATAAGAAAATACCATTTGTTCAAATTTTTATTCCCTCCAGGAATTTAAAATTAGTTGAAAAATGAAAAATATCTGTGTATAAAAACAAGAAAATTCTTTATTATAAAATAAAAAATTGATTACATTATTCACAGCAATAACTTAGACGATTTTCTTTAACCACACACTCAACTCTTCAATATCAGCAATTGAATCCGAATCTTTGTTGTACGCACTACTTTCAGCAAATTGGACATTCATATTGAGATGATTAAATTCGAAATCAACTCCATTTTTTCCAAGAAAAGTATTCGAAGATGAATCGTCAATTGCTTCCAATTGACTGGATTTCGTTAAGCGAAGCAAATTTATTTCCTTCTCAAGAAGAGTTTTGATAACTCCACATCCCTTCGCCATCGTTTGATCTTGTTTATTGCACAATACAAGTATAGGAATGTGCCTTTGAATACTTATAATTGATAACAAACTATATAAAAACCTAAAAAAAAAACAATTATTATTTATTTTTTAATTATTGTACTTAAAATTCAGTACTGATGAACAAATTATATTGTAGGCACTTACTCTGCAACATCTCGAATATCCTTTTGCAATGTAACTGCATCAATCACATAAACTAAAGCACGAGCTGAAGATTTATATTTGTCAAAATATTTGTATCTCAATCTTTCATGTCCAGGAATATCTACAATTCGCAAAGAATGCTGAAAAGGAATTCAATTCAGTTGTAGATATAGAACACGTTTTTTCATTAATATCAGTTGCTAAATTGATTAGCTCTTTTCTTTAAAGCTTCTAAAGTAAATATTTGATATTGGTCTTACGTTATTTATGTAGATATTGCCTGTATTCTCTTTAACTGACGTATAAGTAGAAATAAATTTAGAATTCAATAAACGTGAAAAAAGTATTGTTTTTCCAGCATCACTGAGACCTGTTATAAGTATACTGTTTCCAGCAGACTTTCTTCTTCGCCATAAAGTAACTAAAACTGTTAATAATGTTAATAAAGTTAATAAATTTCTATAGATGTTCAATTTATCAAAACAATTAAAATAACTATTCTTTCATTATAAAATTAATTCATTATGAAATATTTCAAGAATTATTAATATAACCTACATCATACTTACCAAGTGTTAATATGACACAAAATACAGCTACGATAATTCCAATAAACTGAAATTCGAAATTATTTTCGTTTATTGCTTTCACTAATTTCTCCATGGCTATTATTTAGGTATTTGATAATAATTATATCTTTATAAAAATAAATTTCTAATTTTCATTATAAAACAAATTTAAAGTTGTGTAGTTTTATTTTTCATAAATACAAAGAAAACTAATGCATTCAACACATATGTTATGTTGTATTTACATACGTGTTCCAACGTGTTCGCTGGTGTTCGTTTTCATTGACTTTCAAGGTGTGTTCAGAATGGTCAATTTGGGCATTTTAAGTAAAGTTCATAATTTTATTAAGGTTGAGTCCACAATAGGAAAATATTTCTTGCTCAACTATTTCGTTTAGCACGTGGAAGTCCGAAGTGAACGCTCCTTTAAAGTATGATCAATTGTGGAAGATATTATATAGATTGAGATGTATTTTCATGGAAAAATAGGTGATTTAAAATTAAAAATAATAATATTCAAGTGCTTGGCTCAAAATGAAATTATTTTTTAGTTGCAAAAAGAAATATTACCATATTTACATGTTAAATTGAATGGAAATATTGCGATGATTTATTATTGAAAATCAGTTACAAAACAGTTTTTGGGTGAAAGTAAATGATGTATGTATAGATATTTAATATTTATTGTAAATATTGATTTTTTTAAGAAAATTTAATACTTAATAAACAAATTTACATTTCTTTAAACTATGTACTTTATATTGAAATTTATATAAATAAGATACTAAAATCCTTTCGGAATGGTTAATACTCTAAATTAATTTTTTTCTAAATATTTAATAAAATTTACACAACTTTTTGTACAAACATTTATAAATCTTTACAATGCTTTACAACAACACTTTAAATAACTTGAATAAAAATAATGTATGACAAATATTTGAACATTAATAATTAATAATTTGAAATTATTTTTTAGTTGATTTTCTAGGCATTCAATAAAACTCTATTTATGATAACACAAAATATGTAAGATGATAAATAGTTTATTTAAGTTTAAAGAAAAGATTGTGAGAAATAGGGATGTTAATCACGTTCTCAATGTTGTATAAAAAGGTGTGTCATGCACTTTTTAATTATAATAATTATGAAAAAAGAAAATGCATTTTATTTCTAGTTAATTCTAAATTCTAATACTGTTTTATTACACTAGGTACACCGGGTATCAAGGATTCATTTAAATGAAATAATTAGAGAATAAAAATAAGCAAACATGGTCTCGGAACAGGGGAATGAAAATGGAGAAGATCATCAAGAAAAAACGGAAACAATATCAGAAACTAGTTCATCTGTTAGATCTTGTGCTTTAGAAAATGTACAAGACAATGCTTATGGACTAGATCCTAATTCACTGGAACCCGTGAGTAGTATTTTAGTTTCTACAAGTCAAGTGGTGGAGAACAAAGATTCCCAAGCAATTGAGCAGGAGGAGATCCTGGAGGAAAGAATAATAGAACCTTTAAAAGAAGTTCGGCTAAATAAAAGAGAAACTTTAGGTTCGGGAGATGAAATAACAGAAAATCCTATGAAATGTTTGGGAAAAAATCATATTCCAACAGCTGTACAAGATGAGGGAAGTACATCTTGTTCGGAAATTGTAAATGATACACTTCGTTGTTCCAGAGGGAAACAAAGATTGTTAAATATTGTGGAAAATAAGTATAAGAGAGGAGAATTAGCGCATAATGGAGAAGATTTGATGTCAAAAGTAAATGGCGAAAGCAGTTCAAATGTGAAATGCGTTTCTGATAAATTTGGAGAAAGAAAAGATTTTGGTAATGTGTATGATTATGATTCTATGGATGGTGCAGTGGCTTTACCTTTATATAGTTTAGCAATCGTTCCTTCAGAAGGGGAGGAAAATATTGGAATAGATTGTAATAAACCATTTAAATTACCAAGCTTAGTGAATTTGTTTGAGGTAGCTAAAGCTCAAGGAGTTAAATTGGAGGAAAATGCAAGAGCCATTTCTGATTTGCCCTCAAGTCATGATCATCAATTTGAAGGGCCAATTGACATTCGATCGTCTAATAGTAGCGATGGAAGTAATTCTGAAACTGAGTCTCTACAAGCTTCAAGTAAACATGTTCGATGTAGAAAGGTATCTTATTTTTTAATTTCTGACAATTTCTTTTTAAATAACTTAATTTTTCACGTTACACTATTTTTTTGTCTGGTTTGTGAAGTGTAAAACGAGTTTTTTTAGTCGTCAAGTTTAATTTTTGGATAGCTATTTTTTACCACTTTTTTAGTATGAAAGCTACTTTTTTAAAATTAATTATCGAGTGCGAAACAATTAATTAATGATATTTCTAATTTATATTTCGTGACATCTTTGTTCATAAAAGTGATAATTACAGATGAATAAAGTAACAACAAAAGAAGGAGTCGAGTATTACCAACTGTGGCGAAGCACAGCGGGCCTTTCAACACCGGAATCAGTATACGAGACTTTATATCCAAATCCTCCTCCATTGCCACCCAGGTCGGCTCACAAGCCACTTTACAGGAATTTATGTCAACCACCAGAATTACCTAAAAAACAGAATCTCAAGACACCAATGCGACCTGAAGATTGCTTTGGTTTTGAAATTGTGGATATGGATGAGGGTCCAAATAATATGAAGGTAAGTGCAACGAAAGCTTTTAATGATGAGAAAATAATTGAAAATAATTACATAAATTTATTGAAAGTAATTTTTTCATTGACAGACTAGAACGGCCGTTACCAAGAGCATAGCGCTGTTAAGTTCGCCAAGATCTCACAGAGCATTGACGAGACCCGAAGCTGGAACAAGCAGTCAAATCGAATGCCCCCCTACGCCAACGCACCGTCCAAAATTATTACGTCCACTACCGATATGTCCTTCCACAAAATCAACTTTAACTTCCGAAGAACCTCTACCTGCATGTAAGATTTTGTTCGATTTTATTGGATTCATTTATTAATAAGGAATTAATTTTAATTTTGCTTACAGCCTGGGAAGCGCGTATTGACAGTCACGGTCGAGTATTTTACATAGATCATGTTAATCGCACGACAACTTGGCAGCGACCTGGACTGACGTCTCGAAATCTAGGTTGCGATCTACGTCGACAACAACTCGACAGACGATATCAAAGTGTGCGTCGCACCATTTCACGACAAGACATGGATCAAGAACCTGGCACCTCGAATATTAATGCCAGTCAATTTGAAATGAACAGTGATCGTCTAATCGAAAGAAGCACCAACAACAGAAGTGAATTTGACACTGCCGATACAACTACAGTACCGGCAGTTCTATTTCTAAGTAGACCGGACTTTTTCACAGTTCTCCATACCAATGCAGATGCTATGGAATTCTATAATCGTAATTCGAGTTTGAAACATATAATCAATAGAATCAGAAGAGATTCCGCTGTGTTTCCACGATATGAGCACAATAGAGATTTGGTGGCGTTGATCAATTTGTTCGCGGATTTAAATAAAGATTTTCCAGTTGGTTACGAATCGAAACTCGATAGAAATGGAAAAGTGAGTATTAAAGTTTCACCTCTTTAATTTCAATTATTAAACTTGATCATTCGTCAGGTTCAGGAAAAAAAAAATTTTTTCTCTGAAAATCAGAAGAAAATAAAATTTTGATGTTCTAGAGATTTTTCATTAATCACGTGAAAAAAACAACGTCATTTATTGATCCGAGACTGCCAATGGAAGTAACGCATCCGAGAACAAGTGTGGATGAAGTACCAATGCCTCCGCCAAGAACGCAACAGACGGTGATTTCGACAACTGGAGTTCCTACCGCTCAGCCCGATATTCCCGTCGCGTATAACGATAAAGTTGTCGCCTTCTTACGGCAACCAAACATAATGGACATTCTCAAGGAACGGCATTCGGCTTTGAGTCAAAATGTCGCTTTGAAGGAAAAAATTAATACAATTAGAGTCGAAGGATCCGCATCGTTGCAACGTTTAGGGCACGATGTTCCTTTGGCATTACTTTTAAGGTAACTTGTCAAGAGTTGGATTTTTCAATATCGTATTTTTCAATAACAACAAATATTCAATCATTCAAATTCAAATATTCAATTTCTTTCAGTTTATTCGAGCAAGAAATTATGTCATACATTCCTGGTATAGGAAGGTCTCCTCTCAACAGTCCTCATGCATCTCCCGGCTTAGCTAGAGCTTCGGCCAGAGCTCCCGCTCCGTACAGGAGAGATTTTGAAGCGAAACTTCGCACATTTTACAGGAAACTGGAAAGCAAGGGTTATGGCCAAGGTCCCGGCAAGTTGAAGTAAGTCTTCCAAAATCTGAATTGTGACGCGATCTGAAGAAAGGGACCTTAGAAACAAATCACTATGGTTATGTTGAAGTTACTTTTTTCTTGTTTGAAAGTTTCTTCTTCCTTTTTTCAAACTAAAATCAGTGTTTAGTGAACATTTTAGTTGTAATCAAGACTTAAACATCAATTATTTATATTGACAGTTGATCCTTTTTTTGTATTTTCATTTAAAAAATTGCAAACATAACCTATAATTTTTTGCTTCTAAGGTTCCTTTCTTCAGATCACGTCACAATTGAATATTCAATTAATTTACAGCAATTTTTGCAATTTTTACAATATTTACAATATTTTGCAATATTTCATGTAGATTGCACATCAGAAGAGAACATTTATTGGAAGATGCCTTCACTCACATAATGGCAGTGTCAAAGAAAGATTTGCAAAAGGGGAAACTGGTCGTTATTTTTGACCACGAAGAAGGCTTGGATTACGGAGGACCGTCTAGGGAATTCTTCTTCCACCTCTCACGTGAACTGTTTAATCCTTATTATGGTTTATTTGAGTATTCAGCAAATGACACTTACACCGTTCAAGTATCGCCGATGTCTGCCTTTGTAGATAATTACCACGACTGGTTCAGATTTTCCGGAAGAGTTTTAGGCTTGGCATTAGTGCATCAGTACTTGCTTGATGCTTTCTTCACAAGACCTTTTTATAAAGCTCTCTTGAAAATATCGGCGAGTTTAAGTGATTTAGAAAGTTTAGATCAAGAATTTCATCAAAGTTTGCTGTGGATTAAGGAGAAGGACATAAGCATAGAGCCTTTGGAGTTGACATTTTCTGTGACTGAGGAATTATTGGGAAAAGTGTCGGAGCGAGAATTGAAACCTGGCGGTAGGAATATTGCTGTGACGGAGAAAAATAAGAAGGAATATTTGGAACGTATTTTGCGCTGGCGTTTGGAAAGAGGAGTTGCTGAGCAAACGGAATCATTGATTCGTGGTTTCTATGAAGTTGTCGATCCCCGTTTAGTTTCGGTGTTTGATGCTCGAGAACTGGAGTTGGTAATTGCCGGTTCTGCGGAAATTGATTTGAATGATTGGAGAGCACATACTGAGTATCGAAGTGGCTATCATGATACTCATCCTGTTGTTGAATGGTTTTGGAGTAGTATTAGTCATTTTTCAAATGAGCAGAGACTGAGACTGTTGCAATTCGTCACTGGAACTTCAAGTATTCCTTATGAGGGATTTTCAGCTTTACGTGGCTCTACAGGTCCTAGGAAATTTTGCATTGAAAAATGGGGAAAGCCGAACAGTCTACCAAGGTAATATTTTATCATTTCATTTGAAAAAGGTACATTTTTTCCATAATTTTCAACTTTCAATTTTTGCAGAGCTCACACTTGTTTCAATCGTTTGGACCTACCACCGTATCCGACTCCAGAAATTTTGTATGAAAAATTATTGCTGGCAGTAGAGGAAACTTGTACCTTTGGAATAGAGTAATAAGATAATAAAAGACTTGACTGACAGGTAAATAATTAAAATTTCTTCAAAATTAACATTCTAACTTGATAATATACCTATTAGGTACATTAGGTTACGAAAATCAAAATGTAAATACTTTTAGAAATTTAATAACTGTTTTCTTAAGAGTAATTGCAACAAGTTACTTATGAAAAAAAATTTAAATCAAGTATTATTATTATTAATTTTATTACTTAATTTTTTTTAATAATGTTCTCTTGACGAATAAAATTCTCGAAAAGTCCTTTTCTTATTTTAAATATAAAATGAGTTAATAGTTAATTTGTTAGACCATTAAAACGATACAGTAAATATTACAAATATTAAATTTTATGCAACGAAGCAATATTTAAATGCATGCGCAATAAGAGATTTTATTAAAAATGTTGTTTAGCTAATGTTTATAAACTTGGAATTTTATGTGAAAAAATAATTACCTATGAATGTAGTAGATAATATACGAATATTTGTAGTGCATAAATGTATATAAAAAAAACTGTCTGCAAGGAAAAGAAATATTTCAATGAAAACAATTTACCATGTATTCGCTGTTGCAAATACGTTTAATAAATAATAAATTTATTAATTATGTAAATAGAATCATTAAATGCCATCAGTACTTAGAATAAAAAATGTTTTTGTGAAAACAGTATCATGGGCTTAAAGATCATCATTTTATGAATTTTATGAATCTATTAATTTCTTACAGGAATAAGAAATAATAATTTCACTTAAATATTTAGTTATGTATTTATAGTACATGTATTAGTACATGTATTTATGTACATTTATAGTTGATGATAATAATGTAATATTCAAGTGATAAACACCAAAAAATACTTACGTACTTTACTTAATTTTTCAAGCTTTTTCTAAATCCTTAATATTTGAATCAATAAAATTGAAACTAGATTATTTCGTAAGTAAAAACTGTTGAAATAAGTAGTAGTGACGTATATAAATTGAATAAATTCAAATTATAATGTAAATTTCGATGTAATTTTCTTCTATTTATTTTCTATTTCTATATATAGTTGTAAAAAATTGAATAAAATAAATAAAAAAGAAAAGTAAATTCGTTTGATTCTTTCGAGTGAATAAACCCTTAAACTTGATTTACATATATAGAATAGAAATTAAATTTCAGGAATGTATATAATTATAATTAACTTTTTTCAATTTTTCAATTTAATTTTATTATTTTTTAATGAAAAAATGCTGAGTAATATTTTGAGTAAATTAATTTGACAGTAAATAAAACATTTATTTCCACAACTTCTTGATGGACATATTTTTTTCCGAGTCTTTTTGCATAACTTTAGCCACTGCCATTTCAAAATCCTCTTGTGTAACATGAACACGCCTTTCACGAAGAGCGTACATACCAGCTTCTGTGCACACTCCCTTTTTAAAAAAAAAATTAATATTATTTAGTGGAAACAATAATACATAGGTAAATGAATAAAAAATTGTAATTTTACCTTGACTTCAGCGCCAGACGCTCCTGGCATTGATTCTGCAATTTTTCTTAAATTTATACCACGAGTTAGATTCATTTTTCTAGAATGAATTTTCAAAATGTCCAATCTAGCTTCTTCGTTTGGTGGGGGAAACTCAATTTTACGATCAATACGTCCGGGACGCAGTAAAGCCGGGTCCAGAATGTCAATGCGATTTGTTGCCATAATAACTTTTATATTTTTAGTAGCTTCAAAACCATCCAACTGATTTAGAAGTTCGAGCATTGTACGTTGTACCTACAATTCAAAACATTTTTTTACTAAAAATTTCTAAAAGTTAAAATTGCCAAATCAACTCAAGAGTTACGAAAACAGAATCAATACCTCACTATCACCTCCCGAACCAGATTCAATTCGAGAACTACCAATGGAATCAATTTCATCCATAAAAATAATAGACGGTGCATGTTCTCTAGCCATTACGAATAATTCTCGAACCATTCGCGATCCCTCTCCAATAAACTTTTGAACCAATTCAGATCCAGACACTCGAATGAAAGTGCACTCCGTATGGTGAGCAACTGCTCTTGCCAATAAAGTTTTTCCCGTACCTGCAAAAGGAAAATTCTTAAAACTATTCTAAAATAGTCTTTCTTAAAAATCCTCTAATAATCAATCAATTGAACTTGCCTGGAGGTCCATAAAGAAGTACTCCCTTAGGTTGCGCTATTCCAAGAGCATCGAATAATTCTGGATGCTTAACGGGTAATTCGATGACTTCTTTAATTTCTTTAATCTGCTTGTCCAAGCCACCGACCATTTCATAAGTTGAGTCTGGCACTTTTTCCACCATCATCAAAGATACAAGAGGATCAACTTTATTTGGCAAAATTTTATGAAGAGTATAACTTTCATTTCGAAGTGCTACTCGTGAATTTGGCGTTACGTCATTTATATCAATATTTTTATCTAAATCAACCACAAATTTCCCTTCAGGGTGAACTTTAACTAAAACCTTCTTTTTATCCATTGGCTTCACAACCTCTCCAACATAAGAGCCTTGTTCTTGAAGAAGTTGTAACTCTTCTCGCAACATACGAACTGAAAAAATAAAAAATATTTCAAACATTAATATTATGAAGAAAATATAAAAGTGGGAATTTAAAAAAATAATAAATACGTTTTACTCAAAATCTCTCGAACAAACAATGACTTGTAAATCAAAATAAAAAAGAAAAATAAACAGTAATGTTTACAGTATCAAACATTTGACTAGTAATGAGAAATGAAGAAAACCTTTTGCATTCAGTTCGTTTCTTTGTGCTTGAAGTCGTCGAAGATTTTGACTTTTCTCAGCAACTATTAACTGGAGCTCTTCAATTTTTGTAATGTAATAAGGTTTAAAACCTTCACCCTTGGCAGCTTTTTCATCTACTTCCATCTAAAATATAATTATAGTATTATAAATCCTCTTTCATTTCAATTTATTGCTACAATAAATGTAAAGAAGAAAGAAAACAATAAAAATATAATTTACCTTATTGATAAGTGTCATCTTGGATTATAAAAACTATCCTTTCTAAAATTTCTTTTATTTCAATTATTTAATTCAACATTACAAAGTAATTTTTATGTTAGCATACACATTCAGTCAGAAATTTAGAAACAGAATTGCATGTCATGTTACCATGAACAATTTATTCTACTCCCAATTGTGTCTTTATCTATAAGATTAAAATTTGGCTCATAGTTGACAGTCGCCACCGATGGCGCTGACTGCACAGTGGATTGGACGAATGTTTGCGTTTTCATATACTTCTATCCTTGTTGCATTCATTGTTCAATTTATCTCTATGTGGAAAGACCTTAAAGACTAGATCCATGGAAGCGGGAAATTATGCCCGGCTATCCATTTTGGACTCCCCTTTAGGTTTGTTGTATATACACGAAAAACGACGTTTGCTAGTTTCTGAAAGAAACAGAAGTAAATATCAAAGATAAGCAAATTACTTATTATGATTACATATTTGTAAACAAAAAAAAATGTCAGGTCCTAGATACGAAATGGATGTAGATAATCAAAGTGAAGATGGAGAAATTAAAAAGAGTCCAAAGAAGGATGCAGAAAATTTTAGGTAAAAAATATTTTCAATTTTTAGGTTAAGTTAAAAATTCGCTAATAATTTATTAGTCGTTTCTAGTTGAATTATAATACAATTTTGCATTTCAGATTAAATTTGCTTGGTTTTAGTGTTTACCTACTCTGAAACTATGTAATAAAAAAACAAAAGTATTACCTATTTTCAGAGTAGTAAATTTACGGAAAATTAAAAAAATTACTCTTTAAAAGCAGCAAATTTATATACAAATTTTAAATGTAAAGAAGTAAATACTTTAGAATTAAAAATTTCACTTATTTTGAATTTTTTGAATAATAAATTAGTTGTTTATTTTATACAGTTTCTCCGAAGAAGAAGGAGCCGACACGACAGATTCATTAGACATTAAACCTCCACAAGCTGTGAAAAGGCATCATAAAATAAATGTGTCACGAAGACGCGATAAACATGTGGATAAAAGAGATCGCAAAGATGAGAAAGAACGTAAGTCTCGACATCATGATCGAGTGGAAGATAAACATCGTGATAAACACAGACACAGGAGACACGATGTCGAATCTTTAGAACGGGGCGAGCGTTCCGAAGGTTCGAAACGAGAACGTGAAAGAATAGATCGAATGGAAAGAATTGATGGACATTCTAGAGATAGGGAATCTTCTAGACACGAGAGAAAGGATAGAACTACAGGAGATCGAGTATTGGAAGATTTGAGAGAAAGGTATGTATTTATTTATTTATTTATTCTTAGACTTATTTATTTATTTTTAAAAATAAATTTCTAAAAATGTTTGAAGGTTATTGGATAAAAGAAGAGAGAGGCGTGAAGACCCCCGTGAAATTCGTGAATGCAGACGTGAGGTACGTTTGGAAGAATCACGAGATCGTCGAGATGGGCGACTTGAAGAAATACGCGAGCGTCATGAACTTCGGGCGATAGATGATGGACGAGAACGACGTGAATTGAGAATAGACGATCGTCGACATATTCGTATAATGGAGGAACAATATCCGGAAGGTGATTTGATCGATCGACCGGAGAAACGTCATAAAAGGTCTCATAAGCATGAAAGAACTCGAGATAGAGAGAGGGAGAAAGTAGATCGAGAAAATCATATGAAAAATATATTAGAAATGGCTAATAGTGAAGATCAGGAAGGTATGGAAGTTTCCGAAATTCTATTAATGCCCAAAGAACCGAAAGAAATGACGGAGCAGGAACTTCGAAAAGAAAGGTAAAATTGAGTATTTCTGCATTTAGATACAATTCGAGAAGATTGTGTAATTTTTCTAATAAATTAAACTAATTTCTTTATTTTAGACTTTTAGAAGCGGATAGAGAAATGGCTCGGCGAAAGGAAGTGTCAAGATTAGAATTGGAAGCGAGAAGATTGAAAAGAGGGGAGAAAAGGGCAATGAGTCCTGATTTGAATCCGGACCCATCGGTAGTTGAATTATCTGATGAGAGTCCTAATTCGGTACATTCCGATGTTGCAAGATCCAGATCTATAGAGTATGTTACTCTAGTTATTAATAAATTGTCATTAGGCACAAGAAATTCAATGATATATTATTTTTATCTTTTTCTCTAGACGATCGTCTGATGAACGAAGAAGCCTTCACGAAAGATCCACAGATAGACGTTCGTCAGATTCGTCAAATACAAGCAGTGATGAGGATGATGACGATGAGGACGATGATGATGACGACGACGACGATGATGATGAAGATGAATCGAACGAGTCAAATAAGGGGAGCAATGATGAGTCTAATGATGGATCGGATTACAATAATCCAAGTCCTTTATCAGTGGAAAGATTAACGAAGTCAGATCATTCCGAAGGCGGTTCACCGGGACATGTTGATTCAAATGGTACGGCCAAAGGTGACGAAACAGAAGAAGCAGTTAATCAAGTACCTGAGTTACCTCCTTATTTACCAGCAATTCAAGGTAATCAAATTTTATTTAAGAAATTGTATTATTAATAAAAGTAGTTTTATTTATCAAAGCTCGAATTGATATTCTGCGAAACTAAAAATGATGATTATTAATAATTTTCTTTTTTATTTCAGGATGTAGAAGTGTAGAAGAATTCCAATGTCTTAATCGCATAGAAGAGGGTACGTATGGCGTTGTGTACAGAGCTAGAGACAAGAGGACCGAAGAGATAGTTGCATTAAAAAGACTTAAAATGGAAAAGGAAAAAGAAGGATTTCCTATAACAAGTTTAAGAGAAATAAACACATTACTCAAAGCTCAACATCCAAATATTGTTACTGTTCGTGAAATAGTTGTCGGTAGTAATATGGACAAAATATTTATAGTGATGGACTATGTTGAACATGACTTGAAATCATTAATGGAAACAATGAAACAAAAGAAGCAGGTCTTTATACCGGGTAAGTGTTTAAAAATGAATTATTGTCACATAAATAATAGTGAAAGAATAAAAACAAAAATTTCTTTTCAGGCGAGGTTAAATGTCTAATGCAGCAATTGTTACGAGCTGTGGCACATTTACATGACAACTGGATATTGCACCGGGATCTAAAAACTTCCAATTTATTATTGAGTCATCGAGGAATTCTCAAGGTCGGAGATTTTGGTTTGGCAAGAGAGTATGGTTCTCCTCTGAGACAATATACCCCTGTAGTTGTCACCTTGTGGTATCGAGCACCTGAACTTCTTTTAGGTGGAAAAGAATACAGCACCCCAATCGACATGTGGTCAGTCGGGTGAGTTTTTGTCTTTAATAATTTTCAATTTTCATTAGTTTTGAAACATTAGTTTCATTAGTTAAATTCTTCTTTTTTTTTACAATTCTCAAGACTCTCTCTTCTCTTTATTTCAGTTGCATTTTTGCCGAGTTTCTCAGAATGGAAGCACTTTTTCCAGGTAAATCTGAAATGGATCAATTGAATAAAATTTTCAAAGAACTGGGAACACCAAGCGATCGAATATGGCCGGGTTACAGTAAATTACCGATGGTACAAAAAATACCATTTTCGCATTATCCTGTTAATAATCTTAGACAACGGTTCAGTTTGTCATTAACTGATCTTGGAATTGAACTTCTAAATAAGTATGTATAATTCAAAAAAGTAATAATTTGTACTCGGTTATTATTTTTTTTTTATTATAAGTAAAAAAACTTTTTATTATTTCAGATTTTTGACGTATGACCCTCAACAGCGAATAACAGCAGAGGATGCACTAAAAGGCGGTTACTTTAATGAACCTCCATTACCTATTGATCCGAAAATGTTTCCAACATGGCCAGCAAAGTCAGAATTGGGAGTGAGAACTGCGAATAACGCGTCGCCTAAACCTCCCAGCGGCGGTAAGGAATATAAACAATTGGGTGATGGGGATGACGCAGACATTAATGCCTCTGGATTTCACATGGGTCTGGTGGAAGGTGGTAGACCTCCGCCTGTCGGTGGCGGTTTTAGTCTTAAATTTTAAATATTTTTTTAAAATTGTACAAGACATAAATAAATTAATACAACATAATGAGTAATTTCTAATACGTATTCATTTATTTATTTCAATTTTTATTTTTTTATTGTCACAATTTTATTGAGTTGGAAAATTAATATTCAGGTATGTAAAAAATAAAAATTAGATGTTACAATCAGCCATTAAATAGAAATAAACATAAGGAAACAAGAAAATAGTGTTAAAAATAGAAAATCATATAATCTTTCTTTTTTAAATTCAGTAAATACGTAGAATTCTAAAATAAAAAAAATTTCTCACTCTACTTATGTTGATCATGGAGGAGGTCAACGATCTAAAAAATGAACATATGCAGGTGCAATAAAAATACACTTGGACGCGACCAAACAAGCAACACTGGTTCCAATTCAGCAGGTAGCAAATCTCAGAACCTGATCTTGACGCCAAAATGAAGGTGACCCTCAATATAGCAACCCTCAAATAGTTGTTGTAGCATTTATATTTCTTTCTATACCAACGCAAATGGAAACGAGTCCTGACAATGAAGCAAACAACTGCAATCTATATCGACGATATTGATAATAAAATAAAATTTATTATAAAGCGAACGAAATTTTTTAATTAATAAATATCTATTTCCTAAAAATTAATTATTCAAATAATTAAAAGAATTAAAATATAAACATTTATCTGATAATACTTGGTTTATTTAGGCAAAATATTACATTTCTTCAGGTAAAAAAATTAGTTGAAAAAATTATTAGCATGACGTAGGTAAATTCTCTTAGAAAATAGATAATGAAAAGTATAATTTCGTGTAGAGTTTAAAAGAGATTTAAAATCGAGTGTTAAGTTGTTATTTCCAATTAATTTGTACCTTTTTTTATTTCCCTTTCAAAATCAAGTTATTATTTTCGCAAGCGACAAAGTCATTTAAATTTCAAATACATATTCAGTGATTTTAAAATACCTATTATATTGGTGAAAGAGAAGATTCAAGAGCATATTTATGCGTGAATTTCAAGTTTTTCTCTAATTTTAAGCAGACAAAGAAATAACGACTTGATTAATTATAAAGATACCTATTTAGAATAAGAAAGAGAAATGACCATTATAATAAAAATTCTCTTTCGAGATTTCAAAAATATTATCAAATCATGAGAAATATAATCGAAATAATTAAAAGGATCTGTACCAAGAAAAGTAAATTTTTACCAGACTCTAATAATAACGATTACATGATTCTGTCAAAAATATATGAAAATACGTTGTCGAGTGTTGTTGAAATATTTTTATTTTCAAGAGTGGGAGGAATTAGTAATTCCATTAACAGGTTTGCTTGATCTTTGCAAACTATACGGTAACTGCGATGCCAATGACCTTCTATAATGAGAAGAACCTATGTAAAGATGACGATTGAACTCATTAAAATAAAAACCAGATCTTATCAAATTGGAATTTTAAAAAGCGAGAATAAATTTTCCTTTTACATGCGCTATATCGAGCTTAAATTGTTGTAATAAAATTTTTATTCCCAATAATATTCTTCACCTTTGACTTGATTTTTTACGCCTATTATTCATTTTAATATCGAAAGAAAAAAAAACAGAAGCAGTAAATCATTTCTTTCATTACTGAATATTTTAAATTTTGGTTAAATGAATTTTATGTTAAAAGTTTTTTTTATTTATGAGAAAACTTTGTTAAAGCTTCAAATCTAAATTTTGGAAAATTTTAATTTATTTATAAATTAAAAATTAATTATTAATTAAATTTATTAATTTATTTTATAATGACAAATAAGACATTTTAAGGTTTTCTTTCTTGAAGGAAAGACCTTCGACAATCAATGCGTGCGTGCAGAGAATCTTAGTTATTACAATTATCTTGCCATGAAAAACAAAACATTAAAAAGCATGCAGAAAATATATATTACACTGGAAAATAAGATGCAGAATATTTCTAAAATTCTTAAAAATTCAAAGAGAAATATCCAAAAATTTGTCAAAAGATCACGGAAATATATATGGTAATTATTATCTTCAGCGTATTTTTCTGGTACTATTACAAAGCAATCATACACCGAAAAAAAATATTCTTTTGTTTTAAGCGGATTCCTCTTATTTCACTGCATATTTTCCTCTAGAATATAGCTGAAAAAATTGTCCTCTTATTTTAAGAGGAATTTCCTCTACTTTAGAGTATTCCTCTTAAAATAAGAGGATATACTCTTAAATCAAAAGGAAATCCTATTGAAAAAAAGTTTAAATAATGTAAACAAACATAACCTCAAAATGATTTTTTAAGAGGAATTTTCCTCTCAATTTAAGAATATTTTTGTTTTTAGTGCAACAATATTAATAGTGTTTTCTTAAAAATTGGAAAACTAACCCAGAAAAGCTGTAATTGTAAAATTGACAAAATTTCAACTGAATTATGCAAATTTGCATTTGAAATACGACAATACGTGCATAAAATATTTGAAAATTCACTGAAATCTTTAGCGAAGTGTCTTGTGAGTCAAAGTCGAGGCAAGGAAGGAACAAGATTTCGACGCGGGTCGCGGGGTCCAAAGAGTATATATGGGCCCTATACGCGTTCAGAATACCACATTTGTCGTTCTCCCTACTTGCAAGGTAGGGAGCTTATAACCATCAGAATACTATAAATCAGTCTTCTTCTTCTTCTCCTTCTTCTACTTCACTAATCGGAAGAATTCTCTTTCCAAGGAAAATTTGACAAGGAATAAATTGCATGTGCAAATCAGTAGACATTTAAAAAATGATTTTATACATTTATTTTCTCAATTTTGTCTATTAATATTTTTTAAAACGACATGGAACTTCAATAATTATAAATGAAAGTTGACAAATGCAAAAGAATTTCCTTTTGCAATATTAAGTGTAAACCTAATGTGCAGTGATTATACAAAGTGAATAAAGTACCTGTATTTTCAATTCTGAAAAAGTGATTTTTTAGAAAATTAAAAAAAACTGAATGGATAAATGACCGGTTCTATAACTAGTGGTTATAAATTATAGAGTTGTAAAAAAGTAGAAATAATACATTTAGCCATGAAGTGGCTTATTTTGAGCCTTTTGGGATTAATCACATGCTCTTCAGTATCATTGTATCGTCTTCAGCATCGCAGTTTGCTGAAAAATGAAAAGCACAACCCAAAGGCGTTAAATATTTTAAATTTTCAACGTGATTCGGTGGAGAGTCTTCCACAAGAACTGGAGATAAATGAAAAAGTAAAATATTCCGATTTTGGATCTAAAGCTCTACCCCTTAGAGATGCTGTGGAAGCTCGACCAAATTTATTTCATCTGCAAGGTTCAAGGTGGAACTCTTTAAATTTCAGTAGACAGAAGTGAGTTATTAATAATAGATTAACAGATTAATTAATTATATAATTATAATTACATAATTAATTAATCAATTGTCTTGTTCTTAGAGATGAGAGGATACCACTGCGAGACGCTGTGGAACATCGTGCAGAACCGTACTTTGACAATACCTTGGATCATGAATCGATTTGGCTTGAACAATTGTCACCTCCGGCAGTTCGTAAAGTGGAAAAAGAATTTAAAGTTGTTTGTCATTTGGAGGCAGGAGCAGTTTACAGAATGGAGCCATTTTCTCTGTTGCCGCAAGCTATACCGACACGCAAATGCACACATTTAGTATACAATTCAGCAACAATAGGTTTGTGCTTTTTTCCTCTAAAAAAACAAACATAAATTTTTAATCGTTAATAATTAAATGACAAGTACAGAGTTTTGAATTTCAGATCCACACGAATTGACTGTCAGTGTGCGAGATCCTGACTATGATTTAATTAAGGGTAAAGTAAATAAGTGAAAGTATTTTAAAAAATGGACTTTACGGAACAATTACTGAAATATTGAAATTCCTGTGAAATTCTTATTATTTTTTTGAAAATAATTGAATTCTTTTGGAAAATTTTATGAAAATAATTGAATTTCGAAGAAGAATTTAATTATTTCTAAAAATAATTGAAATCTTGATGAGAATTTAAACAAATTTTTGAACATATAATTGAAGTTTTGCGATGAATTTTATTACTTTTGAAAATAATTGAATTTCTGCAATAATTTGTAATTTCTCTAAAATTCTGATTATTGTACAATCTAAAGAAATTGAACTTTCCTCCAGGTGGTTATAAGTCAGCAGTAGGTCTTCGCCAAAGGGACCCTGGATTACGAGTGTTGATCTCCATTAATTCACCCGACAATGGAAGAATGTACAACGAGCTATTTAATGGCTTTGATCGTACACAAAAATTTATCGAGTCTGTCATGGATTTCCTCAAGGAATACGAATTCGATGGTGTGGAAATTGATTGGGAAAACAAATCAAATGCAGAGCTTAGAATTCTTTTACGAAAACTTTATCAATTGTTAGCGGAGAAAGGTTATAGTTTAGCACTCTCTATAAGGCCAGAGGATACAGTGGATCCAGAAATTGCATCAATGTCCGATCTCTTGCTCTTCAAAGCCTGGCGAAATTCAGACAACAGAACGTTTGCCTATCATTCTGCTCCTCTAAGCTTTGTATCAAATACAGTCAATAAGTGGATTAGTCGAGGTGTAGAACCTCGCAAGATAATATTGGGAATTCCACTCTTTGGAAAATCATTCACTATGAAGTCTAGTAATTCCACTTCTGCTGGATCGCCTGTAATTGGTCCGGGTCTTGGAGGAATGTACACGAATCGTCGCGGAACACTCGCTTATTATGAGGTGCGCATCATGTTTTTATACGGGGGAGAATAATAATTTTACTGTTTTTTATCTTTATTTTTAGATTTGCGAAAATTTGGGTAATGTTTGGACCTCTGGCAGAGATGAAGAAGGGCCGTATTTAAAACTCGGCGATCAGTGGATTGGATATGACGATCCTATATCTGTCAAAATAAAATCGGCTTACGTCAGATTTACTGAATTAGGTGGCGTTTCTCTATGGTCTTTGGACTTGGACGATTTTCAGGTACATTTTATACATTTCAAATATTTTATACATTTCATACAATTCATACATTTTATAAATTTTATTGTATTTTTTTATTTTATACTATTTTCCAGGGAATTTGTGGCAGTCCTTGGCCAATGTTGAATGCAGCTCTAAAAGGATTAAGCTACTATGACTTCCCAGTGAAAAAGTGCTCAAAAGAAGGACTGTTCAGTGATCCCGACAACTGTTCTGGATACATAACGTGCAGCAAAGGTATGCATAGTAGAATAATAATTTACATTGTTATTTTTACATATATATTTGCTTTACATTTCTCTAGGGATGCAATATCATGGTAGCTGTGGTTATGGCAGATTTTACAACTCTGACAATGGAATGTGTGTTCAGGCAAGACCTGAACTATGTGATCCAGGACACAGTAATCGAGCTAATTTCATAGCAAAGTTGGAAGAATTACGCGATAAACAGCAATTGGAACAACTTGAATTACATCAAGAGGATAAAAAAGTTGTTTGTTATGTTACTTCGTGGGCATTTTATAGGAGAGGAGAGGGAAAGTTTGTGCCTGAGCATTTGGATTCACGATTGTGTACCCATGTTGTGTATGCTTTTGCCGGACTTAATCCTGACACGCTGCTTATTCATTCTTTTGATCCGTGGGCAGATATAGAAAACAGTTGGTGTCTTTATCTGTATTATTGTATTTACGTTATGTATAGAAGAAAAGTTTCGTTTACAATTTATCCATTTTTCCAGATTTGTATCAACGTATAACTAGTATAAGGGGCCCTACCGTAATGCTCGCGTTAGGTGGCTGGACTGACAGTTCTGGTGACAAATATTCACGTTTGGTGACAAGTGCATCGTCACGAAGGAAATTTGTAACTTCGACATTAAATTTCTTAAAGAAACATAGCTTTAAGGGACTGTCTATTGAATGGAATTACCCAAAGTGTTGGCAGAGTGATTGTAAGAAGGGGCCAGATTCAGACAAACCAAATTTTACGAAACTTTTAAAGGAATTACGTGAAGCCTTTGATGAACAAGAGCCTCGATTGATACTATCAGTCTCACTGTCAGGCTACAAGGAAGTAATTGACAAAGCCTATCAAGTGGATAAAATTTCGAAACTTGTTGACTTTATATCGGTAATGACATACGATTATCACGGAGCTTGGGAATCGAAAACTGGTCACTTAGCACCACTCTACTCGGAAAGTACAAGTTCCAATATGTACTACAATGTGGTACGCAACACTTTTTTAAATGTTTAGTACTATTTACTTCTATGTGCCTAGTGCCTACTCGAAAAATAATTTTGACATTATTTATCGTAGAATTTTACCATGAATTATCTACTTTCTCTCGGCGCATCAAAAGAAAAACTATTGATGGGAGTGCCCATGTATGGACAGTCGTATAGACTTTCTTCAGCTTCTCATTACAATTTGGATGATCCGGCTGCAGGACCAGGTACGCCGGGGGAATACACGAGACAACCAGGAATGTTAGCTTATCATGAAATTTGTAATAGAATTAAAAACAAAAATTGGAAAACAGGACAAGGTGAATAGCTGCTGTAAAACTATTAACTACTAACTACTCCTTTCATGTACTATATGAACTAATTTTCTTTCGTAGCTCCGAATGCTTACTTTAAAGATCAGTGGGTAGCCTATGATGATTCGAAGAGCATTACAGAAAAAGGACAATACATTTTACAAAATGGTTTTGGGGGAGCAGCTGCATGGACCGTGGATCTTGACGACTTCACGAATCGATGTTGCAAAGAGCCTTTTCCACTGTTACGCAGCTTGAATCGAGCGATTGGTAATTTGTGCTTTGGTACCTTTAATCCTTTAAAGGAAATAACAAACCTTTCCTTTTCCATCAGGTCGATTATTAACACCACTACCAGCTGAAGAGAGTTGCCAAAGACCAATTGAACCTGTCACTCCTCAAGCACCAACTTTGACAACACACACTGACGCTCTTGACGGAAGACCTCGACCAACCAAACCAATCCCCTCAAGTACTACTTCTCCAACTACTACACCTACTACTCCAACTACTAATCCTACTACTCCAACTACCACTCGAACTACTACCTGGCCAACGTGGACTGAAAAACCGTCTTCAACCAAGGTGACAAATACCCCAACCACAACTTGGCCCACATGGACCGAGAAAACATCGACTACAGAAAGTACGTTAACAACAAGGTAAATATTAAGAATTAATTGTTTCAATGACAATCATGTCTATAAAAAATCAATTTATCACAATGTTTTCTATTTGTAGGAAAACGACTATTAAGAGTACAACAGCATCAATAAAAGAAACAACCACAATGGAAGCAACAAAGCCGGGAATAATGTGCAATTCTGGTGAATTTATGACAGATCCAAAAAATTGTGGATCGTATTACAGATGCATTCTGGGCGAATTGAAACGTGAACATTGTGCTCCAGGATTGCACTGGGATGATGATCGTGGACTTTGTGACTGGCCCTCTTCAGTAAAATGCCAAAAAGGACTAGGTACTGCTCACATTAACATTTCTTTTTAACTAATATATAATTGATTTTTGAAAAAAAGAGATTAGTTTTTATGTTATTTCTTTAAGTACACAAGAATTCTTATAAATTTTAATCATAATATAATGTTTCTCAGCAACAACGGTAAAACCCCCAACGTCTAAAGTCAGTCCAATCACAACAACTCGTCGACCTACAACAACAGGAAAATCCAGTACAAAATATATGATTGTAAAACCCACGAAAAAACCAGAAAAAGATTGCCAACATGGACAGTATTATTCGTATCCGAGCTCTTGCGATCAATTTCTGATTTGCGTCAATGGAGATCTTATACCACAACAATGTGGTCCAGGTCTTAATTGGAATGACGAGAAAAATATGTGCGACTGGGCTTTCATGAATCCATGTAATACTGATTTAAAGAGAAAAGCTCCTCTAAAAATCCAGGAAATAAGTGATAAGGTAATAAATAATTATTTATAATTTGAAAAATTCACTAACAATGATAGAATAAGAACTTGAAAGAATAAGAAGACTTGAGAAAAATGTTATTTTTTGTAGGACTGTACTCCAGGTAGTTATTCAAGTGTACCAGGCGATTGTCAAAGTTACCGAGCTTGTCTATGGGGACGACACGAAATATTTCAGTGTGCACCTGGTCTTCATTTTAATGCAGAAACTCACATTTGTGATTGGCCGGTTCGCGCAAAATGTGAAGATGAAAATTATTCACCTGACATTAATCCAGTGACTGAAGGTATCAGTTCTACAACAAGTATTTTACAGCCTACTTCAACAGTGGAAAATCCATGGACGTGGACAGAACCTCCGAAACCAACTCCGACCCCAGCAATTGATCCTGAGAAAAAATCCACTTTGTCAGGATATTTTAAAGTAATATCTTAATACTGATGTATCTCCTTGGAATCAGATTATATTCTCATTTCTTGTTTTACTTTATAGGTTGTATGCTATTTTACAAACTGGGCTTGGTACCGAAGAGGAATTGGACGTTATTTACCAGAACATATAGATCATACTTTATGTACACACATTATTTATGGTTTTGCCGTCTTGGACTATTCGGACCTAACAATCAAGGCTCATGATTCATGGGCGGACTTTGATAATCGTGAGTTGAAAAATAATACTTGTTTTTTAAACAACACAAAAGAAGATATTACATTTTATAATATAGAACATGAAAACGGATGGAACATTTTTTGCTTTTTTAGAGTTTTACGAAAGAGTACTCAAGTATAAGAAAAGAGGTCTCAAAGTTAGTTTAGCATTGGGAGGATGGAACGATTCAGCAGGTGACAAGTACAGTAGATTGGTTAACAATCCAGGAGCAAGGCAGAAGTTTATTGAACACGCTATAAGATTTTTAGAAAAGTTCGGTTTTGATGGTTTAGATCTCGACTGGGAATATCCTGTTTGTTGGCAGGTAATAGTTGATTTATTTCTAGCATTATAAGATGAAATTGAAAAGGAATAATTCGAAGAAAAATATATTAAATTTTAGGTAGATTGTAAAAAAGGACCATTATCTGACAAACAGGGATTTGTATCTTTAATAGAAGAATTAAGCGAAAAAATGAAGCCCAAAGGACTTTTGTTGACAGCAGCAGTATCACCTAGCAAAACAGTTATTGACAAGGGTTACGATGTTCCGGCCTTGGCGAAATACTTGGATTGGATAGCAGTAATGACTTACGATTATCATGGACAGTGGGATAAGAAAACTGGCCATGTCGCGCCCCTGTACTATCATGACGATGATGAATTTTATTATTTCAATGCCAATTATTCTATTAATTATTGGATTTCAAAAGGAGCACCACCCAGAAGTATTGTGATGGGTAAGTACTTGTAAAAATTTGCATCTGAACGAATGAATACGAATTACGATGTGCATGAATTTATGAATTTATAAATTTATGTGCAACAGGAATGCCTCTGTACGGCCAGTCGTTTGCCATTAATGATCCGAAAGTAGGAAATGGATTAAATGCAGCGGCCAGCGCGGGAAATGCAGGTGAATTCACACGTGCAGCCGGATTTTTAGCTTATTATGAAATTTGCGATAGAATCGTAAATCGTAACTGGACGGTTGTACAAGATCCACAGCGTCGAATGGGACCCTATGCATACAAAGGGAATCAGTGGGTTAGTTTCGATGATTCGGATATGATAAGGCAGAAGGCACAATTTGTCAGGGACATGGGCCTAGGCGGTGGTATGATTTGGGCCTTGGATTTAGATGACTTTAAGGGACGATGTGGAGAGGGACCTCATCCACTTATGCATACTTTACAGCAAGTCTTATCAGAACCACCAAATAAACACGACAGACGTAAATATAATTCTTGCTTTTCTAATCTAATTTTAATATATTTTTTCATAAACGTCTTTATGGTCTGTAGCTTTAAAGGTCCCAGAAGTTGGTCAAGAACTTGAATGGCAACTTCCGAGTGTGGAACGCGTTACGCTTCCGGGATCAATAAAACCTGTGTTTTCTAAAGATGAGGATACTGTTGTGGGTGATGAATTTAAAGTAGTTTGTTATTTTACAAATTGGGCTTGGTACAGACAAGAAGGAGGCAGATATCTTCCAGAAGATGTTGATTTGGATTTGTGCACTCACATCCTCTATGGATTTGCTGTTCTCGATTCCTCAAGTTTCACAATAAAGTCGCACGATCCATGGGCCGACATTGACAATAGTAAGTTTTGATTAGAACATTTTTCTCTCTAATCGATTTACTCACTATATTCATATTTCCAGAATTCTACGAGAGGGTTGTAGCTTTCAAATCAAAGGGGAAGAAAGTTTTGCTAGCATTGGGAGGATGGAACGATTCAGCGGGTGATAAGTACAGTAGATTGGTTAATAATCCAGGAGCTAGGCAGAAATTTATTGAACACGCAATAAGATTTATAGAAAAGTATGGTTTCGATGGTTTAGATCTAGATTGGGAATATCCAGTATGTTGGCAAGTAAGTACTTGTAATTTTTTTTTTTTATTATTATTTCAAGCAAGAATTTTCAACGATCGAAATTTGATTTTTTCTTCCCTCTAGGTAGACTGTACAAAGGGTCCGAAATCTGATAAGGAAGGCTTTACAAATTTAGTGAAGGAATTGAGTCAAGTTTTTAAACCGAAAGGACTTCTTCTATCAACTGCTGTATCGCCGAGTAGAAAAATTATAAACGAAGGATATGATGTTTCTGAAATATCAAAATATTTCGATTGGATTTCTGTCATGACTTATGATTTTCATGGACAGTGGGACAAGAAGACTGGCCACGTGGCGCCTTTGTTTAGTTTGCCCGATGACTGGGAACCCACTTTCAACGCTGTAAATATTTCTTTAATTTTTTTCCAGCTTTCGAAAATTACTTAAATTAAAGTCTTTCATGATTCAATTTTAGAATTTTTCAATTCATTATTGGATGGAGAGGGGAGCGCCTGCTAAGAAATTAGTTATGGGAGTACCACTTTATGGACAATCATTTTCTCTCGCTGAAAGAAACAAACGAGGATTAAATGATCCCACTTATGGAGGTGGAGAAGCTGGTGAAGCAACTCGAGCTAGAGGATTTTTATCTTACTATGAGGTAAAAATAATTTAATTTCTTTTTAACAAATAAATATTGTATTAACAATTTAATAACAATTTAAGAAACAATTTAATAACAGTTTAAGAAACAATTTAATAACGTTTCGTAGATTTGTGAAAGAACGCTCAAGTTAGGGTGGACTGTTGTACAAGATCCCGAGAGACGAATAGGCCCGTTCGCCTACAGAGGTGATCAGTGGGTTAGCTTCGACGATGCGAAACAAGTGAAATTAAAAGCAGAGTTAATAAAGAAATTGGGCCTTGGAGGGGGAATGGTGTGGGCTCTTGACTTGGACGATTTTAAAAATAGATGCGAATGTGAATCGTATCCATTGCTAAAGACTATGAATCGAGTGTTGAGAAATTATCCAGCAGGACCATTGTGCTCTATAACAGGTTGTAATTCCTCTTCTAATAGAAAGTTGAAATTCATTTTCATACTAATAAGTAAAGAAACATATTTTTAGGTTCGTCAACTGAGTCTTTCGATTCTTTGGCAACTGCAGAGCCTACCAAGAAACCAACAAAACAACCAGAAATTAGTACTACGAGTATGATCTCACCTACTTCAGACGTAACACCAGACTTGGATGATGCAGTTGAAATAGTAGCAGCCAGTAAACCCAGCACGACCACTACTCTACCCCTTGAAGATTGCAATGGCCGATTATTCATAGCTCACGAAAAAGATTGCTCCAAGTACTTATTATGCAATTTCGGTCAACTTTCCGAACAATCCTGTCCTAATGGTTTACTATGGAATGAAGACCGATGTGATTGGCCTGAAAACACCAAATGTCAAAATAAAATTTTAAATTAAAGCAAACACGAGAAATTCTAAAAAGTGAAAGAAATTTCAAGAAAAAAACACAAACGTTATTTTTCGTTTGAGATGTTTTTTCAATAATTTTTGATTATAAGAGAAAAAATATTCTTCTTTGTAAATAAGTAGAAACGTAACATAGAAAACGTGTACTTCTACCTTTTAAATACTAAATACTTAAAAATAAATTATAATGCTATAATAAAGTTCATTATTATATTCCCCCCAAAGAACGTGACATTTTTTGTCGAAGAATTTAAAATCTAAGTGGATTTTAATTTAGATTTAATTGCAGGCTTTGTAGGCTTTATAGGCCTGCATTTGCATATGTAATATTACATTGTTTTTCTATAATCAATTTTATTATAAATTAAATTCTTTCCATTATAAAAAATACATATACAAATATTCTAGACTTTGAAAAGTGAGTATACTTTTAAAAATAAATATTTAACAAAAAGAATACAAAACTTTAATGAATGAAGTTATTGTATCTTTTAGTGATAAATTCTCCAAGGTCACATAGCTCGTGTACAAATGAGTAAGTAATACTCTTTTGATATTTTAATATATAACATCAGCAGATATTTACTAGTCTGTAGAAAGATAAGTTCCTCAAACTACAATTATTTTAGTTCATTTAAAACTGTCTTTGAGTTAAAAAGGCTGCTTGCAAGTGAAATTCAATTCCTGCTTTTAATCAAACAGTAAAAATATATTCATTTATTCATTAATAATGGAAATAAAGAAAAAAGGTTTGTTTCTTTTTTTTAAAGTGAAAAAAGTGTTTTAAATTTGATCAACTTTTCTGAATGTATTAAATTTTTTCTTTTGTTTATTAATATAGTGTAAAGATAATACAAAGCAAAAAAAAGCAATATTATTTGGTATATTATTAATATATTAAAATTAATATTGATTTCGATTATTTATAAAATATGCTATATCTTTATTATTTACTGTTGATATACTTGTTCTTTATAGATATTTAATTTAATTAAATAGGATATTTGATACTATAACAGTTGTGCCATGAATTTCAATTTTTTTTTCAATTATACATTTTAAATTATAATTTTTAATTATACGTTTTATTATTACAGTATAAGTATATTTCAATAACTTTTAAATATTCAAAATAATAATAATACACTTACCCTACTTATATTAATTAACCTCAGTCAATCAAAATAAACATTTTTTAAGATCATAATAATACTGTTTCTAGTGTATTTTCCAAATTTTAAATCAATCGTCAACCACCATTATCGTGAAATATGATAATATTATAATGGTAGGAAAAAAGGTGAAAACTACCTCTGTACATTATCGAATTATTTTTTGGCCTGCAGATGTTTACACTTTTGCACATAATAAACAAATTAATTGTACATCACGTGGCCATTTAATCATGTTTAAAGTTGAGTTCACAATAGACTGACTAGTGACTCTAGAGCAGCTTACCTAAGGGTGCTTAAGGGTGCTGTCACACGACTTTTGGAAAAATCATACTTCTTTCTCTCTCCTATGACAGAGGCGTAAAAGTTTGTCTCACTCCATTATTTCATAGAAATAGTACCCGCAACCCGCTTTGATAGTCACTGTAGAAGCACCATTAAATAGGGACATAGAAACGTGAAAATATGATTAACCTTTAATATTTGTATAAACAACAAAAATTCTAATATTAATTAACAACAATAGGTTATTAAAAAAAAACAACAACAATAGGTTAAACGCGCGTATTATAATTAAAGCACAACAACATGACTTCAGGTGAATTGACAACAAAACATGCAGCAATTATAGACTTATGCACAAGTTTTTTTATAATAACACGTGCATGAGACTATTTACAGTATATTATTATTTATTTATTATATTTTATTATATATAGTGTAAGAAAGAAATGAAAAGCATTGTACACTATTTGCATGAAAGTGGAGTTTGACCTACAAGTAGACTAGTAATATAAATCATTTTTACATGATTTTGTTTTGCAAATTAATATTTTAAATAAATAATAAATATATAGGTACATACATACAGGCAGTCGAATGATTAATCCTGTACTAAGAATGATAGAGAATTTAATAGAAATTTAACAATAAAGAAACTGGAGTTTCGAATTATGAAATACTTACTTTTCCCCGCAAAAAAAGTTTCTTTAAAAAGTAATAAAGGATTTAAACTCTCTTAGTTGTAAGTTTGTGAAGAATGGAAGTATTAGTAATAGTAACTTCGAGAAACTTTCGAGCAATTAAAAGATAAAAGAATTGAGTGGTAAGGTGTAAGTTTTCAATAAATAAGTAATTTTTAAGAAATTTTCGATTGCTGGCAAAAATTTTAAATAGCAGATGTAATATGCTGGAAAAATATAAATATATATATTTCTAGAAAGCTTACAATTAGTATTTAAAAATTTTTTTAAAGCTGCTGAGGATTAGATATATATTGGATCTGCTATTTTTATATGTAATTTCTTAAGAATTTAAATAAGTTAAAAATATGTAAAATGTAAGAAAGGTATTTAAAAAACTGATTTTTAAAAAAATACTAATTCAAGTAAATATATTTTTATTACTTTTTTTTCATTAGATACCGAAGGTTCTAGTTTATTTACTGAAACATCAAGAATTATTGGATTAACTGAATTAAATGTAGACGTGAGTTCTTATTTTAATTACTTTTTCAATAAACCTAATTAGCATTATTAGAAAATGTTTAATCAAAAATTCTGTCTTTCAGAGAGATGTTGACGAAAATAGAGAAAAAGCTGATAAATGGAACCTGCTGCTTATTCTGTCTGGAGCAGTTTGTTGTTTGGGTTCAGCTGTACCTGCAGGATTTAACATAGGAGTAATTAATACACCTGAGAATGTTGGTACATTTTATACAAAACCAGGTATTTATATTCAGGGTTGCCACAGGTTAGGGAAATCAGGGAAAAGTCAGGAAAATTTGAATTGGTCAGGGAATTCAGGGAAAAGTCAGGAAAATTAGAATTGGTCGAGGAAATCAGAGAAAAATAAAATTAAATATTTGTGGCAACCCTGATATTAGAATTATACTAATACGTGTTAATTGTCTTGTGTTCTAGATAATAAAAGCTTACTGCAATGAAAGTATAAGACAACGATATGGAAAAGAAATATCAGAGGATGGATTGAATATTTTGTGGTCAGCGATAGTGTCAATTTTTCTAATTGGCGGTGTCTCGGGATCTTTAACGTCCAGCATGCTTTCGAATAAACTCGGAAGGAAAGGAACTCTCGTGATAGGAAATATATGTGGGATATTGGGAGCGATTGTGTTCCTTCTAGCACCAATGTTAAATTCTGTTGAACTCCTGTTAATCGGCCGTTTATTAGTTGGTCTGTATTTTGTATAATCTGTAATATTTTTGCAAGGTAATTCCGTAGAAACTGAAATTTAAATTTAAATTGAAGATTTATTATTAATAAATAATTTCAGGTTTATCTGGAGGGCTTGCCACAAGCTTATTGCCGATGTATCTGAGTGAGTTGTCGCCTCTTAAATTAAGAGGCACGCTTGGTGTAGTTTGTCAATTAGGTATCACCATTGGAGTACTATTGGGTCAAATTGTCAGTTTGGATACAGTTTTGGGCACTGAGAGTCTATGGTCCTACATGCTAGCTGCTTTTTCTCCATTGTGTATACTTTCATTGTTATTAACACCAATTCTGCCTGAAAGTCCAAAGTATTTGTATGTGATAAAAGAATTGCACGAAAAAGCAATTGATGGTCAGTATAATATGTATGTTTAAAAATTATTTTGTCATTATAAAAAAAAAATTATAATATAAAATTATATCCTATTTAGAATTGAAACGTTTACGTAACAAGGATGAAAATTCTTTGCGTCACGAGATAGCGACATTGGAGCAAGAACGAGCAATCAGAGCAGGCATTAATGATTGGACAATGAATCGAGTTGTTAGCGATCCATGCTTGAGACTGCCACTTCTTTTAGTAATATTTTCCCAATTTGGTCAACAATTGAGTGGAATAAATGCCGTTTTTTATTATTCAAATTCAATATTCACAACAGCAGGACTGGGGAAATCAGTTTCTCAATATGCAACAATTGGAACAGGATTGGGAAACGTTTTCATGGCTTTAATTTCTGCATCGTTAATGTCTCGTATTGGCAGACGACCTTTATTCCTAAACAGCTGTTACTTGAGTGCATGTTGCTTATTAGTTCTTTGTTTGTCAATTTTATTCACGGTAAGTTTTTAATTTCAATATATCCAACTATGTTACATTTTCATTTTTCAAAACGTTTACTTTATTTTTAACAGAACACTGTCAACTCAATGGTATGGTTATCTGTGTTAGCCATACAAGCTTATGTGATATTCTACGGACTGGGACTCGGTCCAATCCCGTATTTCATTGGATCTGAACTGTTTGACGTTGGACCGAGACCAGTTGCGATGGCGCTTGGAAGTGTCGCCAATTGGGGTGGCAACTTTATAGTTGGAATGACTTTTCCCGTTTTACAAAGATTAATCGGTCCTTACACGTTTCTTATATTTATTGCTTGTATTTTGACTTTGTCTGTTTTTATAAGGTACGTACATAACTGAACTTTTTTTTCTTATGAATTCTTTTTGAATAATAATAATTATTCTACCTACAGACTGTATTTACCTGAAACTCGAGGAAAAAGTACTGTCGAGATTTCATCCACCATGACACTTGGATTTAAATCTCGAGTCATCAACTGTAATTCATGATATTTGGATATTTCGCACATAGATATATTAATTTAGTCGCCAACATAGTTAAAAAGAATTCTTTACGGAAAGGAAAAGGTCAAAGTTTTTAATACTTTTTATACTCCTGTACATAAATCGACAATTTTATATAAATTGAAAAGCACAATAAATATTAAATATATTCTAAAACTATTTTTATTTCTTTCAGTAAAATTCGTCATCTTGAAATTGTCTCATTTACAATATAGTAAATTAAGTACTTGATCTAAAAGCAAGGTTTAAAATAATTGAGTTAATTTTTCATAAAATACTAGACATAAAACGGTGTGCGGAGCTATTCGCATCCACGTAGGAAATACACCTTTATATAAACCAATTACACCTTCGGTTTTGAAAATTTTCAAAAATGCATCACTAAGTCCACTGTACAGTACACCCTTCCCTTTGGCATCGACACCTGTCAAAAATTTAAATTCCAGATGTAAAAATATGTAAACATACGCGATAGTTAATTTTACTCTTTACCTTGATTATAAAGCCTCGTGGCTAAAACGTCAAATGGTTGCATCGTCAATGCCACACAACTTCCACCAATCAAAGAAGCTACGAAAGTTAATAAAATCGGTCGATCTGTAAATATCTATGGAAAGAAAATTGAATAAATTCCCTCGCGACGCCTTGTGCTGCGTTTTTTAAAAATCTTCGTGATTTACACAATTACTCACTGAATAGGGTTTTAAAACATCAGATATAAGACCGAATGTGGTCAACTGCGTGGCTGAACCCACAAACACTCTCGGAATATTAGCGTACCATCCTCTGTATAGGCTTGAGAAGCCACCTTCCCTCCATAGAGACTTGAATGCGGACCATGTTCCAGAGTAGGTGTGTTGATGTCCAACTGCGATACATTGGGCGGATTGAGCTTGCAATTGAGTCTTCACCTGTGCATATAAATTCAAAGTTTAATCGCCGAAGGTGAAATACAAAATAAAATGCGATCTTACCATAAATAAAGGACTACCCAATACAGCTCCCAAAGAACCGGAAACTCCAGTAACCAAAATAGTCTTTAAAATATCTGTGTTGCCTTCTGAATTCAAAATAAATTTACTATTTTTCGCAGTGTTATACATTCCTAATCTGATTCCATTTAAAACTACCTGAAAAGCCAATGCAGGCACCAAACCTGCTTGAAGAGCAAATATTCCTTCATGTTTCGTTATAATTACCGCGGCATGAAAACTATTTTTGTATATTTTTTTATAAGATCCACGAGCAGCCAATTCTCCCTGGAGTTGAAGACGTATTTTAATAACTTCCGCTGGATTTGTAAAAAATCCAGCTCCCACTGCAGCTAATGCTCCAATTAGAAACTCATTTCCAGGCGAACTGAAACATAAAGTCAATTACAGGGTGGCCACAAATATTTAATTTTATTTTTCCCTGAGACTTCCTTGACCTATGTCAACCCTGAATTACCAATTGTCAAGTACCCCAAGTACCTAATTGAGAAAATCAAATGTTTCATATTTCAGCGCCATTCGATATTCAAGATGGCGGAAAATTCATCTTTAAGGTGGTATCAAAGAGGTGATTTTTCCTTTATGTATAAAGGTAAACACATTGACTTTTGGAAAAACCGTCTTGTCTTTCTCTCTCCTATGGCAGAGGCATAAGTTTGTCTCACTCTACATTTTCTTACTTTTCCAGAAACAGAAAATGCAGAGTGAGACAAACTTATGCCTCTGTCATAGAAGAGAGAAAGACAAGAATGATTTTTCCAAAAGTCGTGTGAACGTACTCTAATAAAGAATTATCATTAAGAAAGCACGTTTAAATGTAATAAATCATATTTTAAAAAGATTTTTAATATTCAAGAATTGTTTTTAACATTAAAGAGATCTCTCTCTCTTTAAAGACTAAATAAAGATATAAAAAATATTAAATATTGGTTATTGCGTCCTCCAATATTTGACCATTTTGGAAAAATTTACATAATTTTCTTTCTCGACAAAAATAAGACGTATATTATGTATAAAAAATGTAATGTCTATTCCAATGTACAAATATAATTAAAAATTAATGAATAAAAATTCTTACCTTTTTTTTAAAGTTGACTTATTTTCAATTGTCGCCATTATTGAAAGTAAAACTCTTCATTTGATACAAAATAAAATTTGAGAAAATGCGTCATATACAATACAGTATATATATGATACTCATAACTGCCACTTTAATACTGAACTAATTTGTATACAGTTCTCAAAAACAAGGCCATGATAAGATGTATTTATTCTTTCGATATGTATAGTTTCATATCAATGAAAAATATTCGACTATTATTAGCTTCTTGGGTGTATGTTGGGAATTTTCATAAATACGTTTGTTATAAATAATTACACTTGTTACATTTTTAAATTTACTATTATTAAATTAAAATATACAAAGTTAATAAAGAACATATTTTTATGATTGAATTATCATTTTTGATGCGGTTAAAATTTTAATAATTAACCTCATTATACATTATACAATGGAAGTGTATACAAATTTTTAATTTTAAATTAAAAATCTTACGTAACTAAATTTCTTGGGAAATAAAAAATTGTATTGTAAAAAATGCTTCTAAATGCGAATAGTTTTTCTAAATTAATCATGGTACATTATTTTCAACTGTCAAAATGAACACAATTATCTAGTTGATATTTTTTATTAGAATAAAAAAATGAATCTAGACATTAATCTATCAAATGCTGAGTTTGATCACTTTACTTATAAACTAATATATTTGTAATTAATTTTGCACGGAGACAATTGCTGTTTTCTTCCTGTTTGCTATTATTAATTATAAAATTGTAATTTTTACACTCTTCATATTATTTGCCTTGTAATTAATAAATAAGGAAGATGAAGTGGTTTTTAATAATGTTTGAAAGGCAATCTTTCAATTTGTTAAGATTCGTAGCGTCCTAACTTTTTTAAAACGTTCAATCCTTTTTCTTCATATTCCTCTCGAAGCATCCAAACGGCATCGCGATCTTTAGTTATTTCTGCTAATACTGCTCCCCCCATGAACACCATGTCCTTTCTCCTAGGCGAATCCTCGATTTTAATCTTGAATTTCTGTTTATTGGAAGATTTAGAAAATTATTTTCATTATTTCAATTATTCATTTCTAGAATTTTCAAATCCTTTTTTTACAATTTAATTTTACCCTGAAACATTATAGGTATATGCTTACATTAAGTGTAGATGTGTCGTTCTTTAATACTCGCTCGAGATAAAGTTGTTTTATTTCGCGTTCGAGTCTAGATGGCAAACCAGGATACATCGTGCTGCCGCCACTTAGTACAATGTGTTTGTACAATTCACTTCTCATGTCTATGTCGGCTGCTTGTATTGTACTGAAGACGAGCTCAGCAATGCCCTGCGCCTCAACATTGATGAGATGCGGTTGGAAAAGTGCTTCCGGTGCTGCGAATCTTTCTCCGCCAACTTTTATAACTCGTCCATCTGGCAACTGAAGCAAATAGTATGTTAGGTGGACTAAATTCAAAAATTATTATTATTAACTTATGTAAATACTCACTGTATATGACTCAACCAAAACTGTCGTCTCAAGCGCCAGTTTCTCCTCCGTTTCCAAATTGTAACTTATGTAACATAATTTCTCCTTCATCATTCTCACCGTCTCGAAATCCGCGGAATGATTAAATGCATAACCGCGCAAAAGCAGCAGTTTAATAAGGTACATTGTAATATCCCGTCCTGCAATATCCAGTCTTCTTGTTAAATGCGGCAACGCATATTCTTCATAGACGGGGCATATGTGTGTTACTCCATCTCCCGAATCCACCACAACTCCACTAATTAATCCTTGAGCGTACAATGTGAGTACCGCTTGTATGGCGATGTATGCTCCAGCAAAGCCATATTTTTCAAACATAACCTAAAAATATTTTACAATTTTTTCTAAATTCCATTTAACGAAACTTATTTTTTTAAATTTGATCAAAATTAAAATTACTTCAATCATCTTCTCTCGATTAGTGGTAGGATTCATGGGTGGTTCAGTGAGAAGAATTTTACATTCCCTGGGATTGATATTCATCTTTTCCTTTCCAAATGTGTAATCCCAAACGTGACACATGTCTTCCCAATTTCTGTTAAATTCAAATTGTCATAAACTGATTCTTTAATGTTACTTTTAAAAAAGATATTATTCCATACCTGACAATACCATTTTGCATGGGGTAACTGATTTCCAACATTGATCGAAGTTTACTTGCCTCATCGCCAACCATTAAATCCTGTTAAACAAACATTTAATTAGATATTTCATTAACGACAGTTCTAAAAAATGCCAACACATGTATCTTCTTTAAACAGGACATTTTCTTTTTTAATCATAATTCGGTAATTACCTTTCGTTTTAATTTTTCTAATTAATCAAACTGTGTATATTTGTTAATATTAACATCAACTACAAACATTAATGCAAAATCAAACTTACAGACATGTTAAGCACATCCTACGAGAGCAATTCCAAGCATACAAACATAAAAATTATTATTATGGCATAACGAGAAATGCAGTAAGTATTTTTATTCAAAATCTATTTTATTGAATACAATTATTTTCATGTACTTACAAATTGATTGTTGATTAATAGATAAACTCATAAAAAAAAAACTTTCTAGGTATACTAGTGAAATTTAAGAATTGTTATTGTTTAATAACTTGATATCTTACTTAGAAAGCTCATTCGTGTTAATTGTAGGATAAATTGTTTTAAGAAGGGAAGAGAATTTTAGTTAACGTTCAAGTGCTCTTACTATAGTTAGAATTATTTGTGCTAAAATATACGTACTTTCAAACCATTAAATTTTTATATGTATTACATTTTTTTCAAACAGTTTCACTAAAAACACACTAAAGTTTCAGAGAAAGAGACTTACATGAATACTATGATCTTGCTGAAAATATATTGTGAAAATTAAATTCTTGTTATTAGAATAGTGTAAAATTAAATACATAAAAAGTAACTCAAAACTGTTGAAAATAAATTTTTGTCTACTTTTCTTAAATTAAAACATTTTCCACGAGTATTCATTTGTGTAAATAAGCATATGAATTTAAATTCCTTGTAGCTGATTAAAATAATTTCAATTCTACTGAAACATTGCATGCAACAATGCTTCAAAAATTATAATTTTATGCATAATTAACAAATTTCAAGATTTTCAAAATTTTCAATCATGTGACAACACGGTTTTAACAAAATATTTTATTATTTGCTTACAATATCTTGAGATTTGCTTTTAATGTATTAACAATGCTTAATGAATTACAAAACTGAAATTTGTCTAAATAATAACCTTACGAACAAAATATTAAAAAATCAATTTCAGTAAAGCTAACATAAATGAATTCTATTGAAAAAGAAAATTATAAATACCATTACACACAAAACAATGATAAAATATTTTTAAATATTAACTAACCTTTACATCGATATCACCAATTTTATTAGTTGCTCTAATAATTGGCCTTCCTACTATTGAGGGAAATATATGAGCTGGAAAATTTGCTCCAGCATATCCACATTTTACAAACTGTCAAAAATAGAAAATAAAAAATTATCCACGTAAAGTGAGCAAATTCACGTGCGAAACTTGGTATAATTATAATTATATTATTTTGCAGTAATAGCATGCATGAGAATAATTATTTTTAAAGAAAATAATAAATATTGGACAACATAACCTTACCCCAGTTCCGTTGTCGCAAACAATGACTTTTCGACCTTTATTGTCCATTTTTACCAATTTTCCAATAGCATTTAAATAAAAACCAGTCTCTTAAATTTTATCCCGATGGAATTAATTTTTACAAATAAAAAAGAGCAACTAAATTTTAATAAATTAAGGATAAAGGGCGTCACCGGTAAACATCACTTAGTTCATTTTTAAACAAATGTTTTAATCCTAATAAAACAAAATGATATTAAGTATAATAATTTAATGTCTATTTTCTTTAAAAGCCTTTTCGAATTGTTTTTTAAAATTAAAAATAGTAATTATTCTTCATTTTCCATCATTTTATGATCGTGTCTGGAAGACACTGATATGACTGTCAAAACTAAGGGAACGTCCACACAAGGAGAGATAAATATAGAAAAATGTTTCATCATCCAGAGATGGGTAAGTAGATAACTTGACGGAGCACTCATAAAGGTTTAATCACAACTGAATTCACGCTTTCGTTTACGGTTTACGTTTTCGCAGTCACGTGTACCTTGTGAACACAACTTTAAAGTGACAAAAATATTCACTTGTGTACAATATCTGTGTATATTTTTCATTTGTGGTGACACAAAAGACAGAAGTGTGTATCTGGTGTGCTATTGTATATAAAATCAATTTAGATTCAGGAAAGAGTTACATAAACTGGTGAGCTTTAATGTTTTTAATATTCTTAAATAATATAATATAAGTCTTTAATATAATCTCTCTTTTTTCCTTTTAGAAGAAAAAATGTCAGCCGTCAATTTTATTTACAATACAATTTTTAGACGAACTTCTACTTTCGTTTTCGCAATTGTCGTTTCCAGCTTCATTTTCGAACGATCAGTGGATATTGCAGCTGATACTATTTTTGAAAAAAGGAACAAAGGGGTATGTTTAATATATTCATAATTTTAAGATATTTGTATAAAATTTTGGTATTTGAAAATAAAATAGAAAGTTGTATGAAATTTTCACAAATATCTTTTTTCTTTTAGAAACTGTGGAAGGACATCAAGCATAAATATGAGTAGTGAAGAATTCTATAAAAAAAATTTATTATCGTTATTAGTCAATACTATACCTACTTTTCTTGATATCCAAAGAATTGATGATTTGTATGAAAAAATAAAGAATAGTTAAATGTAAAAATAATTTCATTATACTAAAGCATATCCTTAATTACAAATTTTGTAAAGTCAGACAAAATAATTTAAATATAAAATACAGGTAAGCAATTTCTAAAAATATTTCAACAACTTTAGTTTTGTAGTGATTCTGTTTTATTTAGTCTTCTAAACAAGTATCGGTTTTTCCTAAAGAATAATAAGAGGGACCACAATATAAAATCTTTGCGCTTCCTAAACATTCTTCTCCCATGTAGAAAACAGCAAACTAAAACATTTGAAATATGATAAAAATTAAAATTTCTATTTGAAATAATTATCTTGGTAAAATATTTGAAATATTTAGAATAGTGTAATTATTTTTCACCTGGCCTTGAGTAATAGCTCGAAGTGGTTTCGATAAAAGGACTATTAACTTCTCATTTTTTGTTTTGAATACAGAACATGTTATCAAAGGCCTTCTATGTTGAAATCGAAATTCACATTTAAGTACAGATTTACTTTCTTTTAATTTATCAGGTTCCTTGGAAATCCAATATGGTTTAGTTGCTATAAATGAATCTGAATATAATGTCGAATGGTTAGTACCTGGAACCTGAAAAAAAGTATACATAATTTTTACTGGATTAACAGGAAAAAATTTATTTCATTTATTATAATATGCCACACTCTTTTTACTTGAAATAGTAACAATTACTTACTATCCAAATATCATTTGTTTCAATATTCTTGTGAAATACCATAAACCGGTCAGTTTGACCGCCAATTTTACATCCCTGTCCAACAGTCCAATAATGAAAACCATTATGGAAACCCATTGTCTTTCCATTAGTAAAGTCGATGAAATGTCCTGATTTATTTTCTATATACTGCAAAAGAAAATTCAATTATTTATTAAATAAATTAATAATTTAGTTGTAGAAAATTTGAACATACCTCTTTAATGAATTTCTGAAAATTTCGACTACCGATAAAACATATTCCCATGCTTTCTTTTTTATGCAACACAGAATATAATTGTGCTTCTTTAGCTATTCTCTTTATATCTGTCTTATTGTATTCTCCGACGGGAAACATACATTTTTTTAAAGACTCTTGAGGAACTTGAGACAGAAAAAATGCTTGGTCTTTAATAACGTCCTTTCCTTTCAAAAGCTTCACATCTATTAATGAATAAATAGAATTATTAATTAATAATATACTAGATTATTGCATACATTTATGAAATATATTTTTAAAAACTCACTCGTATTTTCTGAATAATTTTCCAAGTATGGACCGAAATTTGTCCTCACGTAATGACCCGTTGCAATAGCATCTGCTTTAAGTTCATTGCGAGCAAAGAAATAAAATTTGTTGAACTTGATTTTTTTATTGCATTGTATATCAGGATTTGGTGTTACGCCATTTTGATAACTTTCTACCAGATAGCTAGAATAATAAAAAATTCAATTAACGAACAATCGAGTCGGTCATTGCAAAAATTACACAAGTTACTTCTTTTACTAAAAAAAAATACTTTTTCTTGTAAGTTGTCTTTTCATTTCGAAAAAATTTCCAAGTTAAATAATAGAAATAAAAGATATATTTAGTAACTTATGGAGTTTCTGTAATGACACGTTCAATGTTTCTGGCTTAAAAATTTTATAAAAATAGTTTATGAGACCTGAAAACATCATTCCAATATTCCTTTACAAAGTCAATACGAATAAGAGGAATTTTTAATTTTTTACAAACCAAGTCTGCATCGGCAAAATCTTTGTCAGCTATACATTCACCTGTCTCATCTTTGATATCCCAATTTTGCATAAAAACTGCTTGAACATTAAAACCTGTAATAACATTAAATTTATTCAATAGTTGTTTCTTCGTATTTTACTTTTATTTAAAAAAAAAATACTCACCTTTACTTTTTAATAGAAAAGCAGCAACTGCACTATCCACTCCACCAGACATACCAATAACTATGTTTTTAAACATTTTTATATTAGGATTTAAATATTTTCATAAAAATAAAAACAGTTGATACTTGAAAGCTACAAAATGCCGTCAGTATACTTATAAACATTGTTGCATCTACTGCATCTACTTAAGTAAGCACGTGCACGGGCACTCCGCACTTTTTTGTTTATACTTAACTTATAAAAATAAATTCGCCTGATATAGTTGACTATAGCCACCAGAGGCGCTGATTGTCAGAGTAGAATCGAAAACCTTGATAAACTTGATTAAACTAATTAGAATTGTCACTTTAATTTAATCAAGTAAATTTTATTTAATTATTTAGCATACTATTTGATCAATAAAAATTTTAAGTTCTACAATATGGTTTGCAATAAAAAAAACAGAGCACGAGATTGAAAAGGATAGTGCCATTTATCTCTTTTGCACTCACGTAAGGAGATAGAATAGAAGAGGACAAAAGAGGACATTGACAATTATTTAATGATGAATTAATTTAAAACTTTTAATAACTAGTGAAGGTGTTTTTGAATATATTAATAGAATAATTACTTATCTTTGAATTTTATTAAATTAGAAAATATAATTAACTTATAAAGTACAAATACTTAATCGGCTTTTTCTTTCAGGAAAAAGTTGAGGTACTTATTATTTTTCCACCAAGACTTTTGAATTCGTTTGAGAACCAGTTTTTTTGTTGAAATATTATGTAGAGGACCAAAAGCCAATGCCACTGCCGTACAAGCTAGACATATTACATTATAAGGCATACTAAAATCTGGAGTTGGAAGACTGATTAATAAAATGTCAGTTCTCAGCTGGATAACATAGTTTTCCCGAGATGCATTAAAACTGAAAATAAAAATAATGTCAATGAAAGTAGATTAAGTAGAATAATAACCAAAAAAATATTACCTAGACGAAATTGTGCTACCATCCACGGGTATCGCGGTGTAGTTTCTGGCAATAGGTAGAGATGCCGTAATAATGGCTGGTCCTGCATAAAAACCATGATTTGCATCAGGTGGATATTCTTGCCATTTTAAAAACAAATAATCAAAATCTATTGAAATTTTCGTTATCGAATGTGGTGGTAACTGTAAAACAAGTTCTAGATAGTAAGGTCTTTTTCTTTCTTTTCCCGGTATGTAGCGCTGTATAACTGCAAAAATAGATTATTTTCGTTTTTAATATTCAAAGTGTAAAGAAGAATTATGTATTTTAATTTTAAGACAATGTTTCTTACATGGACGTATGGGTTTTTCTTTGCACATAATTTTAACGGTATGTAAGTACAATGACAAATACCAAGGAATATTTTCTAAGAGAATAATATCTAAAGGTTGCCAATGATTATTTTGTAACTTTGTCACTAAAGTTCCTTTTTGTTGTCCGTAACCTGTAAGAAGAGTTGACTTTAACAAACTTAAAATTGGTTTATAATAATTAATTTCAAGTTCAAAGAGACAGTAAATATAATAATGAAATTCAATATTCAACGTAAAGTGAAAGAATAAATAATTTACCGTTTATATATCTTGTAGCTAATAAAATTGGAAGAAAGCCTTTATTATCAAAGTTAGGCGAAGTATAGTGAGCAGCAATATTGAACATCCCTTTCGAAGTGAAAGATTTAATATCGTAAATTGCAAACGTATTTTTTTGTCCTCCCCTCAAACTAGTGGTTTTTATATTAGCCTCTGGCATTAATTTATATGAATGAATTGTCTTATTTGTACTAATATCTACATAAATATTGCTCATAGTTGCCAGTGTACATGCATCTTTAAGTCCAGTACCAAATAGTTTTCGAATCGACCAATCCTTGTAAGAAATAAATAAATTAACTAAAGCAAATTATTATATTTTCATTTATACCACATCAAAAGTGTCAACATTGAAATAAATATTAATTTGAAAAAAATGTCTTACATACGAATCGCCCGATAAAATATCATAGATCAGTGAAACTGTTTGACGAAGTTCAAGGGATGTTTTTGTACACTCAGGATTCCGACAAACAGAACGAAAATGTATCCCTATAGAATGATAATTTGTATTGTGAATGTAAGCGGAATTCATTAGAGTCGATAATCCTTTCTGGAAAAATAAAAAAGTAAAATGACTTCTAAAAATTTTATATAAATTTTCAATTGATTAAATCTTTAACCTTTGAATCACAAGGGAGTAATTTCTTGAATGGTGTTAAATTTTCAGTGCAAGCAGTTTCTCTGGGTAAAGTTGCGTAGCGAAAATAAGTTGAATTTGGTTTATAGTTTAAAGCACTAGTTGGCTGCATACTAAATTCCGGCGATAAGCTATTGGAAGAATCTATAAAATTTAAAGAGGCACACAATAACCCAGCTAATGAACTCGTTAAACTTATCCATTCTTTATCAACACTGCAAAAAAAAGAAGACATTTAATAAATTGAAAAAAGCATCTATCTTTTGACACAATAAGAAAATTCTTTACTTTGAAACATTCTGTTTAAACCAAGCAGAAATCTCTGCACCTGGTCCTGCATTTTGAAATGGATATCCCCATTTCTTATGTCGCCAAAGTCCCTCAGTTAAAGTAAAATGTAATTCATCTACTTGGTGTCGACCTAAAATTTCTCCTAGTCCTCTTGGAAATAAATGTGAATGTTGCACTAAAAACGATAATTTAATCATTAAATGTTTAACAATAAATTTACATACTTTGATTGATTCTCATTTTATTTGTGTAATAAATTTAAACATAAAAAGTTGACTTACGTGTACGCAAAGTATTTGAACCTTCCCAAAGAGTTGTAAATTGAAAAAATGCATAAATATAGCCACTGGGAAGCGGCTTCAACATTAACTCTTCATCATAGGTATCAGTTAAAGCACTTGCATAAAAGATACAAAAAATTGCTAATAAAATACAGCTCTTTTTAAAGGTAAAACTACTCATTGTCACAATCGGTACAAGAAATGTATCAAAAAATACATAAGTTACAGTAACCCCTACTATAATCAAATAGGTTTTACATGAAGTTTACTTTAAAAAATTGTATCTATATTATTGACATTTTATAATAATTTTACTTTAAGTCACTTGTATTTTTTTAAAGTAAAAACTAAATTGCCACACATCACGACTAGACGTAAACACAAGTAACAAAAATTTAAAGTTTGTTTACCATAAAAAGTTGATTATTGTAGAAGCACCTTACTGGTGGACTTAAGCTCATCTCACATTCTGATGTAATCCCACTGAGTGTGGGAGGCGAACACGTTGACATCGTTCAGAAGAAAATTACATTCTGAAATCACCTTAAAAATTAACATCATATATATTTGTTTAAAATTTTGACATACTTACATTTTATTTTGTCACACCTTTATAAACTCGCGATCGTGAGTTTTATGTATGGTGAATCTATAAATATTTTTTGTTACTACTTTTATGGAATGACTTTTTTGAATAAAAACAAAAATAAATACCTTAGTATTATTCCCAAGTTATGAATTCAATTCTGTTTGTTCCTTATAATACTTTTTAAACTAGACGGCCATCTTGGTGGTTGGATAGGCTTGTTTGATTTGATATAGTGTAAAAACTCAATTCCAAATTTTTTTTATGTGTCGAACTTGGGCAAATCTAAATATAATTTAATCCGAATTTTAAGTTATTTGCGTCTTATTGTGAAAAAACATGACAATGGAGACTCCAAGAGAAAGAGAAATTGCTGCTGAAGACAGCATTAGAGTAGTTTGTAGATTTCGACCACTGAATCATTCTGAAGAGAAGGCTGGCTCTAAATTTATAGTTAAATTTCCTGCTGGAGGAGATGAAAATTGCATTTCTATTGGGGTAGGTATTTTTTTGTTCTCTTATTTTTAACATCTTGCGTGCTAATTAGCCGCTTATGGTTGATAATTTGAATCACAGCTGACAGTTTTGCAGGCATTGGGTATTTAACGTGAATATTTTATCATTCTCGTGATGTAAACAATAGTTTACTATTTGTTTATATGTTCATTTATACATAAATTAATCATTCTCTGAAAATGTCCAAATGTTCTTTTCATTAGATTTCTGTTAAAACAAGTTTTATATAAAGTGACATCATCATAGAAAGAACAAGAACAATACTCTTTTATAACAAGCAATATTTAATTTATTTCTAGTTTTTTCTATTTTTAACTGAAAAATGAACCCTTTTCATTAATGACGGGAATAATAGAGACTCTTTTTGATTTTCTAGGGAAAAGTTTATCTTTTCGACAAAGTATTCAAGCCGAATGCAACCCAAGACAAAGTGTACAATGAAGCCGCTAAATCAATTGTCACTGACGTTTTGGCAGGTTACAATGGAACGATATTTGCTTATGGACAAACTTCTTCAGGTATTTATATATTATATTTCTGATAGTAAATTCTGTTATCAATAATATTTTTTTTGTGAATAAAGGAAAAACTCACACAATGGAAGGAGTTATCGGAGATCCTAACAAGCAGGGCATTATTCCACGTATTGTTAACGATATTTTTACTCATATTTATGGCATGGAGGAAAATTTGGAATTTCATATTAAAGTTTCATATTTTGAGATTTATATGGATAAGATTAGAGATTTGCTGGATGGTAAGAATTGTTTTCAAATATATGTATTAAATCAAATAACAGGTAAATTGAATAATTAATTTTTTTTACTTTCATTAATAGTGTCGAAAATCAATCTCAGCGTTCATGAGGATAAAAATCGAGTTCCATTCGTGAAAGGAGCTACAGAAAGATTTGTATCTAGTCCTGATGAAGTATTTGAAGTTATAGAAGAAGGAAAATCTAATCGTCATATTGCTGTCACTAATATGAATGAACACAGCTCGCGTTCTCATTCAGTATTCTTGATAAATGTGAAGCAAGAAAATTTAGAGAATCAAAAAAAGTTGTCTGGTAAATTGTACCTTGTTGATTTGGCCGGTTCTGAAAAGGTAGGTGAATTTTTCTAGTAAAATTTCTAGAGTAAAATTGTTTTTAATTAATTTTAAAACATAATGTAACTATTAAAATTTTGAAAGGTTTCAAAAACTGGAGCAGAAGGTACCGTTCTTGATGAGGCGAAAAATATAAATAAATCTTTATCGGCTCTCGGAAATGTTATTTCAGCTTTGGCTGATGGAAATAAGACTCATATACCTTACCGTGATTCTAAATTAACAAGAATCTTACAAGAATCCTTAGGAGGCAATGCAAGAACAACAATCATCATATGTTGCTCACCGGCGAGTTTCAATGAATCTGAAACTAAATCCACGCTAGATTTTGGTAATTTTTAGATAAATTTGATAAAAATTTTGTGCTTGTACTGAATTATCTGTACTAAATTATTTATATAAATTTTAGGAAAACGTGCAAAAACTATCAAGAATGTTGTTTGTGTTAATGAGGAGTTAACGGCGGAAGAATGGAAACGTCGTTATGAACGAGAAAAGGAGAAAGCAGCAAGATATAAAGGCAAATTGGAAAAAATGGAAGCTGAATTATCGCGATGGCGTCAAGGTGAAACTGTTAAACCTGAGGAACAAGTGAATCTACAGCAGGAAGTTGCCGATGTAGTTACACCAATTACGGCATCAGTTGAAAGTAATATTTACAATAAAAAATTTATATTTTAAATAGCGTCAATTTTAAAAGTAAATTTCAATTTTAAATTTATCAATTTTTAAGGTAAAATCGATGAAGGACCAATGCCAGCGACTCCCGGAGGTGGTCTTATGGCTGGTTCTCTTTCCAATGAAGAAAGACAAAAACTTGAGGAGGAACGTGAGAGACTCTATCAGCAATTAGATGACAAAGACGAAGAAATCAATCAGCAATCGCAATATGTTGAAACACTGAAAGAGCAAATGGAAGAGCAAGAAGAACTAATTGCAAGCACTAGACGGGACTATGAACTCTTGCAACAAGAAATGATTAGAATTCAACAAGAGAACGAGAGTGCTAAAGAAGAAGTTAAAGAAGTATTACAGGCCCTTGAAGAATTAGCTGTAAATTATGATCAAAAGTCACAAGAGGTAAAAATTACAAGAATACAAGAGTACAAGAGGTTTACATCTTTTCTAATTATTCATTGTTATTCAGGTGGAGATGAAAAATAAAGAACACGAAGCTTTAAGCGAAGAATTACTTTCGAAGCAAACAGTCTTAAATACAACTGCTTCAGAATTGCAGCAATTACGTGACATGTCGGCTCATCAACGTAAACGTATTGCGGAAATGCTGACAAATTTATTAAAGGATTTAGGTGAATTCGGCGTTGCAATTGGCGGCGACGAAAATTTAAAGGTAATTCTTTTTCATTATAAAATTCAATTATTATTTACGTTAAGCATAATAATTAAATCATTTTTTTTCAATTTGAAATAACAGATCACACCTGATAATAATGGTAAATTGGAGGAGGAATTTACTGTTGCTAGACTTTATATAAGTAAAATGAAATCAGAGGTTAAAAATTTGGTGCAACGCTGTCAAGGACTTGAAACTAATCAAACAGATTGCAATAAAAAGGTAATAATTGTTGATTACATATTTTTAAAGTGAATTAAACGATCGTGAATTATTTGCAATTAATTAATAACGTTATGTAATGAAAGGTTTCAGAATACGAAAAAGATTTGGGCGAATGTCGACTATTAATATCTCAACATGAAGCTAAGATGCAGTCACTTCAAGAAGCCATGAAGGAAGCTGAATTACGAAAACGAACTCTAGAGGAAGATGTGGATTCGCTGAGAGAGGAATGTGCAAAGTGGAAGGCTGCCGAACAAGTGCAAGCAGTGAGTAATAAAGAGAAAGCCGAAGAAAAGGAAGCAGCCACTAAAATGAGAGTCGCTTTGGAAGAGCAAATGGATCAGTTACGTGATGTTCATCAAAAGCAGGTGGCAACTCTTAGAGATGAAATTTCTGAGAAGCAACAACTTATCAATGAACTTAAAGATTTAAATCAAAAGTTTACATTGGCCCATCAACAAATGCAAACGGATTACGAGCGATTGAAGCAGGAGGAAGCGGACAAATCTGTCAAATTACAAGATTTACTTTTACTAAATGAACGCAGAGAACAGGTAATTTTTACTATATTCTTACTATATTTAAAATGTCAGTGATAAAAATTTGTTTTAAATGATATTGTTTTTTTAGGCAAGGAAAGACTTGAAAGGATTGGAGGAAACGGTTGCCAAGGAGTTGCAGACTTTACACAATTTACGAAAACTATTTGTTCAGGATCTCCAGTGTCGAATCAAGAAGTCCATGAATTCAGAGGAGAATGAAGACGATGGTGGTTCATTGGCTCAGAAGCAAAAAATTTCCTTCCTAGAGAACAATTTGGACCAATTGACAAAGGTACTTTGTCTTTGAAAAAACAATGTCTAGAGTATGTGTTATAAATTAAATTTTTTAGGTTCATAAACAATTGGTGAGAGACAATGCAGATCTGCGCTGTGAACTTCCTAAACTGGAAAAGAGACTGCGAGCTACAATGGAGAGAGTTAAGGCTTTAGAAACTGCTTTGCGAGATGCCAAAGAAGGTGCAATGCGTGATCGAAAGCGCTATCAATATGAAGTTGATAGAATTAAGGAAGCTGTGAGACAAAAGAATCTCGCTCGACGTGGACCTAGTGCACTCATTGCAAAACCGATTCGAGCAGGCCAGCACCACGTCACTGGAGTTAATGCAATTAAAACTGGAAATCGAGGTACTTATATCAACATTTTTTTTATTTATATATAAAATAAAAAAATATTCTTACTTTTCTTTTCTTATAGATGTTGACGTCATCGCTCAACGGTCGTGAACATTTTCGAAAATCACCAATTTTACAAAAAACCCAAGAGTTGGAGTACTTTTTACGGAAGAAAGGAAACTCTGACGTCAAGTTTATTTATAGTGCATACGCATAAATAGCTATATAATATTATTTAATAAGATAAATCACAAAAATATATTCACAACCAGCACCCAAGGTTTTGTTTATTATATGAGAAAGAAGCACGTCACTAAAAAATTATTATTGCAATAGGTAACTTTTAAGTTATTGTAAGAAGTCTGCATGTCTTATCGATTTGTAAATAGTTGATTTTATAAATTATTATTTACTATAAATTAACTTTGCTAGACATGGCAATGATTATTATTATTATTATTTCAATTATATTCTCTTAAATGTTGAATTAGATGTATAAAAAAAAACTTGTAAACACATATAATTCCACACTCAAGTGATTAAATGATAGCACCAATATTTTGTGATCTGGAAATACGAATATTCTATTGTTGTACATGTCAAATTGACTTGGTTATTGTTTCATCAATGAATTTATATACCCTGTCATGAAAAAATTTATTATATGTCTTTTTTTGAAATACTGATATTTGATTAGACATGCAGTTGGTGTAAAATTGTACGAATGATTGCGAATCGATTATTTATAATTAGATTATATTCGATAAAATTATCTATTAGCCATTGATCGTTCTCAACTGTTTTCTTTTTAAAGGCATTTAAAGTTTTATTTTTATTAAGAGAAATTATTTAAATCGAAATTAAGTGCAAAAGCTTGTCCTTTGGCTTAAAATAAAAAATACAATTGTTTCTGTTGTAAGAAAAAAATCTAAACATAAATAAGAAATGCCTTAATCGTATAGTTTTGTTCTACTTTTTAGTATGTTAGTAATTTATTAATCAAATTCATTGATTCAAATATGAGGCTTTAACTATAAATAAAATGCATAAATTCAAATTAAAACTCACATGAGAAATGGATAATTTTTCATTTTGCTTATTCTTCTTCTTCTTCTTTCTTCGTCACTTTATTTTCATTAATATTAAATTATTGCACTTTTTACTATTAAAATCAATCATATCGGTTTTGTTTAGTATACTTTTTTTAATCAATTTTTTATTATTAATAATTTTCGTGATATTGTAAAAAAAATTAACATAACTACAGTGCAATTAAAGAAAATACTCTTATTGTCATTTGTGATTGAATATCTGCATACACATAATAAATATGTATAACAATATAAATTATTAGCACGCTTAACTTTAAGCGTATCGCCTTATATAACTTGAACGCAAATTCTGTGCAACTTTAAAAATTTATTGATGAAGAAAAGTAAATTAAGCTAAAGTGTATAAGAAATATTTTTTTTATCATTCCAAAAGTTTAGACCTAATATATTTTCAATTTTGAAAACACACAATATTTTTAATATGCAAAAAAACAAGTTGCAGGCAATATATGTAAATTCAATAATTACAATACACTATACTACTGTGCTTTTTCAAAACGTCCCTAATTATATTATACAATAAAATGTCATTTTTGGTGTCTATTAAAATATCACATTTATGCTTTAACCACATTTTTCTATTTTCGACAAATTAATTTACTTCCTCATGGAGAAAATTTTGTAATATTTAATAATTATACTGTTCGTTGTAAAACATTAAAAAAAAATTTAGTATCAAGTTTTCAATCGAAATCATTGAATTTTAATTATCTAAGAAATATAAATATGGCTTCCTGTGCAAATTAGTTGACAATTTTTAATAATCTTAAAATTAAAATAATATGATTTAATCCATATTTTTGTTACCTGTATTAATAAAATATTAACATGTAAATTGTTGTTAAAATTAACTTTTCTTCTAACAACTAAACAAAAACTTAATAATATTCAAGGCAGTAAATTTTTAATTAAGATAAAATTGTTTATTTATCACATTAAGAACTTAACATATAAAATTTTCATTCTATTGGTTCGAAATGAAGTTTAATCATTTGTGAATGAATAATTAAAAATAAATATTATTGTTACGCTTTCAAATTAGAGACAAAAAAATCTCAATGTCCTTGATTAATAATAATATTACTTAAAGAAATAAAATTATAATAATAATAATAATTGAGAAACAAAAAACTAAATTTCTATAAAATCTAAAAATTTGTTAAAAGACAAACTAAGTTTAGAGCTTATAACAAATAATGTCTTTTGAACTTTGCGGTAAACTTTGTTAACTTTGTTCACTTTGTTGACTTTGTGAAAGTAGTTTTAATAAAAAATATTTTAAATTAATTATACATTTGTTCTATAACAAAAAGGAAATTAAGAAAAGAAAAATTATATTGTAATTTAAAAAAAATAATGAAACAAATTTGAAATTTAATTCTTTTTTCATTAAATTCAAAAACTAATATTCCAGTGATTTAAAAAATGTACAAAAACTGGTGAATCACATTAGAATATTAGAGATTTTTAACAAAAATTTTATAAAATAAAGTAAGATGTAAGAAAGAAATGATGACAATGCAATTTCACTCTGATTATAAAATTATTGTCATTAACGCAATAATACTACGCATAGTATTATAATATTAATTATTAAGGTACAATAACACAAAAATAATGGTAGCCAAAAAGGGCTTGTTATCACAGTAGTGTGTCCAGTATAAATTGGTTTCATACATTGATCGTGGACTGCAGAATTGCTTCCTTGCAAATGTATAAATGGCGAAGAATTATTAAATAAAGTTTGATTGTGCGTAAAATCAGTTAATTGATTGCAAGTAATAGTTGCTGGTCGATTAAATGAAGAGTTAAAACGACAATTACCGTTTAAAGAAACTTGACTTAATTTATGTGAAGAGCAACAACAATGCACGTTACCCGAAACAATCGAACATTGATCGAAATCATTATAAACAGGCGTCTCACGTGAGGAACTTTGACTTGATGATCTTGACAATGATGAGGGATCCACTCCATCTTGCCAGTACCCATCGCCCATCCAAGAGGTAGCTGTGGATTTTAATCTCGAAGGTGTTAAAATCGACTTTTTACTATTCTTACTCACTGCATTATATTTACTGAATAATGCAGAATTGGGCGAACTGTATGTTTTCGTTTCGAATATATTTGACGTTTTCCCCAACTTTTCCTGATAGCCTTGATTTAAAGATAGTGTACTTAAATTGTGTATACTGTCACTGAATTCTAAACTTTTCATTCCATTGCAATTGGAATTGGAAAATTCATTGAAATGAGATCTGTATTCAGAAAATTTGAATTAGTGAAATGAATTAAAAAAAATTAATTTCATAGTATAAAGATACTTACGGATTATTTTTCACTAGTTTTAAAGAATTCGTACGCAGCGCAGTGTCTGACGAATTTGACACTTTTAGTGCTTTCCTAGACGGTGATGAAAATGAAGTCAAAAATGAATGCTCCGGTGATGAAGTGCAATCTGACTCGGAGTTGTTTGAACTAGTATCCAACTTTTTAAATGTCAATTTCTTTCTCGACATTCTAAATGATTTTGTTGTTTTTACATTCATGAATCCTATGATCGATCCTAAGACAATAATCTGAAATTTTAATTTTTTTTCAAAAAAACATCAAAATTGAGAGGAGAACATTATTAAAAGTTGAGAAAACTTACACAATGTCTTAGAATACAGTTTAGTGATATAGAAAAAATAATGGAATCAGTCTTTGCAATGTATTCATTGAAGGTTGACAGAATACTTATCGATATCCACAATATTATTAGAAATATTTCTTGTTTGTCATATTTAGATTCCATTAAAGAAATTCCTAATTGCAACAATATACCAACAGTAGAGAGTTGCCAAAGTGTATGATTGTATACGATTGTAATTACTATAATTATTAGTAGAATTCGAGAAATCTTTTCGATTTTGTATCTATTCTGTAAAAGTTTAAAGAAATTTAAAAATTACAAAAAAATGTGACATAAATAATTAAACTTAAAAAGTAATACTTACATGTAAAAATAATTTTACAGGTTTTTGTTTAAATATCATCATTTTATATCGTGTCAGCCATACTGATTGCTTTTGTAAAACTTGATTTACAATCTGTTTACATTTAAAACATAATGGATATTTCTCCTCAATAGTTTGTTTAAAGTCTTGTATCTCATTTTCAGTTCGTCTTGAATTTGTCTTCTCAAATTTACGAAATTCTAATAATTTAATTTCCTCATTACTATTACACAAAGTACAAAGATAGTTTTTGTAATCAGCTTCAGAAGCATTGCGAACAGTGTAAAATCTGGGAGTGTGTGGTATTTCTCTTTGCTCTGGAATGGGGTATTTATAATCTCCATCCTGTAAATATTATTAATTATTTTGTTAAACAAAACCATTAGTGTACTCATTTAAAAAAAATATAAATTGCATCTTTTAATAAAAGCAAATGAGAAAAGTATTTACCTTTGAAAAACCATTATACTGCGAACAAAATGGACAAAGCCACCAATTCTCTTCATCTTTCCAAATACATACATTACAATTGCAAAACCAACAGTTTGCTTTAATAGGCTGTCGAACTCTATAAAAAAACCATATTACCATTACAAATATTGTGAGGAAACAAATTAACATTACTTTACTTTCTAATAAATTTCTAATTTAAATCAAAAGAGTGAAATAAAGACAGATTAGAAACAAATAATACTTACTTTAGTTTATAAAAAACTGTCAATAAAGTAACAATTGTAAAACAAAGTGTTAAAAGAATTGGCGCGAAATTTATCAATAATTCTTGATGAAAGTCCATAATTGAAAAGTATAAAACAATTCTATATTAACATATATTAATAATAAACACTAGCTTTAAGAAATTAGTGTTGAATTGGCATTTGTGAATTTATTACATTCTTCTTGTGCACATTTTTTCTAATATTGAAAATAACCTATATTTATTTGTAATATCTATAAATATAGAACAGTATAAAACCGGGTGCAGGTGCAGCTGAAGTGGCGGCGAAGATCTCGCATTGTTTCATTTTAGGTTAGTTTTGGGTCTCTCTACAAAACCTCCCCTCCATCTTCTTAGGTTGCGTCCACAATAGATATACACAAGTCTTTGCGTTTTCCATATACTCCTATCCTTGTTACACTCATTACTAATTTACTAATCGCAAAACGCAGCTTTAGAACGCAACCATGTAAACACTGCCTTATTGCAGTGTTAAGTTAAGTATGGATTCAGCCTAATGATTTCATAGTTGTGACTTGTGTTTAGAATTTTTGTTGTACACCACGTTTTTTCGCTAACAATTCCCATGGTGTCAAATTATTTCTTGATAAAATAAATTTATGATAAAAAAATGATTACAAATAAAGAGGAGATTAAAGATGTAAATGATGGCGATGAAATCGATCAGGAATCTTCAAATGTGCAAAAATTGTTTCCTGGCTTTGATACTTTTGATGATTATATGAAAGTAAGTTTTTTTCTGCAATACTAAAATGTATTTCTTTGAATTTACTATTTATCTGCGTTTAAATTATTTATTAATTTATTTTCTCCATTGTAAAAGCAAACTAAGATAAATATTACAATTCTATTTATGCCCAATGAGTACAATTAGTTTTTCTAACCTATAAAATTTCATTCTTTATTTTAGGCTGGTTTCAATGTTATGAAAGAAGGGATTAAAATTACCAACAGTCTCCCGTCTGAAGATAATTTTAAATATTACTCATGTTTTCCAAGTTTCAATAATGCAAGACATTATCAAAGTGAAAGAATTTTAAAGTTGATACAAGGCATTGTTGGTTTAACAGGTGCATCAACCGATGTGAATCGACGAAGTATCGATGAGAAACTTGATCTACTGGTGGAAGCTAATGACATATTTTTGGATCGAGCTGTAAGTACAACTTGATTTTAATGATTAATTTTCTTTACCATGTCAGTCAAAATAATTATGATTGAATAATGTGAAATTTTATTGTTATAATTTGTATTTTTAGAATGTCTGCATGAATGAAGAATGTGGTATAAAGCCAAAAGCGGAAGTACAATTGATTGTAGCTCAGGCTAAAAAATCAAGTAATATTAATGGAAGTTGGAATACCGTGAACCGTGATGCAAGCACTACTTCTGGAATCAGCAATACTCAGTCTGTACGATTGTTGGGTGCGAAAAATGTCCAGAGACCACAATTAACTTTTAAGGATAAAGTTGATAATAGTTCAAAACCATGGATGCCACGGATTAAAGAGAAGCCTAATGCTTTAAAACCACTTTCTATAATTTCAAAAAGAGGGGCGGATGAACAAGTCATTGGCCATCCTTATGAGTTTGAATTGAATACATTTCAAGTGCCAAATAATCAATTGAAAGAAAATACACCAGTGAAATACAGCAGTTTAGATGAAACTCCAATGCTAATGATAGAAAAAGAGTCGGATATTGAAATTTTATTGAATGACTTGCAGAATTATGATGAAATAGCTATTGATTTAGAGCATCATTCTTACAGAAGTTTTCAAGGAATTACGTGTCTTATGCAAATATCGACACGAGATACAGATTATTTGATTGATACTTTGTCATTACGATCAGAATTACATAGACTTAATGAAGTTTTTACCAAACCAACAGTCTTGAAGGTATTTCATGGAGCTGATTTCGATATCCAGTGGCTGCAGAGGGATTTGTCTCTCTACGTGGTAAATATGTTTGACACTCATCAGGCGGCTAAGCAACTGGAACTACCATATCTGAGTTTAGCATATTTATTAAAGTCTTATTGCGGAATTGAGCCTAATAAGCACTTTCAATTGGCTGATTGGCGCATAAGGCCATTGCCCCAAGAGCTCACGAAATACGCCAGGGAAGATACGCACTATTTGTTGTACATAAAAGATATGCTACGGAACGCTTTGATACAAGTCGCAAATGGCAAGACAAATGTCTTGAAAGCAATTTATGATCGCAGCACCCAAGTTTGTAAGAAAGTCTACATAAAGCCCATTTGGACTGAGGAAACTTGTTTAAACATGTATAGAAAGAGTCAAAAAATGTTTAATAATCGCCAACTGTATGCACTCAAGGAACTTCATAAATGGAGGGATGGAACAGCAAGAGAGGAAGATGACAGTGTTAATTATGTTTTGCCCAATCACATGTTATTGAATATCGCCGAAACTCTTCCCAGGGAGATGCAAGGTATATTGGCTTGCTGCAATCCCATTCCGCCATTGGTCAGACAGAATTTACTGCGATTGCATAAAGTAATACTGAAAGCAAGAGAACAGCCGCTAATAAAACCAATTTTGGAAGACGACATCAGACAACGTATGACGCAGAGAAGTCACGTCGCTCAATCAGAGACATGGATTTATTCTCCTCACGATACACCGCAAGGTACAGAACCCAGAGCCAATTTAACCTGTCTTTTAAATACCAAATCCACAACAGAAACATTAATCTCCAAGAAGACAGAGGATCATGACATAACAGTATTTGATAATTCTTCAGATGTATGTATAACAAATATTTATTGATTTTAACAATTATACACATTAGAAAGTATTTTTTTAATTTTTTATTATAAATTTCCTTGGCTTTTAAGTAATTATTTTTACTATAATTGTGATAATTAACTTGTATTTTGAAACTTTCAATTCAAACATTATTCTAGGACGAAGAATGTGAGATATCGAAACAAACATTATCTGTCAATAAAAAATTACCTTTTGTAAGTCCCTTTGAAAGGTATAAACGTGTCATGCCTATGATTGCTGAACAAGAGGCTAAAGAAAGGGAAAAACAAGAGATTGAAAAAAATAAAGAGATTCTATCAAATAAAGAAAAAAATGAAAGCATTCAAAGAGTACAGGATCACTTTAATGAAATTGTAAAAAATAAATATTCACCAAATAATACTTGTTTAAGTCAAATGCATAACAGAAAAAGAAAAATACACACGATTAATAATGACAAAAATGAAAAAAATGTGACATATGACATTAGTGCGCAAGCTGAAGTTTTCAAAAGTAAAGTTGTTAATGAGAATATGAAAATAAAAGAAGAGACTACTGCTGAAAAATTTAATGTTCAATCAAATGTAAAGACTGTAGAAGACGACACTTTGCAATCATTAAGGTAATTATCTATATTAAATGTGGAACAATATCTTTTATTTTATTTACCTGTATTTAAATTTTAGACCGAAGAAAAAGGGCGTTAAACAAGAAACTGTAAAGATATTAAATGCCAAGGGAATGTTACCATCAAAAAATTTCAATTACAATGCTGTTGACTTTAGCAGTTTTCAAGGAGGTAGTAATATTGGTAAACAAGATAATACAGAAACAGTTTTCAAACAAAATAAGGTAAGATTTTCTCAAATAATGAGTTAATGAGTAGAGTAGTTCAAGTTAATGAGTAGAGAGCCAACTTTATAGACTAATAGTACAAGTTCTATATATTATTGTAAAATAAAGACTACATATAAAAATAATAATGATTACAATTTTTACAGGAGAAACACAAGAGAACAGGACAACGTAAAAGAAGAAAGATTTGAGTATTCACAGTGAAAATATTAGCTATTAAATCCTATATGTATTTTGTTTATTACTCAAAAAAAATTTAAAGATCTAGTTAACATGAATCATAATATAAGAGATAATTTTTACAATCTAACTTTTATTTTTATCCTCGGAACAAACAATCTGTCTTCCCAAAATATCATATTTCATTTTCTTTTTTTCATGTTCCTCGTCAGTGTCAGAACTGCAATCACTATCACTGGAATTCGCATAAAAACCTAAGCCTGGTAGTATTCCAATGCACTGCATATTTTTATTGTTGACATCAATTCCACTTTGAATGCATTTTGTAAAATTATCATCTACGCTGTTTTCATTTGAATTAGTTACAGTGGAAGTGATTTCTTCACTTTTTCTGTTAACATCAGTTTCGTCATCTAATTGTTTTTCATCTTGTACATTTTGCTTATTCTTCACTTCACTTTTTTTTACAATTCCTGATAATATTTTCAATCTTACATTTTTTGCACTAAAAATGAAATCGTATTAGAGTTTTAACAATTTACAAATTCTATTAATACTCATTAGAATATTAAACTACGTACCTTTGTGAAGAAACTTTGGCTGCCTGCTGTGGTTCTTGTAATTCCTGCATTAGTTTATGATGTAAAGTCTTCTCGTGTAAGGAAGAAACTGCAGCTTTAAAATCACGCATTTCTTTTTCTTCTTCTAAATACTTTTTGCGTTCTTCTTCAAATTTTGTCCTGTCTACTAAATCCAAAAATTCAACTTCATCGTCATCTAAACCTTTTATCATATTTTCTGAAAATATATAATAATATGAGATTAAAACTATAATATTTAAATGTAGGCTGAGACTTAAATATTTTTAGAGTAAAATAAAATCCTATATTATTTTTCTAGCATCTGTAATATTACTTACTGAATTTATGAGCTTCTTCATACTCAATATCTCGCTCATTGCGACGTTCTTGTAAACGCTCATATAAAGATTTAGAATCGTACTGTTCTTCTGGAGGAGCTGTAAAAATTAAAATCGGTAAATAAAGTTTACTATCACGAAATTCACAAAGAATTAGTTATCATGTAGCAGTTCTTGTAATTAGTAAACACGTTCACTGTAAACAGGTAATAATTTATCATCTACTTTAAAAGTTAATTGCAATTTACAAAAGAAAATGAAGAGAAATTGAAAAAGAAAACAATCAAAGAACATTTTGTTTAAATGTGTTTTACCTAATGGTTGATCTTCAGTTCGGACCTTATTCCATTCTTCCTGACGAACTTTTCGTTGTTCAGCAATTTCTGCCTCCGAAATAAAACCCGAGCTCATTTCAATTATTTGTTATTACTTTAATTAATTAAAAACAATTGACAATTAGACACTACACGTATATTAACGCTAGAGAGTCAGACAGAATTCATGTATTTGTTATGTATTTGTTATGTATTTGTTATGTGTTGAATGGTCGATCTCTCTCATATTTCCAATTTACCTTTTTTAAGGTATGGTCACACCACTGAAGATGCCACAGTTCTTTAAAGGTCTTTCTCCAATAGGATCTAAAAGCATATTAAGGCTGCATTCATATATGGACAGAAAACGTAAACTTTAAGCAAAAAATCACAAGTGCAAGAGAGAGAGAGTGCTATTTGAGATAAAAAAGAAAGAAAATAATGTTGTCCTTTGTGGTTGTGATTCGACCTTAATCATAGCTTTCACACAAAAGGGGGTGCTAGCCTCTGTACCAAAAACATAAGTTCGAATGCTCATTATGCCGAATTTACAATTTAGAAATGACCAGATACGCGAATCCTCAATAACCTAAATTGTATATTGAATGAAATTCAAAAGTAGGGAATAATCATTTGATATATTCTGCATATGGAGAATATTATTTTAAACTAATTCTTTTTTTCCACAATTTGAAATTATTGCAATTTTTATTTTTGGAATTTCCACTTTACCTACATTTTAATAGATCGAAACGTAAAATATCAGAATTGACATTTAATTGAAATATGATGGAGAATAAATATATATTCACTGAATAAAAAGATTAAATAATTATTAAATGTTTGAATTTAATAAAAACATATTGTTCAAAAGTTACAGTGCGAATTGTACAGAATATATATTAATAAGAAATATAATTTGGCAGAATGTCGATTCGATCGATTTTATATTTGCAAGAAATTCAATTTGACAGAATATCAATTTATAAGAAACACGTTTTCGTAGAACTTTAACTTGTCAGAATTGTAATTTTGTAGAATATTAATATTGGCAAATCTAATTTTGGTAGAAATCTGCTTTATCAGAATGATCACATGTTCGAATCCTCAAAAGTTAGAATTCCATTTTTACCGAAAATGGATTCCACATAAATATTTGGCGCAAATTTTAAAATTCTGATTTCTGATTGGTCGATTTTAAAATTTGCGCCAAATATTTATGTGGAATCCATTTTCGGTAAAAATGGAATTCTTACTTTTGAGGATTCGAACATGTGATCATTCTGATAAAGCAGATTTCTACCAAAATTAGATTTGCCAATATTAATATTCTACAAAATTACAATTCTGACAAGTTAAAGTTCTACGAAAACGTGTTTCTTATAAATTGATATTCTGTCAAATTGAATTTCTTGCAAATATAAAATCGATCGAATCGACATTCTGCCAAATTATATTTCTTATTAATATATATTCTGTACAATTCGCACTGTAACTTTTGAACAATATGTTTTTATTAAATTCAAACATTTAATAATTATTTAATCTTTTTATTCAGTGAATATATATTTATTCTCCATCATATTTCAATTAAATGTCAATTCTGATATTTTACGTTTCGATCTATTAAAATGTAGGTAAAGTGGAAATTCCAAAAATAAAAATTGCAATAATTTCAAATTGTGGAAAAAAAGAATTAGTTTAAAATAATATTCTCCATATGCAGAATATATCAAATGATTATTCCCTACTTTTGAATTTCATTCAATATACAATTTAGGTTATTGAGGATTCGCGTATCTGGTCATTTCTAAATTGTAAATTCGGCATAATGAGCATTCGAACTTATGTTTTTGGTACAGAGAGTAGCACCCCACACAAAAGTTGTCGGACCTTGTTCGTTAGTTAGATGATGTCAATCCTCATGTTGATTTGATGGAATATATCATGACAAGATGATTGACTTTTGTGAAGAGTTATAGTTTTTTTTATTCCAATTATGTTAATGTGTGTCGAAATATATTTTTTTGTTAGTTTATTAATCAATTAACATCTTCCATTATTCATGTTTAACTATTATTAACCTTTTTTAAAAGAAGGTTTATATCACTTATGTAAACAGTTGTTTTGTTACAATAAAAAAAAATGAGTTTTATGGTTAAAAAAACGGGAGGCAGAATGTGGCATGAGGCTCGCAAACAAGAGAAGAAAATTAGAGGAATGTTAGTAGATTATCGTAGACGAGCTGAACGTCGTCGAGATTATTATGAAAAAATTGTAAGAACATTCTTTTTTTCTCTTTGTGAATAGATAAAATAGTTTGTTGATAAGTACGAAAAAACGCAACATCATTCTAAATATTTTTGTATTTGTATTTTTAATATTTTACTTTTTTAGAAATCAGATCCTACGCAATTTCTCCAACTACATGGAAGACCTTGTAAAATTCATTTGGATGCTGCAGTTGCTACAGCTGGTGATAGTCCAGCAAATATGTATGTTTTATTTTTTTAGCTTTTATGAAAATTGGTTGGAATAATTATTAATTTGGATAAATTGATTAGGATGCCGTGGCAAGGAAATGAAGAAAATCTTATTGACCGATTTGATGTGAGAGCACATCTCGATTGGATTCCAGATGCATCTCAATCTTTAGAAGTCGACATTGCTCTTACAAGTGAAGATAGACATATTAATTATGAGCGATATCGCATAATTGTTCAAAATGAATTTTTAGGAGGTATATCGTATTAAAATATGTACAAGACTTTTCATTTCAATTTGAAACTATAACAAATTGTTTTTTTTTTCTAGTTACTGAAGAAAAATTTTTACATCAAATACATCTGGAGGAGCAATTTGGTTCTTCAACGAAACCAGATTCCGTGAAAGATAAAAAACGTTCTAGTAATAATGCTGCAATTGGTTACAATTATGAAACGGATGAACCTATTTTAGAGCCTTCTAAAGTATCTGAATCAATTGCAAGTGATGATAAACAAGACGATGAGGACAGTGACATTGATTTAGGTTAATTTTAAATATTTTCTTGAGATTTTCACAATTGTGTTAAGAGCATTAAATAATTTTTTGTTTTTGTTTTTAGACATTTGCGTCGATGTATCACAAATAGAACCTTCACAAGCTCATGAAATGAATCAAGTCGCACAAAAATATGGACTTTTGGGTGCTGATTACTTCAGTTTTTTAACACAAGATTTCGAAGAAGCAGAAACGCTGAGGCAAGCCCGTAAACAGGAGGAAGAAAAGGCCATGTATTCTGTAAGTACTTTGTACTTTTATTTTTAGATTTGTTTTTAGATGCATAAAATAAGGTTGTGTTCTTTTAACAGGGTAGAAGATCGAGAAGAGAGAGACGAGCGTTTAGGGAGAAAAAAATGATAGGTCGTGTTATGAGTCCGCCTAGGTAAGTTGAACAGAATTTCAAATCAATTTCTTGTGAATAGTGATTATTTAAAAAATATATTTCAGTTATGCTGCGCGAGAGAGTCCAGAGTATAATCCATATCGGAAGTCATCTTCCAAATCTCGATCACGTTCAACATCACCAGTAAACACTGGTCAAATCACCTACATCACAAGCTTCGGCGATGAGGAAGAAGCGCACACCAGCACTTCCCACAATACTTGTTTCAATTCCAAGCGTATCAATTATTCAATTCTAAAAAAAAGAAGATCAGAAAGTCCAGCATTTACTGAAAGAATGATAAATAGAAGGACCTCGAGATCAAGAAGTAATTCCCGATCAAGATCTTATAACTACTACAAGTTTTATGACAGGAAACGAAACTCCTCACGAACTAGGTAATTTATTTATTTACTTATTGCAAGAATGAAAAATGAATAGCTAATAAAAATATTTCTTCTTAATTCAAGGAATAGACCAACAAATTCAAGATCGGATAAATATTCTCGCTCTAGAAGCTATTCAAGGTGGTCACGTTCTCGTTCACGATGCAGAAATAGATTCAGCAAAAGTAGATCACGTTCAAAGTCCCGATCAATATCAAGTTCCACACGCAAAACACGATCACGTTCACGTCAAAGGAGATCGAGATCATCTAATTCCATCACATCGAAGGGATCGCACTCGCAACCGACTTTTAAAAACAGATCTCGCTCAAGATCAAAGTCCAATTTAAAGTCCCACAATAGAAGTCGATCTCGAGATAGTTTTCGTCGAAAACAATATTCCGAGTCTAGATCCAGATCCAGATCGCGATCGAGATCACGATCAAGATCAAGATCAATGTCAAGGTCGAGATCCAGAAGTAAATCACGATCTAGGTCTAGAAGCCATTCTTGTAATCGATCGAGGAGTATTGAAAGCAAAGTTCCAGCCTTACCAAGGTTATTTAAACTATTTTTCAAATAAATTTTACAAATAATTTTTTCAAATAACTTTTTCAAATAATACATAGATTTTATGAAAATATATTTACTTTACATTTACTTTACAATAATAGGTATTATGGTCGTCGTGGAAAATCTTCTAGTCTTGAATTAGATCTTTCTGGAAATGAAGAGAAATTATCCTCAGTGACTAAAAGTTCATCTATTAATACAAGCATGTAATTATTTTTTTATTTTCCTAATTTCTTTTTTTTTGTTTGAAAATATAAATTAACATGAGTTTTTATTTTCTAGGATCAAACCAAAGGCAGGGTTAAGTACAAATTCTGGTGGCGGACACAAAGTCAGTAAGAACCGTAACGTTTTATTAGTCTTTTAATTACATTTTTGCATTTTTTAATCATATTCTATTGATTTCTCTCAATGCTGCTTCAGATTTGAACTTGTAATCTATCTATAAAACGTGGAAGCCAGTTGGTATAATATTTCAAGTTGAAAGGAATTTTCCTTGATATTCGAACAGTTGCTAGAAAAATATTTAACGTATAGCATTCAGATGCGCAATTGTTTGTGCGCTAATGAAATTTTTAAATATTCTTTTGGGAATTCGCAACAACTGATTCGAAACGTAAGGAAAGTTGCAGTTTCAGAAATGTATAAACTGTCCGACATTTTTGATGGCCAGATTCTAAGCCAACTCTAGAATACCTACCGTTAACTGTTTGCCAACCAGTTAAACTAATAAGTTTGTGTTTTTATTTCGAAAAGCATATTATTGCTGAATCAACTTTACACCTACTCAATTCTCTCTCTCTCTCTCTCTGAAATAGGTTTCTTTTTTTATTCCTCTGTTTACCATGAAAAGCAACATTTGTGACGCGATCTGAGGGAAGGGACCTTAGCAAATCACTTTAAGGTTATGTTAGTGTTAAATTTTTCTTGATTAAAAGTTTTTTCTTTACTTTTTTCAAACTAAAATCAGTGTTTATTAAATATTTTGGTTGTAATGAAGATTTAAACATCAATGATTTTTATTTACAGTTGATCCTTTTTTTGTATTTTCATTTCAAAAATTACAAACATAACCTATAATGTTTTGCTTCTAAGGCCCCTTTCTTCAGATCGCGTCACAATTTTGATTTATAGAAAAGGTTGAAAAATTTATATTCATCAAGATGATGAATTAACTTGTCTTTAAATAAAGTAAATCTATACAAGACGTAATGAGTGATGATTTTAAAATACACTTTTTAAACGCTTGTTTTATTCAAATATGATTAATAAAAAATAAATGGGGTGTGGCATATGAAAGAAAAATATTTTTTTTACTGAATAAAAAATTACAATTTTTTAAATCAATGTAAATTAATTTGATGTAGAATATTATAATGATAAAAATTTCTATTTCAGATGGTAAAAATAACTCCTCAAGAACGCCTTAAGAAGAAAATGCAAGTTTTATTAAATAGACAATGTAGGCATTAAACTTATACTTATCTTTCTAATTTTAATAATAATTAATAGTAATAATAATGAATGCACATTTACATACCTTAATTACATGATAATTGTTATTTCACAGATAAAGCTGACAAGAAGGCTGAACAATTAAGAATTGAAAAGATGGAGCAACAGAGACAGGATCGAGAAGATGAGATTCGTGAAATGTCACTCAAACTTCGTCGGAAGTGAGTATAGAAAAAAAGCAGGAATCTTTGAAATTTGATAAAAATTGGGTAATTAAATAACTCGTTAATATCCTAAACGATTTTTCAGACAACGAGAAAGACGACATCGCTACGAAGGCGGACATACATCAGATTCCAATTCTTCAGGCTCAACATCACCTAGTCCAGGACGTAGTCCTCGAAATAAGCTCTCAAGTCGAGATCGAAGAAATCGTGATAATAAAGAAAGTGAATTTGAGGCAGACAAAGATAAACAGAGAGATAGAGAAGATAGAGATAAAAATAGGCAAAACTATCGTAGACGACACAAAAGCAGTCGGTGAGCAAAATGTTGTAATAAAAATATTGCATAAAAGAAATTCACACAATTATTCAATAGAAATAATTAACATACACAGAAATATGTTTAGTAAAAGTGCACTTTGAAGGGGCAAATTTTTTTCATTGATACGATTTAAATAGAATTCAATTGTGACTAATTAATGAAATCAGAACGAAAGCGAGTGAATTAATTTTTAAGAGAGAAGTGTTTAAATATTTTCGGTATAAAGTTAAATTTCCGGCACAAATTATTTTATTCCTATAATCTTGATTATTACAGAAGTTTAGTCGATTACTGACCAAGCTGGGGGACTGTTTCGAAATCTTCCAAAAGTGAATTAAAGTGAAAAAGACTTTGTTAAAAAAATTTTGTTAAAATCATCGTTGAATTTTTATGTATTATACGTCAATTACTACTATCTAGTATGTTAATGAAATAAAAAATTTCCGATATGTTCTGTGTCAAAAAAAGAATTTAATTTTGCCAACAAATATTAAAAGTTATTATCAAAAAATCTAAAATGTTAAGATAATTTTATATAACATAATTCCATTCACATATTAGATACTATAAAAATTTAAAAAACTACATAAACTATCTGTGATCACAATTTATATTATTTAAATTATAAATCTTCCTTTGTATGAAATGAGACTATAAAATAAATGCACTAAGCTATTAAGATTCTAGGAAATATAAATAATTAAAATATATTGTGCAAAGCTTAATTACAGTGAAAAATTTAGTTTAATAATGCAATTTGTAAAATTTCGTGTTAAATAAAAAAATATTAATTAAGGAAATATATTAATTAATTAAGAAATCAATATTTGTTTTTTAATTATTATTCAAAAATGCATTGATCAATGTGTAATAACATTGCGTTTACTAAATCTCCCTTTTTTATCTGCATTATTTCCTCAGTTCTACTAGGAAGCAATAGCAGAGCATTTGCATTTCTGCAATTCAATAATCTACTGCTAGTTTGATTCCCAGTAGTATAAGCTTGTGGATGAGGATCAGAATCATCCCACTGTAAAATAGCTCTCATAAATTCTGGTCTAACATCTAATTCATGAGAGAATGTTATCTGTAAATTTTTAATTAAATAATAACATTTGAAATGAGTCTTGTAAATCTTGTAATAAAAATAAATAAATTTGTTTTCTTACTTTTGACTTGATAATTATAGGCTTCGATTTAATTCCATTTAATCGATTAATTATCGGTTGTAAAAATAGATAAGCAGTAACAACTGCAGAGACAGGATTACCAGGTAAACATAAAATATACTTTTTCTTTCCCTGAAAATTACACGTTGCAAAAGTCATTGGTTTTCCAGGCTTCATATTTAGACGTCCTAATGGAGAAAAAAAATGTTAATGAATTTTAAATGAATTTTGTAAATAAATTTCATTTATTGATTAAAAATGAATATTTACCAAAATGCACAAGTGCATGAAACTTTTTTTCAAGAATTGGTTTTAAGAAGTCTTTATCTCCCATTGAGACTGAACCACTGGTCACCAAAACGTCAACTTCATTTAATGCTTTTTCAAGAGCACGTATTGTTTCTAGTTCACTAGAATAAATAGAAAAAAAAATATTATTTAACGATCATAAAATAAAAGTACATTTTATAAAAATAATTACTCCTAGGAAAGAAAATGAAATAATTTACTCATCGATAACAATTCCGAAATCAATTGGAACACATGTAAAATTCTTCAACATAGACATCAGAGTAATTTTATTACTATCATAAATATGACCTGGTTTTAGCGATTCTCCTGCAGCTTGCAATTCACTTCCAGTAGATAGTACTCCTACTAATGGGAGTTTTGACACCTTCACTTGCAAACAACCGCAAGAAATTAACAATCCCATTTCAACTTCGCAAATTTTTGTATTTGCATTTAAAACTAAGGCTCCTTCCTTTAAATCACTACCGACGGGCCTTAAAATAAAAAAACGTATATCAAAATGTTTAATATAACGCAGATAGTTGATATTTTATGAAAACTGAAGCTAACCTGATATCTTGTCCACTTTTTGGTTCAACGAGAATTTCAATTTCCATTTCTTTACCATCAGAATTGTATTTCTTTACTATCGTATCCTCTACTTGCACTACAGCTGTCGCATCTAAGAAGAAATTTTATTATTTTAAATATAAGGTATAAAATATTGTTCACTCTTTAAATAAATTTCGTTTTTAAATTAATAATTCATTTCTTACTATTTGGTACAGATGCTCCAGTATTAACCCATACACAAGTTCCAGATTTCAAATGCAAAAGGTTTGGCTGAAAATTATAATTTTATAAGCAACTTAAACGTGATTTAAAGATGTTTTTCTCTAAATTATCAACAAAGAATTGGATAAAATTTATAATTATATTTACAGTAGAGCCAGCGTCTAATCTTCCTATAATCTCACGCCGTCCTTTACCATCAGTGTCCAATACCGCATAACCGTCTTTGACTGAAGCCCTGAATGGCGGTAAATTGACGGCAGAATAAACATTTTCGCGTAATATTCTACCAAATGCATTACAAGCATTGATTATTTCAACTTCACCAATGATTGTATTTTCTTCGATTAATTTAAATGCACTTTCAACAGGTACCATCGGATAAGGCGATTGTCTTAATCTTCTTTCTCCCTCTTCTGTTTGCTAAAAGAAAATTCGAAAACGAAAGAAAATAGAAAAAAAATGGTTTAATCAATTATGTTTAAATTAAAAAAAATTTATATTTACTGAATTTAGAATCTCTTTTTTATGAGAACAAGTATGTTGTGTACTTTGAATCATTTTGTGTACTTGAGAGACTTCGGAACTAATGTTTAAAATTAAATCTACTGCATGAGGTATTGATATCGCAATTGCTTCCAAACATTCGACAACAGCTTTCGGTGATCCAGGCATATTGATAATAAGTGTTTTGTTTCGAATTCCACTAGTAAGTCTAAAATAGAGTAATAGACAATTATTCTTAATAAATACAATTTCTTTATATGCTAAAAACATTACTTTATTAGAAATAGAATAAAATTTCTAATACCTTGAAAGCATAGCCATGTGCGTGACTTTCAAACTGGCATTTAACATTGCCAGTGAAATCCCTGGAGTTTCTTTTTCAATAACATTTTTCGTTGCCTCTGGAGTTACGTCGCGATCTGAAAAACCTGTACCTCCAGTTGTTAAAATTACATGTACGTTCGGGAGTGATGCCCATGTTTTTAATACATCCTGTATAATTCATAAACAATCATTACAATTGAAAAAAGAATTTAAGAAAGCATTTGACTTTTTGATTTTTTACAAACATTTGATTTTTCCATACTTCTATTTTCTCTCTATCATCAGGAACAATTGCTTTATAGGAAACATGACCTTTAAGTATTTGGCCAGTTTTTGTTTCTGCATTAGTTACCAGTCGAACTAAAGTTGGTCCGCTTTCATCTTTTGTCTGATCGGCATAGCAAGTATCACTTACTGAAATAAATGAAAAATAATTAAATACATTTTATATTTATAAAGCATGAGATTTTTTAAATTAAATAATACGAATAAGGTTATACATATTTTTTAAAAATTTCCCATGTTTATTAGCATACTTTAGAGTATTATGAATTATGAAATATAAATAGTACATAACAATAAGTAACTGAAACAATATAAATTTTTTAATTTAATTATTCTCATTATTCTCACCAGTTAAAATTGCAAATTTTATTAAACCCATTTTATATGTTTTAATACAGGTTTTTTAGATTTTATACGTGATCTTGTGTTCTATTAAGGCTAATTCCACAATAGACAAATATGAACGCGTAAAACTGAAAGCAGAAATTCGTAAGAGTGAGAGATACAGTGATATCAGCTTATCTCTCTTGGACTCATGAATTTCTGTTGACATGGGACCCCACCCTAAGGGACTGTCACTTGCAACCAACGTCCAACTTCAATCTAATTATTTTCAGTTTCCCTGGTTTCGCTAGAGAGAAAGTATTTAATATACTCGTGATATTTAGATCTTTTGAAAAATTATTCACATTTTTTAAATAAAAAATGGCTTTACACGTTCCAAAAGCGCCTGGTATGGCACAAATGTTGAAAGATGGTGCTAGAGTGAGTATTGTTTAAATTTACGATTTATTAAATGAAACATTATTTTCATCAAGAGTTAGGTTATATAGTTCAAGACGCGCGACCATGCCTCTTCGAACATTTCCATATAAGGGCATAATTGAAAAAAGTTAACAAATTATCATATTTACTAATTTTACTAATTGTTCATGTGTATATAAAAAATTTATTGATATATTTAAAAGCGAATTATCGCTTGAAATTAAATTAAAAGTTGCAATAATTTCGATTTATGAAACAAAAGAATGTTTTATATTTTATTTAGTATTTCACCGGACTGGAAGAAGCAATCTATAGAAATATAAATGCTTGCAAACAATTCGCTCAATCTGTACGTACTGCCTATGGACCAAATGGAATGAATAAGATGATTATAAATCATATTGAAAAACTAATTGTCACGAGTGATGCGGCTACAATTATAAAGGAATTAGAAGTTGAACACCCGGCTGCAAAACTTATGGTACTTGCCTCTGAAATGCAGGAAGCTGAGGTTGGAGATGGTACAAATTTCGTCGTTATCTTTGCTGGTGCACTTCTCGAAGCTGCTGAAGATCTCCTACGATTGGTACGTTTGAAAAAAGAAATTTTGTTTAGAATTTTAAAATAATAAGTTTCTCTATTTTAAAGGGTATCACAACATCTGAAATAGTTGAAGGCTATGAGACGGCACTTGAAAAATCTCTTGAAATTCTCCTCCAGCAAGTTGTTTTTGAAGTGAAAGATCTTCGTGACATGGATCAAATTAAAGGGGGAATTAAAACCTCTGTTATGAGCAAACAATACGGACGAGAAGAATTTCTTACTTCGCTTATTTCACAAGCCTGCGTTTCCATTCTAACAGGAAATTCTCACTTTAATGTGGATAATGTTAGAGTTTGCAAAATTATTGGTTGTGGAATTCAGTCTTCACAGATTGTTCAAGGAATGGTTTTCAAGCGTCAAGTTGAGGGTGATGTTTCGAAAAAGACGAATTGCAAAATTGTTGTTTACACTTGTCCGGTTGATATTACTCCCACTGAAACAAAAGGAACTGTTTTGATTAAATCAGCTGATGAACTTTTAAATTTCTCACGGGGAGAGGAGTCAATGCTCGAGGCTCAGATTAAATCGATTGCAGACTCTGGAGCTGAAGTAATTGTTTCAGGAGGAAAAGTTGGCGATATGGCTCTACATTACATCAACAAGTACAATTTGATGGCTGTACGACTTCCAAGTAAATTTGACGTAAGGAGACTTTGCAAAGCTGTCAACGCCACAGGGCTTACAAAATTGGTGAGTGTATTAATTCGATTGATTCCCATTAATTCACAGGGGAATGAGTGGATTTTAATTTGCCTTCTCTTTTAGACGCCACCCACTTCAGAAGAGTTGGGATTTGCAAGCAGTGTTCACATTGATGAATTGGGCGATACAGCCGTTGTCGTTTTCAGCGTGGAAGGAAAAGACAGTCGTATTAGCACTGTGGTGGTTCGTGGATCCACTGAAAACTATATGGACGACATTGAACGGGCTATTGACGATGGGGTCAATACTTACAAGGGAATGACCCGAGACGGACGTTTCGTGCCAGGTGGAGGAGCCACCGAAGTTGAATTAGCATTTCAAATAGCCGAATTTGCGAATACTTTACCTGGTCTTGACCAGTACGCTGTGCGTAAGTTTGCTTCGGCTTTGGAAGTTTTTCCCAAGATTTTGGCTGAAAACAACGGCAGCCAACCGTCAGAACTTCTTTCGAAACTTTACGCATCTCACAAGGAGGGAAATAAAACTTATGGTTTTGACAGCAGTGTATGTATTTGAAAAAAAAGACTTTTAATAATACTTAGCATAAAACAATTGACTGGAAATTTAATTTACAATTTCAGGAAGGAACCGGAGAAATGGTTGATTCCGTGAAAGCAGGAATTTTAGATTTGTACTTGACAAAGCAGTGGGCTCTAAAGTATGCTGTAAATGCAGCCTGTACAATTCTCAAAGTGGATCAAATTATAATGGCAAAACGAGCAGGAGGACCGAAACCGAGAAGTGGTGGAGGTCACAACAGTGATGACGAGTAAAAGTGATCCACAAAAAACTTTAATTCCTAATCGTTTAGTTTATATTTTTTATTCGTAATGTTTAAGATCATTAATTTAAAATTTCTTCTGAAACCAGTTTGTCATTTAACTTTTTTTTATAATGAAATTCAGCACTGCTTCCCATTTAATTAAATAATCTTGCGAAATTTAAATCACTAATATTAATTCAAATAAAAAACTATGCAAGTACAATTTTATAGAATAAATCATTTTTAAAAACTACCAGAGTGACATTTCTTTTTTAAAAACTTATTTTTTATGAAAAGAATGAAAAGAAACAGAATGAAAAGGAGTTGAATAAAATAGGTATCAATACAAGTAATAAAGAAATAATTTCTTTTCTAATAAAAATTATATTTAATTATGATATAAAATTGGTAAAAGTATTTTTTTTTTTGAAATATAATATTAAGGTTCCATCTTTGTTGTGAGTAATTCCTGAGGCAAATGACCAGCATCTCCAAGGCATTTTAGAGAAACCTTTCCTGTTGGACCAATTGCTAACCACGTAATACTGGCGTGTTTTAGAGAAATGCGTAACCAAGCTTCTGGGGGAAATTGTAATGCTCTGAAAAAAATTGACTCATTATTATTCATCTTCTTAATTCTTAATTCATAATGAACAAATAAGATACAAACCTGCAAACAAAATATCTAATGACGTTGGCATGACAAACAATAACTGTATAAGAGTCATTAATTTGATTTTCATGTGCTCTATAAAAATACTTCCTAAACGCTGATTCTATTCGAGGACCATCTTGAAAAATCTGTAACGAATTTAAATTCTGAATCAATACCAGAGAATAATGTGTATATTATTTTTAAGCAACTTAAATTTTGATCTTACAGATACTTCAGGTCTCCAAGAACTTAATGGAGGCTCTGGTGGGATTGGATAACCTTCCACAAGCATACTATCATTCTCAGTTTTCACATTTGGAAGAGATTGTTCAATTAAAAACGAAGTTTCCTGTGCTCTTGTCATTGTTGATTTTACGATTAAATTGTAAGGCAAACCCAATTCAACCAAACGTTTGCCTGTCAATTCGGCTTGTTTTCTACCTTTAAAGACAAATACAATACCCAAGTTATTATAGTGAAATAAATGTAATCAAGTTACATTCTGACTTTAGAGAAACAGTACTCACCAAGTTTGGTAAGAATTTTTTCTTCATCTGTGTTCCCATAAAGATTATATTGACCATGCCTAATGAGTATGAGATGTCGAACAGCTCTTGATTTTTTCGCTTCACATTTTCTATTGTATTCGTTTTCATCTTCTGGCGTTTTTAATTTTGTAGGCTTTACTAAACTTTTTGGATCTCTTCTAAAAAGATATTTGTGTAAAAATTAAAATCACAAAAATAGAAACTTACTTAATATGTAAAATAATTTCCTCAAAATTTAATCATTTAAAAACTTATAGTAATTTTTTTCTCAATGCACAATAAATTATCACAATATTTAATAAACAGTACAGCAATTATGTATAATAATTTAAAAACAATTGAAAATTTATTTACCTATCCCAATTATGATCCCAATTTACAGGAGCGTAATTTTTTGAGAATGAATTATTTACAACAATAGAACTTTTGTGGGATTTATTATTTACTTTTTCCGTATCTAATGCATAATAAACAAATGCGAAACCACTTAAAACACCAATACTAGATAAGGCATATTTTTGTAAACGAGACAATATACTCATACTGTGTTAAAAAAATAATAAATTCTTCAAATGAATTAAAAGCAAAATTCGGTGATATGCAATTTTTAATGTATTTTTAGATAGAATAGAATGAATAGAATCTTTCTGTCCCTACAAGCCGGTTGTAGTTGTAGGTTAGCTTTCTGTTTACAGATGAAAGATGTGACCGTTCCTTTAATTAAAGCTTTTTATTGTAAACTGCACCTTAAAATGTGCAAGAAAGGAGTGATTGAACTCACCTTAAGTACATGCAGTTTAGCTGGGCACGTGGACACAATGTGCATTCTCCTTTAAGGCCAACGCAGAATAGATCTGTAACCGGAACCGCAATCGTAACCGTAAGCGTAAGAATGAGTTAGAGAAGGATAAACAATATACCTATCCTTCTTTAACTCATTCTTACGGTTACGCTTACGATTGCGGTTCCGGTTACAGATCTATTCTGCGTTGGCCTTTAAGGAGTATTCAGCCAGAAGCAATAAGAGTAAGGGAGAAGGTGTAATAAATTTGAATATCCTTACTCTCTTACTCTTGTACGTTACCATGGCAACCTGCAGGCAGACAGACAGGCTGCAGAGGTCTGAACGCTCCATTATCATCTCGTCTCGTGGTTGTGACAGAAGAGCATAGAGGTAATATAAATAGAGTGGGGATGGTTTGCATGTATGCGTCCGCTTGATAGAAAGAGAAAGAAGATTTAGCACCAGTAGGTGTCTCTCTTGCGCTGGAGCTCATTGAAGGACAGATACTGGTGTTAAATCTTCTTTCTCCCTCCAACCCATTCTGTTTATGGCAGGACACTTCCCCCACACGCTGCCGCCTATACCTTCCCCACTCTATTTATAATATCTCTATGCAGAAGAGACAACAAAAATATTTATGTTGCAAACGTTGTAAATTTGAATTATTTTTAGAATGGAGCTGTTACCACTTCTAGAAGGAGCAAAATTTATTATTATAGACGAAGGTAAAAAACAATAAAAACATATTGAACGTAAATTAAATATTTAAAAAATTTCCTTCACTTTTTAGGTTTTGAGGTGCCTTTTGCCGAAACTTTAATTACAGGATGGTTAAAAATGTGGGAAAAGCGAAAACCTGACTGTAAAATTAATATAATTTCATTTTCAAATCCAAAATATCTCTATGTTCAGCATTTTAATTCATTAACAGTGAACAATGTAAATGTAATTGATTTTTATTCTACAACATCGCAGGATGAAACAGATTCTTTTACGGAAAAGCTAAATGAATATTTTGAAACTGATATAATATTTGATACAGTTATTATAAACTGTTTGAGTACTCTCAGTTTATCTGTTGGACTTGAAAAAGCAGTGTTGTTTATTGAAAAAATGAAAGAAAAATCAAAACAAGTAATTGGCATTTATCGCAGAGATTTTGGTAAAGTTAATTTACCAAATATAGAAACTATGGTAACAACTTATGTGAAATTAGATGGACACTTGAAAGCAACTCAGATTAATGATTTTATTTATGAGGGAAATTATACGCACAGAAAACTCGGTGGAAGTGTCATACGTCAAACTGAATTAGTAACTCAAAATGTTAAGACATATGAAATAAAATCGACTAAAATTTTAAAAGATTCAGTGGAAAAATTAAGGAAAACTGCACCAGAAAAGCCGAAAGAAGTAAAAGCATCTTTTCGAATAGAAATGAATGATCAGGAAATGTCGCAGAAAAATGATACTCCCTTACCTTATATAGAGGTGAAAAATCAAAATAAATCAACTATTTTCTATCAGCTTGAAGACTTTGATGATGATGAGGGTGACGATCTTGATGATGATTTAGAAATTTAAAAGTATTCAACAAAATGAATATATATATTTTTTTAATTTGTTACATTCGTCTATTAGAAAAATAAATTAATGATAATGGAATTAGCCCTAACGCAATAAAACAATTAAATCAAATGTAATTAATGTTCATACATTTATCACTTTCCTTTGTTTATTTACATGGTACATATTTTCTTAAATTAAACAGTCGTTAAGTCAGATCTTTAAAAAATTTTCCTTTTCAAGTCTCAAAATAGATTAATTGTAACATTTAAAGATAATTTATAACATTCACTCATTATGTACAGGTATAAAATATTTATCCTTACTTTTTGATTTATAATCCTAAAACATAGTTATGATGAAACTAAACTTTCCTTTTTTAAGTGTATACAGATGTACAGTTTGTAAATTTTATTAAATATTTGACATTAAAGTCATTAAATTGGTTATTAATTATTATTTGCGAATTTGATAAATCAAATTTGTACTTTAGAATTAATATAACTTAAGGAAAAGTAAGGAACAAGTATTTTGAATTTCTCTCTAAAAACAAAGATTGACTATTTTTCCATCAAATAAATCGGCATATTCACTATTATATTATTTAAATATCTGTCCGAACAAAAAAGTTAAATTATTCATTATATGTAATTAATATTACGAAATTATAAATTGAGAAATCTTTTTACTTAAATTATGTCTAACTTTGGAAATGTTGTATAAAATCAAATTAGTCTTGATTTTTTAACAGAATCGAGACATCTTTTTGTCCAAAAGAAAAAATCACTAAATACGCAGTGTTTTTTAGTTACATACACATCTTAAATGAGCTGTTTCATGAAAATTGGTACTTAAAAATAAAGAACTAGATACATGAGAATCTCTCTCTTATAATTAAAGAGACCCTCAAATTTGTCACTGTCAAATTTATTTGAATTTACCATATAATTATAAATTATAAATTAGTGCCCCTAGTAGTAGATATTATAGAATATTTAAAAATCAGGCAAATTCAGAATATTTAAAATTTAAAACCTATATCTTCAGGGACACATATTCTTTAACTTTAGAACCTTACAAGGATTCAAATCACGAATAGAAGAATTTAGAAGAAGAAAATAGATATGGAAGAATTGCATAATATAAAGCACTATTTTAAACTATTTTAAACATTTCACTAAAAAGACAAGTATAAAATACTTTTTAAAAAAATTAAATTAATAATTTTAAAAATAAAAAGGAAAAAAAAGTTTAAAATAAAGTGCTTCATACGAGCCTTACAACTTTAATATTTCTTGAAATAAAAAAGAAAGTCATTCAACAACCTCCAGTATACAGAAAGGAAAACATCGTGTAAGTCACATAGTATTTTCATTTTTCTGCAAATACAATCCGTGCAGTATTTAATTTTAACAAAATAATCCTTAATAAAATACTGATTCAGATGAATTTGCAAACATGTTTATAAGAGTAGAAAAACGGTTGACTAGTATGACTAAAAAAAATGTCATCGCCATTGGAAACTGTACATAATAATCCTTCATGTTTTTGAGCATCAGTGATGTAAGTCATAATTTCTCATTTTCAAATAAAACATAATATTGTCTGAAGAATAGCTTCTTGGTCGACACTCAATTTGTGTTGTTGAGATATGTTAATATAATCGCTTACGATTTTGCTCAGATCGTTTTTGATAAACCATAATAGCAACAACAACAAAAACTATTAAAACTAAGGCACATAATAGCATCATAAAGAATGTTTTAATTCCACTTGAAACTGCGGGTTTCGGGTCGTCTATGTGCTCTGAAAAAATATACATTAGATAAATATTTACTTTTTTACAGTTTTTTAGCATACGAATTTTTTTCACCTCTTGGAGCCTCGAAGAATGTTGCGGAAGGAAGAATACTCGCTCTATCTTCATCGTCTTTGGACTGGAAACAAAATTATTAAAATTCCATTCAATGGATTAAATATTTCAATTTTTTTCCAATGTCTAGAGAAACTTACATCAGCTGGTAAATCCAATTCAAATAGTCGAATTGATAAAATATCGTGATTATCAGAGAGATCGCCAGTATTTGCCGACATACCAAAATAATATCCTGTTGGTAATTTAACTCCTTTCACCGAAAAGCATTCCTTCCACGCTCCTTTGTTTGCAATATCCGTTGAAACTGAAGCAAAAAAAAAAAAATGATTAAACTATATTTTTTTTAATTTATTTTTTTAATTTATTATTTTTATATTACCGAAAATTTATTACCTGTTAAGGTATCTCTTTCATATCGCACAGTAAGATGGGTATCAAATTCGAGATTTCTGAATTTTGCTTCACATCCTGCAAGTTGAGTATGAGTTCCATCTCTATCGTGATCATATTCTAGTGTTCCATTATTAATCATTGCCGATATGTAAGGATGCTGGTGCTATTAAATTAATTAATGTTAATAAAATAGAACATATTTTAAAAGTTCATTTCTAATTAAAAACGATTCTTTAAATAATCAAAGTACGAACATTGTGTTGACCATTATGGTTGCTGTAAGTGTCAAGAATAATTGCCAATCCTTGAAAATGGTCCTTACTGCCAAAAACTGCACCTTCTTGCATTCTGTCTTTTGCATACCATATTGCAAATCCATCTCCAAATAATTCTCGTCCCTTTCCATGTACTTTAAAATGTACTTTGAGCTCCCAATTTTTCAAATTACATGGCTAAAAATATAATTACAAAGTAATTAATAATTTCAATTTTTATTTAAGAAAAAGAACCTATTCTTTGTATTTTAATGTATGAAATATTTAATATATTGGACAAAAAAATATTTATTTAAATATATTTGAAAAAAGTATTAATTGTAAGTAAACGTAAGGCTTAATATTAAGATTTTGATCTACATTTAAAGTCACGCAAGCGCATATTTTGGGTTATGTGTTTATACACGATTGGTTAATAAAATTATAGATAAGAACCTACTCTTCCGAGTTTATGTTACATTTGAAACTGTTAATTGTTAAATATTTAAAACAATTAATATCACTATTGTTAATCTATTATTAATAGATTCGTACCTACCTTTTTAGAAATATTAAAAAGAAACAAACATTTTAATCAATAAGAATATTTATAATAATTAAAATACCGAATACTTACAACTGCATTCCAAAGTGATCCTTGTGTACTTTGTAAATCAGGCGTTAACCTAATATAATTATTTGTTACTATCGTGCTGCCTATAAAATCCCAATAAGGTATTGTCATACCTAACCCTAGATAAAAGAAAGACCAAACTTTTTATAAACAAAGTAATTAAGTAATATTTCCTTGTTTCTTAAATCACAAGCATCACAAGGATCACAAGACAATAAAAATATGTTAAATTATTTTACATTTAATTACAGAAACTATTTAGTAATAACTTGTTTTTCTAACTTTATATTCACTAATATAGTTCAAAATGCTCCAAAATAATTAACCCCAAATTAATAAGAATAAAACCTTTATTTTCAAGTACATATATATTTTGAAAAAAATATACCACAATTTCTTTTAGTTTTCATTATTTTATTTGAATTTTAAAGTATAAAATTATCATTGTTGGCAATTAATAATATAATATTAAAATAAATTTTTACCTTGATAAGGACGAACAAGAGAATGTTCTCTTTTCATGTAATCGTTTGAGTTCCATTCCGCAATTACAATGTTAAAAATATTAAACAATAACGTATAGTACCATGTCCATTTAAACTCCATTATAATATATAATATGATTTATATTAAAATTAAAAATCTTTTTCGATGATTTTATTACAAAGATGACGTTGACTCAACTAAACTTCGAACTTTTTATTTACATATTTTAAAGTCTTTCTACAATAGACAACTGTATAAGTCCTAATTCACAATGAAATTTTAAATTGTTAATCGTAAAGGTACCGTCACATGTCAGTTCCCATTCCGTATTTATTTTGCTTTGGCCTTAATATTTTTCTATTGTGGATTCAACTTTATGTATACCGGTTATTTACATTGCGTTTATTCGTTTATAATTTATTATCTAAAGAAAAAATAATTCAACACTAATATAATTATTGCTTTACCGAACTCTTACAAAGTATTAAATAATATATAATTAGGGCATATTATTATTTTAGAAATTTGTGCATTATTTACTATAAGCTCTGAATAAGCATCACATCAAGAATGTCAAGATTTCTTTGTTCATTTTGCAAATTCCATTTGTAAATTGTAATTTATCGATATTGGGATGCTTATTCTGTCATAATAAGCTAAATTTGTTGAATTTTCATAAATTTTCTCCTATGTAAAACAGAAATATTCTTTTAGAAAAATAATATATATCTTAACTTTGTTTGGAAAATTTACAAACTTTAATTTACATTTTATTATTATGAATGAAATGAATTCAAAATAAATTTATTGAATAGGAATAGTAAGTGAAAATATCGACAAAAATGTCGGAAGAAGCAAAAAAGAATGTTCATGCATTAGGCAAAAGAAATTCTAAAAAAGACTTTTCTGATGTTACTTTATTTGGAACACCAGTACCTCAAGCTGCTTCAACTGCCAAGAGAAATTCAAAGTTTGTATAATAGTTTAAAAAATTAAAATTCTTTTCATTGACAATTTTTCTAATAAATTTTTTTTTTATTTTACAATAGTCTTCCTCCTAAATTTGGACAAAGTGCAGAAAATTACAGAAGATCGCTTATGAATGAAACGACTGATACATTTAATTCTTCCCTTGGACTTCTCCATAATATTTCAACACGTAAACAAGAATTTGCTTTGAAATAAATAATAGATTCACTTATTTGTAGGATATTAATTAAAAATGTTTTCTTTCCAGTGATAGATGATAATTTCATGAATCTTAAAAAACAGTCTGCACCGAAGAAAGCCATAGATACTGAAAGAGAACTTGCTCGTAAATTATTACAAAAATGTAGTGAACCAATAATCAGTATGTACAAATGCTATTGTTTTATAAAGTATTTTAAAAAGAATATTGTAAACATAACATTTGTTATGTTTACAATATTCTTAATCATGGAATTATTTCAGAAAATGAAGATAAGACGAACAAAGAAAATGACGCAAACGAACAAAATAGAATTAGTGAAAAGTATTCTGGTGGAATAAAAGAAGATTTTTCTACGCAATCTCTTCCAGTGAATGAAGGTGAAAAAAATACACTTTTCCCTGAAACATCAATGTCGTCGAGTGTTTTATTTGAACCTCGAGAAATAACTGCTCGTTCATCGGAAATGAGTAAAATATCTGGAAGTTTCTTGCCAAACACTTCTTCGAAAGCTGGTTTCAGTATGAATTCAACAGCAGCTGAAATGATTGCACAATTTGGCCAAGAGGATTTTCGATCAGATTCTCGAGCAATTAATCAATTAGAGGCCGATGAGTTGTCATGGAGAGAGAATTATTCTTACGCCATGCCGTTAGGGACTAATAATTCCGAGAAGGAGCATTTAGAATTTTCGTGTTTCTCTGGAATCATTGGTGATGTTGATCTAACAGTCGAGTAAGTTTTTGAATTTATTTATCCATTTTTTCTATTGTTTCTATTTTTCACTAATTTTATTATTGACAGATCGGATAGTGGACACAAATTATCATTTGGTGAATACTTTAAACGAAAATGCGGAAATTTCGGGGAGCTTTCGGAGAGTGAAGCAGTTGATAGACCAAGTTTTGGTTTTTCGATTAGGAGTCCAAAAAAGCGAGAAATAATGGAACCGTTAATAAATATTACAGGAATGACTAATGGTAAATTGATAATTTTTTCTAATAGTTGTTCATAATAGTAAAAATGTTTCAAAGTAATTACTGTTTGTTTTTTGTTAAAGCTACAGAGGCGTGCGGTCAGAAAGAAATGGTAAATAATTTCTCAAGTACAGTTGACATGACGAAAGAAAGTTTAATGAGCTTAAGTAGTATTGCTCAAGTGCTTGAAAATATAAACGATGGAACGCCTCGAAAATTGGTGGATCAATTAATAATGGCAAACAAGAAGAGAAAAGAGCCACAAGCAGTTAGCGATACATATACTGTTATGTCGTTTACCAGAAATTCGATGCCCGCTTCCAGTTCAAATACACTAGAGGCTGAGAAGCATGAAAATGATTCTTCTTATAATGATCGTACCTTAAAGAACCAGTCAAATAAATTTTCCTTAGACAGTCGAACTCTTCAAAGTTGTTTGGTTAAAAATCGTTCCTTAACATTGACACCAACAAAAGAAGATGAAGTCGTAAGTCCAAAACCACGAATTCTCTCCTCTACTGCTGTCTCTATGGATCTTTCGAAACTTAAAGACGGCAAAAATGAACTTTCATTTCCCGGTAAAGTAATTTTAAATACAAAAATAAAGTACATTTTGTCAAATTTAAATTTCTAAAAATTCCTTTCTTTTTAGAAACAAAACCAATTATTGGAAAATCAAATCAATCTCCATTAAATTCTCCAAGGGAAGGAGCAATATCACCGATCTCAAAATATGAGAATCTAAAGGAAATTTATATAAAAAAAGGCTCTCCTATGAGTGAGAGGTACAATGAGAATCCAAGTCATTCGTTAACAGGGACAAATCCATCAACGGAACGGTTTAAAAACGAAAAAAGTTCTATAAACAAAGACTCGTCCTTCACTTCGACTCATCACTCAAGTCTCGAAGGTAATTACAATTATTTTAATATTCCAATATTAATATTCGAATTAAATTAATTTCTACTTTTCATATATGAATGATAAAAAATAATCATTAATCTCCTTTCCAGAAAATATTATAATCGGTAAGAAAACTCAGGAATTGTGCATGTGCGTTGTGGGAATAAGAAAAGAAATTGATTTGGATGTAATGAATAAAAGTGACCGTTGGATTACTCTTTCCGTGATTTTAAATCAAATTCAAGGTGATGGAGATGCCATTGAATTCTTTTTGCCAGTTAATGTTCTAGTAAATCCAAATTCCTCTGGTATTCTCAAAGTAAGTAGTGCAATTTATTACTAATTCGAGATAATTATTAACTTGAAATAAATTTTACCCTCATTTTTTTTTAGATTGAAGTGAAAATTTTGAAAACAACAACACCGATAATAGCCGTTTTGAATATTAGAACAACCGATTTCGTCACTCAGTCAAAGTGGGATACAAAGTATATAATATGTTTTGTGTCAGAAGAATTACAAATTGACGTTCTAACACCTGCAAATAAAATGGAACTTAATTTCGAAGCAATTACACAAAATGGACATCAAATTTTGCCTATTACTTTTGAAAACAAAAATTGCATCGATCTTCCGCTTCTTCTCTTTATTTTACAAGTATGATTTTACATTATATTTTTATATTATATTATCTTATATATTATATTATATTATTATAAAATAATTTTTCTTTATTATAAGGATGAGCCGAATACGTTCAGCATAAAGAAAGCAGATAATGAATCAACAACCGATGAAAATTCCAGTAATTCTAAACTAGTAAAATTTTGCCTGAAATCAAGAGAAAGTTGTACAATGAACATAGAATTTCAAGGAGTTACTTTAAATTTATTTGAAGGTAGAAAATATATGAAAACAAAAAAAAAATGATTGAGTTTTTAATTAATTTTTATTTTACAGCATTTGAGCCGTCAAATAGTTTGAAGAAAATAAAAGGTAAATTAGTTCTTCAAACTGATTCAAATTCGCAAGTCGATCCAGGAATTGTAATAAATGAAATACCATTATTCGGCTCAATCGGAATTTGTAAATTAAGAGTAATTAATACTGAGCTGCCGATTATAATTCCTAAAATGCAAAGTAGAACATTAACTTTCTATAATTCGGGAAGTATTGGAATACCGTTATCAGCAATGATTGTCGAAAATGAAGGGGAAAAAAATGAAAAACTCTGCGATGACTTTGTAGTGAGACCTGAAACTTTGTTTTTGCATTGCTTTGAAAATGGATCGTTTACAATTTCATACATGCCACGAAACTCCAACAATTTGGATAGGTAATAATAAAGTAAAAGAATAGAGTAATAAAAGCAAGCATTTACCATTTTTAATAACAAAATTTAATTTTTCAGGCACGTAATGGTAAAAATTACAGCTGGAAAAAATAATTCCTTGTATTCTGTGATTGGGAAAATGGAATCTTCCATTGAGGAAACATTCGAAAGTTTTCAATGTGAAACTCTTCAACATTTAAGAACAATATCTTCTCCTAATTCACCACTTAATAGGTATTTAATTTACAAGATAATACAAAAAAATTATAAATTTATTTATTTATTTATAAAAAGTATTCATTGAATAAAGTTTAATTAGATCTCCAAATTCGGGAAGAGATTCACCTGGAGGTTCAGTGTCAAGTTCAACAATTGCAGGAGATGTTTTACCGATTCGGGCGACACATTCGTCATTAGCTTGGACCAGTATTCGAGTTGGAAAATCTGATATTAAAGAATTCGCAATTCGTAATTGTAGTAACAATAAAATTAAACTTCACGCCTCTATCATTTCCAAAGATAAGAGTTTTAAGGTAATATATAATTAACTTTTAAATTTAATAAATGTGTCACGCTCCGAAGAAAGGTACCTAAGAAGCAAAAAATTTGAGGTTATGTTTTTAATTTTTTGAGTTAAAATACAGAAAGAAAATCAATTATTAATTAAAAATGATTGATTTTCAAGTCTTCATTATATCCAAAATGTTCAATGAAAATTGGTTTCAAATTCAAATAATTAAAAATAAACTTTTATTCAAGATAAATCGAACACGAACCTAACCTATAATTCGTTTACTTCTTAGGTGCCTTCCTTGGGAGCGCGTCACAAATAAAATTTAAAGAAGTTTAATTTAATTGATGAATTATATTAATTATTGATAAAAAATATTCGTTTTTCTATAGTTCGTACGAGATAGTCAAACAACGTCAAATGTTTTGGCATTGACTCTACAACCAGCAGAGAGTAAAACAATAATAGTTGTTTTCAGTCCTCTTTTTGCAGGAGCTGCCACCGGAAGAGTTTTGTTTCAACATTATTCACACGCAAAAGATAACACAGAGTCACGACCACAAAAAACCGTAAGTTCAATAAATTAAAGAATTTCTCATGAATTTTATCGAAAATCAACTATTTTTACACATGACATTAGATTTCACTGTTTGGATATGGCGGAAGTACAAAGTTGGAAATTTCCAAAGCTTTTAAAGATACTGGAGGTCTAATGTGGCTCTCGCTCGGCAAAATGAGCGGTGGATCGCTAGATGCAAAGATAAAACTCGAAAACTTGGGAGACTTGTCCTGTTATGTCAAATTAAAGCTCATTCCCAAAGGTTTGAAAACAAATTTTAAAATTAATTTAAATTATAAAAATGAATAAAAATAAATTAGATACAATAAAAGATTTAAATTTTTAGCTGTTTATCCGTCAATGGCTGTCAGCTGGTCTGTAGAACCTTCAAAATTGCTACTTAATCCAAAAGAAGCTCAATGGGTCTGCCTTGAGTTTCGTCCGCGAAAAGAAGATTTACGATTGTTGGGTAAAAATACTGTGAGTCATGTAGGAACATTAAAACTTACTTATGGAGATGAACCAACTCGACTACGAATTCGCAGGTTTTTAAGTTACTTTTTTTTATTACTAGATTATTATTTATTATTATTTTTATAAATTATTTTTAAATTGCTTTGTAACATTTAATTTCTTTAAGATTATTCTACAAGATGAAAGAGTCAGCTCCAAAAAATATGAAGGACCAAGAATTTTGGAATGAAATACATCCAATCTGTAAAGCATTTCCTGGTGAGACTTTTATTCGCGATCTCACATTGGTTCGTGATTCAAACGTAAGTTTCTTTCCTCTAAATAATTAGAATTTAGAACAAGTGTAAAACTAAAATTGAAATTCATTGCATTTAGACAAATCTTGGAGACTTATGCAGAGGAATTAATTATCAGGAATTGAAGTTAACTGTAGAATCGAGTGCTGACGAAACGATGACCATGCTACAAGATGATATGGATGAGACGCAAACTTTTTATTCACTTTGTAGCGATAGTTGCAATGATATTACAGTTACTGGAGACAGTTATTTGCCTGTTGAGTAAGTGAAATTTCCCTCTTTTTATTTATTAGATAAAATGAAAAATTTTAGTTTTTCTGAACGAAAATATTATTTTTAGCTCTGTACTAGAAGCACCAAATCAACATTATATTCGAGATATTGAAGATGCTTTTATTGTTCATCCAAGCGAAATAACGTTAAATGCCTCAAGTAAGAACGAAGCAACAATTGTGATATCTACGAATTCAAAAGTCGCGCAGCCTTTCGAGACGGTTTTATCAAATGGACAAAACTGCTTAACTGTGGTACCAAATTCTGGAATGATTCCCACTGGAAGAAGCCTTTCTCTCAAGGTAGAATGCAGGAAACAAGTCACAAGAAATTTTGAAACAGTACTTAAAATTTATACAGCAAACGACAAGCGAGACGTCACAATTCGAGTCTATAAGGATAGTTTGAATTCCGCAAGAACTTTATCGCCGCGGTAGTAAAATCAACCAAAAAAATTTGATTAATTTGTCGGAAATCAATTTAATTTTTCTAAGAACCTTAATTTACTTTTTAATGAATGTATAAACTTTAGTGATGTTTGAACTATTTCGTTATTTTCTTGTATTTATTACCGTTATCATACAATAGAAAAATTATTTAAACGATAACGATGAAAAAAATTCTTACTCAATTTAAGCGTTATGAAAATAACAAATTTTAAAATCAAATTATATAGTTTGTAAGGGATTGAAAAAAAAATTAACAGAACTCTTGTATGCATCTCACTAGTCTGTACATTGTTCTATTTTCCAATACTTTTATAATGTTTAAAAATAATATATTAAATATGCTTCTTTTTTAAATTCATGCGTTCTTTATTTCTGATTTAACACAACTTTCAGATTAAATAATTACGGCAAGATTTTTTTTTGAGTTTTATTTAAAATTGTATGAAAATTTATTTAAAAATAAGAATATAATAATTATCTCCAAAATACTCTATTTATCATCACCTTGATAAATCGGAAAGTTCTTGTGATGTACTCCGGAAGTAATGTCGAAATTTGTATTATATTTTGTACCTATACTTTTGACTATATTAATCATATTTTTCACATCATCTATTCCTGAGTGAAGTCGGCCAATTTGAGGAATATCTAGTCGAACGAGCATATCAATAATTCCATGAGGATAAATTTTCATAACATTGCAGAAGAGAATTTTTAAATTAATCCATTCGGAAAAATAATCAGGCACTGCCAATTCCTCAGTTGCACATTGAGAAGGAATCATCACTTTCAAGTCCCAATCACCACACGTGACAAAAGCACTTTTATTCTTCTCCTCGAAATATTTCCCCTTTTCAATCCAAGTATTAAATTTCTTCATAATTTCGGGAAAATGAGGTTTATCATCAACCATTTCTTGTACAATTCCCGTTAATTCCGAGCAAAATGGTGTTAGATTAGGATGAAATTTTGGTTTCACGTACTCGTGAAAAACATCTTTTATTTTCCAATCTTGAGTGGAAACTACAATACAAGGAAATTCTATAATTTCTTGTGGATTAATTTTAATCAATTTTTCACATGTTGCTTCAAAGTCAAGAATTAAAAGATACTTGAAACGTTGTTCACTATTTTGCACATTACGAATCAAGTTATTTTTCAAACCCATTAATGCTCTATGTGCCATTTTAATTAACTTTAAAGTTCAAAATTTATATTATTGTACATATGATGACATTTGTTAATAATTATTAATTAATAATTAATAATGTCAACAAAGATAAAGTTTGTTTATGTATTGGGCCAACATGTGTATATAAGGTTGAGTCCACAATAGACAAATATTTCTTAAGGTGTAATTGCAATCTCGAATATTTAAGGTGCATTCCTATTAAAAAGAAGAGACGAAGGAACTCCATAAGTGTGAGTGAGATAGAAACAGTCGGATTTCACATTTTGAGTCTTCTACTTCTTGCAGACAACTTCATACAGATAGGAACAGGGTGAATGACACTTTAGATTAAAATACATTTCGAGTTGTTTTATATATAGTTCATTGTTTATGATTCAATTTATTCTTGCACGATTTTAATATTATTAGCCATCTGGAAGTTTTTTTTATCTTTTCAATTGTTAACAAGTTTGTTTTAAACAGAAAAATATTTATTAATCAGACAGGATGGTGTTGGCAGATTTAGGACGTAAAATTACGTCCGCACTACGTTCACTAAATAATGCAACTGTGATAAATGAAGAGGTAAGTTGACAGTAATTTTGATTGAAAATTTATAAACAGATGGACTCAGCAAAATAATAAATATAATTATTCATTTTCTCATTAAACTAATTTTATTAAATAGTACTTCTTATTCTTCTGCTTTGTCAATAAGAGACTTTATTTCCTAAAATCGTTAACTTTTCTTAGATGTTTATTTGCATTAGTTACAATCTATTCTGATTTAATATTTTTAATACTGTATTCGCTATTGTATTTTTTTCGATTCTTTCATACTTTCTATCCACATATTTTAATACATTAGTATTAAAATGTCATTTTTACTTTTAATTACAGGCATGAATATTTGATTATCTTAAAAGGCATCTATCGTAGGAAATAGACACTTGACTAAAAGAGAATTATTTTGCTGATAGTCATGCTTTATTTTTAAAATTGTTTAATCATGTTATTTTTTCTAGGTTTTGAATTCTATGTTAAAAGAAATATGTGCAGCATTACTTGAAGCTGATGTAAACATTAGATTGGTGAAGAAGTTAAGGGAAAATGTTAGACAAGTTATTGACTTTGATGACATGGGAGGTGGTCTTAATAAAAGACGAATGATCCAAAGTGCTGTGTTCAAAGAACTTGTTAAGGTTAATATTAGAAATAAGATTTTAAATTAAAATAGAAATAAAAAATTTAATTGAAATATAAAGAAATTACAAAATTACAAAAAAGAATACTTTAATTCGTAATTAGAAAATTAAAAAGTACTTCATAACGAAAAGTAAAGGTTTTTTTAAATGGAAACTGTTTCTTTTTTAACAGCTCATTGATCCAGGAGTGAAGGCTTATCAGCCAGTTAAAGGACGTCCAAATATAATAATGTTCGTAGGTTTGCAGGGTTCTGGTAAAACAACGTCGTGTACAAAACTTGCATATCATTATTTAAAGAAGAACTGGAAGGCCTGTTTAGTTTGTGCAGATACATTCCGAGCTGGTGCTTATGATCAAATTAAACAAAATGCCACAAAAGCAAGGATACCATTTTATGGAAGGTATTTACAAGAACTTTTTTTTAAAAAGAATTTACTGCTTTTCGAATTTAGACTAAAGAAATAAATCTATAAATTTGCTTCAATTATTATTTCAGCTATACGGAAATTGATCCAGTAGTAATAGCTCAAGATGGTGTTGATATGTTCAAAAAAGAAGGCTACGAAATTATAATTGTCGACACAAGTGGTAGGCATAAACAGGAAGAGTCTCTTTTTGAAGAAATGTTACAAGTATCCAATGCCATTGTAAGTAATCTAATAATCTGCAAATTAATTAACAAATTAATTTACAGCTTAGTAAAGTCACTATTAAAGATTTTATTATTATTATTAGTTATCAAAACTTGCTCATTAACTTATTTTTGTATAATTTTCCAGGAACCAGATAACATAATTTTCGTTATGGACGCAACGATAGGTCAAGCTTGTGAATCTCAAGCAAAAGCCTTCAAGGATCGTGTAAATATCGGCTCCATTATAATAACAAAATTAGACGGTCATGCTAAGGGAGGTGGTGCCCTTTCTGCGTAAGTTCTTATTTTTTAATTTATTTAGTTTTCTAAAATTAATTCACTACATGTATTATTTTAAATTAAAATAATTTTCAAATGAAATAGTGGAGACAAATATTTAGTCTAATGTTTCTTAATTATACAGAGTTGCAGCCACACAAAGTCCTGTGATTTTTGTGGGTACTGGAGAACATATTGACGATTTAGAACCCTTTAAAACGAAACCATTTATAAGTAAACTCTTGGGAATGGGAGATATAGAAGGTTTAATCGATCGAGTAAACGAATTAAATCTTGATGATAATGAAGGATTGTTAGAAAAAATCAAACACGGCCATTTTACGTTACGAGATATGTATGAGCAATTTCAAAATATCATGAAAATGGGTCCTTTTTCACAAATTATGGTAAATAAACTAATTTGTTTCTAAAATATTATAATTATTATGTAATGAAGACTTTTTAATCACTAGTTTATATTGAAAATTGATCCCCGCTTTGTGTATTTTCATTTTCAAATATTACAAATATAACCTAAAACTTTTTGCTTTTTTTCGGAGCACGTGACATTTATATAATTATTATTTATAGTTAACAATTGAATAACTTTTTTTAGGGCATGATTCCTGGATTCAGTCAAGACTTTATGACAAAAGGAACTGAGCAAGAATCAATGGCTAGATTGAAAAAATTGATGACAATGATGGACAGTATGAATGATGCAGGTAATTTATTGAAAGTTTTATTTTTCGGGGTTGCCACAGGTCAGGGAATTTAGGGAAAAGTCGGGGATTTAATTTAAATTTAATTGATACTTAGTGAAAAAGAGTTGAATAAAAATAAAGTCGATTTATTACAGAATTGGATGATAAGGACGGAGCAAAATTATTCAGTAAACAGCCTGGCAGAATAATTAGGGTGGCACAAGGATCTGGTGTAACTGAAAAAGAAGTGAAAGAATTAATTTCGCAGTATACGAAATTTGCTGCTGTTGTGAAAAAAATGGGAGGTATTAAAGGACTCTTTAAAGGTGGTGATATGACGAAAAATGTTAATCCAACACAAATGGCAAAACTTAATCAACAAATGGCAAAAATGATGGATCCTCGAGTCCTACATCAAATGGGTAAGATAAAATGTTTTCGCTTTTAAAATTTCATTGATTTAAATATTGAATTTATTTGAAATAGTTTAAAATATTGAAAACATTTCCAGGTGGTATGTCAGGTCTTCAGAATATGATGAAACAATTACAACAAGGAGCTGCAGGCAGCTTAGGGAACTTAATGGGAGGTTTCGGTGGGAAGTCTTGAGAGAAATTAGTGGGCAGAACAACTGCTAGGGATATGAAATTAAATTAATAAGAATCGTCATAATTATGATCATAAGATTGAGTACTGTTTATATTTACGTATATTTAAAATTTTCCATCGAATTCGCAATCATGCAGAAAATCTAGTATAAAATTGTAATAAAAAATTGTTTATGTAATATTCTATTATTATAATTCTTTGTATTTTTAGCAAAGTTTTCTTTGATATAGAGGTTTATAAATATTTTTAAAGTTCCATTTTTGCACTTTTATTTCTTTATAAAAATATTACATTCATTTTTTCTGTTTAAAATTAATTATCTAATTAATAAGTCTCTTATATTGAAAAATTATATTTTTGTTGATTTCGAATTATTAAGATTATTCTCTGAACTTGAAGTTGATGCACTTGAAGTTTGTTGTTGTGCACTAGGTGCATTTTGTGCTCGAATATTACCAAAGGGATTCGAGAATGATCCTAAGAGCAATTTTTGGGTTATATTTTCTTTTTTTAAACGTTCCTCGCTAACGTAGCGATCTGTCAATATATCCTCTGGTCTTGGAGTCCTGAAAAAAGGTATAAATTTTAAATGAAAATTTTAATTAGGTAGATGAAACGTAAAAATTAATTTACCAACCAATCGAGTTTTTCAAATTCTTCCATAGTGGAAATTTTATTTTTCACTTATTTTTATAAACACTTTCACTAACAAAAAGTGAACAAATAACAAAAAAGTTTTTTTAAAGCATTTAAATTAAGCTTCCCTCACACCTGAAAAGTGTAATATATCGGATGTTCTACGTGGTGTTTTTTTTTTGTCATTTTAATAATACCTTCCCATCCCTGCTGACTGTGCGCTCGCATCTTGTTTTGTCAGCACTGTGTCAGTGACATTTCAATACGTGTATAGTTGTATTTTATTTTAATATGTAAATGTTTATATGAAAAAGACTTTTTTTATTACGTACAAAATGTATGTGTCACGAAATATGTACATTAAGATTATGATTCATTGGCAGTAACTTTGATTATATTGCATATTACTCTAATAAGATGAAATAAACTTGAAATTCTCGACATTTCCAGAAAAAATCATAATACAGGTATTTTTTTATTACTCTTAATTATTAATTAAAAAGCAATCGACATGTTTTTTTCTAAATATTTTCACAACTATAATTATTTCAATATATATTTTTTAAAATTTTAGTAATCAAATATTTAAACTTCAATTATATTTACGTTCATTAAGTGCCTACAAGTTTCAATAACTTTTGTTCTATAAATAAACAATGCTAAAATATCCTAGAGGAAATTATTTACAATCTTTTTATTCCATTTTTATTATAATTATAATTTATAATTTTTATTTACCGACAATAATCGTCAATATAAGTAATATTTTTCAGTCCCTAAAGTTCTGAACGTTCAAATGAACGAAATTTATTTTCTCAAATTAAATAATAATATTTCGGCTCGCATTAAAAGTTAATTTTTAAAAATTCAAAATATTTTACATACGTTTTCGATTTTTGATGCCATCGGTAATTTTTACATAACGAAAAAATATTTCATTCTTTCGAACGTTCATGAGAAATTTTCTTTTTCTGAAAAAGATTTTTGAATTTTTCAGCTTTTCTAGAAAATAAATTAATAAATACGAAATCATGGCAATCAAGTGGAGATTGTTTACGCTTCTCATGTGGAAAAATTTTACTGTCCGCAAAAGACATTGGAAAGTCAGTTTTCTGGTTGAAATTTTAATTCCAGTATTTCTTTTCACACTAATTCAAGCAATCCGAGATGCCGTTGATATTGGTGGATTATCTGATACGGAGATTCAATTCAATGATACAATTTTTCCGATTCAGAGTAGAGAGGAATTATTAAAAATTGCTAATGACTTGCATCCCAGTATTTATTATATTCCGAAAAATAATTACACGGAATATTTAATGGACAAGACTCGAAATTGTTTGGGATTATACCGTGAAAGTAGGTTTCAAATATTAATTTTAAGGAAGAATCAGTATGAAAATGATGTAGAATTAAAATTTAATCGTATTAGCAATTAATTGAATATATTAATTTTTGATTATTTAGGTGTCACCGGATTTACTTCTGAAGATGATTTAATGAAAGAATATACTTTAAAGAAATTGGAGAGCGGTTATTCTGCTAAGATTTTGGCAATTGTTTTCCAAAATACGGAACATTTTAATTCATCCTCAAAACATTTAGATTATATAATTAGAACCGATAGCACATCGTTTAATGGTGTTAAAAATTTTCTCAACGATAATCCATTTGTACAAACACAGATGTGTTTGGACGAATCATTTCTAAATTTGAAGAAACCGAATTCAATTTTTAAAAGTAATGTAAGTATAATCTCAAGATTGCCACAAGTCAGGGTCAGGGAAAAAGTGAAAATTTTATCTGAAAAGTCAGGGAAAAACAAAAATTAAATTTTTGTGGCAACCCTAAAAATCTGCTATTTTGAATAATATTCTAGTATTTCTAGTTATATTTTAAATATTGAAATTTCTATTTTCAGATTTCAATGCAACAAATACCGTTTCCGTCACAAATTTTAAATATGCAGCCGATACAAAATGTAATGGGTTCTATATATGCAATTGTAACGGTTTTTGCATTTTTAATTCCCCTCACAATCGAGGCGACTTATCCATCGAATGAAAAAGCTATAGGAGTGAATGTATATAATTTTTTTTTGCAATTCAAAATTTTATTACTTTGAATAAGAAGTAAAAAAATATTTTGCTTTATTATTCCACTAATTCACTAATTTTGAAATTTTTATTTTACATTTCAGGTTCTTATGTCAATGAACGGCGTCAAGACGTATCAAAATTTACGAAGTTGGCTAATAAGTGGAATATTATTTAGCGTCTTTTACGTGGTACCTCGTTTAGTTTTATTTAAAATTTCCTTCTCGTCCCAATCTTTACCGTATTTGTACTATGGAAACATCTTCTTAGTTGGGATAATGTTTTTTGCCCACGTTGCTCATCTTCTGTCATTTGGAATTCACATTGCATCTTACTTCTCCAAATGTAAAAATCATATTTTAATTTTAATTCCACTGAAGAGTTTATTCATAATTAATGATTTGTTAACATTTAATAATATTTATTAATAATTTGATTTCTTTTAGCTATATTCAGATCATTGGCGATTCCAATTTTATATTCTGGTTCAAATTATTTGCAACTATTTTTGATAAAACAAGGGAATTATTCTATTATTCCTTATTTGGGAATAATTTTTCCAAATATGCTTCTATACAGATTATGTGAGGAAATTCATTATTATGAGGACAAATGTGAGTATTTTGTAAGTTTTTTCATGCTGATTATTGAAATGAGAAAAAAAGAGACTAAAACGGAGTTTTATTTTTTTTACAGTAATTGGTGTTGGATGGAAGAATTTTTTCGTAGTTGGCGATAAAAATTATTCAGAAACCGGATGTCTGGGCAATATCTTGATATTTTCGATTCTTGGCACTATCATACATTTTTCTTTGGCTTTGTACGCTTCCGCATTATTTCCAGGAAAATACGGAGTCCCAAAGCATCCTCTATATTTCTTAAAGGTAAATTTATCTACTTTCCCAAATTTATAAATATTATTATAAAGTAATAAAATAAATTTAATTCATAAAATGATATTCTTCTTGTCTATTAGTTTTTCAAGTCGAAAAAAGTATCTTCAGAAGAAGAATCGTATGAAAATTGTAATAACACGGAAGGAAAACCTTTCGAGGCGGTACCGAAAAATGTCTACACTCCTGGCATTCAAATTCGTAATTTGAAAAAATCATATTTTACAAATTGGTTCAGTAGAACGGTAAGTTAATAATAAATATTTGTCGTACTTTTTTAAACGTTGTTTAAATTAATTTTTGTACTTTCCAACTTGTATATTTAAATAGAAAACTGAAGCGCTGCGAGGAATTTCAATAGATTTCTATAAAGGACAAATAACAACCCTACTTGGTCACAATGGCGCTGGAAAAACAACAATGATGTCAATCTTAACAGGAATATTGAGTCCTTCAGATGGAACTGTTCTAATAAATGGCAAAAATATAAGCGATGAATTGGAAGAAATTGTAACAGACTTGGGTCTCTGTCCTCAAGAAGATATTTTATTTCCCGATTTCACCGTTTTTGAACAAATTCAATTTTTCGGCTTGGTAAGTTCAACGAATCAAAATACGAACATTCAAATTTTACCAAAATAATAATAAGCTTTCGAGGTTTCGAGCATTCGAGGATTTCAGCTTTCGAGCTTTTGAGCATTCAGGAATTTCAGCTTTCGAGGTTTTAAGCATTCTGGGATTTTAGCTTTCAAGGTTTTCAGCATTCCGGTATTTTAGTTTTCGAGGTTTTGAGCATTCTGGGATTTCAGCTTTCGAGGTTTCGAGCATTCGGGGATTTCAGCTTTCGAGGTTTTGAGCATTCGGGGATTTTAGTTTTCTAGGTTTTGAGCATTTCGGGATTTTAGCTTTCGATGTTTTGAGCATTCGGATTTGATAACAATCTCTCCGAGATTGGTAAATTCTTCTTCCACCTTTGATAAATTCCTTCTTTCTTTAATTATTTTTTTTGCATAGGAACTTATTACCTTCTTTACAAAATTTTTTGTTTTTTTTATAGCTAAAACACAAAAATAGAACGAGAAGTCAAGTGTCAAATGATGTATACGATTTATTGTTAAAATTAAAATTAACCGACAAACGAAACGAAATTCCTGCAAAACTTTCTGGAGGTCAAAAAAGAAGAGTTTGTCTCGGAATGGCGATAATTGGCAATGCATCAGTAAGTAAATTTCTATTGTATCAAGAAATTTTATTACAATTGTATTGAAAATAATAAAAGAATTAAATTTCTGCGAAGAATTTTATTATTCATTAAAATAATCGATTTTTTCCGAAAAGTTTTGTCAAAATTTTTGAAAATAATTGAATGTTTAAAGATAATAAATTAAAATGTTTTGTAAGAATTTTATTATTGTTTTAGATAATAATTTTTAATATGATTCAAAATATTGTTTAGAGTCAGAGAAATAGTCAAAATTCTATCTGATTATTATCAGGGAAAAATGAAGAAAAAACAAAATCAAATTTCTGTGTAAATCTCGAAAATGTACATTTTTAAATAATTTAAATAAATTTCTAATTTCTTCTAGACTCTAATACTTGACGAACCCACATCCGGAATGGATCCAGAAACAAGAAGAGAATCATGGGACATTTTATTGGTAAAACTTTGATATTTATTAAACGATTTTGAAGTTTCTTTTAAAATTCATTTAAACATTTTAAAACTGTTTTAAAATATTTTTAAAGTCTTGTAAACTTTTTAAAACTGTTTAACCTTGAGAGGGCCGGGGTGGCCACTATAGTGGCCACCATTAATTTTCACTACTATTTTCATCGAATTGACTTTTTATTTAATTTTACTTAATAAAAAACTAGTAAAATTTTTAAAAATTTTCCGGCCCTCTAAAGGTTAAAAGTTTTAATATAAAAAAGGAAAATTTTATATTTCTTCATAGAAAATGAGAGGAGAAAAAACAATTTTAATCAGCACACACAATATGGAAGAAGCCGATGTTCTTGGGGACAGAACAGCAATAATAGAACTTGGAACATTAAAAAGTTATGGAACGCCACTATTTTTGAAGAAATTTTATGGTACGGAAAACATTTTTTTTTAACGACTCTGCTAATTTATCTTGCTTTCATTACGTTTATAATTTATGTTCCTAAAGTTTTAAATGTTCAAATGAATGACAATATTTTGTTTACTTCTCTTAATCTGTATTTTTTAATACAAAAAATTATTTTTATATTAAAAAAATTAATTCTTAACTAATTAAATGTTTAAATTTGTTTAATTTTGTACATTAAACAAATTTATTTTCAACTTAATAAATGTTTAATTTTAATCATTTCTTTTTTTTGTAGAGTAACTTTCAGAAAATATTTAAAATAGAAAAAAGTTGGTTAATTTGAACGTTTAAAATTGTGGGACAAATTATAATTGAATGTGTGTTAAAAACTGTCTCTTTTAATTAGGCGAAGGCAACATGGAAGTTACATTATCAACTGAAGAAACGTGCGATATCGAAGAAGTAAAAAATCAATTACCGGAGGAAAGTCAGTTAGTTAGTCACGATAGTGGAAAAATCGTCTTTAGTATTCCATTCACGCAACGATTACCAAACGATTTTGACAGAATTGAAGAAAATAAAGATCAACTCGGCATAACTGGTATAAGTGTCTCATTAATTACATTGGAGCAAGTTTTTCTTCGGTAAATATTTTATATTTATTGCAATACAATCTAAGCTTTGAATTTATATTTAATATTTAATTTAATATTAAAATTTAATCGAATACTAATATTTAATCGAATACTAATATTTAATCGAATATTAATATTTAATCGAATATTAATATTCAATATAATATCAGAATTTAATCTATTTCCAATAATTAATATTTAATACATTTTGTAAAAACTTTTATTACTTTTTTAAAGGGCAACTAAGGAGGACAGTAGAGATTCGAATGACAACGATTTTATTTCTGAAGAAATAAAGAAAATTAAAGGTTATCAACTTTTTATACAATCCGCCTGTGCTCTCTTTAGAAAAAAATTCATCTTCCTCCGGAAGAATATAATGTCTCATGCTGCAATGGTAAAAAAATTATTTTTCTTCTCTCTGCTTAGATTTCATCGAAAAACAAATTTCAATCGCTTTTATTTTATTACTTAGGTGCTATTACCAATATTAGGATTACTCCTGATGTCTTCAGCTTTCAAAAAAGTTCAAGATACAATTGAAGAGCCAATAAGAGTCGACAACTATCTAAATCCAATCATTTTCTATTACTCCAATGACTCGAATTACGAAAAAATGTATAAAAATATTATTGAAAGTTACCATGGAAAAACAGTCGTCACTGCAGAAAATAATATTTCTTTAGGTAAATTTTCAATTTCTATCTAATCTTTCTTTCTCATCTTTTTTATCTGATTCTTCCGTTTATTCTTATTTCCCTCTAATTAATCAAAAATTAACTTTATTTTTTCAGCTCTATTGAATTTTAGCAGAAATGATCTTTCCGTTTATCAGAATAATTTATTAGCTGCAGCAAATTTTCAACGAGTTAAATCGAAAATGATTGACGTCACTGCACTGTATTCAAACAGTATATTTGAAAGTGTACCATTAACATTAAATTTGATATCCAACACTATAATAAAAATTGTTGCTGGAGAAGATTATCAAATTGATGTTTCGAGACAAAAACTTCCGAAAGTTTACGATTTTCAACAAGCTATGAGATCAGGAGGAGAAGAAGATTTCACAAAAGTTATTATATTTATCATAGCATTATTTCCAGCTCTTGCCTTATATGTCATTCATCCACTAAAAGAATTAACAACAGGAATTAAAGATCTTCAGAGAATGACTGGAGTCGCAAGTTATTTATATTGGGGATCATTCCTACTCTTTGATCTTCTACTCTTTTTCCTAACAATAATTATCATATTAGTGGGATTTTATTTTATGGACATCATTCTCGATTTGCGGATCTTTCGTGGAACTGAAATTGGTAAATTGAAATTTCTATTTCTATTTGTGTTAAAATTAAAATTGAAATTAAAATAATTAATTAAAGTTTGTATATTATTAATTATTCTCTGTATATTTGTTTTTTAAAGGTATTATGTTCCTGTCTTTAACATTGTTGGGAATGAGTATGTTTCCGTTTATCTACATATTCAGTTTTATGAAGAAAAAAGTCAACACTGTTGTAAATATTCTGATATACGTATTTTTATTAGCAGGTAAGTTATTGATAATTATTAATCGAAAATAAAATATTCAAAAGAAAGAATTTTGTTTTCTCAAAACGAATCTGAAAAAAGGAATTCTTTCTTTTGGAATTAATTAAATTAAATTAAAAAATCATAAAATGAGTGAACTTATTTCTTTTTCAGTGATAATTCAATCAATTGTAGAGACGCTAATTATGGTGTCATTGGGATCTCATCCAAAAATAATGGAAATATTTACTGCCATGAATAACGAAATTTTTATGTTGATACCGTCGGTGAGCTTTTTTTACAGTCAAATTAATTTTCTTGAAATTGCCAGCAAAAATGCATTTTGTCGAAAAATGCCCAAGTATTTAGAGAATTTTGACTGCGACGGTGGAAACAAATGCTGTGGTAAGATAAATATTATTTTCTTCGTGTATATTTTATTTCTGGAAATATCAAATAAAAATTTCTACAAAATTTTCTTTTTTCAGATTTAAAGTGCTCTAATGGAGTTTGCGAGAAATCTTTTGGATATTTTGAAAACTCTAGTGATAGAAATAGTCTTGGAAAATGTTTCATCTATTTATTCCTCACATCTGTTTTGTATTTCATAATTCTTGAATTATTGGAGCATAAAGTGATATCTTTAATTATTCTAAAATTAAGGAAACAACAATCTGTCGATGTACAACAAACTGATGATCAAGTAGCAAATGAAAAGTCTTTAGTTTCTTCTGAAATTACTCGAATAGAAAACAAAGGTATTTTATTTACATATATCGTTTTTCTATTTTTATTTATATTTTTTTATTTATATTTCTATATTTATATTTATTTTTCTATATTTTCATTTATTTTTTTATTATTTAATTTATTTTTCTATTCTTTTATTTCAATTTCTTTTTTTTCTTTTTTATATTTTTTTATTTATATATATAAATTTTGGTGCCACTTATTTTCTTTTAAAATGATTTTTAACATTTCAGTTAAAAATCCAAACATGAATGGAGAATATTCCATTATAAATGCAATTTCTGAAAATGAATCCATTTATTTGGTTCACGAATTAAGTAAATATTACGGAAATCTTGCGGCAGTAAAGGAAATTAGTTTTAGTGTGAAGAAAAAAGAGTGTTTCGGATTACTTGGAGTTAATGGTGCTGGAAAAAGTACAACTTTTAGAATGCTCACAGGATTAGAATTTCCAAACAGTGGAACCATGTTTTTAAATGAAAAAGAAATTTCCACCAACAGAAAAGAGGTTCGTTTTCTATTTTTAACATACAAATAATAATAATAGTGATAACAATATTAATAACGATAATAGATAATACTATTAATGTTATTAACATTCTTTAAAATAATTGAATTCTTTTGAATAATTTATTTCGATATTCTTGAAAATAATGGAGTTTTTTAAAAATAATTTTTACTGAAAATTTTGAAATTGTTTGAAATTTATTAAAATTATCTTGAATATAATTGAATTTTTCCCTCGAAATTTTATTAAAATTGTATTGAAAATAATTGAATTATTCGGAAAAATTTTATTACATATTTTAATTCTTGCGAAGTATTTTTTCATTTATGAAAATAATTGAATTCTTGCGGAGGATTTTACAATTTATGAAAATAATTGAATTTTTTCGAAGAATTATATCTCAATTTTTGAAAATAATTGAATTTTTTGGAGGAATTTTATTAAAAATTTTGAAAATAATGATTCTTCAAAAAGAATTTTATCAAAATGTTGAAAATAATTGAAATTATATTAAAATTCTTGAAAATAATCGAATTTAATTAATAATAATTCTAACCTTTTTTTCATATTAAATGAAGAATGTATTTTTTTGTTTACAGTACTTACGTCAGATGGGATATTGTCCTCAAAATCACGCTTTAATAGAATCACTGAATTCTAAAGATCATCTTGAATTGTTTGCAGCTCTTCGAGGAGTGCCAAAATCTCAAATATCCGCCGAAGTGGAAAATTGGATTAAGAAATTAAGTAAATAATTCTCATGAATTTTGCATATTTCAAAAATTTATTTAATTTAAAATCAATAACAAAATAATGATTTATATATTTTTAATTAATATCAATAATATTTTCTGTTGGAATTTTTAAGAATAGAATAGGAAGAAAAGAAATGCGAATATTTTGTTTATATTCTTCTGTTTTTCAGAATTAAATCTTTGTGCAAACCAGCCGAGTGCTAATTACAGTGGAGGAAATAAGCGACGATTAAATATTGCATTGGCTCTCATTGGAAATCCTAATTTAGTACTATTGGATGAACCTACTACAGGAGTTGATCCTGCTGCTCGAAGATCCTTGTGGCGTGTGATTAAAACATGTCAATTAAGTGGGCAATCAATTATTCTCACTTCTCACAGGTAAATTTTTTGTTTTTTTAATTGTCAATAATAAATAGTAATTTGAAAACATTTTTGACTGTTCTAAATATTATTTTGAATTATTTCTTTTTGTTTATTATTTACTTAATATTATAAATATTATTTCTAAATAATAATTATTAAATTATTTATACTAATATTCGTATAAGTTGTTGAATTTCAAAAATGTTTGAATTTGAATCTTTTGCAGAATTTTAATTCCTATTGAAAAATAATAATGAAATATTTATTTAAAAATGAAGTTATCTATGTTTTCGAATAATTTTACAATTAAAGAAAATTCGTTGTAAAATGATTTAATTAATTTGTTATTAATTATAGCATGGAGGAATGTGAAGCACTTTGTAATCGTCTAGTCATCATGGTAAAGGGACAGTTTGTTTGCATTGGTCCGAGTGAGCAATTAAAGCAGCGTTTCGGAGCTGGTTTTGATATAAGTATCAAACTTAATCCAAGTAGAAGCAGTAAAGATGTCTTAAACGTGAAAAGAGGAATGGAAGAAGCTTTGGAATGCGAACTTCGCGATGAACATTTGGTAAGATTTATTTTTTATTTAATTGATATTTAATTGAATTTCAAAATTCATACAATATCAAGAATTCAATTCATTTAACATAAATAATCTTTTATATTAATAATCATTGTATTCTGAACATCTGATCTTTTGAAGAATTTCCTTGAATTTTTTTTTAATAATGAAGTTTCTTTAATAATTTTAATTGGAAAATTTGAAAGTAATTGAATGTTATGAACAATTATTTAAGTGAAGAATTTTATCAAAACTTTAGAAAAGAAATAAATTCTTTCTAAAAATTTTAATGTTTAATATATTTTTACAGGGATATTTAACGTATCATGTCACTAATTCTAAAACGAAGTGGGAAACAATGTACAACGTTATGAGAGTTCTAAAAGTTCAGTACACCTTCATTGAGGACTATTCCATATTGTCAGCGACATTAGAACAATTATTCTTACAATTTGCAAGGGCTGACTCTCAAAATAATTCTTCTTAATCTTCTTACAATTTCTTTTTAATATAAATTAAAAAAATTACTACACCCATATTTTCCGCAAAGAGTATTCAACGTTAAGAAAAAAAAAGTATTTTTGATAGAAAAATATGTACGAAAATATTTCCAATAAGAGAAGATACTTCATTCTATATACTATAACTTTTGATGCAATCTATTTTGCATTGTGATGACACAATGTGATGACGCTTATAAATTTAATGCCTAAGAGTCTGATATTTGTCTTTAACTTTTAACAAGAAAAATAATCTCATTGTTATCTCTGCTACATTAATAGCTAAACTGTTTAAGCTTAAATATATAATTATACCCAGAGGATAAAAAGAAACAAAGAAAATAATAAAGATTCAAATACAATATAAATACATTGTAAAAAAAACAATGACAGTATGAAAGTAAATTTTAATAATTTACTAATTTATTAATTTCAATCGCTTCCATCAGATTTTAAAACAAATTCAAATTCATTGAATTTTAATGCCTTAAAAATTTTAATTGAATTCTCCAGTATTTCTGTACTTAGTGATTATTTAAATGCCTAACAGTGCCTATTTTTAAATTTTAGTAAAAAAAAAAAATCTCTCTACTCTAAAATGTATTTGATTGTGCAAATACTTTTTTTTAATAAGAACTTATAATATTTTTATACGCATTATCCCTAAGTTTTGAACGTTCAAACGAACGAAATATTTTTTATCGAAGCTATTTTTATAAATTACTAATTAAAAAAATATAAAAAGATGAAATTTTACTTAATTAATTTTTTGGATAGTGACGCAAAATAATTGCAATAAAAATTTAATTTTGTAGAAGAAATAAATAAATTTCGTTCATTTAAACGTTCAGACTTTTAGGATCTTTTATATACGCAATGAAAAAAATGATTAAAGTTTCAAAAATTTAATCACTTTACAAATAATTTTGCTACTAAAAGTTGTGAGAATTTTATGACATTCAAATTATTCAATATTTTCGTTTGTAGTTATTAATTAGTTATTAATTACTTTATAAGTTATTCTAAAAAAGAAAAGTGACTGAACTAAAGGTATTATTGTAATCCAAAGCGCTAATATTATTCTATTTTCAATAATAAATGTTATAAAGAGACAAAAAAAATTGTTAACAAGCGCAAAATTAAAGTCTAAATGTTTAGCTATTTGTTTATCATTTTCGATAAAAATAGAAAAAAGTTTTAATCTTTAAAAATATATGAATAAAAATAAATGAAATACAAGTAAATAAAAATATATAATAAATAAATGCAAATATATACAAATAAATACAAAAAATACAAAAAATACAGAAAATAGAAAAAGTACAAAAAATAAAAAAAAAGTAAATGAAATAAATACGTAAAAAAATAAATAAAAACTTATTTTTCGCTCTACATTTTACTGTTAAAAATAAATAATATTTTTGGAAATATTTAAACTTGGAGTGCAAATAAATGGATGTAAACGAAAGACATCAATATTGCATTATATATGTGTTTGATTATTGAAACTAGTTTGATAACTTGAAGACACTATCAATGACAAACTAAAATTTAATCAAACCAACTGAAATTGAATCTATCGAAATTAATGTCAATCAATACGATTACACTTAAAATAGAAATTGTCAAAAAAAAGAAGAAAAATTGTAATTTTCGTTTCCATTTAAATAAAAAAATGTATTTGCTTAAAAGAAATTGTCATTTATTTAAACGCAAAGAATTTATTAATTATAATATTGTATCAGTTTTGTTAAATATACATTACTGTTGTGCGAACAGTATATTGTGATATAAAATTTGAGAATTTAGTGCTGTGTTGGTTATTTGTGATCCAGCAAATCAATGCCAGCCAGAAGCTCGAAACGTAAATTACATTTCAAAGGGATGTGGAATCTAATTCGGTTCATCCCTGTATTGAACTGCTCTCTCGCTCTTCATCCTGAACATTTTGCTCGGTGGTCAGACAAAGTTTCAAATTTACGCACTAACGACTTTCTAACAGTGAACTGAATGTTTCAAGTGATACGCTCTAAATATTTCAACATATACAATTGACTATTGAAATTAAATTTTTGACAAACAAAAAAAAGAAAAAGAAGAAGGCAATTAAATTGTATTTAATGTGGAAATTCAAATTATTCGATTATTGGAATAATTCAATAATAATTGAATAATTTGTATTTTGAGATGTTATCGTTTGGAGCTCTAATCGTATTATGATAGATTTAATTATGGCGGATTCGAGTAAATGGAATTGGATGAGTAAATTGGAATTTGGTTGTATTTATTCTATTCTATTTATTCTATTTTTTATTCTAGTGTATTTTTTTTATTTTTATTCTAGTTTTGTATTCTATTCTATATTTTCTATTTGTCAGGGTTGCCACAGGCCAGGGAAGTCAGGGAAAAGTCAGGGATTTTTAGTAAAAGTACTGGAAAAAATTGAATTTTTAAAAATCATGAGAAAACTCTGAATTTTGATGTTTTTTTTGTTTGCCTCGAAAACTATGAAATTACCAAGAATTTTAATCTAGAAATTAATTTTTTTCGATAATCATAAAAATTCTTCGCAGAATTTCAATTATGTTCAAAAATTAAAAAAAAAATTCTTGTCAAAATTCCAATTATCTTTAAAAACAATAAAATTCTTCACCGACATTCAATTATTTTTATAAACTTGAATAAAATTCTTGGCAAAATTTTACAGTAATTCAATTATTAACAAAATTTTTAATAAATTTCTTCGAAATAATTCAATTATTTTCATAAGTAATAAAATTTTCACAGGAATTCAATTATTTAAAATACAAAATTTTATAAAATTTTTCAAAAAATAACAATTATTTAAAAAGATTTTTATAAAATTCATCGCAAGAATTCAATTATTTAAAAAAAAATTTAACAAAGTTCTTTTTAAGAATTCAATTATTTTCAAAAGCAATAAAATTTTTCGCAGAAATTCAATTTTGTTTAATTGAAAATTCTCATTAAAATTTCAATTATCTGTATAAATAATAAAATTCTTTTCCAAAATTCAATTATTTTAGAAAAATTTAAATAAAATTCTTGGGAACATTTTAATTATTTTCATAAATAATAAAACTCATCGCAGGATTTTAATTATTTTTGATACAATATTTTAATCTAATTCCTCGAAAATTGTAATTATTCTTAATAATTCTATTAAAATTTATCAAAAGAATTCAATTTTTTAAAAATTTGAATTCTTGCGAAGGATTTTATTAGGATTTTTGTAAATAATTAACTTTTTTTTGAAAAATTTTATGGTAATTTAAATTATTATAAAACATGGAGAAGGCGATCACTTCGAGTCTTCGATTCGGAGTGATCGCCTTCTTCATGTTTTGTAATAATATTCTTATAACTCGTTGAATTTCAAAAAGGTTTGAATTTGAATGTTTTGAAGAATTTTAATTCCTACGGAAAAGTAATAATTAAATATTTATTTAAAAATGAAGTTATTGATGTTTTCGAATAATTTTACTTTCGAAGAAATTTGTAAATAAATGTAAAAGAATATTTTTTTGAGTATATAATAATTTTTAGAGTGAATCAGAATATTCTTTAGGGTCAGGGAAAATGGCAAAATCAGTCAGGAAAAAGTTTGGACATCAGGGAAAAATCAGGAAAAAATGAAATTAAATATTTGTAATATTAAATATTTATAATATTATTAAATATTTATATTTAATATTATTTAATATTTGCAACCCTGTTTTTATTCTATTTTTGTATTCTGTTCTATTTTTGTATTCTATTCTATATATTCTACCAAACTAAAATCATAATAAATAATTATCAATGTAGCGATAAACGTAGAAATTATTATTATTTTTTTTATTTTGAAAATTTTGGAGAAATAATAAAACGAAGAGATTTGAATAGTATTCATCGGAATTTTTGGGAATGAAAATACACTATGAAAGCATGTGGGAAAAAGTTAATTAACATTTGAGTAGAATATGTGTATACACATTACATGAAATCTTGTTAACGAACCAGGCAACAAGAGCAGTCGGTTCATTGAGCACTCAACAGCCAAATAATTAGTGAGCTTGTGCAATTTGTCGTCACTGATCAAAGTTCTAATCTTTCATGAAATATCAATTTAAACAAAAGTGAGAGTCTTTTTTTTCATTTATTGCAAATTTATATTTAAGATTCCACTGAAAAAGAATTTTTTTTATTTTGATTCAAATAACTATAATTAATTGTCTGAGTTATCGAAAAAATATTTACAGTTGAATAAAATAATTTTTGATTAAATCAAATAATTTCTATATTTAAATCAATTAATTTTTGCTTCAATCAAATAATTTTTACTTCAATGAAATTATTTTTATTTAAATCAAATAATTTCATATAATTATATATAAATTCAGTATTTGGAGCAAATACCATTTAATTGACTTAAACAAAAAGCATTTAATACGAATATTGAAATAATTGTTTGATATTTACGTTTATTGTTTTATAATAGAAAAAATTAAGATTATTGTTTTATAATAAAGTAAATACCACTTGAATTAAATTAATCGTCAATTGTGTGCGAAGAATCGCATTTCAACTTTTTGGAGTGAATTTAATTCATAAGTCTAAAAAAAAGGTTTGTTTCAATTAGAAATTTATTATTTTCATTAAAATTTATTTGTACTAAATAAAATTTATTTGTTACAAAAAATTGATTAAAGAAAAAAAAATTTGTTTATTGCAAATGTAAATTTTACATGGTAAATGAAAATGTATATTTTTTGCCAAATAAAATTCGTTTTTGCCAAATAAAAATCTGTTTTTGAGAAAGAAAATATTTTTTGCCAAATAAACATAATTTATTTGTCAAATAAAATATTTTTGAGCAAAAAAATTTACTTTTTGTGGTAAATAAAATATTTTTTTTGCAAAATAAAATTTATTTTGCACAAAGAAAATTTTTTTTGCAAAAATAAAAATTTTTTTGGCCAAATAAAATTTTTCTCTGACAAATAAAATTCTTGTTCTGTCAAATATACTTCACTTAAGTCAAATATATTATATTTGTTTCAAATAAAACATTCCTCTTGGTATATTTGAAAAAAAATTCAATGACTAAAAACAAAAAAATAATAAAAAATTGCCCGGAGTCACACTTTCAATTAAAAATCAACTAGAAAAAGTAAATAACATTATTTTGATTGGAAATTCACTTCACTGCCGCTTTGCCATGACGTATATCAAGTGGTACAAACTTAGTTAGGTCAGACGTAGCGTGATTACAATTGGAATTTTATTTTTATTTTATATCCTAAATTTCTCTCAATTGTCAAAAAAAATATTGAATCAAAAAAATCTGACATTAATAACAGTGTATATTTTTATTTATTTACTTATTGTTTAGATTTTTTTTTATTTCCCGCCCTCTATATGTTTCGCCACCAACGTCACGGAAGTGCTCACACTGCAGGAATTAATTTCTATACATACTGTACATTGTACTTTTTAAAGTGATCCAGAAATGATAAATTTATTAATTATTTATTATTTTCAATTTAATTCGATTATAATTTCTCTTATAAATTCGAAAATAAGAGAGAGAGAAAATAAATATTTGTTGCATGCGTGTGTCCTCTGGTGTCTTGAGTGGACGTTAAAAGAAAGAGGGGAAGGAAAGGAAAAGAATTTTGGTAGCCATGATCGTTAAGGCCCCGCACGTTGTATTTACTCTATTTTTCGGATGTTTCTTCTACAAAAATCGTCCTTCACCGACAACAATGACCTTCAAAAATCCGTAAGTGTCTTGTTTTGTGTAATTTTTTATTATTTGGAAAATACACCGGCGTTGAGTGTTTTGAAGTTATTACATAAATAGTAAAGAAAACATAAATTCTCTTCTTCCACAAGTGCTCGTTTTTTCGCCGGAAAAAATCTGTTGTTTTTTTATTCTTAGGCGCAAAAAGAATGGAAAGAGAAAAGTGAAAGAAATATCTATCAAAAATTACTGAACTATTGAATTAAATTATTAATTTTAAATATTAAAGACAAAATAGTGTAAATAGAGAGTAAAATAATATAGGTAAAAAAGTGTATATTAAATCTAACTCCGAATTTCTGTATTTATTAAACTGTTATTTTACTTTTAGGTACAAATTCATTAAGTTAAATTTAAAAGCTTTTACTCTCGGTTTACGTTTTCTTTTTTCGAGATAAAATAAACAGACTCGCAATTTTTTATTTTCGGAGTAAATTTTTAAATTAAATAATTTTACTCTCAACTGGACGGGTATTTATTGAAAACACACTCGCACGCTCACTCACTTATAATAATAGAAATAAAATACTCTTCTCTCTGTAATTACTTAATGCAAATATTATTACAGGATCAAAAAATGTGAATATTGTGGTTATAAAAGCACTCGTGCTTTTAATGTTTTCCGACATAAGAAACGAATTCACGGGAAGGCGAAAAAGAAAATAATTTGTTGTGGTAAGAATTTTTAATATAATTTATAAATATTTTCCGTCACTTAAATTTCTTTCTCTCTCTTCATATTCATGTTCCTAAAGTTTTGAACGTTTTAACGAAATTTTTATTGACTCCTTCTTCAAATTTTATTTTTTCTCACAACGATTTTTCGTCACGTATCAAAAATATTAATTATGAAGTTTCTAAATATTAAATTTGAAGTTTTTATTTCTAAAGTTTTGTTTTTGCTAAATTTCTATGATTTTTTTCTATTTCAGACAAAATAAATTGTTTTAAATAATAAATTCAATTATTTGCAACGTTAATAAAATTCTTCTCAAAAATTCAATAATTTTTAAAAATTTTTCAAAATTCACGTAAAAATTGTAATTATCTTTTTAAAATAATTGAATTTCGGAAAAGAATTTCAATTCTTCTCCAGAATTCAATTATATACAAAAATTTTAATAAGTTCTTGGCAAAATTTCAAAAATTTTTCTCAATTCAATGATTTTCAATATCTACTATTTTAACAAAAATTTTTTAAATAATTTAATTGTTTAAAAAAATTTTTCTTAAAATTCTACGCAAACATTTAATTTTTTTCATAAATAATAAAAATTTTACAGGAATTCAATTACATACAAATTTTCTAATGAATTTCTTCCCAATAATTCCATTATTTTCATAAATAATAAAATTTTGCTACGAGGATTCAATTATTTCGATAAATAATAAAATTTCAATTTTTAAATTTTTAATTCATTTTTAATCAAATTCTTCGAAAAATCTAATAATTCATCAAAATTTGATTAAAATACGTCAAAAGAATTCAATTATTTTCAAAAAAGTTTTCTCCATTTAATGATTTTGAATATCTAATATTTTAATAAAATTTTCCAAAAGAATTCAATTGTTTAAAAGAAATCTTAATAAAATTCTACGCAAACATTTTATTATTTCCATAACAGAATAAATTTTTTTACGGGAATTCAATTATTTTCATAAATAATAATATTCTTTTTAGCAATTCAATTATTTTTAATACAATTTTAATCGAATTCCGCGAAAAATTTAATTATTTAAAATTATATTAAAATTCGTCGAAAGAATTCAATTTCGAGAAACATTCAATTATTTAAATTATTTTTGTATTTAAATAATTGAGTTCTTGTAGAATTTTCTAATAAATATTGATTTAAAAATAAATTTTCTACCATTCTTTAATTTAAAAATTTTTAAAAAATTTTAATTATTAAATAATTATTATAATTCCATAATATAATTATTTACAGGAAGAATTTATCGCACTAAAGGAGATTATTATTGTCACGTAGAGGAAATTCATCCGCACACGAGAAATGGATCGATTTCAAAGAAAAAATACAAAATCACAAAAAAGATGTTATTAAAAAAAACGAAGAGAACATCGAAGAAAATAAAAAAAAATGCAGAGGAAATTCTGTTCTTATTCGATAAGAATATTTCATGGCCAACCGGAAAGGAAATTGCCGATTACTTACGTAATATAAAATTTCATAAACTTAACAATTAATTATACGTAATTATGCAGAAGCATTTATTTTTTTTTTTTTGGAAAAAATTTAGAAATTATCAACGAAAAATTAAATTATCACACATGTAAATTTTTTTTACAAGTTTTTAATATTTAGAGTTTAAACATTGTTTTTATTCAATTTTATTTAATTTAATAGAATAATATAGATTTTACAAAAAAAAAAAAATGTTTTATCGTGGCTATATAATGTATTATACAATCTATTTTAATAATTCAGAGTAAATTTAAAATAATAATTATCGTCGACAAAATTATTAAATTTAAGAAATTTTCTATGTTCTACGTTATAAGTATATTTATAATGTGATATAAAGTGCCAAAATTACAATTTAATGAAAAAAAAATATTGAATAAGAAGGAAAAATGTTGCATGTACATGTCAATTAATATATTATGCATTTTACAGAAGAAAAAGTGTGTTTTATTCCTTCACAGCTGTCTTGAAAATTAAATGGGCTTGTAACATTTTAATTATGTCAAAAGAAAATTAAATCTCAACATAGGTTTTTAATTTTTTAAATTTTATTTTCTTTATTTCAACGAAAAATTATTATTTACTAAATTTGTATAATTTGCGAAAAAATTATTTTCAAATAAGAATAAGTCTAAAAATTATAATAACAATAGTTTGTGTTAGCATTTATGATAAATGAAAGAAAATTAAGAAAAAATTCTCTCAACGATTAACTGATTTAGAGTAATCTAGATTTTTCATTATGAACCATTGGATTTTATAAAGTAAAATAATATTTATCTAGAGGGCAACTCACAGTATATATTTTACTGATTTCCCTCGAGCATTTGTTGTATGAAAGTATTTTTAAAAAGCAAAGGAATAATACGAAATGAAAGCATTTTTTTTAATGATTCCTAAAATCATTATTTTTTAAATAAAGTAAAACTTAATTTTTATTTACATTTATTTATTGCAAAATATTAATGTTTATATTCTTTTTGCCTTTTTTTCAATTCTTACTGAATTTTTCTCCAATTAGTATTTTTTGGTAATTATTTATTTTTTCTTAAGTGTCAGTTGAAAAAATTTTTTTCCTTCTATTTTTTATGATTTTTTGAATATTTTTTTAATAGCGAAACAAAAAAAGGACTTAATTTTGTATTTTTTTAGAAATAAAATTTACTGAATTTTTCTCAAATTAGTATTGTTTGGTAATTATTTATTTTTTTCCAATTTATTTTTTACGACTCTATGAAAAATCTTTTTTAGAGAAATAACAATAGCAATAGGGAAACAAAAAAAGGACTTAATTTTGTACTTTTTTCTATAAATAAAATTGTATTTTCTGAATTTTTTTCCCCAATTAGCCTTTTTTTGGTAATTAGGTTATTTTTTAAAAAGTACAGTCACTTGGAAAAATTTTTTCCCTTCTATTTTTTACTTTTTGAGTATTTTTTTAGAGCAATAACAATAGTAATCAATTTTTTATAGTAATAGCAAAAGCAATCAATTTTTTTTTGTAGCGATAGCAAAACAAAAGAAAAGACTTAAATTCGCAAGATCGTCTACGTCAGGTAAAAAATTATTATGCAAAAAAGTTCATGTACCTTCCCTGATGGACGATTAAAACTTCACATCGAATTTACCTTCGGGGTTTTTGTATTATTTTTTTTAGTTCTCACTATCCTTCTGTAAAATCACCTCTCTCTTGAGCCTGGTAAAAAAATAAATTTCTCATGATGTAACATTTATACGAATTTGAATATCGAGCAAAATTTTGTCCATTTTATCTAATTAGATTAGAAGACTAACTTTTAAATGCTCGTCGGTCAGCGTTTACAAAATATAAATCTCTTAGAGTATCGACTGCGACTTGTGATATATTTTATAATTTAATATTATATTATTATAATATAATAGAACATTAACAATTTCATTTCCTGTTGTGACAACTACAGCATCATTGTATTTACATATATGTATTTTGTGTATGACTGTATCCATATAGCCCGCGTGTTGTTGTGAAAATTTCCCAGCAGATGGCGCTCCGTTCGCAACGTCAGCGTAGCGTAGTCGTCATAGGTTAGTCTTTGCCGGGATTTGTTCGGTAAAGTGTCGTCTTTTTATATATGAAAAACAAATAGTTTGAAATTATTACCCACAACGTATAATCTGTCAACAGTTAAACATTTTAATTGCCAATTTATATTTGTTTCGTGTTCTTCAATTCAGAGTATACGTGTGTCAGTGTTTATTTGACTGCTATTTATGGATGTGTTCAATTCATTTCGAGCAGAAGGAAAAATATACTTGACGAATCCAGAGGAACACGATTTTTGGAATTGTTGAAAAAAAAGGTACGAAATTTTATTTATTTCTCTATTATTATTATGATCTTTTGGATTTTTAATAAGTTTTCTAATAGTCAATACAAGATGGAAAATTAAATCTCTATTTTCTACTTTGTCTTAATTTTACGTGCAAATTTACAATTTTGACGTCTACGATTTCGTGCAAATTGTAATTTTTGAAATAGATAAAAAAAGGGAAATTTTGAAATGAATTATAGTAATTATTTTGGAATAATACCGTATTTGGTGATTTGATATTGTTGCTAGTCAAATTACAGGTTTATTTAGTGTTGTAATTTTCTGCATTTGTTTATTTACTGATTCCGGTGTATTTGTCTTTTAGTGTTCTATAACTGTGATGATTTTTTGCTAGTATTTTTCGTTTTTTGAAACTTTAGTGAATTTTATTCACACCTATGTGAATATTTAAAATTTTTATTATAGCAATTAGGTTATGTTTTACAATGTAGCACTTCGCGCGCGTTGTCAATTGATAACGGAAATAATTACAGGTGTATTTTTAAATCCTAAATTCAGCAGTAAATTTCTGACATTCCGAACAGATTTAAAAAAACTTCAGTGTTTCTAATAAAGACAAGAAATCGCAGCAATATTTCAAATAATGCTCGGGAAATTAAAAAATTAAACAGCAGGGTCGTTAAGCAAAGAACTGTTTTCTTAATTTTTCTAATATTTCTTTTAGGTATTTAAAGATTTAAACACAATTTCCAAAAATGTAATTTTATTTACAATATTAAAGAAAATTCTCACATTTTCACAGGGAAAAAATAAGTTTTTGGTATGCGTATATATTAATCAAAACATGTTTTTTCTGTCGTGAGAAATATTATCTTTAGGTGTTCTTAATCGCGGGCGTATTTTTTATTTCTGACAGATTGATTACAATGTAATTGCAATGTCGTTGTGCACCGGGGTTTGAAAAAAAGGGAATTAGAGTTACATACATGAAGTATAGCGATCACGATGAACTAGAAGTTAGGAAACTAGAAGAAGGCGAAAGCTTTTGGTCTTTACACGACAAGCAATTTCAAGGGAGTACGTAAATTAAATTAAATGCCGACGCTTTAATTGCCGCGTGGATTAAATGTCAGGCATACAAGCAGACGAGCATAGTATTAGAAGAGCATTGAGAACAGTAAATGAGATCTCATTTTAATTGAATTTTTCTTTTTGTCCCTTATAAATATTTGAGGTGCTTAATTTCAAATTGGTTTTATGACGCGCAGAGCAGTGAAAGCAAACAATTCGGATATAAATAATTTATTATTGGCTTAAAGAGAGGAGAAGTAAGTCCATTAGAAATTTTTTTTGTAAAAGATTCTTAATTATGCTTTTTGTTTTCCTAGAAATTTAGAGTTGCCACAGGTCAGGAAATTCAGGGAAAAGTCAAGGAAAGTAGAAATGATCACGAAAATTAAATATTTCGAAATTAAATGAATTTTAAGAGTTGCGTTTACAATTTTTATAATTTATTTAGATAAAAACACGTTCTTGCTTCTCTAAAAATTATGTTTAAAAATTTCCCGTCCCTGAAGTCGACAAATATTTTTTCACGAAACCAAAAAGAATAGAACAATTTTTTTATAGGTTTTAAGTTAAAAATGTACAGAAATTTTTTTAATTCCCTAGGGAAATAAAAGAGGTGAAATTATAGTGACTTTTTCATCTCTAAAAATATCAAATAATAATTTTTGATGCTTAGCGTCGACGCTAAGTTCATGATTATAAAATTTCTGAATAATTTTTCGAATAATATTTTTCGCTATAATAAATATTTTTTAAAAAAATAAAGAAATTTATTAAAAATAAAATAATATTTAAAACATTTTGAAACTGTTTAAGTTTAACTTTAAATTAATTTTTTTGCGCGCCGAAATATTTTTGAATAATACTATTAAAAGTGAAAGAAATAATTTTCGTTAATTTTGAACGTTGAGAATTTAAAGAAGAAAAAATCTAAAATAAATCTTTAGAATTAAATTTTACAATAGAATTTGAAATACGAATAATAATAAAAGTATAATAAAGTATTTCACATGTGAAAGTGAATTGGTTTCTTATTTAATTTGAACACATGTGGGACATAAATATACCTCGTTTTGAAATGATTTATTGAATTCTTGAACAATTATAAAGATAAAGGGAGATTAAAAGGAGATAAAGGAAAATTTTAATATTCAAAGAAATAAACCAGGTGCGTAGAGAATTTCTAAATATCTTATTGTTTCTGAGGCTAATTATAAGAAATCCGATTTCAGTAAATTGTAATGAAACGGTTATTTTCGTATTATATAAAACGAAAATACCGTATACATATAATTATTATGAAGAGCGTTGTAATTAATTAAAATTAACTTATTTCATCATTAACTATAGTGGGTACATATTTATATTTTTTTATTTACAAGACACGAAAACGTTGAAAGTATTACTTTGTGGTATATGAAAAATTCAAGTTATACTCCGGATGAGGCGCAACTGTCATCCAAAAAGAAACGGTTCAGTTATTGAAAAATCGTCGACTTCAAAAGGGTATCATTTTGAGATGAGAATTTCATTGAAAAAAGAGGCTTTTTTCCTTTTTCTTCTTTTTTTCTTTCTTTTCGTTTTTCATTTCTCTTTTTAATATAATATTTCCTTTTCAAAACGTGTTGCGAAATAGAGAAATTAAAATTTTCTACTCTCTAAATTTGAATCAGTTAAAAATAACTAATTTAGAAACAAAAAGTCAGTCACTAATTCAAATAGCAATATTTCTACTGACAATTAGTTAAAAATAACTGATCGACAGTTAAAATTAACTGATGTTTGAGTAATTTTTTTTTGACTGATTCAATTTAGTTTAACTAATTTTTCAGTTACTTTTTACTGAAAATCAGTTATTTTTAACTCACGCCTCGGATATATTGTAAATTTTACGACTTTTTCAACTATTTTCAAATAATGCAATTTTTATTAATTTATATTAAAAAATTTGATTATATTTTTTAAAAATTCAATTATTTTTCAAAGATTTGACCATATTTCAATCATTTTTTAAATGATTTTACCGCAAATTTCGATTTTTCGACTTATTTTAAAAAATTGCGACTTTTTTTTACTTTTCTTCCAAACATTGCGACAAAATACCACAATTTTTATTAAAAAAAGTGCAACTTATTTTGTTTTTTATAATGCGAAAAATAATGATGTATAAACAAATCTTTCAAAAATTTCTTTTGAATTATTCTTTAACAAAATTAAATTTTTCAAATATATCTATATAATTAATAAAAATCTTTTTGAACAGTTGAAATTTTGTAAAATTTAATTGAAAATAATTTATTTATTTCAAGTATTTTGTTACAATTTTTGAAAATCAAGTGTTGAAGAATTTTAATTGCAAATTTTTGAAATAATTGAATCTTAAAAAATTGTAATAAATAATGTTTAGCTTCTAATTTTTTAAAATTGAATATTTTCAATTGCATATCTCCAAAAATTCAAATACATACCTACAAAAATAATAACATTTTAGAATTATTTTTAACATTTTGGAGAAAACAATCATGTTCATAATTTCTAATTAAAATTCATCAAAAAATTAATTAGTTTTTTTAAATTAAATACAAAAATTCTTTTAAGAAATTCAATTACCTATTTTCGGAAATTTACATTAAAATATTTTTAAAAACTAATTATTAGAATTATTATAGAATTGTTTTATAATAATTTTTTAAGATTCAATTATCTGTGTACAATGTTAATAAAAATTTATGAAAATTTACTTTTTAGACTTATTAAAATTTTTGAGAAATCGTGGTCCTGTTTATAATTCAAATTCCTACAAAATTTGATTATTTTTATTTATATTTTTCATAAATTCAATTATTTTTAAAAGATTTTACCAAATTTTAATAATTTGGAAATTTTTCAAAATTAAAAAACTATTATCTTTGAAAAATTATTTTAAAATATTTTTAAAAAATTTATTTGTAAGAATTAAAATTTATTTTGTTTTTGTATTTAAATAATTGAATTCTAGAAAAACCTTTGGAAAATTATTTAAATTAATTAATTCAGAGATGAAGTTTAGTTGAAAATTGTAACTAATAATTGAATTCAGGAAGAGTTATAATTGTAATTTTTAGAAATTATTAAAATTTATAAATTTTACTCATTTTCCGTAAAGATTCATATTTTTCTGTTAAAAGAATTTTGTCAGGGAAAGTAATTTTAATGTCAGTAAATATTGTCAGGGAATTTTTAGGGAAACTGATAAATGTAAAGTTGTGAGCTCCTTGGATAAACGACTTTTTTAGCTCGTTAAAGCAAAAAATTAAATTTAACTGATTGTCAGTTAAAACTTACAACTTAAAACGTGATTTTGAACTGATTCGAATTAAGAGAGTAAACTTGATGTCAATATTAATTGAAATGCGCGAGAGAAATAAATAAAAATAGTTTTGGAGTTGAATATACATATACATATATAGGTTTAACAGGCAGAGAAAGAAAAAGTTTAATTAACATCGCGAAGCTAAGCATCGTAGTACTAAACTAAAGTATTACGGGACGACCACAACGTGCTCGCTGCAATCAAACATCCTACCACCAACGAGCTCCATTCAACTTTAGAAATGAAACGCAATGCATCTTTAATTAAATCTCTCCTAGGTATAGGTAGATAGTTGCAGGTTATGCACGAGGACCAGTCTGAAAATTTATTCCGTGCATTTCAATTTCTATTTGGCTTTCATTCTTGTTTCCTGGATTTCCTCTCTCTCTACTCTCTCGTTTCGTTTTCCAACTCGTCTTCATATTTCTTGTCTTCATCCATCATTCGTCAGCCAATTATATGACAGTTTTATTTCCCTTCAGTTTATTCTGATCTCGTGGATGTACATTTACATATTCTGTCAATTATTGTAGTTCAACTCTTATAAAATTTACATACATGGTTTATTTAAACTGTTTCGAGAGGAAAAATATATTGCCCGACTTCT